ATGGAATCAAATTGCTATGATTCTGGACTGTGAATGGGCCCCAGGTGCTTGAATTTGTCAAGTCTTTGTACACCATTTGATATTCCAGGGTTGGTCCTATGGTTCGATGGCATGGGGCAACTCTCTCAGGCAGCAGATGTGAAGGGATTTGGAGTGTGTGCTATGCAGACAAAAAGACAGGAGTCTCTATTTGTGTTGTAATCTGGCTGTTGTTGTGTGCTATAAGTTTTGGACCTCTTCACATGGCCCAAAGGGGGCCTGCCATTTTGCCAGCAAAGGGAAGGTCTGTGGAGTGGCTCGTGGCACCCCACACGCCCACCCTCCTCCTTTAATAACATGGAGGGCAGGAGAGGATGCTTTGGCACTCTTTCCTTCCCCTCCATCAGATGGCAGAAAGTGCAGCAACGTTGCCCTGCCACCTTTCTACCACCCCACAGGCTTTTTAGCCCCAAAATATGGGTAGCTCCTCTACAGCTGTTACTGACACCCAGGCTCCCTTGCAGGAAAAAAAGAAAGGGTTCCAGGAAGGGTGCTTTACTTAACCCTGTTAACACCAGGCTCCCTTGAAGGAAAAAAGGAAAGGCTCTCAGGAAGGAAAGAGGAGCCTTGTAAGTTCCCCATTGCCGCCAATGGGCCAGATCTAGCTGCATTTTTTGGCTGTGGACCAAAAACAGTTATCTGGCTGAAACATGAAAGGCATTGCAGACTACTTCAACCAGAGAAGTCAGCCATAGCAGAGCACCTGATGAACCAGCCTGGACACAGCATATTATTTGTGAACACAGAAATGCTGGACCACACCAACAACCACCATGTCAGACTACACAGAGAAGCCATTGAAATCCACAAGCATGTGGAAAATTTCAACAGAAAGGAAGAGACCATGAAAATGAACAAAATCTGGCTACCAGTATTAAAAAACTCTAAAATTACAACAGCAAAACAGCAGAGAGGAAACAACCAGGCACATCTTAACACCTCTCAACAAAAGGTTTTCCCAGGCTCAGGCAGGCCTTCAAATGCTAATGAAGATGTTCAGCTGAAACATTCACACCTAGCTCTAGCAGAGAAGAGCTTTTTGCCCCACCCCAGCCATTCCACAGATATATAAACCCATTGTCCTATTTCCAACAGACCTCACCACCTCTGAGGATGCTTGCCATAGATGCAGGCGAAACGTCAAGAGAAATGCCTCTAGAGTATGGCCCTATAGCCCAAAACCCCCCACAAGAACCTAGTTATCTGGCTACCCACCCATTTTTGAGAGGCGCACAAAAACCGATACAGGGGTCTTCTGGTATCTGGCCAGCAGAAATGGACTGAGGTTCAGCCAAAATGCACACATCTACCCATTACCATTGTATAGATGCCACTCTGATAAGTGTCTTCATGGTGTGAATGGGACTGGTACCATTTGCTTCTCAACTCAGGCAGCAAAATGTCTGGAACATCCTTCTGATGTCTTTTCCCTGAAAGCACCTGATTTGCCATTAAAACAGTACAATCTAAAACACTGAAAAATGTAATTGAAGCTAAACTCAGAGTTTATGCAGCTGAATTTGCAGTAGAGTTTAAACTTTGTTGTTTTTTCCTGTGTACATCCCAACAATTTTCCTCTGAACATGATGGCACTCAGTGGTTCACAGTAATGTTACTTTAAAACCCACTCACAGACTACTGAAATGTTAAGTTTAAGTGTATCAACGGGCACTCTTTCACTGAAATGGCAACCTGCTGCTGTCTGTTTACTGAATGTGATGTAGGGCAGGACAGATGATGGCAATTTAAAGCCCAAGATGGTTACAAGAGGGGAGGGGAATGCAATTTTCCTTTAGCAGTGTTTTTGCTACATTGAAATGATTCCCAGGTACCCTCCTTAATAACTAAAAAGTCCTGTTTATTTATTTATTTATGATATTTCTATCCCGCCTTTCTCAAGCCTGAAGGCAACTATTTAAAGTTACATCAAATAGGCTCTGCTGGCTACTGTCAAAAACTGCTAGAAATATGCTGAGTACACATAGTCCTGGGCTAAATAAACCATATGGCTTGATTCCGTATAAAGCAGTGGTTCTTAACTTGTGGGCCGCAGACTATCAGTGGGCCATGAGGATGAAACTCTGGTCTGCGAGCCTCCTTCTTCTTAATTTAATTTATTTTATTTTCACTCCTTTCGCATTGCCTGCCACTCCTTCCCTGTCACTGACCATGGCGTATGTTCTGTATCAGAAACTGGAGCTGATGTAGTCTATCCAATGCAATTTTCTGAATCGGCACCCCAAACCAAATCTAAAATTGACCACAAACTGATTTGTATCTTTCTTGGTACTAATGCTGGAGAGTGGTCCCTGGTCAAGTGGTCCCTGGTCCAAAGGTTGGGAACCACTGGTATAAAACCTATTTAGATATTACTCTGTTTGAATCAACATTCAAAAAAGTAATGCATAGCCCACCCTCCTTCTAACATCACTTTCTCTAGATGGAAATTATCTTAGGTGGAAACTGACAGCTTTGAAAAGGAAACATGCTTGTATGTAAAATATGTTTTCACAAAAGCAAAGAACACAATCTCTTCTTCAGACTTGTTATTTTCCACATGAGGAAAATAGTGGTAGAGGAAGAGTGTACATGGTCCCTCTTTTCAGGTTGATTCACACTAGGATGCTAATGCCTGAACAGGGCTTAAGCAATTCTCATCATTCATCGGGATGTTGAACAATTTCTTGCATTATTTCGAAGCAAAAGGACCAGATTAAAGTAAGGCTATGTGTTCCCTAGCAACCATGTTTGCCATCTGGCCAAGCATGATCTTTTTTTGGCATAATGGAACTGATGAACAGTTGGTACCACAACAGACTGAAGACTTCTCAGTGAATAGTGAAGAGAACACTCAGCAAAAATTAAACATTAGCACTACATAGAACATGTGCTTCCATTTCTCTTGTATATTTCATATAATTAATGTGTGTTTGTCTGATTCAACCTACATATTCACCACCAAGACACTATACTTGGAAGGCTATCATACTTGGACAATGAGGAATCACCTAAGTAAGTTTGTCTGTGGCTGTGTGTACAAAAAGTTTGCAGTTGATAAATCTTCCATGTGAAACATTGATTTTCCATTTTACTTGACTCTTTATATAACAATAGCTCAATGACAAATTACTGCATGATCTTAGTTGAGCCAATAGTTAGATGTTAAACTCGCTAAAATGTCAGAGATCCACTTGGAGAAGGGACTGATGTGGATCTAAGAACAAACAAAAACGTCCCACTGTGTTGGTCAGTAGAGGCCAATCAGGCTAACAATTACTGGCATGCTGAACTTATACGATGGTATAAGACAAAATCAAGATTGAGAATGTCATCAAAATGTAACTTGTAGCAATATTTGGAAGACTTAGGGCATGCTTGGCTTGGTTGTACTTATTAGTAACGGCAGCCTGAAATCACCATATTAAATTAAGAAATCACCATATTAAATTAAGAAAAGAAAGGAGATAGCATGTTATTCAGTATAATTAATTTGCAGCATGGAAAAAGTGACATCACTTGAGACCTGGTATTTGCTTTCATTATTAGAAAGATGCTCTCAATTAAGACTAGACAATCTCAAATGATTTGTTTAATTTGTCTTCATATTAACTTTGTTCCAGAACAGATGAAAAATAAAATACTGTGGGTGGGATGTGGGGTAGGTTTAAAAATTCATTGAAGAGCAGTTTCAGAGAAAAGATACAGAGACATTATGGAAGTGCCTTACTGTCCTAAATGCTGTGTATGTACGTGGACTCCTTTTAAAGATCGTAGCAAATTATCCTATGTACAGCTAGAGTGACTCTTGCAAAAAATCAGATGATGGTGTGACAACACCAGCACTTGCCATTTCCCAGGGCTGCCTCTAATTCTGTGCTGGACTCCGAGGATGGACATCCTCAGAACCAGACATTAAGGCCTGGTCAGCTCTCCTGAACTTGTTGACATCTTTACCAGAGTACTCTTCCTTATGAAACCCTATAGCAAAATTTCTCCTTTGGATTACTTTTCTTTCTTCAGCGTGTGCTGAGAGAGCACATTGAGTTATTTGCTTGTTCTAAGGAAGTCCTCAGAATGATCCAGGGAGTAAGTGGATAGGGCATCAGTTGGAGATGATGTGGTGGTGGCAATAAGGGAGGGGTGGATAGGTGGCAGTGCTGAGTGACAAGGGAGCCTTTCCACCTTGTATGGGAAGGTATTTCAGTGCAGGAAGCACACATTGTTGAAATCCTGTTGGTGACATAAGTACAAGTCGTCTTGGTTCACAAACCCCATGAATTCCCAAATCAATGAATGCTCAAGTTCCATTAAATATAATCATGTCGTAAAATGGTACCTCTTACATAAAATAGCAAAATCAAGATTTGCTCTTAGGAATGCTATTTTTGGAATATTTTCAATTCATGGATAGTCGAATCCATGGATGCAAAATCCGTGGATATGGAGGGATGCCATGTAAATGTGGCATTCTTAGCACAAAGACGAAATTAAGCCTTCTGGCAGTCTAAACTAGGATGGCTAACCACTGCTTCTGCATACTTGAGGAGGGGGAAGCTTTGACAGTCTAGCTCCAAAGGGAAACGATAGAAGGGTGCACTTTGTCTATAAATGCCCTCCTCATCATTTGACCTCCTGCTCCCTCACCTTTTTACCACTAAACAACAGTAACTGTTGTTAGAATATCATAACTTGAAGGGTGGGCTTGGATGTGGTTAGAGGATAGACCCATGTGCAAAGGGCAGGGTGAATATGGAATCATGTAGATGGAGGAGAATACTCTGCATGGCCGGTTTAGGATCCCAGCCAAAATCTGCCAGTTTTGAAAAGTTTATTTTTCTGATGCCTTCCTTCTTTCCTGCTGTCTTAGCTGACACTGTACATAAGTAGTGGGCTATTAGGATTTTGGCCACAGTGTGTGAATGCTTTTACTGCAATTGTTTAAAGAAACACATACGATTGGATTGAAATTCAAACGATATATTAGAATTTGAGTCCAATATGTTCTTTGTAATAACATTATACAAACCAGTTAGGTAGCAAACATTGCTGTTGTCCTTCCTCTTTCCTCACAAGTACTAGACATACCAAGAAAATGCAAAGTCTTGTATATATTGGGAACAGTTCATTATACAAACTTAATACAGAAAGCTTTAGCAGAGTGCTTGGAAAAGAGTTAAGACCCAGAAACTGGAAGACAATACTACATTGGTGTTTTTTAAAGGACCCAATACCTGTAAAAGAGCTTCACTCAGTGATGAGAATTTTTGTATGTTTGTTTGGGGGTTCTTGAATTGCAGCATATTGGGTCTCCACGTGCAAAGATGGGTGTGTATCTCCAGACTGAACTTATAGCAGCTTGAGATATTATGCTGAAGTTTGTGATACAGACGTGGAATTGCCTTGTGTACTCTATTTTCCCTGAATAGCACCCAAAGGGAAAAATCTGCACATCCTTCCTCCCTCCAGACACTCACACACACACATACACACAAGTTCTACATTCAGGTAGAGTATTCACTGTTGGGAAAAGTAATGACTACCTGATGCTTCCCGAGAAGTGCCTGCATTTCTTGTTGTCAAACACATGAAGTAAAAATAGTATACTCAATGTTCTTTAAATTTACTCCCCCTTTTTTGTTCACAAATAAACCTGGAATACATATGAGACCAGATCTTTGGCTCCTCTTGGAAGTCATGCTACAAATTCAGGTAAAATGTCTTAGTCTTTCCTACAAAACCTACTGAAATGACTCCACTATGAGGATGACACATATAGAAAGCCAAAGGAGCCACAGATCCAGTAATTTGTTCATCCATTTTCACCATTTTACTCTTAACAGCCCAAATCATATAATAGCTAAAAATTGAGTTTTGTTTGTATGCCATGTTGTGGCTACAGATTTGGAAGACAACAGGCAAAAGGTCCCTGAAATAGTAAAGCCTAGGGGGCAATGACACTAGCCCAGTTGGTTTTTTCTATAGCTGGGTAGGGCTATGCACATACACAGTGCCTCTAGAAATTTGGAAACACTCACAGAATGGGAGCATGACTTACTTTACACTTTGGGAAACAGGGATCTGCTGCATTACAATTCCACTCCTCGAAACTCTTTCACACTGAGGGGAAAGGGGTCACAAATCACACAGGGGGATCTTTCTGCTTTATTCATTCCATGAGAAAAGAGTTTCTTGTTTTTAAAAGCACACTCTGAAGTAGCACCATTTTTAATATATCATAGGCTGAAGTCAAAAACATTTGCAACATGCTTTTTTTTAAATGATGAAGGCATATATCAGATTCTTGAAACATGTGAGGCACTCCTTTTTTGCTTCTTTTCAAGTGGCTATTCCTATATCATAGCTGGATGATGTCACGTCAATTTGCTGGGCATGAAAGAGGTTGGACTCCCTTTATCTCCAAGGCTTTGCTGAAGTTAATCTCCAATGGCTTAGATGTCCCCTTGGTGAGTTTCAGCAATCTGATACATCCTTTGAAACGGATGTTAGTGGTCAGACCAAACTGGTGTAACCCATCTGGGAAGAGTGAAAGAAGGGGGAGAAAAGAAAGTAATTTATTATCCAGCCTCTTTCTCCTAAAAGGAAATGTTTTCTTCATTTTCCTGGACACTATTTGTGAATAGAAGCCCATATTAGCAAGCTTCACGCAAGCTGTTCACACAACTTACTGGCAGCTGAGAAAGAAACTTTTAAAATAACGGATTTTTGCACCACTCGTGATTTTAGAATTGTTTTTTTCATTTGGTTGTTTAAATGTGAAGATTTGTTTAACCATGTTTTGAGACTGTAGCTTACTGGCAGAAATCATACAGCAGGGTCACATTGCACAGTTCCCTGCATGTAGAGTTATGCATTGATTATGCTGTACAACCCTTGGCTGTGATTTGTAGATCAGCTACATAAACTACTCTAGCTTAATGGTGTCTCTCATCTCAACCCCTGTAATCCTGATTTATCAGACAGCAACCACTGTAACAAATTGGGGATCTTCTCTCCCCTCAATTGGGATGCAGAACATAAACATTTCTACCTCCCGTGTGTGTGTGTGTGTGTTAATGTCAGTCTAGTATATTCCAATTGACAGGAAAGCAAATATATGTTGCTTGTAGCTGCTGCTGGCCATTAAATTGAGAAACTTTTACAATTCCTACATATTCCCTACACTACTGAATACCTAGGTTATGTGAATAAGGAAATAGTTATGAATATATAACTCTAGGTTATGCATTTGTAGCTATTGCCATGACTTCCAGCCCTTATGCTGAACGGCAAAGCTGCATAGCTGAATGCACATTGCATGAAAATAAGCCTTATGTGAGCATCAGTGAACATAATGGCCCAACATGCACAACTCTACTGCATCAACTTTCAACTGAATACAGACTTTTAGTACTGGGCAAAAAAGTCTAACCATCTTCTGAAAAGAATCTACTCCAAAAGATGCCAGCATTTGAGCTGTTTTTCTCTCAAATGTTTTGTTGAATTCTGCCTTGTATCCCAGTTATGGGACGCAGTTGAGATATAAAAGATACCATCTCTTACCAGCTGTGCTTGTTCACTATGATTGTTTAGCTCAGTGGTTCCCAACCTGTGGTTCTCAAGAACTAAAATATGGTCTGGGATCTCACTGTTACTACTACGGATAATAACACAGCCCAACCAATTTTTCGGTATGTCTTCATTTTTAGGCCTGTTCCTGGGGTTATCTGGGGGTGCTGATTCAGAAAATTGCATTGGATAGACCACATCAGCTCTAGATTATTAAATATGTTTTTCTGTGGGAGAGCACATGGTGACTACTGGATGGCATATCTTCTGTATCAGAAACTAGAGCTGATGTGGTCTATCCAATGCAATTTTCTGAATTAGCATCCCAAATAACCAAACCAAATCTAAAGTTGACCAAAAACTGATTTGTAACCCTTTTGGTACTAATGTTGGAGAGTGGTCCCTGGTCAAAGTGGTCCCTGGGCAAAAAAGGTTGGGAACCACTGGCCTTGCTTGATATGGGATAGTGCTCCTGTAGCTTTAATCATTAACACATCCTGAGACAGGAAGACTTAAAGTTTTGTCTGTTAACCTCCCCATGCCCTCCTTTTAGGTGCTGCCTCCCACCAACATGGCTAGTAATGAGCAAAGGAGTGTGTGTGGAGAAAGTGACATTGCTGCTGTGACAAAACTGGACACTGCACTGTGCCCTCTTTGCTCTTCACTGACAAATAGCTGGGAAGGAGCTAAACCATTAAAAGGTGTGGTTTGAGGATGAGGTAAACATGGACCGATGAGACTACAATATCTCTTCCTCATCAAACAAGTAGCTGTGTTAGCAACATTAAGAGAAGGGAGGGGAGGGGAAAAAAGAGAAGTGCAGCAGGCCCTTTGGGATGAATTGATTTTAATTCTTGCACAAGTTTTCATAGATATAAGTACACTTCTTCAACTGCAGTATTGAGTGGCCTCAGGCATAAAGCATATTTATACAGTTATGGGAGTTGGAGAGAATGTAATAAGATCCTTAAACTATTAATTGTAATGCTCCCGTTCAATGCACATAAACTGGCATTCTGTATGTGGTATATGGAAACAGAAGTCAACCTTTTATGTCTGTTTTGGAAGGCCTCTCTCTCTCTCTCTCTCTCTCTCTCTCTCTGTGTGTGTGTGTGTGTCAGTGTGGTGGTTAGTATTCACTTCTTCCCTGTGCAGTGACCAGAGCACCCCAGTGGCCAATCTAAGCCTGGTGGAGAGTGGGGAAATATCTAACCATGATAGATGCAAAATGATTACATCATGTGCTGACACCTCTGAGGCATTCCAGCAGACAGGACAACACTGGTGATGCTATGCTTTTAAAATTGTTTTATTGGTTTATATAATATGGTTTTTTATTATATTAGATTGAATGTTTTTAACTGTACTTCAAATGCACGGCATCAAATTCTGCCAATTTCTGTAAGCCACCTTGAGTTGTGATAAGGCTGAGAAAGGTAGGCTACAAATGCCATAAATAAATAAATAAATAAATAAATAAATAAATGCAATCATTTACCATCTGGCTCCAGGGACATAGCCAGATGGTTTCTCTGATCTCCCCCCTATCTCCACCAGGAACAGACTGGTTATTGGGGGGCTGCATTAAGTGTGGAGTTATGAATGTAGTGCAATTCTGTTAAGAAAAACAATATGCTACAATGAGTCCTACAGGATGCTGACCAGATCCCTGCTACACCAGTGAAAATTCTATAGAACAGCCCAGCAGATGTTTGGTTACACAACTTTCATAGCACCACTCAACTACCCCCTCTACAGTAAAAACTAGGAGCCCCTGGTGATGCAGTGGATTAAACCCTTGTGCCGGCAGTACTGAAGACCGACAGGTCGGTGGTTCGAATCCAGGGAGAGTGCGAATGAGCTCCCTCTGTCAACTCCAATTCTCCATACTGGACATGGAGAAGCCTAAAAAAAGGATGGTAAAACATCAAAACATCCAGGCACCCCCTGGGCAATGTTCTTGCAGATGGCCAATTCTCTCATACCAGAAGCGATGTGCAGTTTCTCAAGTCGCTCCTGACACACACACACACACACACACACACACACAAACCAGTAAAAACTAAGTCATAGGGTTGTGCATAGATCAGTTTTGAAAAATGAGCTCTGGTTGGTCTGGCCAGCCATAATGGCACAGGCTCTGTCACAATTTTTCCCCTGGCTGCAACAGACCACGTGGCTCCTGTAAACTACTGCTTTTGGTTTCTTTCAGTGTGCAGAGGCAACCGCAGGCGGCTACACAGGTTTCCCTGTGAACTCTGCCTGTTGAGCCAATTGTGTCATTTAGCCAAGCTGACCTTCCATTTTTCTGTTGTGAGCAGGGTTCTGAGAGAGACAGATCGGTGATCTAAATTCTCAGTGTCAGTTGCAGCTCTGCATGGCTTGGCTTGCTTTTTGGCTCAAATAGTAATAAATTAGCAGTTTACTGCCGCAGATGGTGCCCTTCACAGGAGGCAAGCTTCAAATGTGTGGTGGAGATAGCTTACTATTTCTAAAGTTACCATAAAATGATGAGGTAATTTATATCTTTTTATAAGAATGGGTAATGTGCCTTCAGGTGGCGTGGCTTCATTGAAAGGGTGTTGATGGCAAAGGATCCCAGAAAGGGTGGTTTCTTAACTCTGGTGCTTTTAATCCAGTTCTTAATGAAGGACTGAAGGACAAGCAGGTCCAGAAAGAGTGGTATTTTAACTCTGGTCCCCCCCAATGGAGGTCCCCCCCATTGCCGCCAATGGGCTGGATCAAAAACAGATCTTTTGGCTTCATGGATTAAAAATGGATTTCTGCCCTCTGATATTCAGGAGGCTATGGAAAAATGGATCAGCCCTCCTACCAAAATTGGGACACCAAAATGGATCACGGTTTACCTGAATTGCACAATCCTACTAGGTCAGTCATTTGAAGAAAGGATGTCAAATACATACTTTCAGGCAGAGCTGGCAATGTGCAAGAAATAAACATCTGTCTCAGAGGGCTGAGGTGAAGTGCAACATGACAAAGTGTTAGAAGACAGAGAGGCATGGATCACCTTATGGTATATTGAGCCAAGCTGGATGCCACCAGAGTTTCGTGCTTCACAGAGTCATACCAGGGAAAGAGCCTATGTAAGAGCCAAACAGATGTCTGTTTGCCCAACCAAAGGGGCTTCCCTGTGCCCCACAATTTACTCTGCTGCTGTCATGAGTACATTGTCCAATAACTCATGCTAGAAAAGGGTACAATTGCTTATTTAGTTTTGGAATGACCCTGAGTGCTGGGAACAGTATACATGAGCTTCCCCCTCCTATTATTTATCAGTTGTGTTCTTAGGAATTATTCCAGATCGTGCATTCACCCCTTACAGTTTTGATCCCATGAAAAATATTTGTAAATTACTGGGTGTCAAGGTTATATACTCACCAGGATAGCCTCCAACAAAGACAGGATCACTAGTATCTGCTGAAGTGGAAGCTGCATTGGGGCTGATACCTTCCACGTGGTGGCCATCCACAGTCAGCATTAAGCGGTGTTTTGCCTTATGTGCTATAACCTTGTGCCACTGCCCATCACACAAGCTACCTGATATCGCAGGCTCGTAGATGGCGGAAAACCGACCTGCACCATTATCGACGTGGAACATCACCTGGGGGGCAAATCACAAGAATAATTAGGGAAAACCAATTAGCTGTACAAATAAAGTAAAACAGTAATCTGCTAATTGCAGGTTTGGCTGCTGTGATGTTAGATGCAATCTGCCTTAAAGATATAGCCTAACGCAGAGTATATGAAGCATGGTTATGGTACTGCTATATAAATCTGCTCTACTGTTACATTACATGCTCATCGTATTCTTTCTCCTGCCATTAAATGCAATAGTTACTCAGTTATACTCTTCAGCAAGAGCAGTGATTAAATACTTAATCAACATAAATGTATGAAATTGCACTGTACTCAGAGATCCACTTGAAATTAATTTGTAGCTGAAGGACCAATCTTGGCAGGAATGCTCAGAATTACGGGCAATACACTTGCCAGTTTATTGCTGCCAAACTCTAAAATGGGTAATCGACATAAAATAGTGTTTCAGCAATGGGTTTGATGATTACAGTGTTTGCACAAACTAAAACAATTTGGAAAATGTCTATTAAACGCAGAGCAGTGTATGAAGACTAGTGGTGTCCATGCGGAATATTTTAATTGAGCCATGAAAAGACCTTTAAAAGGCAAAGCAAAGTTTCATTATGGGGAATCTTGGTAATCTATCCCCGCCAACCTCATTTAGGAGTTAAAGTGACACATCCATTGTGAAAGTAAAACTGGGTTCAATCTATATGTCAAAGTAACATTCATATATAGATTACACCAAAAGTTTTGGAAAGCTATTTTAGACCACATCTCTCAGATTATTGGTTATGCTGGGAGTATTGTATATAAACACCTTTTTAAAAATCTGTATTTTAGGCTGATTTTTTTAAAAAAAGATTAAAACTTTTAGAATCCTGCTTATGTTGCTGAAGGTTTCTGGAAGATATTGTCTTTAAAATTCTTTTTCCAAGCTAGAGATTTTAACATTATAATAACCAAAGCATGTGTATGTGAAGGAATGTCCTTTTTCTGTGCCTCAGAAGGAGCAAGGCATAATTACAGCCAACAAGTATAGTGATGGGGATGAAGTTTATGGTTTTTCTGTCCCTACAGGTGCAAAGATATGAGTGATCTTGGAGGACAGTCTTATAAGATGGTTAAGAAGGAAAAAAGGAATATAGCATATTTGTGAGAGTTCCATACTCACATTTTCATCCACCAACTCGATGCCAAGCCCATCCATTTTCTGGCTGCTGATCCCCAACAGAACACCATTTGGCCGAGTTGTACGGAAGTCAAATTCTATGTGTAGATCTAACCCCACTCTAAACGTTCCAACTGATAAAAGAGGGAAAAATAGGCAGCATAAAATATAGTGCTCTAAACACTATCACTCATTCCCTTTTCTGTGTTACACAAAATAGTATTATTCACATTGATCTGATACCACCAGTTGGCTTTCACTCAAAAAATGTTCTGGGGCATAGTTTTGCAGCAGGTAGTTGAATTTACCAAAGGAGAAATGCTGGCCCAATGTCTGAAAAGTGCATCCTCTGAGAAAAAAAGCACTGGCTCTTCGTGGTAGAGGCTGGCAGAAAGCACTTCTGCTCCTGCAACTCTATTACAGAGAGCCTCTCCACTAACTGCAATCTTTTTTTTACCTATGCAACCCTTGTTCCTATATTGAGCCCAGCAATCATATGGTCATTTTAAGTCTCATATGCAACTCCTTAGTACTTCTTTCTTTCTTTCTTTCTTTCTTTCTTTCTTTCTTTCTTTCTTTCTTTCAAACATTTATATTCTGCCCTTCTCACTCCGATGGGGACTCAGGGCAAAGCACAACATACAAATGGCAAATATTCAGTGCTGGGACATGAATTCATTATATGCATACATAAACATTAAAAATATTTGTCTCCACATTAAAATACACTGTTTAAAACCGTCTTGATCATATTCTTTGAACCATTGTAATAGGGAAATCTGCTGGTGCATTAGCCATGAGGACCAAATAGACAGGCTGTTGCCATTGCTGCTGTTCTCCAATTTATATACCATTTTCTTCTCTTAACAAGATATTAGATTTTCAATTACTTGAAAAGTAATTTGAGGAATTACTTAAACTAAATACATGTTGTTTGTATATGGCATTGTACTAAGCCTTTGGAATTCCACTGCAAATTTTCCAAAATTGGGTGAAAACCAGTTAGCCCTCATATCATAATTGGACTGTATCTCTCAAAATTCCTCACCACTGGCCATTCTGACTGTTGCTGCTTTTTTACAACATGTGGAGGGAGACATGATGAGAGTAGGGTAATGCAAATGTTGGAAAGGATATAGAATTGGATATGATGCTACAGGGATGTGCATGAAAAGAAATTGGAGGTAAACTGGAATACCTGCGCCAGGCAAAGAAGCCATGAGAAATTGTGCGAGTTTAAGACTTCATATATGTATGTGAATGAATGAGAGGCTGTCCGAATTTCCTCAAATACAATTAAAAGAAAGCACAAATATGTGGGCATAGGCTTGAATCCTAAATTGCTCTTCAGTTCATACAAGGAAGAATGCCCTTTCCAGTAACTCTCTTCTTTCTAAGAACATTACCATATAATAATGGCAACTTTCTTTTAGCATCCCACCACCATCTCCCCGATTAAGGGCAGCTTACATGGGGAAAAGCTTGGTCAAACATAGTTTAAAATATAACACAGTAAAATTTATAAAGCAACATCACAAAAAAATAAATAAAATAAAACAACTGTCAAACAAACAACCAATAGCCTGACATAGTAATCAAATCAAACGACTCCACATCTTTACCAAGGTTCTCTCAAACCCCAGAACCAGGCATCACTGTGTTTTATGAATTTTATAAATTTTAAATTTTTTTACTATGTGTTATTTTATGTATGTTTGCTGTTGTAAATTTATGCTGTTATAGCCTATATACTTATGTATTGTTTATTTTATGTTCGTCACTTGTAGTGCTTCTGTCAGCTGCCCCGAGTCCCTTTGGGGAGATGGTGGCAGGGTATAAATAAAGATGATGATGAAGCCCCCGGTGGTACAATGGGTTAAACCCTTGTGCCGGCAGGACTGAAGACCGACAGGTCGGAGGTTCGAATCCAGGGAGAGTGTGGATGAGCTGTCTCTGTCAACTCCAGCTCCCCATGCGGGGAACATGAGAGAAGCCTCCCACAATGAAGGTTAAACATCAAAACATCCGGGCATCCCCTGGGCAATGTCCTTGCAGACAGCCAATTCTATCACACCAGAAGTGACTTGCAGTTTTTCTCTCTTTTTAAATTTTTTAATTGTTTTATAGTGTATGTAGAAAAAAAGCAGATGAACAAAAGAAAAAAAGAAAAAATGCAAAAGATTTACAAAAGAATGAGGATTCAGTGCTTGTGAAACATATGAACAATCATATATCACTCCTGATATGATGATGATGATGATGATGATGACGATGATGATGATGATGATGATGATTATTATTATGTATGGGAGAACGCATGAGTAGCTGAGTGGAGGAAAGAATTCTTATATAACTGGGAACTTTAAAAAAGAGAAATCAGGATTCAAGCCACAAGGAATAGAACAATTAAAAATGTAAATCTATTTAGATTTGCAGAGAAAGTATAGTGATGATTGCACAACTAATTTTAAAATGTAATTTTCTTAGAAAGACTTTAAAAACATTTCTCTTGTCCTGAGGTCTTAAAAACAACCAAGCACAGCTGCTATAATGCTGTGGAAGTCCAGCTGTTGTTGTCTTTAAACAAATCCAGCTTGCTCAGGGAGCAACCCCTGCTATTACCATTCCTCCCTTTCATTTTCCAGGCTTTATTCTTCAGTGTGTGCATGCTTCCTTTGACAACTATCTACTTAAGAAGGCCCAAAGAACAAATTTAGGAAATGCTCTATTTATTGCACTACAGTACCTGCTTTGGCAAAACCTGTTCCTGCAAAGTAGGTTCCTTCTTGTGGATTAACAAAGCACTTTCCAACATTATAACTGGAAGAAGGGTTATCAAGATCAACAGGAGATTCTGTCATTTGGAAATTTCGCATGCAACCATCGATGCTGTAGACAACCTGGTGAAAAATAAAGGTGTGTATTATTTACACACAGTTATCTAAAATGTTTGTCCCCTGCAAACTGAAAGGCTCAAATATGGCACCAGAGAATAGCTAGTATTTATATTCCTCTATATTCATGGGTGAAATTGAATGAGCTTTTTATATGACTCTTCTACAAAATGAGAGTGTGATAAATCATGCTTTACTGTATATAGAATTACATTCTAAGAATGAATTCACCTGCAGTTCTGGACACTTCTTAAAAGCTTAGCAGTGATGATATAAGAATATATTCCAGACCTTAATTCCAGATTTAAATCAGAAATGTAATATGCCCCATCCTTTTGGGAACTTTACCAGAATAAATGCACAAAAGGGAACATGTGCATTTATAGTTAGTATTTGTATATCTCAGCTGCTTGACAAGAATGAATGGAAATGCCACTGTACAAGTTTGAAAAATCTTTCTGCCTGCCAGAGCCACTTCAGTATGTCCAACAGTTGGCTTCCTGTTCTTCCTAATATATGGGCTTGTAAGAGATTCACATTCCCTTGCCTCCTATTATCTGACATGGTCAAAGTCACACAATTTCTTTACTAGAATAATTGCATTCCTACTGTTGTATGTTTTCAAACAATTTGTGTGTAGGGCTGTTGGTGATAGTAGCAGCAGAGAGCTACTTTATATTAAATTGGTGTTCAAAAATAACTATATGCCTGGGTACAGAATTTTTCTTCCGCTGAAAGAAGTGCCCCAACCTATTAATGACTCCAGCATTGTGGATAAAAAGGGGTTTAACACTTGGGGTTGCTGTAAGCTACAAATGTTTGTTAGGTGAAGAAATCTATGGACAACTAAAATAATCATCAGAGGAAAGCCTGTGAAGCAGAGAGGGCCACTGGATAAAAAAAGTCAGCATTTCTTTCTGCCCAATGTTAAAAATTTAGTGGATTGATAACCATGAATATAGAGGAATATAAATACTATCAGTGTTACTGATAAAACCAATTAGCGACTTTAATGGAGTTTGATATAAAAAGATTTATCAGGGAGCATTTACCCACAGCAGACAAATTACTTTACTACCCACCTCCCCAACACAAATTTAAATATAGTGGCTGAGATCATGCATTGCATTTGTAGCTATGGAGTTTCAATCGCTGTAAGCAACAATCCTTGAAACCCATGTTAAACAAAGTCATTCTGAGCAATAGAAATCTGCAGCACAGCCAAATAGGGTGATTCAGGATGATGTTGCCAGCTCCTTCCTACCCCATCCTACCCCCTCATTTATTTTCATTACATGGTAGACGGCTGCTTACATTGTTCTGAAACACTTTGCTTATGTCTCCATCCCTCCAAGTGGCTCTCTAAAGTGGTTGTTAGGAAGTATGCATAATCCCTAACACCCACTTTAGGGTAATAGTGACTCAGCCGTGAATAAAGAGCATAGTAAAACATGGAGTAGTTACAGATCTGCAACTCAAGGTTATGAATCCATAATTACAATGTAGGGTGCCAGGCAATGCCTCTTCCTAACTACCACAGACCAATTGAATGAAATGCTGGATGATAAATGAGAATAAATGTAGTTCTCAGTGGGTCTAATCTAAATGGAATTAGCAGGACACAGACCATTCTGTCCTTAGTAGGTGGACATGGCTTGTGTGGAAGAGAATCAAGTCACTCAACCTCACAAATGAGGCTAGGAGCTGGTAGGACAGCAAAAATAAAATGCTTATCATTTGGTGCATCCAGACTGAATACAAAGTCCTAGATTTTGTTATTGGTCTTTCTGATTTTATACAGGAGCTTGTTGACTGAAAGGTTGCAGGTTCAAATCCAGGCAGCGGTGTGAGCTTCCGCTGTCAGCCCCAGCTTCTGCTAACCTAGCAGTTCAAAAACATGCAAATGTGAGTAGATCAATAGGTACCTATTTGGTGGGAAGGTAATGGCACTCCATGCAGTCATGAAGTGCCACATGACCTTGGAGGTGTCTACAGACAACGTCGGCTATTCGGCTTAGAAATGGAGATGAGCACCAACCCCCGGAGTCAAATATGACTGGATTTAATGTCAGGGGAAAACCTTTACTTTTTCCAATAAATCAACTTGGAGAGCTGGTCTAAAAAGTCCATAATCATGCTGGAAGTTGGCAGACAATACACTGACATATATAATACATGTATGGATTTCCAAAATAAAATTGTAAGGAACAGGAACTGTGAGATTTACTCAGGTCTTTTTTCACAGTGCGGAGTTACCTTGTGCAGTATCTTTTTTCACAGTGTAGATGCAATATGAACAAAATGGCCGTGGCAGCTGGTGCAGAAAAAATCTGCTAGATTTTTAGGAGCTCTAAAAGAAGAATGAAGTAAAGTTTCCTTTTCTTACCGGGCCAATTCTTTTTGTTGTATAGTTAATGGGCAATCCGCCAACATACAACATCCCCACAACATCTAAAATATCAGCTTTCTTTGGGCTAGTAGTCCTGTTTGTAGCACCGTCAACTAACAGGACACCTTCTTGCTTGCTTCGGAATATTTTTATCTGAAAAAAGATAGAAAGTTAGCTTAATATTACCTTTCTATTACGTGTGTTCAAGTCAGCTTCACACTATGGAAAGCTGATGACTGGGTTTTCCTAGGAATACATTTTCCAAGGGTGCTGCTATTGCCTTCCTCTGATGCTATAAAGTCTGACGTTTTAAAGAACACCTTGACGGTTTCCATGGCTAAGTGAGAAAATGTAATGTAACATCCTTTAGTTTAGAATGAAGCAGTTTGTAAAGGTGTTTTTGATAAGAGAAATGCCCTGAGTAACACTTGAATTCCTAGGATTTCCTAGCTAGCATGACAATTGGAACTCATTGACCAAAACACTTTGGTCTACAAGCAATCCTTGTGAATAAATAATCTTCACCTAGTCTTTCTTAATCCAGGGATTAAACAGGATTGGATAGCACCTTTAAAATTGAGGCTCACATCTGACATGAAAGAATACCAGCTACCATTTGGCAGGGTCTTCTCTGTTTTATGTTTACGAAAAACTGCCACATATGTTCATATGTAATTATTACTTATTATGCACATTATTATGATTAAAATTTGAGCATAAATAATTCCAGCATAGTTTGATTTGTCAACAGTTGAAAAATCTGACTTTTCCCTTCATAACTGATATGCCATTGTATATATTTACTAGCAATGACAAATGTTTTTAAGGGATATTAAAGTAGCATTAAACATTAATTAGTTAATGCACCAATCGTTAATACACTAGCAAACATGAATAAATAACTATAGCTGCTATAATGTGTCCTTTTTTGTTCCACTCTAGGTCACAGAAATCCTGGGATGCTTGGGGTTAATGCTACTTAGTACTTACTCAAAACCTGAAGTTCAGAAACTTGCAGAACATATTGTAGATCAGGCTGCCAAAATTGTAGCATATGGTCCGGAGATGCAAAAACTCTCTCTCCTATAGAATCTAATCCTCCTAATGCTAAACTTGTTCTACTGCTGCCAGATGCTCCCAACATCTACTACTCAGTAGTTCCAATAGCTAACAAACATATTCTGTAGACTGAACCAGATTAATTTGAGGGTAGATACAGCAATTGCCAAAATATATTTTTATCCAGTTAATAACAGGAATATGAAAGATAATGTAGAACTTTGCAGTCCCCCCCCCCCCAAAAGAGAGAAACCAAATATGACCAAATAAGAAATGCTGTTCAAGAAAAACTTTAATGTGGATAAGAGAATGTCAAAGAGTAACAGGGCAGATTGTGGACATGGTTCCCTTCATGATATTTTTCCCCTGTCTCAGTTTAGAATAATGGGCAGAGAAATTCATAAACTGCAATGGGATCAATGTATATTTTGTCAATTGGAAGCAAAGAGCAGAAACAGCAAAAGCAAAGCATCTGTACATACGTTAAATATAGAATAAAGCAGTCTTCAATTATTTCAGGCTAATGATGCATTTCGGGAAAATTTTCCACCATACAGTATATTTGTATGGGGCTAACTGCCATTGTTACAGACAAGGACACAAGCCACTGAGTGGTTCTCAAACCACTAACAGAAGATCAAGGACATAAAAAAGTGAATTTGAATAATTTGTTCCTAAAAGGGAATATAAGAAGATCCTTGCTGATTCAGGACAAGAGCCCATTCAGTTCAGTACCATGTTTTGAAATGCCAACCAGACATCCTTGACCAGCTCACCAACAGAGTTCTGATAGAAAGCAGCATTTTAAATATAGATGGCATTATCAGAACCACAGGATGGAAAAACTGTTTTTTGGACTTCAGCCTCCAGCAATCATGCCCTTGTATTTCAACAAAATACCTTTCCAGACTCAGAGGGTCCTTTCACACTACACAATTGGGAAAGGTCTGAATAGAACCTTTAAGAGAACTGAAAGCTCTATTGTGCTCTATTCACTCTCACTGCAATTTTGGCTTTCTTTTTGTTTTGTTTCATTCTGCCCATGAACAAATGTTTTAGCTGTTAGAGCACCTTGACGTCATACCTTGTGCCAGTGACCATCATTGATTTTGTTGGGGATCATTGTGCTGGTGTTCCCATGTCCTAGGTCATAACTGAAGTATGGAAAACCATTCTTTATCTGAACGGTGGCAAAATCGGCATGATTAATCCGAGCCATATAGAAAAGCAAACCATTTTCAGCTTTTGTTCTGAATTCGAATTCAATGGTGAGTCTAAACATTTGGGAAAGTGGGGAAAAACAAGAAGTTAGGAAACAATCTGTTTTCTTTTTCATCAATTCTCACACAGCTAACATTGTCAAGGGCAAACTTATTTATGAGACAAATTAAAACATGACACTTAATACCTTATTTCTGAACTTAGTACTTACCGAAAAAAACTTGATTCAGGGCTTAAACTAACCATTCTTTACATGTTCAAAAAAGTAATTAAGATCAAAAGTTGCCTCTCAATCCATAGGGGGATAATAATTCCCTTTAAGAGCAACTGACATAACTTGGTTTGCAGCTTGTTTAAATGAATTGGTGTAAAAGTTGAATTAGATGTCTGAGGGTGAAAAATGTTGGGAGACTTTCACCTGGATTCCATTGGCAAAACATGGATTTACACGGCCATATAATCTAGATGATCAAAGCAAATACAGATTATCTGATTGAACTGGATTATATGAGTCCACACTGGCATATAATCCAGTTCAAATCAGATAATATGGATTTTGTATTACAGTGTAGATGGGGGCTCAGAGCACTTTAGTGCCTGCCAGTCTACAGATCCCATGATTCCACAGGGTTCAGCTATTGTATTAAAGCAGAATTACAGGGTTTAAAATTGTGCAGTATAAAAGAGCCCTTTGTAATGAAAGTAGTTTCAGATTGCACAACTGATGCATTTAAAGGCCTGAGTAATTTTGCCAACTGGATTCCCACTAGTGATCCCTTGTCATAATCTCAACCAGAATTTTTACATGTCTAGAATATTGAGTTTAAAGCCACCCTTTCCATGGTTGCTGCTTTGGATTTAAATCTGTGCTTCTCATTCAAAAATATAGTGTTACTGAGAACAACAAAGTAGCAGCCCTGCTACAAACTTCATCATAGTGGGAAATTGCCCTTCCTTCCAAGAGTGCACTTTCCTGGTCTAGACATAAGTGCCAATAGGTTTCTTTTAAAAGCAGATTTACAATGAAGGGTGGAGTTTATTTCTAGGTACACCCATGCATTCTAATTCAATTTATGTTAAATTCAGTGCAGTCTAATTCAATGAATAACATCCAAACTAATAAATTAATGTTTAAAAAAGAAACAGAAGCCAAGTTGCAAGGTTGACTTCTATGGACAATTGAAACAGAAGAGATGTGTAAGTGCAATGGTGGAGATGAGAGACAGGGCCTTCTCAGTCGTGGCCTCTCATCTATGGAACTCTCTACCCAGTGTAATTAGATCTCTCCCCTCTCCCTTCTGGCCTCCAGAAAAAAACTAAAAGCATGGCTTTTGGAACAGGTTTTCAGTCAATAATGGGGGCAGTACAATAAGAGACTATAAATTAACTTAATGATTATCTGGACTGGCTCTGGAATATGACCTGAATTATGTGATTTTAACTGTTTTTTTAATGTTATGCTTTAACTGGTTAGTTTTAATGTTTTTGTTTATTCATTGATGTATGTGTACATCCGGCATTGAATTGTTGCCTTTGTGTCCCCTTCGGGGTTGAGAAAGGTGGGATACAAGTACGGTAAAATAAATAAACAAATAAATATTCCAAATATTTTTTTAAAAGCTTTACTGTATATACAGAGGCATATGACTCATACTTCAAAATATGGATAGAAATCCTGCATTGGGTGATATATGTGCCCCACAAAGCTTTTGTAATATAGGCTTGTGAGGCACGTATGCATTCCAATGCAGAATCCCTTCTTCGAAACCCACCTTATGAGCTATGTGGGGCACCCTCCATAAGAATAATTTCTGAGTTGTCAGATAGTGAGGAATGGATCAACATTAATCTATTTGCTCTTAATTGGATGTGCTGGAATATATACTTGCAGAGATCATGAAGGATCCATGGGGTACCCCTCAGTTATGTCCTTGTAGAATTTCCAACTAAAGGAAAACATGGCCGTGCAGCCTGGAAAACTCACAACAACCCAGTGATTGTGGCCATGAAAGCATTCAACAACACATAAAAGGAAAATAGTATAACACATTGTCACTTATATCTTCACTCTCCAGCAACCTAGAAATGGTGATGATGCAAGACTTAGAAGGTATTTTTTGGGATGGGCAGTTGGTCATTGGCTAGAATAGAATTTTGAATTACCAAAAAAGTAACTTACGGTGGCTAAATTGGAATAAATATCTGCTCATGAAAATCTGCTCAGAAGTCCCACTGAGTCACCTTAGAGTTAACTAGTGAGCAAACTCTATCTAGAATTGGAGTCTTAAAGGTTGTAGTTTGCCATACAAATAAATCCAGATAATTAAAACTAGTAAGAAAGAGCTCATATGACATGCATATCTGGGAAAAATAGACCAAGTCTTTTCCTTTGGCTTTTCTCCTTTATTTGTCTTTGCTCCATTAAGCTCTTTGGAAATGAAACACAAAACAAAGAGACATTCTAAGGTTGAATATTAATTTCAGGTCAGAAATGTAATTCTTGCATTGAGTTTAGTTAATTCTAGAAGGAGAATTTGGTTATTCTGCTCAGATCCTTGCACTGTAGGCAATTTCTTTTAAAACACTCTCTGTAATTTAGCACATATCACTTTAGTAGAATTAATATCTTCATCATTTAATCTTGAAATGGGACTTACGTATTCTTTACTTTTGTGTCATCAAATGCAACTGCAATATGACTGTTCCTTGATAGACCAAACTGTTTTGCCCTTTCCAAGGCAATTGGCTCCATATCCGCAGCACAATGTTCCTGCAAAGCAAAGTGCTCTCATAATTTTTTCCTCATGCAGTATTCACAGTTTAAAATGGTCCTCTCCTTGTTGACTCTCTGTGGGCAGGGAAGTACTTTTTGTTCTGATAGATTTTGAGCACTGAATGTTTGTACTTTAAAAAAAATCAGTTCAGTTACTTAGTTATAAAAAAACTAAGTTATAAAAAAACTTAGTTATAAAAAAATCAGTTCAGTTACTTTGTATACTTAACTAAGGAGAGTCTCCTGGTCCAACTCCCTACTTCTGCCTTATTAAGCAGCAAATGCTGTGATTGATGGAAGTCTGTTCTGTTGACTAATGCAGCACACTGGTGTTTTTACCCTCTTCTTGTGAGCACTCTGGTGTGAGATTCAGAAATCCCTATCTAGAATAGATATGCTATTTGATAATTCCTATCTACTCCCTAAAATATCACCTCAATTGTGAATATGCAGGGATTGTGAATACAAATCTGTTATGGATGTATAATTTCTAAGCCTGTGTTGTGTGTTTTAAAATGTTTTAGTTTAATTCTATTGTGTTTTTGCTTGTATTTGTTTTAATTTGTAAGATGCCTTGCATCTTGGTTTTGGTGAAAAGATGGGGTATAAATAACTAGGTAATAGCTTTCTGATAATATTATCTAACATATAGACTGGAATATTCTATGCACTATCGAAATTTGGGGTTTTTTGCTCCCTTATTGCTCCGGAAGTGGCCGTCTGATTTTCTTACCAACCCATGTGAAGAAGATTGCTCACACAAGGGGATGTGTGTTGAGGACACCAGAAAACCACATTCTGAGTGACTCCCACTGATTACAGTGGACTTGAAAGTGGGTCCTGTGGGATTTTGACGGTCCTTATATTCTCTAAATGTGGGATATGTAGTGAATATGTAACTCTGATGCTCTTTTGTAACAATATGATTCCAGTCTTAATTCCAATAATTGCTCTCATAATGACATATACATAATAATAGATAGCTGCAAAACAAAAACAAAAAACTAGGTGTATATGATAGTGAGAAGGAGGCCTATAGCCTTAACATGGTTCTTTTATCATATCCTTATAAAGAAGACAAAGTGTGTGTAACATGAGAAAGGAAAGGTGGAAGGGCAATAAAGGCTTCCTTGTAAATGTATTCCTGATACATGAAATTAATTAGAGCGATTTCAATATAATGATCTTTGACCTTGTGAGTCTAGTAAAATCACCAAAATGTACCAAAGTAAAATATTTCTTAACACTGTAAGTAACAGATATTCCAGAAAGATAATGCTATGGAGCAAAATCAATCTTGCTGTAATTATATTTTTATTTTTAAACATGTTGTTTAATAGCCCCTGAGTTATCCATATCTCCTCTGTGCCATTTTTATCCCAGTGCAGCAGAGATCTGTAAAAATGCAAGATGCAAAATTTGCTTTATAAAACATTTTAGAGCTATTACAAATGATACATTAGGATCATTAGGAGAACAAAAAAAATTCTTTAAAGAGAAATGTTCTTTTCTTTGGGGTACCAAAAGCATTACTTTCCATGCTAAAAATTAATAAAATGATTTTTTTTTAAAAAAATAACAGTCAGGAATCAGGTTTTAAGTTGTATATTGGAACAAACATAATCTTCTTAATCCACTCCTAAGGTGTACATAAAAGAGAAAGACAGAAGAGGTGAAAATATTAAGGCACATCCAGACACAGTGTTTTCTTTGGTAACTGATTCTCTGAAGCAAATTATGGGGTATTTAAGAGCCAGAGGTTCAAAGCACTAATTACAGTCATTGCTGCAAATCCAGATAGATGAGCAAGGTTTCTATGGACTGCTACCAAGTCGTACATGGTAATATTCAGTTTACTCCCCGGTGCCAAATAGAGAAGATTTATTTTCCTTTGAGAGATTTTCTTTGAGGTTTCTTAATCTGGTTTGGCACTATGATTGGACCATAAGACCAAACCAGGAAGATGTCTGGAAGAGCCCATTTACAAATGTGTGAGGATAGTCCTTCAGCAACTGATCACTGACAAAGAATATATGCTTCCCTCACCCCATACATCTCCTGGCTACTCCAGAAAAATAAATACATATATTTGTTGGACATGGGCAAAGAAATAAGATAAAAAGAGACTTGCTAAAGCCAAAATGGTATTAAATATTAGAGTATATCCAGGTGACCAAAGGGAATAGTCATGGGCATTCAGTTCATAATTCCTGATGAAATGTGTGAATACAATTCTTTAAAAGGTTATAATCTTGATAGGACATATAACCATGAATACTACAGAGCTGCTATTGAAAGGAAACCTTGAAATTAATTCTTTTAGCTGATATCCTCCTGTTTGACAGGAAATTGATACCTGCAATAGAGCTTTTTGAGAAAATGGGAAGACGGCTGTTTGACTATCTCACACCATTTGTCCACAGACAAAAGTTGCACTACCAATGAAGTGTGTGTGGAGTGAAATTTAGTAACAAAGGAAGAAGATAACATCACTGAAATAGCACTGCAGTTCATCTACCAGTGTTAAAGAAAACCAAAACACAATAATGCGGAAAACACAAGGAGATACCATCACAGTGTCAAGGTCAGCTGAAATGCTGGCACTCTTCACTTCAGCAGCAAGCAAATCCTGAGAAGCAGTAAACAACATGAGGCAGAAGTGGCAATCATTGATTCGGTCTCACAAAACATGTTACAGCAGTTGTTGCAGAGAGGGATCCATTGTAGGAAGCTTGCTGTTTTGTCTATGACTTTTGAAAAACCCCGACTCTATTTGAAGTTCAAAATGAATTTTGCATGCATACCTGCATTAAGACCACATTTCAATGTTTCACAAATGTAAACTTGGAAACATGATCAAGTGTCAGAATTTGGCCAAGATGGCAAAAGGGAGGACACAGATAGGAGAGGGAATAGCATTTGGCTTTTGCCTGAGTCTACTGGGAAGGATTAAATCCTACACCTTTTCTCTCTTTTCTATCCTGTTGAGCTAACTGAGTGAAAACCACTTAGAGTTCAATTTGCAGCAATTGAACATAAGATGAGGACAAAGGAGGAAAAAGACAGGAAACGAGAGAAACTAGGACCTATTAAAAGTGGCTGAAAAAGTGGGATAAAGCATCATATCCCTGGGGTTGATCCCACCAAATTGGGACAGCTGAAGGGTATGCAAGCCTGCAACATACAAAGCAGTATAGCAGAGAAAATAACTAGTAGCTGAAAAAAATTAGAACCCAAATGTACCTGCAAGGAATTATGCCAAAATGATTAACACACCAGAAAGTAGTCAGAAGAATGACCTAAGATATCCTTGTCTCAGATTTTGCAGCAGAGTAACTGATCCTTTAAGCTGCTGAAGATTAGAATGCATTACCTGGTCTAATTAAACACATGTAAATATGGAAATTCTCCTGTATTTAAGTTTGCCAAACCAATACCAGTGCTTGTAATATACATATAAATCTGCTAACATTGGTCATTAATCTTGAAAAGATAATTATACATTATATTCATTATTTCAGTAGTTCTGTTAGCTGTAGCAACATAAGAGCAAAAGAAAAAGAATTTCCTACAGAAAGAGCAACATACTTATTCAAACAGTGGATGAATTCTAGAGATCAAATCTATTTAATGCTTAAGAAAGACAGGCACCAAGAATCAAAGGGACAGTCATGATTCTTATTTGACAAAATGAACTCGGTGCTATCACCTCAACATAAAGAAAAACTTTACTGATACACCCTCAAACATTGCTTGGATACTGTTAGAGGTATTTGCCTTCAGAAAACCTAGTTTGCTGCAGTTGGAATTATATTGAATTACAGTGGTGGATTTCTCCCATCACCATTCACTTCTTGGATCATTCTGGAGGATGGAATTCTCTTCCAACCATACAATGACTAGAATCTCCCTTAAAACCTCATAAGTAGTGCAGTCCCCAGTCTCAAAATGGCCATGTCCGTGTTGTTAGACAGCAGGGGGATCAGTAGAGGTGCATCCAGCTGCATCCAGAAAGCAGTTGGGTTTTCTCCAAAGATGTCATCTACAGAGACCACTCAAGGACATGTAAAGATCCTTGTAGAAGTTTGTTCAGCTTACAGCAAAACACCTGAAAGCATCATTGATGGTTCCTCAGATAATATAGAAAGTATCTTATTGGTATGGGGTGTGTATGCTTCTTACAAGATGGTTTTTCCCGCCATTGGGAAGAAAATATCGAGAGATATTAGCTACAAAGATGTCACCCCCTGCAGGATTCCAGCCTATAAGTCAACTTTTCAACATATACTAAATCATTATGATCTTTTCTGTATTTTTCCATTAAATAGAGCATAAGGGAGAGAAAAAAAGAACAATGATAGAAACGGAATGTATAAATCTGCTTAACACCAGATTTATACATTCAGTTTCCATTGGTTCATCTTAAATAGTACAGTCTACTGCAGAGATGTGGAAATCTTGGTGCTCTAGTTGTTTTGGCTTCAAGACTCTCATCAGTCCATTCCACTATAGTAAGGGGTTTTGTGGGAATTGTAGCCTAAAACATCTGGAGGGCAAACGTCCCCCACTCTGAATCTGGGTTGAGAAATGAAATAATAATTTCATTTCATATAAGACTCCCTGGTTTATCCATTTGAAGTTAGAATGACTAACATTTTAGGACAGAATCATACTTATAATAAATTTTATCAACACATATATGGCATTTTAAAATTGATTAAGGCTTGAACATTACATTATTTTTCTAAAGAGACATCGCAGCCGAAAGTAATTTTATTACATTCACATCTGACCAGTATCATTGTTATGATATATGTATTAGGCTTGGGCGATCCAGTTTGTTAATTTCGTTATTTGTTATTAATTCGTTTTTAAATTAGCTTACGATCCAATATTGAGCCATGCAGGAATAGTGTGAGGAGTAATTAAGAATCAAAACAATTTTTCCAATTTTTGTAATTATTTCGTAATTATTTCGTAATTATTTCGTAATTATTTCGTAATTATTTCGTAATTATTTCGTAATTATTTTCGTATGTCTGGTGCAAGTTTTACAATCTCGCATTTACCCCACTTCCGGTCCCTTTGCTCTGCTGCTTCCCTCCTCTTTCCTCATGCTTCTTCTTGCCTCACTCTGGGCTGCACTGGGCTACCTTCCTTCCTTCCTTCCTTCTTCCCTTCCTTCCTTCCAGCTGGCAAATCCCACATTCCCCCCTCCCTCCTCTTTCTCCTGGCATCCTTCTTGCCCAAAATTTCTCATTACTTTATTTTTCATACCCTCACTCTATGCCACAGCAATGCGTTGCCAGGTACAGCTAGTATAATATAATATAATATAATATAATATAAAAATATATATAATATAATATAATATAATATAATATAATTAATAATATATAATAATATTATATTATAATATAATATAATATAATATATATAATATAATATAATAATATTATAATAATATAATATATAATAATATAATATACAATAATATAATATTATATAATAATAATAATATAATAATAATATAATATAATATAATATAGTTGTTGTTTGTGTTATCACACCAACAGTCAACAACAGAGGGAGAGGGAAGCTTCAGAAGTTCCCCCTGTCCCATTTGGAGGTTTTTTAGCATATTGCGCAATCGCGTCCGCCATTAACGAATCGATTCGTAATTTTACGAAATTTTGTATATTTCGAAATTTTTAAAAGGAAAATTTCGGAATTATTAAAAAAAACGAAACGCAAGGGCCCCCTAAAAACAAAACGAGTTTAGAACCAAATTTTTCCGTGGTTACCCAAGCCTAATATGTATTACTGCCCAATCATGTTATTACTTGCTGATGAAGATTTTTTTTTTAAAAAAATTGCTGTGAAAAACCAATTGAATCCGCTTTCCTATCATTAACCTTTAACAGCTGACAAATCTATTCTATCCATGTACTAGCAGCTCCTTATATCGTTTAGAGCTGTAAATGAAATGGAAAAGAAATATTCATTTTCAATCTTGTTTCCATTGCAAGCTGGAAGCTTATGACAGTCTAGTTTAAGCTTCAATTTGATTGAAAAGCAGGATCCCTGCTTTTTGCTAGAAAGGTGTGGTTCAACATGTTTGTATCAAAAAGACATGTGTGTGTTTTCTTTAAAAGAACTAGAAAATTTAAAACAAGACACCTTTTTAACTTCCAAATGTTACCCTTACGCCACCTTGTGGGAGGTAGTAAAAAGTATCTCCAGAGATACTTTTCAGGAGTCCACATGGATGACGGACAGAGGACAAGAAGCATCTCTTGTATGTATATAAAGCAATAATAATAATAATAATAATAATAATAATAATAATTTAACTTTATAGCATATAGTATAATGTTATATATTGTTCTTGTTTTTTGCCTTTAAGTCACTTCCATCTTATGATGAACATATCATGGGGTTTTCTTGTCAGGATTTATTTAGAGGGAGTTTGCATTTGTATCTTGCCCAAGGTCATCCAGTGGGTTTCCATGGCTGAGTGGGGATTTGAAACTAAATCTCCAGAGTCATAGTCTAATGCTCACTACACCACATAGACCCTCAATTACACACACACGAAAATATGTATGTATGTATTTATGCACATACCTACATGGCTTGATGGACCTGGACCAAATTTGGTACACATATCCTTCATGATCCAAATTGAAATGCTGGTGGGGTTTAAACTAACAAATCTACTCCTTTCTGGACCAATGCCTCAATCACAAATATTGGGTCAGGTAGGAAGCTTCTCATGGGCTCCTGCTGCTCCTGCGACATCTCAAATCTTGTGCATTCAGATTAAGGAATGCCCTATTCCTTCTCTCCCTGTGGTGGGTACATAGGGGGCCAGTTTTCTGGGCTCTTCCCATTCCCACCAGATCTGGAGAGGATGCATGGGGCTTCTTGCCTGACCCTAATTCAGGGTAGGGTTCAGAGCCCTGGGCCAGAAGGGGCACTAGGGCCAGAGGGACTGCGTGGTATAAACGACGAAGGCAATTTGTGAAGGCAAGATGATACCTCTGGGATGTTGTGGATATTTTTCTTCACTTCTCTCATCAAACCTTCCATAAAATTGTGACACAAACAATGAGTATTTCTAAGAAATACCATTATAAAATGAAACACTGGGCATATATGCTAGCTAAATATGAACATATATAATAATGTCTCAAGATATGCAATGTATGCTTCAAAAGCATGCGTAATGTATTTTGTGCTTTTTTAGTTGGCCCAATAAAGGTATCACTGTTTTGTAGATTTTGTATTTCATTGTATGGCCAACATAGCTACCCCTAAATATGTTTCTTGGATTTGGAGATACTGAATATAATCTTTAAAAAGAAGGTATGAACACAGCGGAAGTCTTTGAGGTTTCTGTCTTCATCAACAGTAACTTTTATCTATTCTGCACATAAGTGTTTTTTCCAGATGCAACAGTACAAGGGCATCTTGATAAATTCAGGGTTCTCTTCCCAAGAAAAGGAATGTTCTCTTCCTAAGAAATGAGCAGTCAACCCTGCACAGAGCAGAATTAACCTGGATTTCAATGGAAATTCCTTTGCTGCTGCTAACAGATTTGAATTCTTGCTGTCTGTTTTTGTTTAACTTTCCCAGTTGGCCAAGAATGTCTCAGCCTGCATTGAGGTCTTTCCAGGGATAATTGAATTGAAATAATATTTGAGACAATATGTAAGCCTGCTACTCTAACAACATCATTGCTCTTCTCCTGTATTGATTTTTTAAAAACTTTTTTGTTTTGTTTTATGAAGAAGCAAATAAAGCTCCAAATGCTTGCATTATATATTTTGTGCATTTTGGTTGGCCAACGAAATATCTGATTTGGATTTTGATATATCAGTTTTGGATATATCAGTTTTGGATTTTGAAATATCAGTTTTGGATTTTGATATACAATATGGTAACTATAATGGACTTGAAAAGGAATTGGCTTGATTTTTCTATAGTGATTTCTGGAAGAGTAAATGATGAAAGGAGCAAACAGATGCCAAGCTTTTGTCACTGGACACACAGAGAGAGAGCAACGTTTGCAGTGGTGACCTATAATCACGTCTGTCTTTTGAAGGAGAACACACAGGGTAATGGGATTCTACCCTGTTTCCCTTTAGACGACAGGTTCATACATTAGCCGCCTCACAGAAAAGTGAAAAATTGCTCCCATTTGAAAGGTGGCACAGGTACAAATATGATAGTGAACTCCATTTATTCTTTATCACACATAATAGGGCCAAAGCTACCTTTCTACTGGTGGCTTTAGCCACAAAATCAAACACTTTATGGAAAGATGATTCCCATGTGATAGAGTATCACTAAAATATTTAGGACAGGCCTGCACAACCTGTGGCCCTCCAGGTGACTGGAAAACCAACTCCCACGTGCCCTAGCCAGCATGTTCAATGGTCAGGAATTTTGGAAGCTAAAGTTCAAAACACCTGGAAGGCCACAGGTTGTGCAGACCTGGTTTAGGACATAGTCTGTTAGCTAAAAGAGCCAGTGTGGTGTTGTGGTTTGAGCTGAATTATGACTTTGGAGACCACAATTCAAATCCTTGTTTGGCCATGGAAACCCATTGGGTGACCTTGAGCAAATCACATTCTCTCAGCCTGAAAGGAAGGCAAACTTCTGAACAAATCATGCCAAGAAAATCCAGTCATAGAGTTACCATAAGCTGGAAATGACTTGAAGGAACATAACACGCTAGCCAACAGGTTTTTCCCCACCAAACTTAGTGGACCATAGTTTAGTCACACTGATATGGATAGGACTTAAGCATGATGAACTCTCTCTTTATTTGGCCTTTGCTGTTTTTCTCTCCGGAATGCTACAAACAATATGCTTCCAGTGGCAGGTTAAGGCTATACATAGCTGATTTGCCAAGTAGTAAGTAAATTATTCCAAGGAACAGCAAATGAACCATCACCATATAATTCTACAGGTTCTTAGCCCTGTGTAAGAATGAATAATTAAAAACCATATAATTGAGTGATAGAAACAAATCAGACTTACAGGTAAAGGAGGGAAGGGCAGTGGAGGAGCAGAAGTTGCACTTGCTTTCTTTTCTTCTGTATCTGGTTCAGGATGGATTACGACTGTTGCACGGGAAACTTCATCTTCATCCTCTTTTTCACGTGGTGGGCCTGAATCAGGGCACTGGCCAATGTCTGCATTTTCAAAGGACACTGGCTGGGCAAAATCCACTGGACTAAAAAGAGGCAATAACAGTGATCATGTCAGAAGGCAAGTTTGTCAACAGATATATTCCAAATGATTAGAAACTTACCTCATCAATTTACATCACACATTTTAAAAAGACAATTCTGCATTCGTTTTGTTCATTATTATGGCAAAGAGCCTTGTGGTGTAGTATTAGAATACTAAAGAAGAGTCTAATACCAATTGATAATGGAGTCACTAAATGACCTAACTGCTCTTCAGCCTAATCTATCTTGCAGGGTTGTAATGACGATACACATTGTTTCATATCTTTAGAGAAAGAACAAGACAAAGATAAAAGGGTCACCCGATGGAGCAATTTCTTATTGTTAATTATAATTAATTATAATTAATTAAACATCTACCTTTCCTTCAGTGAGCAGAACTGTCTTCCTTGCAGCTTTATCCTCACAACCATCTTGCAAGGTAAGTGAGGCTGAGTGACTGACTGAACATCAACCAATGAATATTATGCCTCAGTAGACACTTGGATTTAGATATTTAAGTTTCAGGCCAACTTGGGTCACATATAGCCCCAATTATTTTTGTCTACTCCTGATGCCCTCAGATCCCTAAAAGTGATTTTATTTCACTTCTGGTAGTTCTGGAGGCAGTGACTTTGTCCTGCAATAAATCACAGGTTCTCCCAATCACCATTCCCCACAGTAAAAAACATATGTGAACATCTAGTCACTTCCACTTTGATTTTTAATGCATTCCTTCTCCATATGGCCAAAGGAGGACCCAGGGACCAAAAAACCACCCCCCAGATCTTCAGTGCTGACTATATGGCACTAGATTGGTCTATTCTTTGCAACCAATTTGGAGAAGATATTTAAATACTTAGTGTGTCATGTTTGTTACTGTATAATGAAAATTCTGCCCACTCTTAAGTGCTCCGGTTGTGTAAGGCACAGAAGATTACTTTCAGTTATCTTAAAATGATTTCCTCAAACCTGTGTGCCTCATCAAAAATCAAGCCCAAGTTTAATTTCCAATTATCAGTCACAAAATAAATAATATGAAATGCAAGAAACACAAGAGAAGATTACATAAGATGACAAATAGACATTTTTATCATTTTGGAGATGTTCTCTGCAAAACTGTTCTGACCATATTTTTTACAGTGTGGAAGTTTCAATATAGGATAGCTTCAATTGGATTCTGGCAGGTACCAGTGTCTACTTACACTGCATTGATGAGGAGGTTCCATATGCAGCCATCAAAGGCAGGTATGTTTCTAATTGGAGCAGTATGAAATTCCGGTGGTGTTCCTCCCACAAAAAGCTTCTTCACAGAAATAGGTTGATCTGATGGAAGTCTTTGAGACTGTCTTCTGTCCTCATCTACTTGTATGGCAAACATCCTATTAAAAACACAAAAAGTGAGTTACACAAATACCCGGATTAAATTAAGGGTAAAAGATATTTTTTTGTAGAAAGAAAAGACCTTGTCTGCTTATTGGACATGGGGGCTGGATTCTCTCCTTCCTGCATTTGTCTTGGCACCCAAACTGGTAAAAATCTGGTTTTGTTTAAAGGATGCATTTGCCTGTATCCACTGGATCCATAGTCAAAACTGAATACCATTTTTTAAAAAAGAGGTATCTAAAATTTACATTTGTAAACTTCACTGATGATAGTATCTACCACAGAGGACACAATAAAAAGTTTACTAAATCACATTTTTCTTTAACCATTTGACTAGAAGAGATGGGGTTAAAAAAACAAATAATGTTCCAACTAACTAACCAACCATGACTGTTATTATGGCGAACCTGAAGTCCTCTGCCAATGAAGGCTGGACTCCAGCATAACTACGCTGCCATGAGGTGTGGTTTCCATAAACCTAGTTCTTACAGTGGGAAGTAAACTGTTAAAATTATTTGTTGCTTTCTAACAGATGTAACTTAATGAAGAACTACATCCCTATTATGATGAGGATGAATAGGAGCACTAAAAGGTTTGTGAAATGGTGGGCAAAACAATATAAAGTAAAATGCCTTCTGAATATTAAATTATATCTCATAAACACAGGCTGAGTAACAATATATCAAAAGCCACTTCTAAAAGCAGAACTATGGAACTCTCTGCAAGAAAATTCTTGTCACAAGACATGTAGGGTGCAGACACATTGTAGAAATAATGCAGTTTGAGACTGCTTTAACTGCCATGGCTCAATGTCATGGAATCATAGGAGTTGTAGTTTGACAAGTTCTTTAGCCTTCTCTGCCAAAAAGTGTTGGTGCCTCACTAAACTACAAATTGCAAATTTCCATAGCATGCAGCCATGGCAGTTAAAGTGATGTCAAACTGCATAAATTCTGCACTGCAGATGCACCCTTGGGTAGTTTCAAAGAAGTATCATATATCAATACACATAGATATTAGTAATTACCAGCTATGTCACACTCCATCATCCTTTTGTAGCTGATGAGCCTTGGATATTTTCAGATCCCCACACACCAAAATCATGGCTTTTGCTAATAGACCCAGGACTTACTCTTGGAGCATAGATGGTCATAAAATTGAACAAGTCACATGCTTCAAGTATCTAGGTGTAGTTCTACAATCTAATGGTAGCAGAAGAGCTCATGGGGATGAAGTAGCCAACAATGCGCAGAGGAGCTCAATTGCCATTCTTAAATATCTTAAGACAAGAGGGGGCCACTTTATACCGGCAGCGCTCAAACTGTTTAAAGCTAAGTCATTAGCCCAATTCTTGTATGGCGCTCAGCTGGGCCCCTTCCCCAGTTTTGCTCCATTAGAGCTGGTTCAGTCAAAGTTTCTGAGATTGGCCTTGCAGGTACCTAAATGCATTTCTAATGCCACCCTGAGACTAGAGATGGGCTTTATGAGGGTGGGGGCCAGGGTGTGGTTGGCCATACTCAACTTCTGGCTCAGACTATCCCGTGAACCCCTTGGTCTTGCCCCACTAACGATGGAGGATGACTTTCAATCCACATGGAAGCAGGCGGTAGCATTCAAAATCTCCTCATTGGGACTTTCTCCAGGTCTACTATTAGCTATGGATTACAATCAAGCCAAAGCACTTATTAAACAACGTATCACAGACTCAGAGCGCCAACTAGATCTGGCCTCGGTTCCAACCTTCCTTATCAATGAAGACAGCAGATATCTTGCCTCCCCTATGGCATATTTAACAAACTTAGAGGTTCCTATTCATCGAAGGGCTTTCACCCTGGCTCGATGCCATGCTCTCCCATCAGCTGTACTTGAAGGCCGCTACCGGAAGATCCCTTTCCCAGAGAGACTTTGCCCCTGTGACTCGGGTCATGTAGAAACAATAGAACATGTGCTCCTTCAGTATCTGTTCTATAGGGATATCCGTGCCAGGCTTATCTTACCTCTGATATACAAGCACCCAGGCCTTTCAGGACAATTTTATACCTCCCTGCTACTTGCAGATACTAATTCAGCTACAACCTACAATGTTGCAAAGTTCTGTGCAGCAGCATACAAAATCCGTCAGGGGATGACTAGTCCCAAAAGTTAACTGTGTGTCCAGTAATCATCTTCCCTTAATCTACAATTTGGTGGTGGATCTGTGCAATGTATGTTTTTACCCTATTTCCCCTTCCACTCCCTCACCCACATTGTACTTCAGTAGTTATATTTATATTTTAATGTACTAAACGTACCAAGTTTGTATGAAAATGTGATTTCTATTTCCTGTGCTGGTCTATAATGGAAATAAATGATTTGATTTGATTTGAGATCCCCACAGGAACTGAAGGATAGAAAGTCTGATAACTCCTGGTCTAAACCTTGGACAGACTGTGTCCTATTTTAAAGTGAAAATTTTATATAGGTCTATTCAATTTAAGCCACAGTGAATTCAATTACACAACTTTCAGGAAACTAGGCATATAATTACAGTTTTAAAGAAATCCGATTGTCAGGACAAGCAGCTAGGATTTCCCAGCTCATAATTTTGTGCCAGAGGAAAGAACAACACCACTCCTCTATTTGCTGTTTCATATATTTGAGTACCAACTTTCCAGCAATAATACATTCTTAACCTTGTCTGAGACTCCTGCAGCTGAAAAACGACATTTCTGATTAAATGTCTACTGATTTACAAAGCCCCCAATTTTATACAAGTTTCCAGAGAAAGTATTTATATACTCAGATACTGAATGGTAGCACACAGTGAAGGTACCTCAGTCCTCATCACTATCTTATAATTATCCCAGAATGGGAAGCAATTAGTTTATAATTATATGGGCAATTAGCTTTCCAAAGAGTGCTCCAAAATGCCCTCTGCTTTTAATAAAATAAAGCCTGCATGATGATTAACCAACGAAAAGATTTGTTTAATAGATTATTTCTGTCCATTTCAATTTCTGCACATTATAAAGAGGAAAGAAAAACAAGTTTGCTGTACATCTGTTTTAAACAAAGGGTTATGGAAAATCAAAAAGGGTGACCCTAGCATGGATTTCCATCCACTAGAGAGTGCTGTAAAAGCAATAATGGGCTGCTGTTAGTAGCCTAACAGCATCCTATGTAACGGATTAACAATGCTGTATGTATACAGCAGTTTAATCATTTTGATGACTTGAAATCATTTGTGCATAACTGTCTGTATATACATCACCACCACCATCATCATTCAGTTCTCGGTTTATTACAAGAGTATTGGTGCCCCCTCTGCAGAAAATATAAACAAACACATTCCAGAAATTTTAAACCAAAGCAAATATTGCTAGGTTTATTCAACATCCTTTGTGAGTGGAAAAGTGTATTCTAAAATAAACAGAGAAATGTTTTGGTTATAATCCTATTGGTAACATATTTATATGCAAATTGCCCTATAGAAGTAGCTAGACATTTTTATATGAGGAAAAAGTTCTGCATTTAGTTCAAGGTTGCCAAGGCAGAGTTGTATACTTGTGAATCAGGTTGTACATCCAGTTGCCATTCAGATATTTATGCTACTTAAACCTAAACCTAAATACAGAAATATCAGGATAGATGGTGATCTCAGCCTATGAATTATTTATAAGCTGATGGGATCAGAAAAGGATAGAGATTGTGACAAAAATGGATTCAACAGGAACAAAAATATAAGTGAATGAATGCGTTTTACAAATATTTCTTAGAGGTGCAACGAGAGGGGGAAAAATCCTAACAATAGAAGTAATCCCCATCTAGCCTCTAAACAAATGTCTCCTTTGGTGGCTTCAAATGAATGCAAAATGAAAATACATATGAGTTACACTTCCATTTCTCATGTACACAAGGGTTTTTACAGTGTGACAGTATTTCTTTTTGCAAAAACAAAAACATTTCCTCAATGCATCAAAATAGACCTTTTTTCCTCCCCCCCCCCTTGTCATTTGTAAACACTGTCTCCTCTTGGGATTGCCTTAGGCCACATGGTGCCCCCCTCCCATCTGTTTGTTAAATTACACCATGCTGGCACACAACCAAATCCAGATCTCTTGAATCAATATGTAGGTTGAAACTTAGCCTCTTGAGCTTTCCAGTGTATTTTATGTTTCTGAAAACAGCAGTACCCATGCAGGGAAGTATATTTTGAGACAAAATACAAAGTTAAAATTATTTTGTTCATGTGTATTTTCTTTTTTTGAAAGTATATTATTTGCCTGCCCACTCCCCGAAATAAGGAGACTGACAGCAATAACTTGGGTTCAAATTGGACAAATTTTATTAAAATTACCTATTTAACTTTTTCTATTCTAACTAGAGTGAGTCTTGAACTTGGTGAGGGGCAAAGCCGAGGTAGCATCCATACCTGGACTACTCCCCGCAGACTTGGGTGAATGACCTGGGTCCCCTGCAAATTTACAACTGGGCAACCTCTAAGGAAACCTGGAGAAGCCTTCCCAACCTTATTGAGGCCAGATTCTCACCAATTTAAGGACAGTTGATTTCACCTCACCCCGTCCAAGTGATCAGCAGGTGAGTGTTTTAGCTACAGGCCTTCACCCCTTGGGTGTACGCCGAATATCCGATCTTCCTCTCTATTTATGCTAACCTATTTAAATGTCACACCATCCCAACTAGCCCCTAAAAGGCAGTATATGGTAGGTGAAAAACCTTCCTAGAACATAGGAGAGGTAAAAATTCCTACCCGGTCCCAGCTAGCAACCATCGATATACTGCCAAAATGGGTGGGTGTGGTGGGTTGCCAAAAGAGCTCAGAATGAGTTAAGGGGGCTGAGCCACATGCTTAGCCCAGCTCCACCCCCAATTCTGGATGTTTCCATGGAAACAACCATTCTCTCTTGGGGGGGGGGGATGGAAAGCTGGATGGAAAGCTCCTTACAAAAAGAATGGATGTCAGGATGGAACTGACACAAACAAATGGGATAGAGAATTGTAAAGTGCCAGATTTCTCCAACATTATCTTTGGCTCAGTGTTGTCAGTTGCAGAAGTGAAGATGTTTGTCCTATTTAGTTTAGCTGTTGAGATCCTGACATCCTCCCAGATAACAGGCCAAGACTCATCCATCCCTACTTGGAGACCTACATTCTTTAATTTTGGTCTTTGTCACCATGTTTTGATTTGTTCTTCACTATGGGATCCCAGAAAAAATGGTGCAGTGTTGTACATAGCTAACTAGGTCAGTCTCAAAAATAGTACATGAAACTAAACTGTACTTTTGTCTGTAGTGTACAGTGGTGGTTGGTGACTTTCATATCATGGGTTCATTGTTTTGTCTCTGTGTTTTTATTTCAGACCCCAAAGAAGCTATTTGAGAATTTTGAACCTATTTTGGGGATGGGATCCAGGACATTGGGCTGTTTGATTGGATTGTTCTTTTAAGGTAAAGGTAAAGGATTTCCCCTGGCATTAAGTCCAGTTGTGTCTGACCCTGGGGATTGTTGCTCATCCCCATTTCTAAGCTGAAGAGCCAGCGTTGTCCATAGATACCTCCAAGATCATGTGGCCAGCATGACTGCATGGAGTGCTGTTCTTTTAAAGTCTGCAATGAAACCTAAAGTTGGTTAACTGTATGGCATGGAATCTGCTGGGCTACCGGTAGTGGAGGAATGACAAACATTGCTAAAGAAACCATACATACACTTTTAGACATAGTCAGTGATATTCATTTTGCATCTATGTGATGGTGGTAGTAGTCTGCATTTTATTTAAAAGAATATATCCTTTAAATAAAAAAAATGAATTAGGAATTTTCCACTGCATTTAATATTCAAGTATCATAATCTCACAAGCTGGCTTTAACTGATGCATCTCAAAGAAAGAATGGAACCTCATCTCAGGTTACCTCCTTCCAAAATATACTCATTGCTTTAAAAGGCTGGTTTATCAGACATTGTGTAAGTACATATCAAAAATGTTTCCCACACCGTTGAGCAGCTACTGAAGGGGAAGGAAGGTAACAAAGGAATAAAGGAGAAAAAGAGCTAGTTTGAAATCTACAAGCATCATAGCAGCACCAACGCATCTAGCAGCTTGTGCTGGCATGAACCAATGTTGCTACTGTATAGCGCAGAGCCAATGCCATTCTTGGACCTTCTTTTCCCTTATTCACCTTCCCCCTTTTCCCTCAACTGCTTCAAAGTTATAGAATGTTGTTCTGCTTCTAAAGGCAGCAATCCTAAACTTTTATTAGAAAAAACTTATTAAATAACTTTTACTTTCAAGCCAATGTGAGTGACATTAGCACTTGATGTTGCTTTTCTTTCTCTTTGGAAGCTGTTCCTTAATATTAATTCAAGATCCAATTCCTCAGCTGCACAAATTACATTAATAAAGTGTATTTGCAAAAAGTATCAAAGGTTAAACATTCCAATTTAGATTAATGAAAATCTTAAGCAGCAGAACCTACGCCCAAGCATGACCTATGTCATAATGAAATCGTCACTGCCAGAAGACGATTTCTAAATGAAAACTACACAGATCCCGTTCTCCTCTCCCCATAACTATAGATGTAAGGCTGGAAACATAGTGTTGCCAATATTCTGATGTATTACCCTGCAAGCCTCTCTATCCAGATGGAGTGTTCTTTGCCATCATGAAACTCGCCAAATTCAGGCTTGATAGTGATCCTGCGTGGGTCTCGTACTCCATTGGAGACATGCACTTCTAGTCGACCTCCATTCAAGAAAACTGCATAATAGGCCTGCAATGAAAACCAGCTTTTTCAGGTGATTTTTTCTTTCATTCTTTCTCAGTGTTCTTCTAACATAATTTCCCAGTACAGCACAACATCTCACTTCATGTATACAAGAAAAGAAGTCACAGCAAAAGCTGTCCTATCTTTTACTATGGTCAACCTGGGCAACTCAATTTAGGTACTGATGACAGTGAAATCAGCATTTATTTCTAATCTGCATTTCAGTGTCACCCTCCATATCTGAAGAATCAGAGTTTCATTTATCTACATTCTGAAATGTTCTAGGTCCTCCAGCATGACTATGATAGTCTTGGCCTGGAATTCCTTCATTTCAATAAGGTTCTCAATTATATGTGGTTTTGCATATCCATGAGAAGCCTGGAAACATATACCGCATTGATACATTTTGATTGACATTTTGTCAAACAGAATCCTTACTTTAGGATTGTATTCCTTGAAAAGAGAGGCAAATTTGCATTGCACCCACTCACATGATCTACTGAAAGACAGCATATTCACAATGTTCACTGTACTCACAATAGAAGTTGTACAAAAGCCTCTCAAAAATAAAGTGTTTCATTTCTCATTAGAAGGAAAATTGCAGTTAACAGAGTGAACTACCACCAACCTTTCCTTGGCTAGGCATTCAGCAAGGCCAGAAGTGGCATCATGGCAGAAGAGGAGTTAGTGCTTCTTTTTGTTTTTCCCGGAATGGACTAAGCTCTTTCCTTCTGCTACTCAGAGAAAATGGCTCTATTTTTTATAATAGTTAGGGTACAGTACTTACATTGACCCATAGATAAATCAATCCATATTTTTTTGGGTTGCTTTCAAAAAATTGAAATTTCTAGACTTATACATGAGTAGATAGGGCACATTTTGTAGATGCAAACGCTAAACATCATAAAAGATACCATGTTTGCTCCCATTGTGAGTGTTCTTAGCAGACACTGATTGATTTGATTTATATATTAGGTATTGATTTTTATGGAAAATGTATGATCTATTTCAGTTTGGCATGCTCATCTTTCTGCATGAATCATCAACATTTAACACATTGTTGAAATTGTTTTCATCTTTAAAAATATTTTAATAAAACATTCATTTTTGTATGCATCTTATTTAAAACTTGCATTTGTATATGCATTTCATTCTAAAAAATATGCATTCTGAACCAAGAACTGTAAAATTAAAGATGTACAAAAAGCGAAGAGAAAACATGACTTTGAGAAGTCCAAACCAAGCAGACCATATGAACCCCTCTCTCATATATCTACAATGGACTAAATCAAACTCTTAATTCCAAATGGAAAACAAACATTGATTCAAAGAGAACTTGGGGAGCCAACATGCATGTACATTGCATTTAATTCAATGGCCCTGCTTATTGGGAATTAGCAAGTAGATTCAGGTCACTGTCTCCTTTTTTTCTTGGCTCCTTCTCAGAGACATTGCAATAACAGTGGAAAAAACTGACTTCCCTTGAAGAGAAGAAATTGGGACTGCCTGAAGCAAGACAGTTGGGAAAATACTATTTTTAGAAGAACACTATATATCAGTGAAATAATATTGTCTAGAATATACTAATGTATAGCTCTGTTATATAGGTCACATATTTTTAAAGTTTGGCTCAGAATGTTGTTTTGTTATTAACTGGGCTCATCATACATCAAAACCTTTTTCAGCAGTTATTCTAAATAATCATTTTTTAAAATTAATTCAATATAGGAGCACTTTCAACTGGGGTAAAAGAATGCTTTTATAGAGCCATTATATGGGTCACTATATGTACCTGTAGATAATGTAGTTTCATGTAAGAGATCCTGTTGCCTATTTTTTTCTACTATTTCTTTAGTAATTAAAACCATATCAATAGCATTTTGAGACAAGATATTATTAAATTCATAGGTGAGCAGATGCTATGCACATATGCTTCAACATCTATAATTAAAAGGAAATTGTGGATGAAATAAATGGATAAATTAGTCTGTTTTATATTAGCTTAATAAAATTCCTCTACCCTAAGGCAAGTTAAGAAAATCTTCCAAAAGAACATTCTGAATTTCTATCTTACTTCAGACCAGATGCAGTGGACATAATTTATTTGGAAGTACAAAATATGTGTCTTCTGCCAATGACATTACTAGAAACACAAAACCAAACAATAACTGATTACAATTCTGTACCTGCCCAGTCTGTCTGCGTTTCCTCCTTGGAGTTGCAGGAATCCCATTAGTGCCAAAGAGAATGATACCCGATTCATTTTTAGTGCTGAAGGACAAGTGGATTTCTGTTCCTACGTCGAGGGAAACAGGCGGAAGCTCCACAAAACCTGGTTTTGGGAAGTTGACTGTGTAGATATTCTGCATGAAAGAAGGGGCAGAATGGAGGACTTGCTTGAAAGAGCAGATCAAATTAAAGAAGGTAGCAGCTTATATTATAAAGTGTTGTACAAACACCTGCTCATCCATTATATCATTCAATGTAAGATAGCATTCAGAAATCATACATTTTAGAATTGTATTTTTTCTCAACACTTGTTAGCTAGAGTTGACAGGTGCTACCTGAGAGACTCATGTGAAAGTTAGCTATGGATCCTTGTCCAAGTCTCTCAACCTCAGCCCACCCTCGGTGGTGCAATGGGTTAAACCCTTGTGCCAGCAGGATTGCTGACCGAAAGGTTGACAGTACAGATCCGGGGAGCGGGTGAGCTCCTGTTTGTCAGCTCCAGCTTCTCTTGCAGAGACATGAGAGAAGCCTGCCACATGATGGTAAAGCACCTGCGTGCCCACGCACAACCTCCTTGCAGATGGCCAATTCTCTCACACCAGAAGGATCATGCAGTTTCTTAAATCGCTTCTGACATGAAAAAGACCTCTAAAAATACTACACAAAGAGTAGATATCAACAATTTTTATGTGTTTGCTTATTTTGATTCATAATTTCTGAGTTGGGTAAACTGCATAGCAATCTTGGTGGTCCAGTTCTCAACCTGTGTGTGCCCAGGTGTTTTGGCCTAAAACTCCCAGAAATCCCATCCCGTTTACCAGCTGTTAGTATTTCTGGGAGTTGAAGACCAAAACATCTGGAGATCCACAAGTAGAAAACCACTGTTTTAGAGGAAAGGCTTAGCCCACTCTTGCTTATTGCGGGGGGAGGGGGGTTAAGCCCACTGGCACATCCTCCCAATCCAAGGGTTCAAGAGTGTAATCCTGGTAAAGCAGGCCAAACACCACTTTACTTGGGTCAGGCAGACTGGTGTTAAGCAGCCATGCACATTTTATAAAGATGGAACTTCATTTATTTGTCCTCATTCAATCTTTGTAACTATCAATTTACTATCCACAGAGCTTCATATGAATAGCAAAAGCTCTCTCCCTCACTCATTTCATATTGTCTTCATTTCAATTATAACTAAATATCTGCTATGTCCTCATTTTGCATGCCCTTGCCCTGCTGCTGAGCGATATACATTACACACAGGGAACTTCAGCTGTGATGTTCATTTTTGGATAAGGATTTAATTTTTTCAAACCAATATTTTATTGTTATTTAAACCCAACATTTCCCTGCAGTGCAGTTCACTTGCACTTTTAAACCAATCCACTTATGTATTAGGTTTCTTTATTTGTCATTGCTTTATTATCTGAGGTTAGAGCAGCACTTCAGCTGGCCTGGCGAGCCCAACTCATAAATAATGCATGTAATGTACTTCCCAGGGCTCTCTGTGCTGCTTCCCACCCACACTGGGAGATATTAGAGTCTGCAGAAGAGGTGCTATATGTCACCAAATAATGAATCACCATTTTCATATGAGACTGCTTAAGCACAGCCAAAGTGTAGAATGATTTCAGATGATGATTAGGAACCATTCTATGCCTGAGCTGCCAAGGACTGCTTCTATACCAGCATCTGAAATGAACCGGTCTCATCTTGGAGCAATGCCTGGAAGATTCCACCATCTGGCAGTTAATGCTTCTATGTAACTGTTTCATAGTAACGCTTAGCAGCACTATCCTATCATTAATCAAGGTGAGATGGTTGCTTCGGACACCAAAGCTTGGGTGTCACGAAAAGTAGTAAATTGCTATCTTTTTACTATTACAGAAGCTGAAATATGTGTAGGGGTTTATCTTGGCTTTCCTGGGTAACTTGGCTTTCTTGGGTATATGCCATGACTTTTAGGAGCCCACCATTCCTTGCTGTTCCTCAGGCAGTAAAATGTCTTTGGCCAATTTTTAAAAATGATTATCTTCTGTTCTTTATCCTAAGAATCAACATGGTTTAATGGCTAAATGTTGAACTGTGACTATGGGAGTGTATTCAAATCCCCATTCATGGATACCAACTAGGTGACCTTACACAACCCACACTTTCTGAGCCTTAGAGACAGGCAATAACAAAGCCCTTTTGAATAAATATTGCTAAAAAAAACCCCATGGTTGGCTAAGAAATTAACAACAATAAGAGCAAGTATTTTGCTGTCAGGACATGATGGCTCTCTTCACCTGTCTTGATTATTAACATAGCTTATTATGCCAATCCTACAATACAGTCAGCCCCATGTATGCACAGATTCTGTATCCATTGATTCAACCATCCATATTTTTAAAATAATCCCCAATCACAGACCGTGATTTTGTCATTTTATATAAGGGACACCATTTTACTGTGCCATTGTATATAATAGGAATTGAACATCCATAAAGACTGATGTTAGAAGAGATTCTGGAATCAACCCAAGTGGATACCAAGGACCCACTGTGTATGTTTTTTCATCAGCAACTGATGCTCCAGGAATGAACAATTAATTATGTTCAACATATCAGAGAAGATGCTCCAAGAAGCATCTATAACTATTTGAAAATTTATATAAAGGGCTGCATGGGAACTTATGAGATTGGAAGAGTCATAATGGAGAAACTCTTGGCTACCATACATGTGGGATCTTTCTTTTTTCCATGATTCTGGTCAGCTTGTTCATGAAATATGAAGTGATCATTACTAGGATACTTGAGAAAAGTCAAATAAGAGAAACTCACCTCTAATGCACAACCCTTGGTAATGCCAACATAGTCAGGACTGCTTAGAAGATTATATGGTGTCCTAGAAATTTCAATATCCTTGAGGCAGCCTGCATACTTTCTTGTGTTTACTTCAGGTCTGCAAATAGAAAATGAAATCAGATTTATTCTCCAATTAAAGCCAATTCTAAGATTCTAGAAAGTACAACAATACTAAGGTCTTCAGAAAAATGCTAAAGCAGTTGTCTACAATTACTTTTTAAAACAAACTCACCCACTACAAAGAAATTTAAAGTAAATATTATACTTTTCTACTCAGAAGAAAGCCCCAATATGTTCAAAGAGCCTTACTTCCAGTTGTAATTATACTATAGCATTTCTGCTGTCATGGTAATATTTACTTTCTATGCTCCCAATTTCAATAGAAAAAACAACATGAAAGAAATTACCCAGCTAGTAACAGTATGCATATTTTTGTGTTAAGTCAAAAAGATGTTATTGCTGTTTTTGCATCCTTTGTTTAACTTGATGCAAATTCATCCATGAAATATGCCATTTCCTTTACGCTGAAGCAAGGTACTTTTGTTCCCATCACAAAAGATCTCCATATCTGTTTTATGATAATAAGAGCCATCATTTGGGTTTTTGAACCCTTAAGCATCCAACATTTTGGTTGGAACTTTTGGGAACAGAAGTTTAACAACATTTGGAGACCCAAGATTGTGAATCTCTGGGAAAATCAAAGCTTCTGCTGTATACTGAATGCTTGAATGATTGAACTATATCAGTAAGGAAGCACAAGCTAAACTGTAGCCTCTGGGAGAATCACTTGTAGTTGATATTTTCCAACCCTGGGCTACAGTTTTTTAAAAAGTGATTTAGCAAAAATATAACACAGGACCCAAGCCACCACATCCACCGTGAGTGTTGATCAGATTCTTTTTGCTATACTCTGTCTTGGAAAAGTTATTTAATTAATGTTGATTTTTCTTGAAACAGTACCCTTCCTGTACACAGTCGTTAATCCTTCATATCAATTGTCAATGGACTTAAAGACTGAGATTCTTGAGGTATCATCTGACCAACTTACCTACCAAGTAAGATGCACGCATGCAAACAGAAATACAAAACATGGGTATTAACATGAGAAAACAGAAATGTACAGTTTATATACCCATATAATATCTTAATTGCACAGAAATAGAAAAATATAGCTTAACAATATATGCATTTAAAGATAGAAGGGTTTTTGCTGATTTTTTTTCTTTTTACTGCATTGTAGCCATCTCAGCAAAGCATAGCATGTCCACCTGAAAAGCTGCAAATATTTGAATATGTATAATAATTGAATTGAGAATCCTCATATTATTTTACCACACCAGACCTATAATGCAGACATTTTTGGTTTTACATCCTTCCTGTGGATGCCAAAAGAGTTAATAAAACAAGTCTGAGGATGGTGAAAAGTACATATATCTTTCTAGTTTGAAAATATTTGTGCTTTATCTCATACACTGTATTTACTTCATACCATGGCCTACAACACCAGAACTGTTACCTGTTCTGAAAATAGATCAGCCTTATCAAGTAATATTTAGTAGAGATTCAGGACACTGAGGCTAAAATTAAATGTTGAAAAAAGCCTTTTCCCCGAACCCAAAGTCAGCTGGGGTAGGTTGCATCTCAGCAAACACTTGAGCCAAGAAATGTTGCTTGGCTCTTGTTGATCTTGACATTTCTCTCCAAGAGATAAGCTTTCCTAAATTCTTCTTTCTTTCACAGGGAGAAGCTATATGGACACTTTCCCCCATGTTCCATGTAGATTCAAAAGACAATTTTGAGGACTGAGATTTGTGAAGGAACTGAAGGCAAAAGGATTAACTGTTTTTCATACACATGTGTTTGCACGTGTCCCCCCACACATGGCCAAAGATAGAAAAGGAGGGGGTAAAAAGAATCACAGCATTCTTTGAGTCCCAAACACAATGCCTAATTCTTCCATATTACTCAAGTGGCATTAAACAAACTTTGTGATGCTGCTGTATTTTCAAGTCTTAAGCACAGAAAACTCTTACTTAAGCACTTCTTGAGAAGAAGTTCAAAGAGTTTGCTTCTGTCACTGCAGAGGTGATTACAGTATGCTCTTTACTTATTTAAAACACTCAACTGCAAAAGCTACAGTGGCTTACAGAGATCAATGGTAGGAAAGTCCTTGCCCTTAGCCATATAATATTAATTTACATTCTAGTTAAAACTTTAACTTAAATTCTAATTTTAATTTTGTATGAACCCCATCTGTAGGATCCATCTGCAGGATACAGGTCCTAAGAAAGAACCATGATTCTGTTTGAGGCAATGGACAAAATATCAAGGAGATTGGTGATCACCCTTTCAAGGGTTTTCTGAACTCCACATATGCTATCTCTTTAATTTGGTGTTTTGATTCCATGCTCCATACAAACTGGCTCAATTTGTATTAATCTGTATAGCTGTATGGAATCTTCTAGTAAAATGGCAGTAAACCTCTGAATATCAGAGGTGGAAACAACCAGCCGAACAAGGTGTTCAAATCCATGTCCTTCTTCTTGGCCAGTTCCAAAACACACTCTATCTTCTTGACTAGATAGGCTTCTGGTCCAATTCAGTAACACAATTTAGGTTTCAGAAAATGTATGTGCCAAAAAGAGACAACCCTCTGCCTTGGACTGAATGATAACTCCAATCTGATATCCTGTAGATACGTTGTACCACTGTTTTAATCATTCCAAGCTGGCAGGAGCCATGGCTGGGGATTCTGGGAGTTAAGGTTAAAAAAATCTTGGGCTAGAGAGTATTTTTTCCTCACTGTGCACAATAACAATGGAACATGTTTGGATATTTTTGAGAAATGAATGATAGTCTCCAAAGATGATTTTTGAGGAAACAAATGGATTCCCTTCAGTTACTTGGAAAATACATTTTCTAAAAAAACATATTTTGTGATTGACACTTTGTTCTCAAAGTTTTCCAAACATGGCTCAGCTGCTAATTTGTTCCATGCTGAGAAAAAGTCCAAACGATTTTTAAAAAACTACACAAACTGTATGTAGATCCCCTCTGCTCCACCCTTTTCCCCAGTAGGATCCTGATATGATTAATTTAAAATACAAAGAAGGAAAAAAGCAAGCCCAACACAGCAAGCTGTAAACAGCTGTGTGAAGATGCTTACTAAGTGTTTTGTTGCTGCAAGTGTGGGCGCAGCGTGAGGCAAGGCTATGTTAAGCACTTAGGAATAGCTTGATTTGCTGCAGCAGAATCTCTTGCTGAATGAACAACTCCAGAGCAACAGCTGGAACAAATACAGACACAAATTGCTTTTTGCTTTGCCACCTGTTGCAAGCGGCGCTTCACCCATGCAAAGCAGAAAGCATGCAAGTGCTGATTTAAATTGGATATTGTTTACCTTGATTTCATACTAGGATAAAAAAATGAGAGAGAGAGAGAAAGAGGGGGAGAAAAGAACCAACACAGAATTTAATTTACAGTTGTAATACTTTAAAAAACAAACAAAACAAACTGCATTCCTGCAAAAGTCCTGTAACAATTTCTCATTTTTAAGACTATATGGTACTTTAATGCACACATATATAAAGAATACATTTTCTTTGTAATAGATATACATGATTTTTTTTTAAAAAAAAACTTTTACAAGGAGATAGATTTGAATGTCAGACAGTACTTGTCCATGTAGACCTCATGGAAGGAATCCTCAAAGTGTATAAAGATTAACAGAGAATACAATTGATAACTTTTGTCCTTCCCATCTTGATGCAGTGGCTGAAAATAGCAGGAGCTATATCCTAGAAGAGGGCAAGTATGTTAAGAATATCTCCTGTGCTGCTTCCACCTATTTTAACATTTCCCCTGAAGATTGAGGTTACCTTTCTTATCAAAAGAGAATGTAAGATGCAAAGGAAGACCTACATTATTGCCGTTCTCTTCAAAGGTAGAACATGAGCCTGCTAGGTTCTCCTATGTCTTACCTATCTGTCTCCAGGTAACTGTTCTGACCATCTGCACTAGCAGTTTTGCCAGACTGGAAACTGTAGACAGCTTTGGCACCTTTAATGGTTGGAAAGAAGAGGGAAATTCAGCAGGTGTTGCTTATCATGCAACCAGGTAATAAGCAACACCTGCTGAAATTCGGTCTTCTAAACAACCTTTAAAAGTAAGAGGAACCAGCTCCAATTTTTACTCTGCCAACTCTACGTACTAATGGGAGATCACTCATCATGAGATGAATGGGGGTAAATCCAAAATCACTGGACTTTCTCCAGAGAGGTGACTAATGAATTCATCAAGGGAGCCAACTGGCTAGGAGAACAGAGAGCCTCTATGACATGTTTCCAAGTTAATTGGCACAACTTACACCTAAGATATTATTTTTCAATGTGTGACAGAGGGTTTAAGTATGGCTAGACTTTTATTGATCAAATGGATTTACTCTTTAAATGCTTTTACATTCTTTTAAAAAAAGCATAGTTCATGTTAACCCAATGACTATTTTAAGCAATATTTTGTTTTCATCTGTGTTGTTAGTCTTTGAGTCCCATACTGGGAGAAAGGCAAGATAATAAATAACATAACCAAGGTGGTGCAAAATTAGACATAATTATCAAGGGTTGATATACAGCTATATCAATGTCGATATATTAGTCAAGTGGTCTGTGACCAAATTCCATTTGGCCTGCCAAGTATATGACTTGTTCCCTCAAAATGTTTGAATATTGTAGAACAGAAAGCTGGGTTTTGGAACTGCTGCTTTCAAAAGATGTTCAATCCTGGGGACTTTATATGAGTATGACTGTGAAAAAATAAATAGACAAATTCTCCTTCTTCAGCCACTATCATCACCACTATCATAATACAGGCAGTCCCCGAGTTACAAACATCAACTTACAAATGATTCATAGTTATAAACAGATGTGAGGCAACAGGAAGTGAGAGAAATCTACCCCTCAGAAGGGAAATTCACTCCTGAAACAGTTATCAAGGGGGGAAAGTGTCTCAATTGAAGCTTTATTACCAATCTTTGTTTCCACAGTAAGCCAAGTTTTTCAAAATCCAATTATCACAGGGACAGGAAATGAGGTTAAATCTTCTGAATTGGGGCATAGAGAGCAAAAAACAAAAACAAAAAACAACCACACAGGGTGTTACTTCCCTGTGCTATCCAAAACTAAATGATATATATTTTTGGTTGGAGTTACACTTTAAAAATGTGCCTGTTCTGACTTTCAAACAAATTCAAATTAAGAACATACTACAGAACCCATCTTGTTTGTAACTTGGGGACTGCCTGTACTAGAATTGAGAGGAAGTTTTAAAGCTTACTGGCAGTATTTTCAGGACTGGCATTTTAATTAACAAAAACACAAAATTCAACAGTACAACAGGGCTGTGAAAAGACACTAGCCTTCGTAACTCTATGTAATTCCCTGATCCTCCTTGTTAAAGATTTAGGTTGCTGCATATGTATTCTCACTCTTTTGAATAGAGAGTGTTAATTTAAGATTTCTCAAAAAAGAAAAAGAATAAAGGTTAGAGCAGATGACAAGCAAACAGATGTAACAACAATCATAATGATGTGCTAACTACAGTATCAGCCTTACTAAACAACATAAAGCTGCTTGGCTCTGCAGCAATCGGTTTCTTCCTTATTCCAGATCTCTTTGCATAGGGTCAAAGTGCACTTAACTCTTATTTTTGCATGATATAAAAAAGTATGGCTGCCTCTTTCATACCATATTGCACTTTGTAGTACAGTGATCTTTCCCTTGCCAAAATGTTTTTGTAAACATCAATACAAAGTTCTAGAGTTTATTTTGTATTAGGTAAATGCTCATTAAAGCCCAGGACCTAGTCTCTGAGCCTTAAACAAGCCTTGAAAGTGTAACATAATATATTTTATATAAGATAAAACTGATAATGAACTCTTCATATGAGCAAGAAAGTCAGTGCTAGGTTTATATGTAAATATTCAAAAAGAAAGATATATTGCATAAAATGTGGATATATACACATTATCTTCCATGACCCCATTTCTTTAAAACTGGCTCTTGCTTTTCTTGGACAAACTAAGGCTAAACAGATGTTAAATGTAATAGGGATCCCCTGGGAGGAGTAAGGTGTTTCTTATAGCTTTTAGGTTCCTTCCATTATTCTCTTCTCCTATAACACTATTATACAAATTTTCAGTTTTTCTCAGTTGCGGAAACGAAATGTGCTGTTTCTTAATAAATTTAACATGCTGAATTCAAATATAATAATTAAATGTGTTAATTGGCTCTGGTTTTTATGCAACAGCTATTTCAATGTTCTCCACAATAGGTAATTCGTTAATATTATGATAATGCGCCTAAACTTACTGCATGTATATAAACTGTGAATATTTACTAAATGTTAGTCAAATTATATTGCCAATAGTTTATACATGAGAAATATTTATTTAATTAGTCTATTGTTTATGTTTGTGCAGCAAGAAACTATATTAGTAGGCCTAATGCAGTTGAAAAGTCTGAAAGTTTAAATGTCGCTTTAATCGTGAATTTAGTTTATATCCTGTTTGCTTCTCTTGACTTTTCTTTTGTATTCAAGGAAAGGATTGTCTCTTACAATGCTCCAGCAGTAGTCTGACAGCATTGACGGAGTCCATTTGCCTTGATATCTTTTTTCATAGTGGCAACTTGTTGATGGAAACTCTCACCATGCTCATCGCTCACTGCCCCACAATTTGATGGAAAGAAATCCAGATGCGAGTCAAGGAAATGAATTTTTAATGATATGTTACATCCAAGACGATGGTAGGCTGGGAGTAGTTCTTCAACCACTTCCTTGTAGTTTGATGATTTGTTGTTTCCAAGAAACTTTGATGTTACTGACATGAATGATATCCACACAGCCTTTTCTTTTCCTTTCAATAGAGAAAGAAACTCGTCGTCGCCCATAAGTTGACGGATCTGTGGGCCAACAAAAATTCCTTCATTTATTTTTGCAGCACTAATTGATGGAAATTTACCTTTCAGGTACATAAAAGCTGGTTTATTCTTATCCATTGCCTTGACAAAGTTTTTCATTAATCCCAGCTTTATGTGTAATGGAGGTAATATGATCTTGTCACTGTTTATAAGTGCTGGATGTTTTACATTTTTACTCCCCGGCTGCAATGTCTGCCTTAGCGGCCAGTCTCTTTTGATGTAATGCACTTCTCTGGCACGACTGTCCCAGTCACATAAAAAACAACAATACTTAGTATATCCACCCTGAAGACCAAGTAAGATAGCAACAACTTTTAGGTCACAACAGACTGACCATTGATATTGATCGTAGTTGATGCATCTTAGAAGCTCTTTCAGGTTTTCATATGTTTCTTTCATTGCAACTGCATAAGCAACTGGAATAGATGGTAACTGATTCCCATTATGCAGTAATCCAGCTTTAAGACTTGTTTTGGAAGCGTCAACGAATAACCTCCACTCTTCGGGATTATAATTTATGTTGAGGGCTGACATTAAATCGCAGATATTCTTACAAACAGCAATATCACCTTCCTGGTCAAAGAGTGGAAGAAGGTCTTTCTGACGGTCACGGTATAGTGATGTACGAACATCATCCGCCAAGAAATTCCATTGCTTCAGTCTTGAACCTAAAACCTCGGCCTTGTTCTTAGGAAGATCCAGATCTCTTATTAGGTCGTTGAGTTCCATCTGTGTTATGAGATGCGGTTCATTGGATGTGGATGGCAGAAAATCGGGGTCAAATAAGGCTATTGGATCATCACTACAAGCTTTGTCTGGTTCTTCCTCACTGGAGTCAATTACGAAAGATTCAGGTGCTTCTGGAATCAGTAGTCCTTCTCCATGAGGTACTGGATGCATTGCTGAAGAAATGTTTGGATACTGAATAAACAATTTCTTTCTCTTTGTAACACCTTTCTGAATTGGAGGCACCATACAAAAGTAACAATTACTGACATGATCGGTTGGTTCCCGCCAAATCATTGGCACTGCGAAAGGCATGGAAGACTTTTTCCCCTTCAGCCACTGGACAAGTCTCGATCCACATGAATTACAGCAGATGTGGGGCGCCCAACTTTTGTCTTGGTCTCCTATTTCACACTCAAAATACAACTTGTAGGCTTTCCTAATCACTGCTGTTATTCGTCTCTTTTGTGATTCAAAAGTAACTTCGCCGCATAGCAGAAATTATCTGCTTTATTTACACACGTGCGAGGCATAACTACAGTAAAAAGAACAATGTAAAACGATGTTTAACGATACTGTCTCAGTCTTCAACTGACTGACCCTCACCGTTCAAAAGTCTGGCCTTATATAGGGCTTTCTGGCTTTTGCACACGGCACTAATACTGTGTCATCAAACTTTCTAGAATATTCTAGAATCTTCCATAGTGTAAGTCGCAACATGCATTTTTTCAACCATACGTGATCACGTGATTGCTTATATCATAAAAACTAGAGCCAATATACATTTTTAAATGTCATTTTCATTTTCAGCACCCCAAAATCATAAAAGAACAGCTATTTTCAGGCCTGCAACTTTTTCTCTGTTGAACAGTGTAATAGGTCCTCTACTTTCACAGGGTTGAGTAAAAAAGTGTGATAATTCTTTTTTATTTGAAAGAACACCTCTCTAAGAATCTCTAGGCCTGGGAGGTGGGGGGGGGGTGTATTTTACTGCCACCCCAGGTTCCAGACCCAATTTGTTGTTTTTTAGTCAAATTTTAAATACATGGTGTGGAAAACAACAATGGGATCAATAACTCGTGGTAAACTACACCAGAAAACCGATGTATTGATAAGGCTTAATCTCACTATTCCTCATCATTAGTACTGCTCTTCTCCTACATCATCTTCATAGCCTTGCCTCTACTGCAAGTGGTACTGTGTTTACCCAAAAGTAAGACACTGTCTTATATTTATTTTTCCTCAAGAAGACACACAGCCCGAAGACATACAACCCAAAAAACCTATAACAACCCAGACACACTGGCTTGTTTTCAGGGGATGTTTTATTTTTTATTAAGTATGGTACAACAACAATCTATGTTTATTCAAATATAGTTACATTGTCTTCTTCTGGAACTGGCATTGGTTGATGCTGAGGGAGAGAGACTGGCCTCATTGTGCCCAGCTGGAGGAAGCTATGAGAACTGGGAGTGGTGGCGGCAGCATGTGTGCATGCCAAGCATTCCAGGGGGCAGTGGTTGGGTCTAAGGAAGTTGGAGGAGGAGAAATGAGGAAGAGGAAGTGGTGGCCTTGCTGGGCCACATCTGGACTTGGGAAATGGTGAGCAAGGCTGGAGAGAAAGGGCAGAGGATGTCTGGGAAAGAGAACTGCATGTCCCAAGGTGCCTCAGGAGGCCTTGCTGCAAATCTTATATTTCAAAACTTTAAAAAGAAATTTAGAACTTCCAAAGGTGGTGAGTAGGAGCCCTTAAAGAAAAAAAATGGGGAGTTCACCCCAGGAGGGGGAGGACATCCAAGTCGCACACCTCAAAACCTTAGCTGGGAATTCCAAATTCAAATGTAAAGAAGGACTGCCTGTCTTCTTTACCACTCTGCGCTGGTATAGCCACGCCTATCACTAATCAAGTTCAAATAGTAAAAACCCTTTTGCTACCCAATGTCGATCACTGACTATGTCTTAAGTACCATTACCTTAGGTTTCCTCTTAAGCTTGGCAGTCCCCCAAAATAGATAGGCTCATCAGCTTTCAAGTTAAGGCCAAAGTGCTTTCCTGTAGAAACAGTTGATATGATCTCTTCTTGATTGGAGTCTATGTCTACAATTGATATATTAGCTGCAGAAAAGGGAAGAGAAAGTTTACTATAGATTTCACTTGAAAAATGTTTCAAATATTAGTACTTAATCGCTTATGGTTTATGTTCCTTAAGAAAAATTTGCACGTGTACGTATGTGAGTATCTCTTCTCCAAGATACGTTTTAAAGATGTATGACAAGCTGGTATAGTGGTATGTTATTATAAATGCTTGCAAAGAAAATCAGTGCAATCCATTGTCTAAATCCAAGGGTTAAAAGTAACACACAATTGGAAAGTAAAGAAACATAAAATAAATAATATACAAAAAATAATATAAGATGAACAAGAAAGGATTTGCCACAGTCAGAAAGATTTACTAACACAGCTAGTTTTTCCTAAAAACTATTGCTAATGTTTAATGGCCTTTTATTCATTAGACTGATTAATTAGCTGTAAGTGGAATATCAATTTGAATAACATTAAATTTTGTAGCAGTGGCTTTGTTTATGCGGACTAGCCCCACTCTGTGTCCTATCACTTCATCTCATGCCAAGCCACCCTAGAAGTTCAAAACACCTAATGCTAATTAGTACAAAAACAGGCAAGCACAGATATACAGCTGGGGCAGGGGTCATCAAGGTATACCTTTGCTCCTCTTCCACAATCCTAAAGTCCCTTCTACAATGCCATATAATCCAGATTATCAAAGCAGATGAGCTGAATGTTATATGTGGTGTAGAAGGGGACTAAATGTATGTATGTATTGTAAAGTATACAGAAATTCATGGATACTCAGCTTGTTAGTAAGAGTTTTGGGCTGATTTCTTGTACCAAGAGTTTAGCTGCCAGACTCAGATCCTCTATACCGTTTAGAAGGGAGCCCCCCAGAGCCACCAAAGAGATTAGACAGATGCTGTTTTCTCTGGTTAAAATATTTTGATAGACTAACATACAGTGATAATATGAACCTGGTCAGATATATGTTTATATATGATTGTAATTTCAGTATGATTTTGGTATTACTTTCAATAGCCTCTAAATTTCTTGAATCTGCATAAAATTGGGAAGCTCGTGCTATGGTAACCACAAGTTTTCTGGACATATTATCAAATCAACTAGGAGCATCTGTGAGGAAAGGGTAATAGAGCACTTATTCTTCAATCCAAGAGGTGCAATCCACTAGATTTTTCGTTTTCCTTTTTTTTCTTTTTTTAAAAAAAGTATCAAGTGCACAGCCAATGGTAAACAACTCTGGTGGGAGCAGGGGCCACTTTGCTACTATGGTAGACCTTAACTGCATTTTTGACTTCCACTCCTGGTTGATATTTGGTCTTTCTTATAGGTTTTTTTCTGAGACAGGATGGGGGAGTCCAGAGTGGTACTAAAGACCAAATATTTAGAGATAATTTAAAAACAATTCCTGAAAAATTGAACTGAGAGGTCTCGCGTCTTGGAGGGAGGTTGGGGAGCTGCAAAACAAAACAGAGGGACTACATACAACTAATACTGAACTTTTCCCACCCTGCTCTACCATTTATAGAAACTGAAATATGAGACAAAATCTGCACTTACTTGTATTTTACTCGATTTCGATAAACTATTAGTTCACAAGAGAACCAGTGTGCAATAGTGATTTGAACTTTTGAACACAACTATCTATAATTCAGAAAGGACTTCAAGGCACACAATAGCAATGGCAATTAATTTTGACACATTAAGTACTTATTATTTGCCATTCTCTTAAAAACAAACAATAACAAATCTGGGAGTTTAGGATAGCAGTGATTGGGCAGTAACATGTACTCTCACGGACTCAAATTGTTGCAGCAAAGAAAGGAATTCACATTTTTTCTAAATAAGGGCATATTTAAAATGGGGGGGGGGTAGATGGGGTAGTTTTCTGGAAGTAAGAAGCTTTTTAAATCATCCTGTTATTGTATGTTGACAAATGACAGAGACACTGAGGTTTGCCATTCCTGCAAAACAATTAAATGTTGTCATTTACTATTTTTGTGCAGTGAAGACCCTCACTGTTTATCCCTAATTAAGCCCTTTTTAGTTAGAGGGATTTGTATTTTATGTAGTTTCTGGGGGGGGGGGGTGTCAGTCTAGACACAGCCTCTTTGCATTTGAAGCATCTATCATCCTGCCCCTTTAAGAATCCCCTCAGGAGCAGAGCCTCAGGCAAGGAACTTCTGGTTCTTGGAAGAGTCAACCTTTTCATGACTCGAAGGTGAAGAGAGAGGAAGGCCTGGAAGTTTACAAAATAGCACATCCAGTTGGAAGTGTATTCAAGCCCAGTCAGAGCTGTATTCAAGTCCAGCCAGAGTTAAATACTGAGACCATCTTAGAGACAGTGGAACACCCCACAAGAAAGAGACAATAAGAAGAAATAAAGATTCAAGAACCTCAGTTTGGCCAGAACGGTGTCTACCTTGCAAAAACTTTACCTCTCCTCATAAAGACTTTGTAGTGAGATTCAGGAGGAGATAAAGTTGAAAATTCTTGTCAGTTAATAAATTCCTGTTTGATTCAACCATATAAACTCTGATCTGTTCCCTGCACAGCCAGCTCACCTTCCAAGTAATTAATATAGAACTGGGAAGGGGTGGGGGAGAACAAGCACATTAGAACAACTAAACAACATTATCCATTGCTGTTTTTTATTTTATTTTATTGCAGGGAAATGTAGGAGTGTGGCTGTGAAGCTTATTATAACAGCAGTGAAATATGAGAGACAGAGGACCATTTATTATGGAACACAGGGAAAGAAGTAAAAACATTAACTGCACATGGAAAGGCATGTGCAAGACATCAGATCTATTTACTGGGAAATGAAATAAAAATAAACCTGGTACAGATGTATCAAGATACGGCCACTTATCTTAGTAGATCAAGTACCCATTACCATGTTTATCTGTAAAGGCAGAGCTTTTACTGAAAACTATCCAAGAAACAGTAAATCTGCAGTTCCAAAACAAAACAAAAAACTCCACATATTTAATGTTCCTTGATGGTAGTTTTAAAGAAAAAGTAGTTGATTAGTAAATGTGAAAGTGAAAAGTAGAAACAAAAAGTTAAATAAACAGCCTGTTGTAGAACCCCAACCCTGACCAAGTGTAGCTATTTCTTTGCTTAGAATACTTCCTGTTAGTCTTTGTAGCGAGATAAAGAAAATCGTTCTAAAATAAGGGATCATTTCCTTCAAAACTCCTGCAAATCTGTTGAGTTGTTATGAAAAGACTGATGACATTAAAAATACTGAATACACTATTAAGATTTTTAAAAACATTCCTTCCACATAAAGTTTTGCATTTTGTATTAGGGCTGTCAAATTCAAAGATCTGAGGATTTTTCTACTGTTTGTAGCTTCTAGGTGTCATTGAAAATGACGTGAAGGATCAAAGTATGTGCACAATCTCAAAGAAAATACACAGATTTGTTGTAGGAGAAAATACTATGCATAAATATTCTATTCACAAACTATAAGTAGGAAATTTGGAAAATGGTTACTTAGCCTTTCTCACTCAGAATAATCCTGTGGGAACACATGTGAGGTTTTGTGCCTGGTATATAGTTTTATAGCTCATAGCCCAAAAGGAGACCATTTCTCCTTGCAGGGACAAATCTGGGAAATACTTTCTTTTGGTGAATGCACACAAATGATTGCCAGACCTTGGGTCCAAGTGAGACAGCTGGATCTTTTGAAATGGCAATGTTGTGACACATCTTTCATATTTTCAACAGAGATGTGTCAAATTATGCTCTGAAATTTCACTAATCTTATTAAAATTATTACAGGCCTCATTGAGGTTCCTAAGATCAGGGATGGATAACTGTTAGTTTGCAGCTATTTTCAGGATCGTAGTTCTTATAGTCCTTCACTGCTGGCTAGGCTGGTGAGGTCTATTGGGAATTGTAGGCCATATTTGCTCACCCCTGCTATAAATACTGCCCATGAGCAAGATCCTGCTTGGATATCATTTTAAGAGAACTTCAACAGTGATAGTAGTCATTATATAGTTTTGATGATCCTGTGGCCCATGGCAAAAGGTGCCCATTGTGTATTGTAGACAGATTATTACATCTCCCTGCTCCCGTTTTAACACACTTTGATATAACCAGGTTACAAAAGATACCTTGGCATGCAAATCCAAATTGAATTCTAACAGTAATAGCACAAGCTTGTTGATGAACTTGAAAAAGCACCAAGACATTTCATGGTGTGCCCCCCCCCCCTCGCAAACACACTTGGGTGAATTTGAGAATGTAATTTGGGTAGCTGTAAGGCAGAATTATGTCTGAAAAATTAAGATACCATTTTCAAAAGAAAATCATACAAGACCTGTTTGACACTGCAATCAGTCGCAGCTAACCTGAGCTATCTGTAATTGAAAGCAAAAGAAGTTGCTAAATCACTTTCTTTTACAACTTTCTAAACCCAGCAATTTTATACATCATCTTCTCCATGATTAGGTAGTTAGCTGTGCTGGATAAGATAATTAGGATGTTTATGATATTATCCCTGCAGGGACTCACCTTGTTTCAGAATTCTTGACAAGGTGAATGATTTCCATTTTCCATCATTGTGGTTTTGGTTGCTGACAACAGAAGCTGTTCCTGAACCAAGATCATAGCTCACTTTAATATGCCCATCACTGAGTTCAATGCTCATGAAATCTTTCTGTTAATGAGAAGCAATAGAAATCAAATTTAGTTACTGAAAGCCAAGTTCTGTTTTTCTAGAGCAAAATAATTTCAATTAAAGTGAGTCTTTTGTTTCCAGTGCTGACTCCTGTATGCAAGCATCTTTCTCTCTAAGTTCATGAAATTCAGATAAAGGAACTCAGACGAGTAACCTAGTATGGATGGCAAGGTAGTGTTATGTACTAAGAACAGCTTCTTTTAATCACAACATTAAATTGAAAATACTGTTTGCATAATAAACTTCCAGCTCATTGCTGCCTATTAATATCTTTAGTATTTACTTAATCTGACTGCTTGAAAAAAAATAGTGGCCTAAAACTAACTTCTTACTGAATCATTTGTGAACAGTACATCAAGTTTTATATAGGAATAGCATTTAGGTTGATTCACTATGCTGGCTAAGAAACAGAATTTCAGCCATTTCTGTAATAAAAACAGTACACCTATATAGCACTTTTAAGTCTGTCCCTGTTTTTGACATTAAAGAAAATAACTCAGATAGTGTAAGTAAGAAATAAAAAATGTTTGGTTTTCAAAATGTTTTAAGTTAATTATAGTACAACCCCCTTCTCCACAGGACCAATATCTGCAGTTTCATTTACCCGTATCAACAAAATATGTCCTGCCTCTACATTTTTCTTGGGCTAGAAGTCCTTCATGTCAGTAGGGTTGACTGCATTTTCATGTATCATGTAAAGTTCAAGAATATATCCCATATATATCTTTCATAGTTGCCTTATCATTCTTTACCATCTCAACATAGATCTTTATGGGAAACTTTCAGGTCTATGGTGCCCATCCATACCATATTGCTATCTAGTAGATCAAGATCTCAAGTAGCTTCTACAGGAAGAATGGCAGGAATACTGGATACGTAGTGAGTTCCCTTATTTTCTAAATGTTATTCTCCTGTTCTAAATGTTATGGATCCATAGACTCAGGAATTGCATTAAGACCTAAATATAATTATTTGAATATAAATTGTGTAACTTCTTGAGGATTGGGATTATGTCCCATTCTGCTTGAAATGTATGCTGTTCATTTGTTTTCAGTCAAATAAATTAACTAATAATCATTCCCCTTTCTAAAAATATGGCAAAGAATCTCAGTGAACTTTTTTTTACATTCCCTTATGTCAGAAAATAACTTATAAACCTGCTGAGAGATTTCTTCCTGTCCAACATTAATTATTATTTTATAGTACAACTTAAAAAGCAATATCCACTAGAATGTTATAATTATGGTCACAGAATTCTAACAACATTATTATACAAGTTATTACTCTGTCCTTTTAGAAAGAAATTTTACAATTCACTGTCTTCTTTTAAGTGACATCCAACACTCAATGGCATACATTCAAAATCTATGAGAACTGTATACTCTACAATGTTAGCAATAGCAAAAAGAGTGTTTAGGTTATGCTTACCAAGTCAAGTGTAGCAAGGTACATTAGAAGAGCAGTGGAAGAAAATGTCTTGAACTTGAACATAACCATGGAGATATTTGGATTCCATCTTATTGGGCGGCTCACCATAGCATAACCTTCTCCATCAAACTGAACTGTGCCCTCACCATCAGCCACTTGGGGACTAAGAAGGAGAAGAATGCTCAAACTTCAGACAGAAATTGCTAAAATTGCCATACACAAAACAGAAGCAGCTGTAATAGGACACTGAAGACTTTTCTCAAACCATAATTATGTAGTTCCTATATATTTTCAGATAATGAGTTTTGTGAGAAAAAGCTAACACCTACAATATATTTTTTAAAAATCTGATGGCCAGTCTCAAGAGACATGGTTCCTATGGTATTTTCTTTATTGGACTACCACAAGCTTAGTCCTTCACTGGAGAAATTAAATAATAATAACTGCAAAATGTTATTCCTTAGAGAAAAATGTCTAAGCAGACTTAATAAAACATTTAGAGAAGATGGGAATTTTTTAAAATGTATTTTTTTTTAAAAAAAACCATCGTTCAATCTTCACTTATGATAATGAGTATATTTTATAAAGTAAATTGTTTGTATAAAACATGTAACAATGAACATTTGCTAAATTGCAGCTGTTGAAAAGCAACATAAAATATGATTAATAATCTTTTTATTATGTAGCATTTTAAAAGAATTCAAATTTTATTTGGTCAAGGGATTTGTGCATTAAACAGAACTGAAAATGGACAATTTACTAAAAAAAATCCATACCTGACGGCACAGCCTTTACACTCTCCTTCAATGTCTCTGAAATTCCACAAGCCTATTGGTTTGCTGTCTAAATAAGTTTCGCCCATGCAGCCAGTGAAAGTAGTAACTCTTACAGCTTCAGATTTCTGAAAATACAAAGGATGATGGTTGAGTTCTGAGCTCCTTGTTAATGGAAAACACTGTTATAACTGAAAGCATATAGGGACTGAGATCCTACATTGCTTCACTGTAGTATAAACATAAATGGAACATGTAAATCCATTTTTAAAAAGCTCTCCCTGAATGCTGCCACATTGAAAATTTACTGGCCTTGCAAAAAAATTCAATTTTTGCCCAAGGTTCTGGAGTGGTGAGGTTGGTCCCAGTTCCAAGGGTTCCTAGAGGAAATACATTGTCTGGTTTTAGGTCTTATTATAAGATAGAAATATTTTTTATGTCTTGGAGAATTTCCTAAACAACAAATCTCTCATCAGGTTTGATACCATTGATCATGGTGTCCTTCTGGGCTGCCTTGCTAGGATGGGACTTGGAAGGACTGATTTTACAGAAGCTGGGAGATTACTGTTTGACACCTTGGCAATTGGCATGTGGAGTCCATCAGAATGCTATCCTATATTGCTAAATATTTAACATATACATGGAGAGGCTGTCTGGAGATTAGGGATTAAGTATCTTCATTCTATTTCTCCTTTCTATCAAAACCCAACAAAACTGTTTTAGTTCTAAACCAATGATACCAGTAATGGACCGGATGAGGATGGACAAACAAATATTTCATTCAGACAAGGCAGAGATGTTTGTGGTCAGTTGATAGGCAGAACAACAACAGATTTTTGTATATTTTTCTATGAGTATTTCCATTTCAGAAGATTTTTGTGTGCAAAATGTGCAAATGGTTTTATTTATACAAATTAGAATTTGTGCTAATCTTTTTGGGTGAACTTTAAAAAAAAGCTTTGGATGAATTGTTTGCATCTCTTTATCCTTTGCTTGCCATGTGTATATGTGTGCATGTTTCATTTAACAAAAGTGGAAAGATAACAGTGCTAATGGCAAAGAAAAGTGCTGGTGGGAGGGAATATTCATCCTTTTGCTCATCCGTGGAAAGCAAAAACTTGGTTGCAGTTGCTTATTTCTCTGGACAAATACTATTTACATATTTCTTTATGCTCTTCCCATTGGGATTTCCATTTCCCTTGATTACTTTCTTGGCATGGTCATAATCAACTGTGTTCACAGCTGTATCTGTAATATCAAGACACTTTTCTACCTATTTATTTTCGACCTATTTTCTGTCCAATGGGAAATACAACTATTGTTCAGATGCAGCTAATCCTGGTGTCATGGGAAATGTCAGTCCTATGTGGCTTTCCAAGAAATGCATTGTGGATAGTGACCACACGCTGTTCTAATTTACATTCTGTTTGCTTTGCTGAATTTTATCCATATCTAAGCAAGCCAACTAAGTAAATGATGGCTTTCTGACATATAGGTCATATACCGGGCTTTCCAGTGGCAAACTGTTAATAATGCTTTCAATCAAGGCAAATCTTGTTTGCTTATTGTTTCAGGTGAGTCTCAGAATACAAACATAATAATTTTATGTTCTATTACAGCTGGTTCTTTACAGAATATTTCAGTGCTTTTTTTCTGAACCACCATATTTGTGTCTGGATTTCATTTATCCATATCTAACAAAACATGACTTCTCTGGGCATTTTCTAGATCCTCCAGAGAGACTCCATGAACTAGAGGGCCTTCATTTCAACAGGGACCACTATTATCTATGATTTCACATATCCATGTAAAGTCCAGGTGAATATTCCCCGTGGATGTGAGGGTTGCACTGTGCAATAATGTGAGAGCTATCAGGTTTGCAAATAACATTGCCTTCTCATTGAAATCTAGACTGAAAGCATAAAAAAGATTTACACATTCTAATCTAATAATATCCCTGATAAGGTGAAATTAATAATTTTGAAGGATCTTACTTATTTTGCTAACAGTTCACCAATATTATTCACATTTCCAAGATAAAAATTTTAAAATTGTTCTAATGACATGCCTTTTTTCAAAAGTATCCAATTTTCTTTTATGTTTTTCTTCATCAATATGAACTACTTTCAATTCCAGATATTTAGTAATTTGAAACACATAAGCACCTGCTACATTTCATGAAGCAATTATGAATGTTAAAAATATTAATGTGCGAGCATATGGAGAAGAGCAACTTGACTTTCAAAGAGAGGCATGACATGAAAGTCTAACAACTTCAATGATCTGTTCCAAGGTCATTGTGAATGTTTTAATTGCTGAAGTGTATATTCAATGCCACTTTTGAAAACTCCATGATGAATAGGCAATGGATTATATTTCAGTAAGACTGAAAAAGCCCATTCAGCTGAAAAAGACTTATTTTTATAAAAATAAAATAAGAAAATTGAGAAGTAAAAAGGGAATTTTATGATACTAAAGAATTATTTTCTACGTATTATTGAAAATGCAGTTGGCAAGTACCATCTTAATATGGTCCACAGAACTACATCATATATTTACATTTTAGAAAACAGAGACAGGGCAACTTTTTCTGTTTAGTTGAGTGGGTGGTGCAGCAATGGCAATGAAAAATTATGGCTTCCTGCTTCATCTTTCCCTTCTTTAGGTGAGGTAATGATGTGCTACAAGTCTTAAGGTTATGGACTCATCAAAACCATCGCAAATGTTGGATTAGGAGGTGATGGAGGTGATGGGGGAGGCTTTTGCTTTTACTAGCCCCAGACTCTGACAGTGTCCTGGGATCTTCTTCGTTAGCCCAGAAAGGAATGACAATCAGTTATATCCCAAATAAGCAGTCATGTTAAATGTCCCTAGCAGAGTTCAAAGCACAGAGTGTTTATCAAGGCCAGCAATGCAGTTTGTATTGTGACTGCTGACCTGAATCCCAAGGAACTGTGGCAGTCTATAAGAAACGTTGCTTCTTTATCCTTGCCTTATTCTGCCATATCCTGATACCTATCACTGTAGTAGACATTCCCTACAGTGCCGTTATTTCAAGGACCATAGGAAGTAATTGGTTCAGCTATATTACAATAATGCTGGAGTTTGGAAACAGATCCCATTTTGGGATTAGGCAGTTGTTTCTTTAAGATAGTGCTAATGAATTGCTACCTGATACATGTTTGTATCATTGCTAACAAAGCTAAACAGTTAGGTATAGTCTTCCCACTCCTACTTATAAATGCTTATACTTTCAATCCAACACAACTGCAACAATACAGTTGAAATATCTGATAGTGAACTGAAGTAAACAAAACTTTGGATAATGTACTTCTAGAGTGAAACATAATTCTTGAGGGAGTAAAATCTACTTAGATGTGATTATGAGAAAGAGCTGGCATAGCATTGCCCTTGTAGAAAGGAAAATGGATTGAGTGAACTAAGCCTATTTTCATGAAAGGATGTTGAATGAAAATACCTACCAGAGAGCAATATATGCGTGTGTGTGTGTGTGTCTGGGTCTCTTTCTCTCTGTGTGTGATTTGTTTTACAATATTTTAAAATACAACATGACACAAGGAGTTACATAGGTAAAACTAGCTTTAGCAGCATGGATGAGTTTTTCCATACACTGTATTCACCTTGTCCGAAACTCAAGGAGGACAGTTATGTCTACCCTTTTCTGACATTTTGGTTTTTGCTTTCAGCTGTGTTGGAGGAAACATGTGGTGTTAAATACAGCCATCAAATATCTTCAGTTTTGAAGTCATTTGCTGATGTACAGCTTCACAATACAATAGATCAACTACCACTCTACCCAGCAATGTTTTCTCACTCCATGACTTTTGTTGAATAAGGAAATACAGATACAATTGAGAGCAGTGGTGGTGTAGTGGTTTGAGTGCTACACTAGGACACTGGGGAAGCAGAGTTCAAATCCCTGCTTAATATGTAAACCCACTGGGGAACCCTGGGCAAGTCACGCACTCTCAGCTTCAGAGGAAGGCAATGTCTTGCCAAGAAAACAGGATGTTAGATTCACCTTAGCAGAGTAATAAATGATTTCAAGGTATATAGCAACAAGCAAAAAAATCAAAGGTTCATTACCTTTATCTTGCCTGTTAGACCACCCACAAACAGCATGGCATTTGCATCTACATCCAAAATTGTATAACCAGGTGGGGAAATTGCATTGAATATACTTGGGACAATGGTAGCCTTAGGTCCCTCCAATGCCTGTACAGAAATTGTGCCATTTCTTCCAGTTCTACATAAGAACAAATATAAATCAAGAAGTGGTATGTTATTATCAACATTCTAATTTATGAATTCACAAATACTCCTAATGGATTCAAAATGCTTACACAAGTAGGACAGCACTTTGGTGATTTCTGCTCTGCAAGATCCACTTTCATCTCACAGATAGAAGCTTCATGCAAGGCCTCCCCACCATCTTATACATATAGAAGATATACTTCCTTGGCAATTTTCACTGACCCTACTCATTATCAGCAGAACTTGGAATTATATTTCCAGGAAAAATGAATAAAATGGTGTTGTGCTGAAATAATCTATAACTGATTGGTTCCACAGCATCATCCTAGCATTGCACAGTTATGGGTGGCTTCAGATTGCTCTTACATTCATTCATATGAAGAGTAACTTTCAGAGCATTTCTTATTGGAGACTTTTGCCTTTCAATCCCAAAACAAATCTCCACTGCACTAAAAAGAATGATATACTCCTATTCTTGTAACGCCTACACAAGAATAAAGCTATATCCAAACTTTATTTGAACAAAACAAAAATGTAAGCTTTAAATCCGTTTATATAGAAGTGAAAGTTTTACATTGATTTTTTTTAAAAAAGACCTTTAATGTAAGTATTTGATCCATGAAGATTTACTACTCTCCAGGAATCAACAATATCTTTTGTTTTATGGAGCAAAAATATTTATTTTTTCCTTTTTCTTCGTAAATGTGAGAATCTAAATTTCAACCTCTTTTGTTCCAAAACACACAGCATTTCTGGTTGAATGTTATCAAGGGAATAACTTAAATTGCACTGTCATGCAAATTACTAGTAAAAGTGTTAATCAATTTTAAGAGTGCCTACCCTATAATTGTAGTGTGATATGAAATATATTTCCAAAGCCTAACTATGATGTCATATATGATGTTGTAACATGTTTAACAATACATTAATAAATATTTCATAGACAAGATTAGTTAATTAGTATTGAAATTTAACTAGTACTATACAAGGAATTCTTGGCAGCAAGATTGAAAATGCTTCTACAACACCTGACTTCAGCATTTCTGTCCATGTTCATCTTATAGGGATATTAGAGGAAAATAAGGTATCTGCTATTATTGACACATTTTTTATCTACAAAAAGAGTGTGGGAAATATGCCTAAAATGACTGTAAATAATTAAATTCCTTACACTTGGAAGCAATTATGATGACATTTTATACAAATATGTGTTTCCTTTACAGTGCATCCTTTCAAAATATTTTCTCATTAATGGTTTGTGGTTTGAGATGGGGGGTACCTCACCCTCCCTTTGGGATTCATTACCCCCTCCTACTCAGACCACTGGGATAGTGAGTATGCCTTATAGATAAGTCTGACATCCCAAATACTCCAAAAGACATTGATCTCTTTGTATTCTGATGGTTTAATGAACATAAACATTGTTTTATCCACAAAAGTATTAAAATATTATATATAATTACCATCATGATATGTATATGAGGTATGGATTTTATGTTAACACTTGGGTCTCATCTTCTAGATATTGCATTGTGTGTGTGTGTGTAAATGTAGGCACTCAAAATCCATAATAGCCATTGTTGTTGTTGTTGTTGTTGTTGTTGTTGTTATTATTATTATTACTAGCTGTCCCCTGCCACGCGTTGCTGTGGCCCAGGTTGGTGTTCTGGAAAATAAAGTAATGAGAAAGTGCTGGTTTCTAATATATGTAATGTCTTTATGCTTGTGAGTAAATAGTATTTCTTGCAGTTTCTTTGCCAGTGTCGATGTGGAGATTGTCTGGTTTGCCTACTCTGGAACATGCAACATATCATAGTCCTTCTTTAAGAGTCTCTTTCAAATCTATGATACTATATCTGGGTGTGTGTGAGAGAATCATATCTATCTATCTATCTATATTTATGACTGGATGGCTCTGATTACATTACTAGAAATCCCAAATGTCTATTTCCTCCAAACTCCATCTGTGTTCATATTTGGGCATATGGAATATTCGTGCCAAGTTTGGCCCAATTCCATCATTGGTGAAGTTCAGAATGCTCTTTGATTGTAGGTAAACTATAAATCCCAGCAACGACAATTCCCAAATGGCAAAATCAATTTTTTTGAGTGGAGGACATACATTGGGTTGTTAAGTGTCTTGTGTCCAAATTTGGTGTCAATTCCCCCAGTGGTTTTTGAGTTCTGATGGTATCACAAACGAACATTACATTTTTATTTATATAGATTATTATAAAATATTCAAAACAAATGTGGTCCCAAGTATTTTGGATAAAGGGCACTTCACTACTGGAACATATAAAGCCCCTGATTACAAAGATAATTCAAGCATATTCAGCCACAATAAATTACTTTTGTAGTTTGAACTGTGGTGCCACAGCAAGTAGTTTAAACTAACCATCCTTTCCTATGATGGTGGAGCTAGAGGATTGTGGAGTCTATTTAGACAAGAAGAATTGAAGTTGCAATTTTATAGGTGGTTATCTAGAAAATAAATTCCAGTGAACTCAGTGGTAATTACTCCTGAGTAGATTTGTGTATGACAACTTAAGAAAGATGGTGCTCTTACAGGAAGTGTTCAAAGCATTTTGTTGCCCATGTTACATACTTGCATGATGACACAGAAGAAGGGAAACCAATGCCTATAAAGTCACACATCATACCAATTTTACTAGAGCTGTGAAACATTTTATTTCTGCTTTTCAAATTTATGTTTATATTCTATTTTATCCTGCTTACTAAGATTTTCAGAGTAACTCCAATGTACTTAACTCAGAAATAAAATAACAGTACCTAACGATTATGAAAGTTAGTGTTCTATTTCTATCCATGTTTCGACACACACACAACATTTGGTTGTGCACATCCATCATATTTCACCAGTTCAGAAGAAGACCACCTGCTATATACTAAAAATGAGATTGGATGTATTCTGACAAAATTACTGAGGAAAAAGTTACATGATTACGGTATCATTATGAAAATGGCTCTCTACCATAACAGATTTCATCTTAAGAAAGGGAAAAAAAGCTTGCCTTGATGCTTCAATTCGGTACCAAAACCCATCATTAATGGTTAGATCTGGATATTCAACTCGTCCAACTCCAGACCCAACATCCCATAGGAAATCCACTTTGCCTTTACGCATTTCTATGGCCAGAAAGTCAGTCTAAAACAAAAAAAAAGATTTTCTTAAATAAATAATGAACATCATTAGAGAAATAAGAAAAAGTCTATGTATGAATCAAAGCAGTAACAAAAAGGCAAGACAGCTGAGTGATTAGTTAATAAAGGAGTAAAAATAAAAGAAATGTGAGTTGACGACAGTGAGATTTATTTATTTATTTATCATGTCAGGGGCAACCAGACAATTGTATTACATTTCTAACAGAACAAAACAAACAGACAGACAAAACACAAAATTTGCAAGCTTGGTAGTTGATTAAATGTCCTTTGACCAGTATCTGGCCACTTGGAGTGCTTCTGGTGTTGCTGCAAGAAGGTTCTCCATTGTGCATGTAGCAGGGCTCAGGTTGCATTGCAGCAGGTGGTCAGTGGTTTGCTCTTCTCCACACTCGCATGTCGTGGATTCCACTTTGTAGCTCCATTTCTTAAGGTTGGCTCTGCATCTGGTGGTGCCAGAGCGCAGTCTGTTCAGCGCCTTCCAAGTCTTCTGTGTGCCCAGGGGGGAGTTTCCCTTTTGGTATCAGCCATTAGTTGAGGTTCTGGGTTTGAGCCTGCCACAATTGGACTCTCTCTTGCTGAGGTGTTCCAGCGAGTGTCTCTGCAGATCTTAGAAAACTATTTCTTGTTTTATGTCATTGACGTGCTGGCTGATACCCAAACAAGGGATGGGCTGGAGATGTCACTGCCTTGGTCCTTTCACTATTGGCTGCTACTTCCCGGCGGATGTCAGGTGGTGCAATACTGGCTAAACAGTGTAATTTCTCCAGTGGTGTAGGGCACAGACACTCCATGATAATGTGGCATGTCTCATTAAGAGCCACATCTACTGTTTTAGCATGGTGAGATGTGTTCCACACTGGGCATGCATACTCAGCAGCAGAGTAGCATAGCACAAGGGCAGATGTCTTCACTGTGTCTGGTTGTGATCCCCAGGTTGTGCCAGTCAGCTTTCGTATGATATTGTTTCTAGCACCCACTTTTTGTTTGATATTCAGACAGTGCTTCTTGTAGGTCAGAGCACAGTCCACGGTGACTCCAAGGTATTTGGGTGCATTGCAGTGCTCCAGTGGGATTCCTTCCCAGGTGATCCTCAGAACTCAGGATGCTTGTCTGTTCTTAAGGTGAAAGGCACATGTCTGTGTTTTAGATGGATTAGGGATCAGCTGGTTTTCCCTGTAGTAGGTGGTAAGGGCACCTAGAGCTTCGGAGAGCATTTGTTCAACCATCTCAAAGCTCCCTGCTTGAGCAGTAATGGCACGATTATCAGCATAGATGAAACTCTCTGTCCCTTCTGGTAGTGGCTAGTCATTTGTGTAGATGTTAAACATGGATGGAGCAAGCACGCTCCCCTGAGGCAGGCTATTCTTCTGTTTCCACCATCTGCTTCTTTGGCCCTGGAACTCATAAAAAAGCTCCTGTTTTGTAGCAGGTTTCATATGAGGCGGGTGAGGTGGTAATCCTTTGACAGTGAGATATGATCATATGAAGTGAGGACTCATCCAGATGTTTTAATGTTCCTTTTGACTATCTACTCCATAATTTATGTGTGTGACTGAGAAAGAGAGACCATTGTGCCAGTTGATGATTATTCTAGCACAGCCATATAAATACTACCTTGATTAGCTCACTCCAACTATGCCCACATATGGAACAAAAACAAAAGCTGCAATCCATCAATGCAAGCATAGCACCATTAGAGTCAATACAACTCTTTTCTTTCTACCTTGGCACACATTCACAGATGTGCATACATAGTACAGATGCTCATCATGGGGATCAGGAGTTCTTTGTGTGTGTTCTATGTCTCCAGCTGGCCAGCCCCATCATTCAGTATGATTTATTAAAAACTCTGTACTTGAGGCATTTGCACTGAATTGGTAGAACAGGATAAGAAGGGTACATAGACTCCTAATCACCATAGTCCAAAGGAATACTTTTCTCTATGTGAATTTGTCTGGTATTTCCAATGTTTATATTCATCATCATAATGCATCTGGCTATCACAAAATAGCTAGACGATGCTTAGCTGCTCTTGCTCTCCCTCAACTATTACATGCTGTTTTGGGAGGGCACAAAAATAATGAGTCTAGGATGTGGGAAAAAGAGATATATGGTTACAACTAATGGAGGTTTATGCTACATTTGCTTGATGCGAGAGCCTCTCGGTGGGGCCATGGCTTTGGTGAGGACTCTTATCACTGAGATTTTCTCAACACTCAAGAAACCTCTTTTTCAGTTTTTCAAGTCTTTGAATAGCCTTTCTATCGCTAATTCAAAGGACTGCGTAGGCAGGCTGGTGAACCTTTCATAGCAAAAAGCAAACTGGACCATTTAATTTTTTGATCTCATGTTTATAACCTTGATGTCATGGATACCAGAATCCCAGCAAATACAAAATGTATTTGCCAGTGATGTACTTTAAAAATGAATCATATACTGGAGGGCTTTTTAATGTTTGGGCCACGTTCTCTTCATTTACTTTTTATCTTGAACTATAATCATTATAAAAATAACCCCCAGTTTCACCAGCGTTGCATTCTGTGCTTCTTTAACAGGCCTGACATAGCTTGAAATGGCTCAGCTGTAAAGAGCTGACCACTCTGGGGTCTTGGAGAGTCTCTCAGTGAAAGCAGCTGGCTACTCCCTTGGAACTGGTGCACTGCTGCAGAAGATACAGCTAGGGGAGACATGCCTATAGTGTGGGTTCATTACTGTGCTACCATCTTCCTCTCCTTGTGCTTCTGTCGAACTTGGGAGAATCTCAGCTGGGAAGTGGTGAAAAGAATGCTGACAGCCATGCAGTTGATTCAGCAACATGGAGATGCTAGAGCTTCAGCAGTCAAGGGCAACACAAATACAAAAGCTGGGGCTGTAGCCAGGGAAAGCGAATAGACTGGAGGAAGTAGTTAAAGTGTGTTGATCTTGTCCCAGCATTGAAAGACTACCACAGAAAAATGTAAGGGTAGATGAACAAGACTTTCTTAGGGAGAGGAAACTGAGGAAGAGCTCTTCACCAGGCTCCTCTAAGGGTCTGGCTTCTAACCTCATGAGCTTTAGCTTGTCTACCTCCTTCAGCCTAAAGAGCTGGGTGAGACTCCTCTTTGTACTAGGTGGATCCTATATACCAGGGGTCCTCAAACTATGGCCCGGGGGCCAAATAAGGCCCTACAAGGTCATTTACCCGACACTCGCTCAGAGTCAATCTAAGTCTGAAACGACTTGAAAGCACACAACAACAACAATCCTATCTCATCAGCCAAAGCAGGCCCACACTTCCCATTGAAATACAAATAAATTTATATTTGTTAAAATTGTTCTTCATTTTAATTATTGTAAGGTTTTGAAGTGTTTTTTGCACTATAAATAAGATATGTGAAGTGTGCATAGGAATTCATTCATGCTTTTTTCAAATTATAATCAGGCCCTCCAACAGTTTGAGGGACTGTGACCTGGCCCTCTGTTTAAAAAGTTTGAGGACCCCTGCTATATACAATCCCCAGAAAGACCTGTAGCACAGTCAGGAAGGGAGTTGGTCGAACATACCCTGGGAAGAGGCTATAAGCTTTTGTCCTACCTCAATTGTGGAGAGTGGTTCTGTTGGGCCTGAATCTTCACTAACTCACCCTCCTTCACTGACTATAATAAAACCTAAGAATAGAGGCATCCTAATCCTGATGACATTGACCCTCCTGTTGCAACCTATACTGCTAGTCCTGCAGGGGATAATCTTGTAAGACTTTATCACTATCCTGATCCTGTGAATGATCAAAGGTTTGGAAGCCTGGACTTTTTAAGCTGCATAATGATTTGGGACCTATAAATATTTGTGATAAGCAATGTTTAGTTGTGTCTCATGGGTAAACCTTCAAGGGCTATGATTTTCCAAGGTGAGGGGTGTGTGCGTTGGTGAAGTCCTCAGTGTTGACAGCAACAGCGGTAGCAAGCAGAGCACAGATGTATAGCTTGATCTCTCCACCCTCCTCATCTTCCCCTTCTGAGCCAAAGAACCAAAACTGCTTTTTTATTCCCATCTTAAATATATCATCAAATAGTTTTGAACTGACTGTAAATTTTTCATAATGACTTACAAATCTGTTACTTCCAAGATAAAAAAGCAGATTGTCAGGCGTTGTCGTCTTTACATTGAGAATGACAGTGTTGTAGCTTCCCTTCTTTATTTCTGGTCTGTATGTGCGAATGCAGTTGCCTCCAGAAGCCACAGATACTTTAATCTTCATTGTGCATAAAATGGAGACAGGAGGAAAACAACAATGGGTGATACAAATATTACTGGTGATAAAAACTTTAAATACTGCCAAACAAACTCCATACATTCCTGCAGAGATCCTTTCCATTTCATGCTTCCTTAAATCTAAACATGTTGGATAAATAACAATATACTTTTAAAAATGCTTTTTTTTGCATTCCAAGCTATGGCATTCTTATTTGACATTCTGCATGGACTGTTTAATGCAGTTATTTTGCTAAATTGCAATACTTTGAATATGTGAAAATGGTCAAAGATCAGCTATGAAAACTCTGTTGCTGTATGTATTCAGAAGTAAGTGACTAATGAATTGACCAAGAAAAACAAGTATATGGCCCATGTGGAACTTGTGGTCCATGTGTTCCCTTTATTCAGAAGGCATTCTTCTGTGTACTTTTCCTGAAAACCTTCCATGTATTTTAGTTCTAGTGTTAGTTGTTTTTAGTTCTGTCTCAGTGGATTTTTTGAACTCTTAAAACTAATTATCTAATACTCATTAAATGTTCACATTGCTCTTTTTACAATATTATTGCTTTTATATAAGAAAGCTATGGCATTTATATGCACATAATAAAAGAGTCAACAAATAACATTTCTATGAAGCCCTGTTTCATTGAGATTGCAGAATCTTGTTATGGAAATAAGCAAAAAGTAAGGAATTTTACTTGATTGTCTGGGTTGAGAATTAGTTGGCAGGAACAATTATGTCAGCAAAACTGGCAGTATCAATCTACTTCTTCAACTGACCTGCTAGACCAGCGTTTCTCAACCTGGGGGTCAGAACTCCTATGGAGGTTGTGAGGGGGTGTCAGATAGGTCACCAAAGATCATCAGAAAATACAGTATTTTCTGTTGATCATGGGGGCTGTGTGGGAAGTTTGGCCCAATTCTTTCATTGGGGTTCAGAATGCTCTTTGATTGCAGGTGAACTATAAATCTCAGCAACTACAGCTCCCAAATGTCAAGGTCTATCCCCCCCCCCCTTAACTCCACCAGTGTTCACATTTCGGCATATTGAATATTTGTGCCAAATTTGCTCCAGATCCATCACTGTTTGAGTCCACAGTGCTCTTGGGATGTAGGTGAACTGCAACTCCAAAACTCAAGGTCAATGTCCACCAAACCCTTCTAGTATTTTCTGTTGGTCATGGGAGTTCTATGTTTCAAGTTTGGTTCAATTCCATCGTTGGTGGATTGCACAGTGCTCTTTGATTGTAGGATAACTATAAATGACAGTAACTACAACTCCCAAATGACAAAATCAATCCCCACCCCACCAGTATTCAAATTTGGGCATATTGGGTATTTGTGCCAAATTTGGTCCAGTGAATGAAAATACATCCTGCATATCAGATATTTACATTAAGATTCATAACAGTAGCAAAATTACAATTATGAAGTAGCAACAATAATCATTTTATGGTTGGGGGTCACCACAACATGAGGAACTGTATTAGGGGGTTGTGGCATTAGGAAGATTGAGAACCACTGTGCTAGACTGATATTAAACAACGGGTTTTCATGCATCACTATAAAGTAGGGAACGAGACAGAATGTTACAGGATACAAAAAAGATGCAAATTGCAACCCTGGGCATATTTATCCCTAAAAGACACATGTATTTTGAACCTTTTAATCTGAACAAAGTGTTGCCACTGGGGATGAATTATTGAATTTCCATCAGTACTGACTTTGTCATCCAGTATGAATGGAAAACAATTCAGACATTTCTTCTCAGAGATTTAGTAAATGTTAATAAAACTGCTTTAAAATCTATAAAAGAAAATTATCTCAGAAGTGATTTTTTTGTTTTTTTTTCCAATGTATACTATGTAATTTTAAAAATAAACAAGATATTTTATCATTGTTATAATGCATGCATTCCTTTTTGTATTTCTCCTAGAGGCAGCTTGATGCTTTGACTTTTGGACTTAAATTAAACAGTAGCTTGCTGAACATTCATCTCTAGGGATTTACTTTACAGATTCTTGCGGGTCATATGGCAAAGAAGTTTAGCGTTACCAGCTGATCCCTGAGTTTAAAATGTAATTACATTGGAAAGACAGAATCGGGACTCTGTAATGAGGCTAGAAAATGATGCTCTTAACCTAAGGATACAAGGTGAAGAAAATCACGAAAATGAGAAAGCGATTCCACTTAATATTCTTGGCAATTCTGCAAAGGTGTTATCAGATTCCTTATACAATAGCTATGCTTGATGGTAACAAAACTTAACAAGTGTCCAAAAGTGAGATCTGGATCAAGCGTCTATTTGATATTTTTGAGAAAGTACTTAATTGTGTTTATTAATGTTTGTCAAGATTGTTCATGTCATTGTATTTTTAATTTTTATGTAAAAATAAAAAGCAGGATAGTGAAGAAAACTTCCTTTCCTAGGGCACTTTCTATTATACATGTGTCTATAGAAATATGTGATAGTAGGACCGATGCCATGGTTCCATTCCATGTCAATATAGTAGTAGTAGTAGTAGTAGTAGTAGTAGTAGTAGAAGTAGAAATAATAATAATAATAATAATAATAATAATAATAATAATAATAATACTTTATTGATGCCCCACCCCATCTCCCAAAAAGGTGCTCGGAGTGGCTTACAACCATGAAAGAAAATGTATTATATAGACAAAAAACATAACATATCAAATTAAGATAAAACAAAAAATGAATGCAAAATAACAACAATCAATAAATCATTATTATATAAAAGCACTTTGAATAACATTTAAAAAATCCCAGGTATTGCTATGGTACAATAAGCCATAAAATCCGATTGATTATTATTTGGTATTTTTACATTTTGCCATTGTTGAAAGCCTGTTTAAAAAAATATGAGTGTGGGTACTTGCCTAATCCCCCTGGGGAGGGTGTTCCAAAGCCAGAGGGGGGCACTACTGAGAAGGCCCTATCCTTTGTCCCCACCAACCACACTTGGAATGGTGGTGGGACCTTTAGGAGGGCCTCCCCAGCAGATCCTAAGGCCAGGACAAGTTCATAGGGGAAGATGAGGATGCATAAATTTAAATATTGTGCTCTTTTCATGCCCTTCTTGACACAAAAATAATTCCCATTCATTCCAATGTGTTATTCATATCCACCTGGTTTTCTAAGACTCACTTCTCAGCAAAAGTGCAATCTTCAACCTTATATATTCTTCCTGGTATATTTTTATGGACAGAATAGAATAGAATGGTTAAAGAAGCAGCATAAGCTATTAAGACAGAAGGGCTTACAGAATTGGCTTGCTTCCTGGCTTGATTTATTAGGTCCTTAATGTGAGAGATGTTTTTCCCCAGGTTGTCTTGAAGTTGTTTGATTGGTTTGAGCTTATCCATCAGCCGATCTGCCTCTTTTTCCAGGTTTCTTACTGTGTCATCTGCATCAGCAACTTTGTACAATAAAAACAACAACATGGAAGATTTAACAGGAGTTTAAAACATCATTAGTAAAACTGAGAATGCTATGTGCAGATGGTTTCTAATCCAGGGATGAATGTCATGCCCACATTTTCTTCCCCTTTCCACTTCTTAATCCAAAGGTCTTTACCATGTTGTGTGAAACCAGTTTTCCATTACATCTGTAAGAGGAGTCAATGATTTCATTTGGGATTCTGATGACTGTACAAGAACCTCCTTCTTTTGGTGTGGTTCTGAGTGCATGATTAAACCACTGTTTCCTAATTCATATGTAACAGTAGGCTGTAGCTTAAAGTAAACATACCACAAGTGCCAAAAAGCAGTGTGAGAAAGGAGGGACAAGATGATGAGGAGTGCATGATGGCCAGATCAATAAACCATGTTTTATTAAATGCAGATTGCTATCTAACTTGGCCTTCTGTTGCTAGTTTATTTTGAAAGGATGTAGAATGATTGAAACAATCATTGGTTTAGAGACAAAACAGGAGCAAGAGAAAGATTAAAAGAATGTTCTATGTGTGAAGTTATAGGTTTGTTTGAAGTTATTTCAGTTATTCTGTAATGTGAAAAGACCAGAGGTCAGAAAGTTGAAGGTTAAGAGTGCAGGTGTTTATTTCTTACTTGCATCTTATTCAAAGTATTTGAATTAAAAATAGCACTGATTAGTTTTGCAGTTTCAAATTAGAAAAAAAGAAAAGAATGGCCTTATATATATAAAAAAATCCAACTAAAGCACAGCAATGATAATGTGTTGGGAGGAATATAGTGTGGGAGATGGCCTTCTCCAGTGTGGTCCCCTGGTTGTGAAATAACCACCCTTTGGAAGTGAGATAAGTAATGACTTTGCAGTCATTCCGATCCCAAGTAAAAACTTCACTTTTCAACTGAATGTAGTGTAGTAGTGACTGAATGTAAAATCTGTGTACAGTCATGCCTGCATATTACTTGCAATATGTTTTTTTAAACATAAAATCTAGACAACATTTTATAGGGAGAGATTTCACCAGTCAAGTCTTGGCCATAGTCCAACATGTCACTGAAAGCTTAAAATATCAAATAGTCAAAATATGGCTGTCCCTCACTAACCTGCTGCCCCACAGAGGGAAGAATATCTAAAGGGAAGGCTTACATGCTGAGTGCAGACTGACCACACAGAGTTCCCAGAAGCAGCCCTCTCTCTCCCTGTTTGCAAAATCCATCCAGAAGCCTGATGATATGGAGCCATATACTTCTCTCAGCCAAGGAAGGAGTGTTAGTGAGGAGAGGTGTGTTGCTCTGCATAGCCTGGTTTCCGTTATTTGTGTGGGCATGCATGAGTACTGCCTCCCACTAGCAACCCAATTATGACACACACACACAGAGCAATAGAATGTGGGAGGGTGCCCTCCACTGAAATCTCTCCACCTGGTAAGTTGGGCAGAGCCTTTCTATCTGCTGAGATAGGAGTTTGTCTCCTTCCTATGCTGAAAGAGGGGCATAAAGGGCTACCAGTCAGATCTGGCACCTGGAGAAGGGGCTGCTTTCAGGAGTTTGTGAGCAATGTCATCCCCTGCTGCCCTCATCTTTGCCTACAGAGCTGTATGACTGAACCCATATATAATGGGATCATGTATTATGTGGAAAGACCGTACATACATGGTTTTAGAATCTTCTGACTTCTTAAATTGTGGAATTGTTTGATATGTTTTTACAGTTTCCGTTATTTTGTTGCTTAAGTTATTAGTATTCTAATATTAAATGATCTAAACTGATTTTATTATAAGCTGTCCTGTATGGGGTTATAAATATTTTAAATCAATCAATCAATCAATCAATCAATAAACAACACAAGAGTGATTGAGTGTGATATGCATGCCAGATGTCCGATGATAGCGGAGCAATATTTTCCTTAGCAGAATTTGGAAATCACCAGTAACTAAAGATGAAAAGAACATCTAAAAATTTCTCACTTTTAGTAAGAAAAGTTGTTTCAATATACATATTTAAAAATGGGCAACTAATGTGAATTTCTTCAGATTTCCATTTTTTTTATTATGAAATGAAAATATTATAAGAATATATGCAAGAAAAATGTTTTGCATAGGACACAGTGCAACATAAGAAAAAAATTATTGTTTTTGGAAAAAGACGTCAGCTTTTGCATGAATAGTTTTGATTTTTGTACAAAAATTCCTGAAAATCAAAAAGGTTGTTTAAAATGCTGAAAATCTCTTATACGTTTGAATGAGGCGAGACATAAACAAATTTTGAGATTGTTAAGTCTTGCATTGATATTGATATTCTGAATAGTTAAAAATAATTGCCGTATATTCCGGCATATAAGACAACTGGGCGTATAAGACGACCCCCAACTTTTCCAGTTAAAATATAGAGTTAAGACAACTCCCATGCATAAGACTACACCCGCGTATAAGACGACCCCTGACTTTTGAGAAGATTTTCTTGGGTTAAAAAGTAGTCTTATACGCCAGAATATACTGTAGCTATTTGTAATTAATTAATTTTCTATTAATTTAGGCATAATTGAGTCACACTTCAACAGCAACATAACAAGAAAACACCATCTCTTTTATAATGTAATTTAATTTTAACTACTTTTACTACACTTAAAGAGATATACTTAAAAGATGGAGATGAAGAAAAAAGACCTAAATGTTGAGTTATATGAAACAGCCTTGTGTGGGAGGGAGCAGACTATGTTTTATACCATTGGCCAGCAGTTCATAGTACTTAGATAAAAAAAACACCAAAATCAATTATTTTAGTTACAAAATAAAATTCAAACAATAAAGAAAAATATTTTCATGTTTTAGGACTAAGTATATGTGTGTATGCGTGTATCTATCTATTTATCTATATATCTATAGTTCTCCTATCTCATTAAAACAATAGGTTTATGGGTTGAGGAAATTTGGCATGTTCAGCCTGGTGAAGAGAAGATAAAAAGGTGGCATACTGTCATTTTAAAATAACTAGAATGCTGTTCCAGAGAGGAGGGACTAGGTTTATTTTCTGCTACCGCAGAGGTTTAGACAAGGGCTGGTTTTAAGGTACAAAAGGATAGATTTGAATTAGACATTTGAAGGTAGTTTGTGACAATAAGACCTGTTAACAATGAAACAAATTACCTGAGCAAGGAGTTGGAGTTGATGGCCTTCTAACTCTATGAGTTAATGATTACAAGGAAGCCAAAATGGATAAGTATAGTATAGTCTTCTCTGCTCAGATCTCTATGCTCAACACATGGAGATCAAGAACAGGAAGCCATATGGTGTCTATCAGTGGAACTCCTATTATTTTACATGCTGCATAATCTGATCTCATGAGCACTGGCTTGTTGAATAAATTCAGAAGTTACTAGACAATCACAATGTGATAATGAAATGGTAACAGCTGTCTCCTGTTTTTCACATCCGGCATCTCACATTCAGAGGCTCAGATGGAATTTTCACCCAGCTATCTTGATCACTGAAAAGACACAACCTACATAAATTTTACTAATTTTAAAAGGCCATGGAGAATAATCCTTATTAGTACCAAAAAGATCAAGCAATTCTGCCTTTCCCATTCATACTAACAGCCAATGTAATTGAAAGACTCGGGCTCTTATACGTTATATCCAAACAGAGGGCAAGGGACAAAAATAAATGAATGGATACATAGATAGATAACCATATTCCCTTCACAATTTCTACATTGCTGAATTTTGGAAAACCTCTGTTGGAAGCTGTGAAACTATTGTCATCAACAGGTCATCAGGCACCAAAATTGTGACTGATACTGTATTTCGAAATCCTTATTGACATTGCAGGAATTTTATATAATCATCTCAGGTCCAGACAGGAGAAAAAAAAAGATCTCTGTTGAGCTTTGTTTTTGTCCCATGTTTATTGTAATGTTATTCTCCTGTTTGTGTATCTTCATGGTGCAAAAGGTGCCTGTGTCACATTGGGGGATGTAGCTGTGAATCTGCCTTGCTGGAACATGGACAGCTTCCACTATTAGATGATGAATAGTGACTTCTTCCATTTTTAATTTAATTTCTCAACTGTGATTATGATACATGAATATGGCATGGACATGTAACATCAGAAATTACCCTGAGCTGAGATTTGTTCACAGGTTGCTGGTCTGAATGGGAGTGTTTGTTGTAACACTGCTGGGATATTGGCCAGAGCAAAATAGTTAGCAATTTTAATGCAATATCTTAAATAAGTGCTATGCAAGTATGTTTGAGAAAATGAATGAAGCGCATAAACATACAAAAAGAGGAAAAAGCCAAAAAAAAAAAAAAAAAAAGGAGCGGGGGGGGGGGGGRGKGATAAAATTAAAACCTTATACGTACTGATTCCTGTAGGCAAGTTTTGATGATTTTAAAAAAAGAAGAAGAAATGTGTAAGACAGTAAGTTTGAAAGACAAACATTAACACAACAAATGGATCAGTGAACATAAAACTGGAATTCATTGCCTTGCACATAGGTACTTGTGATTTGACACACCTCAGATAGTCACTAGATTTTTAAATATAAGTCCTACTGAATTCAGAGAGATTTACCTTGGGCTGATGTGTATAGAATTGTGGATCCTATCTGATCTTGAAAGCTAGGCAAGTTAGCACTTGAATGAGAAAATTCCAAAGTATACCAGGTGCTTTATTTCAGGGGCAAATCAACCCTGAGTATTCATTTTCTGAGAAAATCCTATGGAATTCATGGGGTCATTACAAGTTGATAAGCCAGTTGAAGGCAGACACACACCTAGTAAAAAATCCTACCAAATATGAGCCTTTTACATGCTCTTTGGTTCTTCTTTATCTTATTTCCCACTTGATTCAAATTCCACCATTCCCTTTTAATTTTTGAGTTATCTCATTCATATTTAGCTTCAACAAAACCATGTTGTTTAAAACTCTAGGTGGGCCACTGTTTAACTGCTGCAGAGGTGCTGCTGACTATCCTATGGTTGATTTATGGTGACCAACTGATACGGCCATATTAATACAAAGGTCAGTATCTGCTGGAGTTCTCCCCATTGAATAAACAAAACCAAACAAAATCAGAGGAGAAACATACTACATCACATAAAAATTAAAAACCTTAAACCAAATTAGTAGTATTCCCATACATACATAAACAAACAAACAGAGCTTTGTGGAGATTTTGCCAGTGTAGTTTCTTCATCTAAAAATGTACATACATTTAATAACTCTTTGGTATTTCTCCCCAACTTCTTTTAAAAAGAGCATCTCTTTCTTCCCCACACACAAACACACATAATCAGATTTTCCAAGAAAATGAAAAAACTTTATGTCTTAGGCATAATATTACTTAACCAGAAAAGGAAAAAAAGTTTTCTAAACACTAAACAGGAAAATGCTATTCTAGAATTTAAGAGCTCATGTATATCATAGCTTTGAAGGTCTATCAATATTCTTAATCCCCCTCGCTTCTGTTTATAACAGATATCCAATGGAAATGGATGCTAACTTTCCTGTGCCATTGCAATGGGAAAGGTCATACAGCAGTGGTAGAGACATTCATACTCAATTTTCCTTCAGTTCAACACAGTGATACTCAATGAATATAACTAAAGTATCAGCATAAAATATGCTCTTAACATAGCTGTATTACCCAAGAGGCTATAATACATCTTCTACAAGCAAAAGACAGCTTTATTAAACTCCTCTCTCATACGTTTCCCCTTTAAAGGTTAGCTCATAGACCAAGTTGAAATGTTCATACTACAAAAGCTTGCCATTATTTCCACTGTCCTGGGAATTATCTTTCAAGGACTTTCCCATTATTAACATTCTCAGCTAAAAAATTTCATATTAATTGAAGCATTTTAAGAACCTAGAGAATGGATCCTTGAAAACATACTGCTTGGCACGTGCCATCTGAAGTATAAAAATAGCTAAGAAGTGGATGCAAATGTGGAATATGTCTTGGAAGGCGTCAACTAAAAATATAAAATGTCAACAAGCTTCCAGTAGTATAGAAAATATTTCTCTCAAATGAAGGCAAAACTCGTTAATTTCAGGTGACTATGAAAACAGAAAAAGAAATAATGCTAGATAATAAATATAATAAAGTCCTACTGTTTTTGGCGGGATCTTTCACTACAGCATTTGTTTTGGCTGCATCATCAGCAAGTTTCTGGTAGTTGTCTTTTAAGCCTAGGAGATTCTTGTTGAGATCTCTGATTCTAGCCAGTACATCATTTGCTGTATCATTAGCTTGCCTAGCTTTCTCCTTGACTGCTTGTACCTTGGCAGCTGTATCTGTAAGCAAGAAGTAGAATATCAGAATCATGGGAGAGATTTAACATGTAATGCCTGGCATCCTATTACACATATATGGTTCATTTAACTGTACTGTGTCCTGAGTTTGGTGCCCAAAAGGTTGATATTCCCTTTTCCCTATGCAGTCTGCTATACCTTGCTTCACTGGTAGTGGAAAATATCACCGTAGCATCTCTTGTAACCAGATGCAAAATCACTGTCTGAGCAATCGGTATATAGCCAGATGCTTATGTAACTCTGCCTGACCCCAAGACACCAAGGAGTGGCCATATACAGAGCTCAGTAAATCAGGTGGGAATATAGTTCAACATAACATAGGTCTACTATGCTATGATGAAATCCAGTTGGTAAATTCCAGTGGTTGAAAAATGAGTCACATATATCCCACTGTAAATTCCATTGATTTAATGGACCTACTATAATTTGACTTCCAAGTTATTAAATGCAAAGATAACCACTTCTGCATCGGTTATTAGTTACAATTCTGTCAATAAAACCTTTTGATTTTGGAAGGACATATCATGGTCTTGTCAAGACGTCCAAGTCATTAAATAGGGAAGTCTATTCAATTATAAATGTAATTATATAATTGAATAGACTTTAATCTAAGGCAATATATCATAGAGTTAATTGATCTTATTATCATGAAACCCGCTTGACCAATATGGAGCCAAAATTGACTAGTTTGTTTTCACACTATTTCAATGTTTTCATCAAATGATACTAAGGAAAGTCCAGCTAACTATTAATTGAAGGGGAAATTGTCAGTGGATTGGAACCTTGCATTATCAGTTCTGTAACATTTAACAAATTATAAACACATACTGCTTAGTGTGCCAGAAAATTCATACAAATTAGACTCAAATCTAAACTTTCACATTCTAAAACTTGCATATATTATTTCCATGTGAGCAAACTTCTGTCATGGTTTCATAATTTTTACAGCATCTGCCTCCATCACCCTGAAATCACTCTGTCACCTGCACTGGCAAAAGAAAGAGCACAGATGCTAGCGAGCTAGTTTAATTAGATTGCAACTTTGTTGAATCAGAGCCTCGTATAATTCTGTTGGTTTCTCTTCACCCCTACACCACAAAGAATTGCTCTTTCCACTCTAAAATATGGCAACATACCTATGGTGTCATGCCAGTTTACATTACATGAATAGAATACTGGCAGCTGATCTTGGCTTCTAATTTTACATCCTTTGGATACAAAGCATGCCAGCCAATTTCAGTCTCTTCCATAAACAGATTTTTAATATTTTTGCAGAAATGATGAACTTTGCCTAACAAGATTGTCTCTTCCCTGAATAACTGGTGTTGCCTCAGTATTTGCTTACTTTAGTTAGAAACAAGTAGAAGTACTATTGGGAAATGAACTACAGAAATGATAGATTGGCAGACAGTAGGCTGTCTTGAATTTTTTTTAAAAAAACTTCTAGAACTAGCCTTCTAAGGGTGATATGAAAGTGACAGCTCCTGGCAGACCAGAGGAAAAAATGAATAGTAAGCATTCATTCTCTGGTGGCACATAGCATGCCAGCATTCTTAAAGAGCTAAAAGAAAGAACTTGCTGAAGAGCTAACACTTATTCCTGAGCCATGAAATGGGATTTCCTTTCCTTCAAGTAGACCACCCTTGAAGGAAAAGGACATCAATTGTGTATGGTTAAGATAAAAGAAATGAAACCACTACAATACAGCAAGGAAGGACAGTTATCAATACAATAAGAAGATTCATTTCCTTTAGTCTCAGGGAGAATACTTCATGTTTGTTTTCAGTTTGAGGTTATGTTGTTGTTGTTTGTATATTTATTTGTTCATTGGTTCCATCAACCAGAGCAGTGGTGAGATATTTTAATTGCTTTTATATAATGCAAACCTTATTTATTTATAGATGATGGTTATGTTAATTTAATATGTTTTGGTTCACTTTGTATCAATGTTGTGTTATTATTTCTATTTATTTAATTAAAATTGTTTATTTGTTTTATTATTGTTTATTATGGTATTAATCACATTGCTGTAAGCTGCTGCAAATTCCCTCAGGAAGATAGGGCGGGATATAAATAAAGTATGATGATGATGATGATGATGATGATGATACCCCACTATTTTCCCAGTGGCTCAAGGAGGCTTGCAACAGCTAAATCAAACATCGCTAAAAATTAAAAGCATGCAAAAATTTAAGCCAGTTAAACAAATTAAAAACAACAACAAAGTCTGGCACAAATGTCCCCTGAAGAATCAATCTATGTTTGATGTCGCACATCCAAATCTAACTGGGTACATAGAGACATGATGACTCACTCACAGCATGATATCTATTGTGTTAGAGCCATGCCATGAGGGATAGTAAAAATGGAGCAATACTATAAATATGAACAGATGGGTCATCGAGAAAAGTATATCTGGGTTTATGGAGCAGTTTGTACCACAGATTTTCACAAACTGTAATCACAAATCCACTCTACTTACCATTAGGAATTGCTGACAGTTTTCCCAGTGTATCATTCAATGCTCTCAGGAGATCAGAATTTTTTTCCTCTGCATCTTGCAACCTATTCTGCATTCCCTTTAGGTTATCTCCATTTTCTTAAAAGAAGGAAAGAAGAAATCCACAAAGATTCAACTTAGTTTTTCTGTTCACTGCTCACTTTACTTTTAGTTCATTTCATTTATTACATTTGCTGAAATATCCTGTAGTGTTACCGTTTAATGATAGAACCATGCTATATAACAGTTCGGGTGTATTCTGGTCTCTGTGTGTAACCTGCTTTTCTTTGAAAGGTGTTTGGTACACACGAGGGCAGGTTTGCTTTATCCTTACAATATTTATTTGAAGAAACTCATTTCTAGAGAAAAATATCTAGCATCTAATACGTTTTTGTCTCAACAGAGATTTGAAAAAACTCTATGTAGTTCATGTTGAACACTTTATATAATACAGCATACCATGTTGAATTTATTTGCATTCAATAAGTAAGCTGATAAGTAACCTAATTTGGTTCCTTTATCAAAAGAAATGCCAATATTCCTAGATATTTTCCCAAGATATCCATATAAACAGTATTCAGAAAGATCACACCTTGTATTCCAAAATTTAAGCCAAGGGTTATTAGAATGTCCAAAGTATGGTTTTGTATTATGCAAAAGAAAACCTTTACTGATGCAATGCATATGGAAAAACCATGAAATCATATTAACTCTATACTGGAGGCAATACTGGAGAAACACTATCAATTTACTCACATTCCCTTTTTGCAGATAAAATAATGGTCTAAAATCTATTAAAAGTGAAAAAATACACAGATTATAGGAATATTAATTGGATATTCAATATGTTACTTATGGGATATGATTCAGAATGGTCTGCAAGTATTTTTTCATGACAGTTGTATTTTTTGACATCTATCAAAATGATTCCTTTCCTGTCAAAAGAAATATTCCAACTTAAGATCTGTGGTTATTGATAAATAGGCATGTCAACAAATCAGGCATGTAGTTTGCCAAGAAAAAATTATGATTAGTGTTAAAGCACCAGTTTTTAGAAAGGGCATTCATTATTTATTTACAACAGCGTGGAGATCATGGTGCCTGCTGCAAAACTGTAAAACAGAAATTTGTAGCCAGATGGTACTTTCTGCTTTGAAACAAAAGGACCTAAGTGATGGAAAATCTGGGAAGGAGGCCATAAATCATATACACAGCACTCAGTGAAGATAGCAAATTACAAAGAATTCAAAAACTTCTATACGTGAGATAATGCGGAACATCTAACTAAGATATATATTGTCTTATCTGATATCCCAGAGTGCTCTTAACTGGACTATAAATCAGTTTCCAGAAAAGAAAAACACAATATTTTTTAAACTATCTATTAGGAGAGATTTCACAGCTGAAGAATTTGCTACACAATAGTTCTTGAATGTCTTATATATTTTCTGAAAAATAGAGTAATGTGTTTTTGTAATGTCATACAGAATAGTTCAATAGCTTCCTGATGTTAACTACTAGATATTGGATTGTATCTAAGAATGGTTTTGTGCTATTAGAAAACACACCCCCTTGTGCAAGTGGACCAGCAGAAGTTCACTGTCTTGAGCCACTGTAGGATGTCACACAATTTCCCAGAGTTTAGAAAGTTACTTCCTAAAACATCATTCACTCTGGTTATTACAGTGCTTAAAGAGTAATTAATTGCTTTTACTCATTGTAATGTTGCTTTACTAGTGTGACATACTCATGGTGCAATTGCAAACAGTGCCAGCAAAGAGAAAAAAATAAGACAAGTGCAAAGAAGCCAGAATGGATGTCCAAGGAATTTCTAACTGGGCTAAGACTCAAAAGAGACATGCACAAGAAGTGGAAAAGGGGAGAAATCACCAAAGAAGAATTCAAATGAATAACCAATTCCTGTAGGGAAAAGGTTTGCAAGGCTAAAGTGCAAAATGAGAGCAGGCTTGCCAGGGACATGAAAAACAATGAAAAGGGCTTCTTTGCTTACATCAGTAGAAAAAAAAAGAACAAGAAGGTGAGAAGGCCTCTGCAAGAAGAAGACGGGGAAATGCTGACAGGGGATAGGAAAAAGGCAGAACTACTTAATGCCTTCTTTGCCTCAGTCTTCTCACAAAAAAGCCATCCTCAACCTCAGCAACATTGAATGGATGAAGCATTGGGGAAAATTCAACTGCAAATATGGAAACAAGTCATCCAAGAATACTTGGACACTCTAAATGAATTCAAGTCCCCACAGCCTGATAAACTACATCCAAGAGTATTGAAGGAACTAGAGGAAGTCATTTTGGAACCACTGGCAATTGTCTTTGAGAGTTTTTGGAGAATGGGACATGTCTCAGCAGATTGGAGTAGGGCAAATGTGGTCCCTATCTTCAAGAAGGGAAAAAAGGATGACCCAAAACAATTACCATCTAGTCAGCCTCACATCGATACCAGGCAAGATTCTGGAAAAAATTGTTAAGAAAGTGGTCTGCAAACACTTAGAAACACACGCAATCATCGCTAATAGTCAACACAGATTTTTTTCAAAAACAAGTTATGCCAGACTAATCGAATCTCTTTTTTTCGATAGAATTACAAGCTGGGTAGATGCAGGGAATGTCATGGATGTAGTGTATCTGGATTTCAGTAAGGTCTTTGACAAAATCCTCCATGACTTTCTGGCAAACAAACTAGTAAAATGTGGGCTAGGCAAAATTAGAGTAAGGTGGATCTGTAACTGGTTAAGTGAACAAACTCCGAGGGTGCTCATCAATGCTTCCTCTTCATCTTGTGATGAGTAGAGTACCGCAGGGTTTTGTTCTGTGCCTGGTTCCGTTCTTTATTAATGACGTAGATGAAGGGTTAGAATGCATGAACATAAAGTTTGCATATGACACCAAATTGGGAGGGATAGCCAATACCCCAGAAGATAGCAGCAGAATTAAAAAAAAATCTTAACAGATTAGAGAGATGGGTCAAAACCAACACAATGAAATTCAATAGAGACAAGGGACTCTCCACACCAACGAAGTTGGTGGGGAGAGCGATTTGCCCCACCCCCTGAAGGAAGAGAGGGGAGGTTCCTTTTAGAACCTCCTGGAAGAGGGGCTGGGGCCGGCTTACCACGTGAGCCGGCCCAAGCCCTTTCAGTCTTGTCAGACTTTTCGCCCGCCACTCCCGCCCATTGACAGTATATTTGGTTGCCCGTTGGAGCCGGGTAGGAATTTTTTGCCTCTCATGTTCTGGGGGGTTTTTTCGCCTACCCTATACTGTTATTAGGGGCTAGATGGAGTGGTTTGGTTAACTAGGCCAGCATAAATAGTTCAGGAAAACACTGACACGGGGGTATACACATGGCACCCATTAAGGGTGGGGGGCACGGTACAACAAACACTCACCTAGAAGTCAACAAATGGGTGAGGGGACATCAAGTGGCCCAGTAAAGAGAGGAGCTGATATCAAGAATCGAATACAGGCTTCTCCAGATTTACCTTCAGGTTGCCCGGTTGGGGATCCAGGGCACGCAGACATCACACATTAAGTAGCTGGGGATGCTGCCTCAGCTTGCCACCAAGTTCCTTGACACTTAGTTTAGTTCAGGTAAAGTTAAATAGGTAACATTCAATAAAAGTTGCCCAATTTGAATCCATACATTTGTTGTCTGTCTCGTTATTTCAGGGGTTAAGGGGCAAATGCAAGATACTCCACTTAGGCAGAAAAAATGAAATGCAAATATACAGAATGAGGGATGCCTGGCTCAGCAGCAGTACGTGTGAAAAAGATCTTTGAGTCATAGTGGACAACTTAAACATGAGCCAACATTGTCATGCAGCAGCTTAAAAAGCAAATGGGATTTTGGCCTGCACAAATGGGAATATAGTGTCTAGATACAGGGAACCCATGTTACCCCTCTATTCTGTCTTGATCAGACCACACCTGGAATACCATGTTCCATTCTGGACTCTGCAATTGAAGGGAGATGTTGGCAAGCTGGAATGTGTCCAGAGGAGGGTGACTAAAATGATCAAGGGTCTGAGAACAAGCCCTAGGAGGAATAGCTTAATGAGTTGGGCATGTTTAGCTTGCAGAAGAGAAGGCTGAGAGGAGACATGGTGATGGCTATGTATAAGTATGTGAGGGAAAGTCATAGGAAGGAGGGAGCAAGCTTGTTTTCTGCTGCCCTGGAGGATGCGGAACAATGGCTTCAAACTACAGGAAAGGACATCCCACTTAAACATTAGGAAGAACCTCATGTGAGAGTTGTTCAACAGTGAAACTCTCTGCCCCCAGACAATGATGGAGGCTCTTTCTTTGGAGGCTTTTAAACTGCCTGGATGGCCATCTGTTGGGGTTGCTTTGAATGCAATTTTCCTACTTCTTGGTAGGTGATTGGACTGGATGGTGCATGAGGTCTCTTCCAACTCTATGATTCTATGATTGTGTTGTCCATTGCTATTTTGCTACTTTCAGCTGACGTTTTTTTTAAAAAATCAGGACTTATGAGAAAATGGCACAGAAGTTAAATGTTTTTTTTAAAACTCAAAATGCTCCTAAAATGACTTTTAGAAAACATTACTAGTAACACAAGTGGCTTGGGTCCCACTTGTTAAATTACTTTTAAAATGTACCTTTGTTAACCTTTGCTACCAGAAACGTAACTTGTTAGAGGTAACTATATTACTTGCAATGCATTATTTCCAAGCTGTGCCATTTCCTATGTTGTTTCGGCGAACACCCTATCTCTCAAGAATATTTTTCAGGCATCCTAATGGCTGAAATAGACAGAGCTGGATACTAGCTGTTGTTTTTCAATATACATACTAGAGAGATGGATCAATGCACAGTTACATTTCCAAGTGAATGCAGATCTGAATATGTTAACATTTGCCTTGGGCCAAGGAATACTAACAAGGGCTTTCTTTTGTAAGTGTATACAAATACTATTTCAAAATATCTTTAATCTGACTTACTGAAAATGCAATTTTCTTAATATTGTTCTAAGATCTCTTGGGCATTAAAAATGAACAGCGTACATATTATGTTTCATAAAATAGTTTTCATATAGCAGATACACTTCAGGTGGTAGTTTTAGCAGTTACACAGCCTGATGCTTCTAATACTGACGATTCTCTCTAGGGTAAGTTGCTCAAATTATAACAATTATTCTATTTTTACATTTCAGAATAAACCTCCTTTGAAATCTTGCTCCTAGCTTTGTAACCATTGAACCAGACCCTTTTTATGGCTTTTAATAAGTTTAATCTCTGTGGATAACCTAAATGCCAATTTTCTAACTCCATCTGTTTAATATTTCCCTATTTAATATCTCAAATGCATTTTAATTGTTTTTTCAATATTAGAAAGGAAAAATAAATTTCCTAAGGGAGTCTCATGCAGGATGGAGTTCCAAAAATCACCATTAATATTTAAAGAAATTGCTGGTGATAAATGGTCTGAAAGGCTATATTCTGAAGTCACCTGTGGTGAAAATAACACTCAGAGAGTATTTTACTTTAAGCGTTGTGCTGTAGCTGCAGCACACAATTTCAGTGTGCTCTTTCCCTTTACTTGAGATATACCCAAAATGTTCTTTCCTCAGCTCCTTAGCGGGAAAGATCGAGACTTTTCCATCCACAGAAGATTTCTAATCAAATGAGAAATTCTGCTGATACAATAGGAATAGGATGAGTTCCATCTTTCCAAGCTCAAAGTACTCCCTGCTGTGCTTTCCATTTATTATACTGAAATGGCAGATACAAAATTTGTATGCAAGTTATTACTGATAACAACATCACAGGCTACCATAATATACAGTTGCCCATAATATTGTGAATGCAGGCAGCTCCTATTTAAGCTTGAATTAGCTAACTTTAACAATGTATGGCAAGGCAAGAATAATGGGAAATTTGCAATTTGCTATGCTCCCTCCCTCCATTTCTTAGATATGACTCTTCTGATATACAGAGGTCCAGGTCCAAGTCCTGGACTTTGGAAAAGATTGGACATTTGACTGATGAAAACCAGGAGAAATATGACCATGAAACATCAGAGTGAGGTCAAGATGGCAAACATTATTAATGTGGAAGGCCCCCCTGCAACAGTTCATTTTTGCCTGAACTTACTGGAAAGAGTGGGATTCTACTCTCCCCTTTCCCCCTCTCTCCGAGATGAGTTAATTGTGTACAAACTACTTTTGTACACTGAACAGTTTGTAGTAGTTAAACTTTGCTTGGGATGAAAGGGGACTCAGACTGGAAAGCTGAGAGAGAAACTGGGACATTGCAAAAGCAGCTAGAAAGAGGTGTGATCAGGACTGTCCCTGCCAAATCAGGACAGTTGGAGGCATGAAAAACTAAATATGAGGAAATGCCCTGAAAGTATAAAGGGAAGTTCACATTATATTGCAGGAGTATCTCAGAACAATCACCTTCAGACATTTGAGAGCCTTTGAAATGAGAGAAAATAGTCCTTATAGTGACATAGCTTGAGTACACCTCTACTTTGGCAACAATGTTTAATGGCAAAAAGTGCTTTTTTATGGTGTTATTTATTTTTGCTATTCTAAAGCAAGTTAGCCTAAAACATCAGGACATTTTATCCAAGAACATATAGAGACACAGTGGTTATAAAATAAATTGATGAAGGAAAGAAAAAAAGATGACATCAGTAAAAAGAAAAAAAAGAATTAAAGCATATACTATCCACACTTGCAATAAACTTATATAAGAGAATAAATTCAACAACAAGCCATCTTTCCCAAGAAAGTTATTCTTTCTTGACTGCCCTGAGTCCCCTTGGGGAGATAGGGTGGTCTATAAATAAATATTGTTGTTGTTGTTATTCTGTCTGAAGAAAATTCCTAAGTTATTGTATCAAACTACACAATATTTTATTAAATTTCTTAAAAACAAACTTTATATTAATTAATCAATTGTTAATAATAAACACCATAGGCTTTCTGTTCTTCAATTTTGTGATTATTTTGGTTCAAACCAAAGTACTATAACTAAAATTGCTTCATAAATAAAGAGCTTTTACATTACATATTTATTTCCATTTAGTTTGCATTGCTTGACAGGCAAACTATTAATTTATTTATTTAGAGCTTTTATAACCCAGTCTTCTCGACCTCCGAAGAGGGACTCAGGCTGGCTAACAGCAGAAAATTCAACACAAATATAGTAAACATAATAGCATCATAATACATTAATACAAAATACATTAAAATACAGATCATATAATATCATCCAATTACAAAAGCCAGGTCGTCAGAATAAAATCACAAAATCATCACCATCTGCCGGTGTGGTCAGCCATTATTGACTCGATCATCATTTTGCAAATGCTATATTCCAAAGCCAGCTTTTTACCAGCTTTCTGAAAGTCAGGAGGGAAGGGGCAGACCTCAAATCCTGGCCGTGGGATCAAGTGTTTGAACAATAGATGGATCAACTGGGAAGATAATGTTTTTAGTGGACCACATTTGGATGGATCTAGATTATGATTTTGAACTGGTGAACTGTTTTTAACTGAATGTTTTAACTGTTTTAATTGTAACTATGATTTTTAATGTATTGTGTTGGCATCTAATGGCTGCCTGTTGTAAGCTGTCCTGACTCCGCCTTCGGAGGTGAGAAGGATGGGATATAAATGCTCAAAATAAATATGAAGAAAAACTAGAGAACAGCAGCATTCCGTCAATCAGTTGAGATACTGGCATTCACATCTGTGCCAAATGCTGCCTGTAGAATATACTTGCACTACCAATCTTCCCCCTTTTAAGCTTCCAGGATGGTGATTGCGAGACAGAAATGAGTAAATCTCCATTTTAATAGCTGCCGTTAAAACATTTTGCTCTGTAAGAACTCTTTCACCCATTTTTGGTGGTAATATATGGTGTTTTCCTGATTAACAGCCATTTTATATCTTATGTAATTGGCTATAAATCAGACAGATGTCATAATATTGCAAGAAAACACTCCTATCTCTGTCAAATCCCAGGCCTGACTTCTGGGAGGATATATTTCTTGAGTAGTGTACAGGTTTTCATTACTCCAACTAATGTACTACCTGTAGTGTTGAGGGAGAAATTCTAAAATAATGACCACTTCCGCCTACTAGTTCTTTATATAGTCATTATTAGTCTTTCAGATATTAATTTTTCCTATAGGGATTTTGGAAGATGTAAGGAAACGTTACCCATTTCTTTCAGCTGTTCTCTTGCTAACCCAGAAATGCCAAGATGCAGATACAGGTTTATGATAATAATAATTTTGGAGCAAATGTCACAAGGCAACTGAAAACAATTTAATTCCACTTTATGAGGCCAAAACTCAGTCCTGCAGTGCAAGTGAAATGTTTAATAGTATATTACCATATATACAAGACAGAGAACCGAGGAAAACATTAAAGCTTTACGTTTTGGCATAGCAATTTCATCACTGTTAGAGCCTTCTAATGAAAAAGAAAAATCAGCTTCATGGCCCTCCAATTAACCAGTAAAAGGGTTTCACGACCATATATGAGTAGCTAATTTGAAAATTTATAAGAAGTCTCATGGTGGCATTAGCTAGTTTGGGAAAGCAGAACTTTCATTTGGTGAAGGACTGAATCTTAGATGACAACTAAGGTGTAAAATGCATAAATGCATAGTTACTTATTGTGTTGGTACAGTTGACAACGGGAATATGAAAAATGTCATTCTGATTACATTCAGTTGAGAGCTGTTACAACCTGTGGAAATAACTTGAGAAAAGTAATAGTTTCTAATTCTAAACTACCTCAGAAATTTTTTGTGAGAGTTATTATGATATAACGGCCTATTGTTATTAGCCACAAAAGCTGTTGATGTTGGGATTTACTGGTACTTCTCACCCAAGATCACTTGGTGGATTTCAATAGCTGAGTGGGGATTCAAAGCCTGGTGTCCTGAGTTGTAGTCTAGTGCTGTTACCCTACACTTCTCTTTAAATACTAATTTAAATACTAATTTATTTGTTATAGTGTAAGCTTTAATGGGATGTATACAAACCATAAAGTGCTAAATTGATTTATATTTTATAGTTGATATCCTCTACTGTTTAATTCTGAAATGTACTGACAATTAAAGCAGTCTGAGTACTTCAAATATGTGAAATAGACTTTAGGCCATTAAGACTTTCTAACCATTAAACATATAGATTGTATTTTCTGCCACACAGCTCTGTGGCTTTCATTCAACAAACTAGCACATACACACCTCTTGGTCATTATTATCTTTTCTACAGAAGGGAAGAAGCAGTGGAGAAATTGCAAGCTGAAACAGGGTCCTCACTGATATGTGTGTGTGTGTGTGTGTGTGTACACACACATACACACATGTGTGTGCACGGAGTATGTCTCTCTGTGTATATAATTTCATTCCTATATATATAGGACAGTTCATATTGAAATCAGGTGCTAAATATGGAAATAGAATTGTAAATCAAAATACTTACCTATAGAGATGTCTGTGCACTAAGACCATAACACATCTCATTAGCTTTTCAATGAAACCCAATTATCGCAAGAAAAAGAAAATATATACCTTTAACATCATTTGCCTGCCTGTTGGCATCATTAAGAACTCGAAAGCTTTTTTGTAGAGCATTCTTGGCACCATCTTTTAATGATCCTTCTGGACCAGATGCCTACAGAAGAAAAAAAGAAAACAACAGCAACCAACTAGTGTCACTAAAATGTATGCTAAACAGCCAGTTCAGCAGAAGTTGAAAATCCTAAAAAAGGAAAACTGGGCAATTTAGTTGATGAGTCATGAAAATATGAAATGATCACCAACATGTTTTAAATTAAAGTAGCGCATCATGAATTCATGATGACATCCACAATACATAGCTCTTAAAAGACTTTTACATCAAAGCAAAGTAGCCAAAGACCATGAAATGGAAATGGAAATACAAATGTAAGGAATGCAGAATTTAAAAATAAAATAACACAGTGAACCTATAACTATCATAATAGAAACTGCATATAGAAAGTAGATAGTATTTAATATGGCCTCTGAACAAACCCCCCCCTCTCTCTCTCTCTCTCTCTCTCTCTATATATATATATATATATACTATCCGTCCCCTGCCACGCATTGCTGTGGCCCACATGGGGGTTCTGTGTGGGAAGTTTGGCCCAATTTTATCGTTGGTGCGGTTCAGAATGCTCTGTATTTGTAGGTGAACTATAAATCCCAGCAACTACAACTCCCAAATGTCAAGATTCTATTTTCCCCAAACTCCACCAGTGTTCACATTTGGACATATTTAGTATTCGTGTAGAGTTTGGTCCACATCCATCATTGTTTGAGTCCACAGTGATCTCTGGATGTAGGTGAACTACAACTCCAGAACCAAAGGACACTGCCCACCAAACCCTTCCAGTATTTTCTGTTGGTCATGGGTTAACTGTGTGCGAAGTTTGGTTCAATTCCATCGTTGGTGGAGATCAGAATGCTCTTTGATTGTAGGTGAAATATAAATCCCACCAACTGCAACTCCCAAATGACATTTTTTTTGAGTGAAGGACATACATTGGGTTGTTAGGTGTCTTGTGTCCAAATTTGGTGTCAATTCATCCAGTGGTTTTTGAGTTCTGTTAATCCCACAAACGAACATATATATATCTCGCTTGTGCACAGATCCAGAGTGGTCTGTTCTCTTTGGCCAATTTGGCTTGTTCAGCTTGACTGGATGGCTGTAATGGTATGGACCCAGCTGTCACATTTTTTCATCAGCTACAGGACCACGTGGCAGCTGATCATGGCTCCTCCTCCCCTATTCAGCATCCTGTTGCTCAAACCCAGACTTCCTTGAAACAAAGAAAGAAAAGGTCCCAGGAAGGGTGCTTCCTTAACTCCATTGCTGAAACCCAGTCTCGTAAGTTTCCCATTGCCGCCAATGGGCCGGATGTAGCCATATTTTTTGGCTGCAGATCAAAAATGGTTATCAGGCTACCTGCTTATTTTTGGGAGGCATACGAAAATGGATATGGGGGTCTACCGGAATCCAGCCAGCAGAAATGGATCAAGGTTCAGCCGAAATGCACAAGCCTAATATATATGTATCATGCTCACAAACAAGTTTGTATGTAGATCTTTCTGTAAACTAGATCTTTGAGACATCACCGATTTCATACAAATTTGCATAAAGAAATTATTCTAAATTGTCTTAAACTCTTTAAATTGCTTTTAAACTGTCTTGTTTAAACAAATTTAATTGTTTAATATGCATTGGGTCTGTTTAAATTACATTTAAATTATATTTATTGTTTTAAATTTGTTGAGTTGATTTTTCTTTATGCTGCCTTGCAAGCAAGATATATAGCAGAGTAGAAATATTTTACTAAATAAATTAAGATAAAGGCACACTAGAATAAGCATTGCACTAACTATAAAATTCATCTTGAAGGTATACTAATAATAAATTGGCTTGACAGGCCAATGAAAAAAGTTCATTGGACAGAGTGAAATTATTATGAGACCAAATCTTCAATATAAAAATGAAAAGCTAGTTACAGATGAGACTGAGTAATTAAATTTGACTTGATTTGAGCACTTTAGTAACGTATTTTGATTGCATTGCATATACTGTAAAGAACTACTTAAACGGATTATCTAATAGATCAGTAGATACTACTATTTATGCAATGTTGATGTACAATGAAATATGTGACATTTGACACTTCAGAGGTAGAAGTGTATCAATCTGCAGTCAGCACATGGATCATTATGTCTGCCATGCAACAAAAACATTTTGTGTCTGATAGCCAGCACAAGGTGGAAATTTCAGATAACTTAGTTGCAATCACAGAGTATGAGCAACTTTAAATATTTTTAACATTGCTGTAAAGAAAATAAATAATATCATGTAAATAATGGGTGTGTTTGTGTACAACCAAATAAATGTTGTTTATATGGTATAGATGCATGTCCTCTTACCATATATGATTATCTACACACAGCACAGTTTTTCTTTATAATAATATAATAAAACTTTATTTGTATACTGCTCTATCTCCCCTAGGGGACTCAGGGCAATTTCCATATAAGCAAAGCAAAACAGAAAATGTACAAAACTTCATAACTTTGTGAAGCAGCTGTGTCTGGGATTGCTAAACATGCGAGCTCACCTAAAAGCCCTTGTTGTCCCAGCTCCACTGGCTGCCGATCTGCTACCGGGCCCAATTCAAGGTGCTGGTGTTATCCTACAAAGCCCTAAACGGTTCCGGCCCAAAATACCTTTCGGACCGCATCTCGGCCTATGAGCCCACGAGGACCTTGAGATCGTCTGGGGAGGCCCTTCTCTCGATCCCGCCTGCCTCACAGGCACGTCTGGCGGGGACGAGAGAGAGGGCCTTCTCAGTGGTGGCCCCCCGGCTGTGGAACGCCCTCCCTGCTGACATCAGACAGGCGCCCTCCCTTATGGCTTTCCGTAGGAGCCTAAAGACGTGGCTATTCGGGAAGGCATTTAATTGAGACCTACACGAATATGGTAATGACATCTGGAACGGACCTTGGATTATGAGATTGGCTATGTCGATATGTTATGATGGCGCGGATTTATTATTGTAATTTAGATTAATGTGTAATTTGGTTGTCGATTTATTGTATGCTTTTGTAGACTGTTTTTATATGTTGTGCACCGCCGCGAGTCGCCCCAGGGCTGAGAGCGGCGGTCAACAAATGAAGTAAATAAATAAATAAATAAATAAATAAAAGGATCCTTAATCATCTGAGCTCCTACCAAAACAAAACAAACAAACTAAAATAAAAACAGAAACAAAACAAGAATTTTAAAGTGAAAGAAATGGAAATTACCCATATGGTTATGAGTTAATGCAAGACTTAGTCAAGACTAGGCATGAAATATTAGTAGAGAATTGGAATTTATATAAATTAATGGGTTTTTTTTACTAATAACTTAAAATATATAATAGCTGGTCAGTATAGGTGTATTCTACAACAATCAGCAATAAAAAGTGGGATACAGTCAGAAAAACAATTAGACATTTCTCTGTTTATTTATTTAACAAAATTGGATTCTTAGGCCGAAAGTGGATCTTTAATCACTATCATCACCCAGGGACATAATGGACTAAGTCAATCCAGTTGAGTAGTGAAAATATCTTATCTGTGATGAATTTAGTTTGCTTTTAAAGGAAGGTGAGATCTATAACATAAAGTATATAAAGAATTTGTTTGTCATATGTTAGCACAGTTTATCTTTCTAGTAACATTCTTCCTAAGACTGTTTGGAGTGTGGGTGTGTATGTGTGTATTACTTTTAACTGCTTCTCATTTCAATATGAATAGGTAAAGAAGTATTAAATAAGGGGGGGGGGGAGCTTCCATGTTTGGAAAATAAACATCTTTATTTATGACGCGTTTTGGGGAATAGGCAACATATAAAGACCCCATCTAGAACTAAACATTAAAAAAGTTTTAAAAATGTAAATATAAATCTCTCAGCAGTTTGAATTCTCTAAACATTACATTATCCCAGCAAGCTGGCAGCTTAACGACTAAAATTCTTTCATACTACCTGTTTTTTCCCTTTGCCTTGTAAAACAATTATCAACAAGGTCCTAAGAATTTTCATTAGTGTATCTGTGATGCCATCTTTAACTTTTTGATATTATGAAATTGCTTGTAATAACTTTATGTAGCCCCTTTTGCAGGCAAGGCTCTGCTGGTACAGCTGGTTTTCTTTATAACAGCCTCTACTGGTTCACTCTTTGTCTCACAGATATTCAATAACACTAATCTCTCTGGCTCAGCGATTTTTAATGACTTTTCATCATAAGCCACTACCATTATGAAGCAAAAGACTTTTTCAAAATGTCTAAAATTTCTATCTATTCCCTCAAATTCTTATTGATCTAATATAGTATTCAAACTATCTAAATCTATGTGGGTGGGAAACATTGTAGAGTTACATAGTGGGCTGATAATGAATGTTCACAAAGAGTGGGAAGTACCATTCACAATGCAATATTTAGCCATGCAATCTATCCTGACTATGCAGGACAGACTCGCTATGGACACCACTCCACTTTAGACAGATGGAGCTGCTAAACATGCATTCACAGATCATAGGGGAATATGCCATTTTCTGCGCACTAGAAGGAAGATGTTAAAAAAATGCTGGCTTGATTTCTTTCCCCCATTAAGCAAGGCATCTTTTCTCTTACCAGTCGTATGGCTTCATTGGCACGAGCTTTAGCATCTTTGGAAATCCCATCAGCTTCATCAACATAGTCCTTGATATTGCTGTAGGCTTTAAAAGCCACTGTGGCATTGAAGGAGAGGTTTTTTGCTTCATCGAGAATTCTGTTTGGAGATAAAATGGAAAAACTCAAGAAGTATATCCACATGTTAAATGTGTCTTGTTGGTTTGAACCCACAGCTTGATTCCAAACAGAAAAGGCAGACTGAGGGAATGAGGGTTGTCCAACATAACAAGGGAACTGTGGTGTCAGATGAAACACTGCTTTTCAATCAAATGATGTTGGGATTTGTGATAATGCATTCTTATATTGCTAAAGTCTTCCAGTCTGCCAGAAACATTCCTCTTAAAGTTTCAACTCTTTACTGTTGGTAAAATTGAGCACTGCAGTTTGTGTTCTCTGTTTGTTTTGTATTTGGGAACATTGGGACCCTGTTAATATCAATTGTGGAAGTCTACTATGACAATTACAGTGGTCCTTTGGTATTCATTGGGATTTGTTTCCAGGACTCCCTCTTGATATCAAAACCCGTGGATGCTCAAATCCCATTACACACTATGGCATAGTAAAATGGGGTCCATTATATAATACAAACAACTGAAATGAGTGCCAGATGAAGCATGAGGCTACCACAGGGTGTGCTATCAGCATAGTGCTCAACATGTATAAAATCAAGTCTATTTGGGGGAATGTTTTGTTTGAGTATAAGCTGGCTGCATCCATGGATGCAAAACCTGTGGATATGGAGAGTCAGCTGCATTTATTTACTTATTTGTTTTATTTTAAGTGCCACATTTTTGAGGAAACGTAACCCAAGACAGCAGAAAAAAGAATTAATTAAAACACAACAGTGTACTTTTAAAAATAATTTAAACTATCACAATTAAAACAGTATAAAATAACTTTCAAACATAAGGAGCAATAATAAATAAAACAAATGCCTCAGTAAGAAGCTTCCCTGCATACACTCTTTAAACCTGTTTAACAAAAAATTATTTGCCTTCTGGAGAAAGGAGTCCATCTAGACTCCTGTGGAAGGAAATTCCAGAGGGTGGGAGCAACCACGCTCTAACTTCCTGACAAATAATAAAACAAAAGAATTTCTTATTAGTTATCTCATTCTGTCTATTACTGAATTCTACAATGCAATTGGTTTGAGGCATGAAATAACAGAATCATAATTATTATACCCATCCAGTATATTAGATGAATCGTTCAGCTGGGCAGCATGGGACTCTGCTTGCAGTACTTGTTCGGGAAGTTTTCGGTCTTTGAGGTCTTGAGACAAATCATCAATTTTATCCTTCAGCTGATCGGACAATGGACTTATCTTGTTCCGGACATCATCTATATACTAAGAACCATATAACAGAAATGTTCTTAAGCAAGTGAATTGAAGAGCTCCCTCATTTATTTTTTGATTAAACTGGTTAATTAGTAAACCAATTATCCATCCATCCATCAATTCATCTAAAGCATCCATTAAAACAATACAGACCCATATTGTTTATAATTCCAAGTGGTTTTCTTTTTAGGTACCTGCTCAAGTTCATACTAGCGTGATTTCAGAGTTGAGAGGGAAAAGTTGCAGGCTACCTTCAATGTAACTAATTGAATCATAATGAAAGATGAGAAGAAAATATAAATCAGGATCAACTGAGTAAGAACACAACCCAACTTCACCAAGATGTCTGTGACCCACCTGCCCTAGCAAGGTAGTTGTAGCTGTGCCAAATTAAAAAAAAAACAACCCTAATCTACAAACGGTCAGAATTACTTTGGACTATCCAGGACTTGTCCTATGTTTTTGCGGACATAATGGCTATGTTCTTCAGTTTAAAGTTATTTCATCTGACAGAACTTTGTTGCTCTGTTGCTGAGCTTCCTCTCTGGCTCTTTTTCTAGCAGACATCAGCCAGCTAAGTTGTTATGCTGCCATATCTCTCAGTTGGCTGATCTCTGAGATCATCCAGCAGAAGTGGGGCATGCCAACATACAGGCAACTAAGCTGGCATAAGGTTGGTTCAGCCGAGAAAAGAGATTTCTGCATATTCATTACCCTCAATACAGAAAGCTGATATATCCCTAAAACCATATTTCCAAGGTTTTACACATTTTCGTCCAATACATCCAGATGATGATCCAATGTTTTCAATGAGATCAGATTCTTGTGTGTAAGGACTTTAGCGTTTTCTTTATATTTTCTATAAATAGTCTAATATGTATAAAATCTCATTCAGACAATAAATGTGTAAATAAATCAGGAAAAGAATCAGAAAGAGGTGATCTTCTTGCATTTCCCTCTGCCCAACACTCCCTTAGACCCCACTCATGGGTTAGCTATATGCATTTATCATGTCAGAAGTGAATTGAGAATATAGTTGTATACATTTAAAATTGGTTCACTGATTGTAGGGCAATTACATTGGCTAGAGCCCACTGAAGCCTCTTTCCAGATACTGAAGAGGAAAGGAATATACTTTTTATTTCATTTTTTCTGTAGCTGAAAAGTGAGGGAAAACAGATAAATATGTTTAAAGGGTAGTGGCTTGGAGCCTCTGTGGGGGAAAGGAGACTTGCAGACAAAAGATGTAGTCTCTGTTTATTTCCAAAAGCTTTATCCAAAAAGATACATTTAACCAAACTATTTCCACAGTTCTCAGGAAATAACTTGCCATACTTATTTCCAGGCCAATATGAGGTGAACAAAAAGAGAGGGCAGGTTAACAAATATAGGGAAGACAATAGACATATATTTTCTAAGCATAGTGAAAGTGGTCTGAAAATTTTGTGTCTTGGAAGCAAGTTGTCCAGAGGATAGGCTACGTAGGCTAAAAGCAGAGACTTTTAACACACCACTTTTTATCTTGCAGCAATTGCATTGCTGAAACAAACAGAAATATTGGTATTGAAATAATCACTATCACACCTTTTAATCATGCTACAGTGCTGTTTTGTCAATGCACAGTTCCATGCTCACTCTTCTGTCCTGCTTCATTAACTCTTTACTTCCTGTGTAGGACCTACTCATCACATACATATGCATGCCATCCAATTTTTTGTGTGGCCAAGACTGCACAATTATAACAAACAATAAAAAGAACAGGAAAGAAATATAAAAGAAAAGAAAAAATGCTTAAAGCAACCTTACTCTGCTTGGGAATAGTGAGAGGTAAATGAGGAGCGGAGGAGGAACATGCCCACTCATGCCATATAATTTTCTGTCAATGCAATCCAACTAATGATTGAAATGCAAAGCAGCAATAGGAGAGATGTGCTATTGTGTAAAAAGTACCAATAAACATGGTATTATTTTGCTGTAATTTCAATTTACCACCTTTGTGTAATAAAGTTATAACACTGACTATTATTTTTCCAACATGCTCTATTGGGATAAACTATTACCCCAGTATGAATGTGAGGAAAAGTGATAACTGACTTTGTGGTAAGAAAGTTTTAAAAAATGCCACAATTTCATGTGCAGAGAAGCACAGGTGACCTCACAGGATTATTTTTTGCTCCACACTCCCCTTATCCGTCTTTTCCATTTCTAAAAATCCAAGTGCCTTGGAGATGTGATGCAGGGCACTTGAAAATGTGACCTTAAAAATGTAAATGCATTTTGTGTAAACAATGCAACATGTTTATGCAGGCATAATTTTCAAGGAGAGGACCCAAGGGGGGAAATGGATTGTTGTCTCCATGTACACATGGGAGCAGCTTACTTTTATTTCCAGCTGTGGGAATAGTTTAATGCCACTCTCAGTGACCATTATCACTTCCATATTCAAAGTATTTTTCACATTCCCCCCTACTTGAAAAATGTCCCTAGAAATGCAATTTCCAAGGGTAACTGGCTTCATTTCAAGAAAAAATACTTACCCTGAAATGCCTTGCCTTTGTTTCGAGAACTGGAGCAAAGGCAAGGCATTAAGCTCTAGCAACACCACAAATGTTTGTTACTCCTTGACATGGGTAAAAAGGGTCACCTTTACTGATCTCAAAACATTTGAAAATGGGCTAGGCTGAACCTTTAGGCATATTCTAGTAGCAAACACTTCATAAAGAGACAAGAAATTCACTTTTAATAATCAATGGTTGAACTCAATACAAGGCATCCTTTCGTGTTACCACTTACAGTTTCACTCCCTGATAACAATAAAAAGAAAAAAAGTAAATAGTGCCACTTGATAAAAGGGAAAAAAGTTACCAGTTTTTTTTTCTTTGGGAAAAAACCCCTCATTGTTAGGGCCTCTTCAGGTCCAGAATGAATACATGAAAGGGAACATCATGACTTCAAACCCTGATTCCTCCTTAACGTAGGATTTTTTATCAGCTTCATTTATTTATTTCGTGTCAAAAGAATTGCATACATAAGTTTATAACTGATAAAAATAGAAGGAGCAAAAGTGGCTAAATATTTTTTGACCAAAACCGGGCAACAGAAACCATATTGTCTGTAGCTTTAAACAATTCTTCCTTACATGAGGCAGGGGATTAATGATTTAGTATTTCACCAGAATATGTATACGATAAGATAAAAAAAACAACAGAATTAGTAATTTAAATTTCATTGTCCTACTTCAATTTTGCAGAAATCTGCATCATTGTGCCTTGTCTCCAAATATATCATATTTACCTCCACAGCTAAATTGATTCCATTTGCAAGGTCATTAGCTTCATTAAGGATGTCATTTCCTTCCTTTAGAGTATTTTCAGCTTCTTGTTGTCCATCTTCTACAATTTGCTTCTTTTTCTATAGATTATATTTGGTCATAGGAGGAAAACAGTTCAAAATGTGTAAGTGATTTTACATATAAAAGAATATCCAATTTCAGATGTTATACTTTGTTTTGATAATCCTTATGAAATATAGGAAGGAGCCTGTAAGACCATCCTTCTTATTATAGCTTTGGATCTAGAGGTTCTGGGACCAAAATTTCCACCCACCAGAGATTGTCACACCTCATATTATGAAATGGGGGTAATGTAAACATGGACACACTGAAGCATGCACATTCTCATCACGGCTATCATGAAACTGAACCCCTGCTGATACTCACTGAACTAGAGCTTTTATCATTCTTCTTTCCCACACCCAGAACAAATGCCACTTTTGGTGAATTTTCTATGGTATGTTGTAGAAAGATGATTAAAGTACAGTATCCACATTTTTTTAATTACATTTAATCCAAGAGTCACAGCAAAGGCATGTGTAGGTGCAAAACTTGCACTTTTTCAAAAACCTTTTTTCATTAGTTGAGATGTTGTGATGTCATATAGACCCAAGAATTGGAAACTGGGGCATATATGTAACACTATACAAGTTTTAGTAAAGTTTAGAGGCAATATGGTGCAATGGTTTGAGCACTGGAAACCAGGGTTCAAATCCCTGCCTAGCCATGGAACCCACTGAGTGGGCAAAGCTCAGAGGAAGGCCATGGCAAACTCCTTCTGAACATATCTTATGAAGAAAACCATGTGAGAGGGTTGCCATAAGCCATAATGACTTGAAGGCACAACACAACAGCAGCAGCAACAAATAGGATAAGATGTAAATGGAAGAAGTGTTTTACCGTACTCTCTTCATTCAAATTTTTATTGCTTTCTAAATGTGGCGGGCTATTTTGTGGGGGGAAATGGCTATCCACAATGGTTATCTACACAATTTTAAACCCAAAAATTCTAAAGAAAAAAATCGTGCCAGCTTTGCTTGAGGGAAAATATGACAAATTGATGAGATACATATCAAACATTGCAAAATGGTAATATAGTGTAATTGTACTTGTCTCTAATTTCATGAAGACGCTTAGAAGCTAGATCTAGGATATAACTGAAGATCACCCTTTACCTCCCCAAGCAATTTATGAAAACTACAGTAGCATCACAGAACTAATACTATACTTTAGGCACAGAATGACAGAGAGACATAAACAAGACACTGAAGCATTTATCTTCATTTGAGTTTGACTTTGCTTTTACTTTCATGGCTAAGCACTTGTTAATGAACAGTATAATGTGCTTTCAAGACTAGCAATTAAAATTAAATCAAAGGAAATCATTTACACCAGTTACTAACTACAAAAGATATACGGTATTTTGATTTATAATCTGAATTTGCATATGACCATTTAATCCCTTACTTGGGAATAAGACAGAAAGAGGATGTACGGCTGTGCTAGTGCTTAAGATTAACTGACTCTATGTATGGGTGTGTGTATATCTGTACATTTTTCAACAGACAATTTAAAGTAACAGTTGTTTTGGGCCCTATATAAGCCTTGCCTATTTCAGTTGTGATCTACCATCTGTGTGTTATACATATATTAATTACTAATTGTACACTAGAGTAAAAATTAAATTTCTCTTTGCTTCTTTCTTCACATCATTAGAAATCACATTTATTTAATTTAGTGTCCAACTGGTCACATCCTGTATAGACTACTGCAACGCACTCTACATGAGGTTGCCTTTGAAAACTGCTTGGAAGCTTCAAATGGTCCAGCGTGCGGCAGCCAGGTTGCTAACAGAAGCAGCGCTCAGGGAACGTACAACTCCGCTGTTGCATCAGCTCCAGTGGCTGCCAGTTTGCTACCGGGCACAATTCAAAGTGCTGGCTTTAGCTTATAAAGCCCTAAATGGTTCTGGCCCAGCTTATCTATCCAAACGCATCTCTCCCTATGAACCCACCAGGGACTTGAGATCATCGGAGAAGGCACTGCTCTCAATCCCGCCTGCTTCACAAGCACGCCTGGTGAGGACGAGAGACAGGGCCTTCTCTGTGGTGGCCCATCGGCTGTGGAACTCCCTGCCTAGGGATATCAGATTGCCCCCCTCCCTCCTTACCTTTTGAAAAAAATTGAAAACATGGTTCTTCCAGCAAGCCTTTGGAGCATCAGCATAATCAGACAAACTTGAATCTGAAAATGACCTAGGAACGGCTAAGACGACAGAATGGACAAGGACTAAACATGATGGCATAGTTTTAAATTTTTTATTGTTTACTGTTTTGATGTTTTTAGATATATTGTAATGTGATGTTTTTGATTTTTATTGAAGTATGTATTTTATATACGGCATCCAATTGTGCCTACTATTCGCCGCCCTGAGTCGCCTTCGGGCTGATATGGGCGGGGTAGAAATGGTGTAAATAAATAAATAAATAAATAAATAATGTGGAAAGTAAAACAATGGTGAAGATTACATGTGCAATAAGGCAGAAAAGAATTCTGACTATGGTGTTATGGGCACCATGTTGATACATGAATCAGAAGCAGATAAATAAACTACATAACATTGTTCACTGTGTTATTTAAACATGGGCACAACTACTGTCCACAGGAAGTCAACAAGGAATCCAGGATTTGTTTGAAGGTTTATATCTCTGCTTTTTTGGGGGGCAGAAATGAGCCAGATCTGCAGTTGTGTCTGTTTGGACAGCACAATAATAAACCTACAGAGGAAAGCAAAGCATCATGCTCTGTTTAACGGTTGCTGCTCCAAGCAGATTGCATCAGCATGCTACTTTTTCACCATGAGATATGGATCTGTGGGCTTTTCCAGATAGCCTTATATCCCAGAATATAGAGGCAGAAAATCCCATAATATCTGCTTTGAACTGGGTTATCTGAGTTCACAATCAGATAATGTGGGATTTTCTGTCTTGATATTCCGAGATAAAGGGCTGTGTGGAAGGGCCCTGAGAGTTCCCTGGCCAGTTGAGTTGTTCAGCTGGACCACTGTGTCAACACAGTTGTCATGATTTTGCTAATTTCTGCTTTTTCAGGACTATGTGGAAGCTCTATGATTCAGAGAGAGGAACAAAACAATATTTTATGTCTATTATCAGTTCCCATTTATTCTGATGATCAGAACAATAATCAAAGACCTTCCCCAGAGATCTGGTGGTGATTTATGCTGGTGTAAGCTCCCATAGGATCGGTCTATGTAATTTTAAGGTTATTCTACAAGATAATATCCCTCCTTTGTGTTAAGGAGCACCCCGATGATTAACCAGTGATTGCTGGTGGTGTGGGTGTGGAACCTGGACACAATCTGCCTGAAATTTATAACTGGGAAAAGAAAAAAGAATCAAGCACATTAATGGTACAGGAGAGTAGCAGCAATTCTCCCCCCCCCCCCGCCCCCCAACCGCAACTGGAGCATGCAGGGATTTTCCTGACCATATTGATCAAGAATTAGTCACAAAAGTACAATCCAGCAACATCAGCCTGATTGGTAGAGGTGGTAAAGTTTTACACTCTGAAAATAAATATATATGACCTCAGCCCTTGTGAACACCTACCTCTACCATGGTCATATTTCTTTGATTTATTGCAGATAACCTATCTGCCTCCAGAATTTTACTGGTTGCTTCTCTCAGTAGGTCCTGAGCATCATCAACTTTATCTTGATAGTCTGACAGTTTGTCTCTGACTTCATCCTTGAGCTCTTCTGTTTTCTTCCTGGGATCTGCAAACAACTTATTCACCCGTTTCAATAGAGCTCCTGCTGCTCTGTAATATATAATACATATTATTTTATTCTACATATTTATGACAATATTTAAAAAATTGAACATGTTACACATTATCAAGACACATTAAAATTAAATTAAATGTATGCCCTTGGACAAGGCTGTTCTAATGCGTGTGTGTGTGGTTTTTTTTTTACAGTACCATGTAAATGTGATACTCCCCTCTCCAAGTCATCTTTCAACCTGAATATGCCATCAGCTGTGGCCTGACTTGAAGAGAGACTGAAATGCGTCCAGATAATCTGTTTCTTCAAGAACATCTGAAATGGTGTCTGGACAATTTCATGTGTTCTTGGAAGAAACAGACTGTACAGATCCATTTCAGTCTGGTTGCACACCAGGGTATAGCAATAAAACAGCTTTAGTTACTTTGACTGACAAACTGATCTGGGTGAAAAGCAAGGGGAACACTACTCCATTTGTTCTGTCTGGATTTCTTGGTGGCTTTTGAAACAAATGATCATGTTATCTTACTAGACTAGCTCTATCAGGTAGGAATAGGAGGCACTAGGTTACAATAGTTTTGCTCCCAACTTCAGGGTGAGCTCCAAAAAGTAGCAATAAGGCATTCCTGTTCAAGATTAGGGATATTAAGATGTGATTCCAGCTTGCCCTGGTTCTGTTCAATATTTAATGAAAATGCTAGGGAAGGTCATTAGGGGTTTTGGGTAGAGTGATGGCTGTATGCTAATAAAACCCAACTCTTAGAGTTGACTCTGGCTCTACAGGGGCTGGAGCAGTGCCTGGCTGCTATAATAGGCAGGGCAATGGTCAATGCATGGAAGCTGAATCCTGATAAGATGGCAGCTATGTGGGTTCTTGAGTTCAGGAAATGCATATACAACCTTTCCTGAATGCAGTTGCACTCCCTCAGAAGCAGCAAGTGCTCACCAGATCCAGCTTCCCAGATCTACTGGTAACTTCCCAGTGAGTGAAGCTGCCCATGAAGATGAGTTGGAAGCTATGGGTATTGCAAAATGCAGCAGCAAGACTAGTGACCAGATTATCACAGAACATATAAGACCATTCTTAAAGGAGTTGCACTGGCAGCCAATCCACTTCAAGTATGAAGTGATCACATATAATCTGTAAACAACTTGGTCCCTCAATACCAGTAGGAGTGCCTGTCTGCATGATGGATCCTCCCCTGGGGACATGGATAAATATCACCCTGACTATGGAATGCCCTCTCCTTGAAGGTCCAGCTCACACCAACATTGCTTTCTTTTCAGAGACAACCAAAATATGAATTTTTATTAAGGCCTCCAGGGACTAATATTTCAAAGGATAATGGTACATTGTTGTTATTTTTAAAAAGGGGTTTATGCTTTTAATCTGGAAGTATTTTAGATTGTTTATATTGTATGCAGGGCTGAGATGTTATGATAAAAAATGGAACAGAAAAGTTTAAAATAAATAAATAAATCATAACAAAACATATTACTTTTAAACCAGGGGTCCTCAAACTAAGGCCCGAGGGCCGGATGCGGCCCTCCAAGCTCATTTATCTGGCCCTCATTCAGGGTCAACCTAAATCTGAAATGACTTGAAAGCACACAACAACAACAATCCTATCTCATCAGCCAAAGGCAGGCCCACACTTCCCACTGAAATGCTAATAAGTTTATATTTGTTAAAATTGTTCTTCATTTTAATTATTGTATTGTTTTAAAGTGGCTTTTGCACTACAAATAAGATATGTGCAGTGTGCATAGGAATTCATTCATGTTTTTTTCAAATTATAATCTGGCCCTCCAACATTTTGAGGGACTGTGACCTGGCCCTCTGTTTAAAAAGTTTGAAGACTCCTGCTTTAAACCAACAAGAACTGCAACAGTACATACAGATTTCATAAATCACTTTAGTGTTTGGTGTTTGTGACAATTTTATAAGATTTAAGTTTGAAAAAGTGAATCAATATATCAATCTTAGTGAATGGCATCAGAAACAGCAGAAATGAACCATCTGCCCCAGGCCCGTAGCCAGGATTTCGTTTGGGGGGGGGGTTTCAGGGGGGGTTTCGGGGGGGGGCTGGGTTTCGGGGGGGCTGAGTCTGAGTGAAAGAGGGTCTAGCCTAGCAAACCTTTTGTATCATTACCCCAATACCCCCATGCATATGGGATATATTGAGTATGGTGATCAGATCATGATATGAATAAACATAACAGTTTAAATAATGCACCAGTAAGGCCTTTTTGCGAACCACCATGAGAATTTCGGGGGGGGGGGGCTGAAGCCCCTCAAGCCCCCCCCCCCCCCGCTACATGCCTGATCTGCCCCTTGCTAGGCTTACTACCTTTATAGGATCAAAACTGTCTTCAGCATGACTTCTGCTGAGGGATTCTTTCCCAGTATTTGCAATGTTGGATACTGGAGTTATAAGTCCACTCATTCTCCTTTTTGTTGTTGTTGAATTAAAATACCTCCCCTATTCTAGAGCACTAGGTTGCATTTCAGTCAATGTGTAGCTGAAAAAGTGATAACTTGAAAATCACAGATTGGATATTTGCTATTGGCTCTGCAGTCTTTGCCTACTCTTTGGATATGGAATATGTAATAATGAGAATCTAAATAAGCTAATTTATAGCTCCCTTCTCACTTAATTTTAGTCTGTTTGTACAGAGTACTATTTATTTATTTATTTATTTTGAGCATTTGTTCCCTGTCCTTCTCGATGCCCGAGGGGGGGGGGGGACTCAGGGCAACAGGCAACCACTGGAAGCCAAACATAAATTAAAATAGACAGTTATAATTAAAACAAGAGTTAAAAGCAATCATAAACATTCATTTAAAATTCTGCTAGATCAATAAGAACAAGCAGAATTTTGTATTGTCGAAGGCTTTCATGGCCGGAATCACTGGGTTGTTATGAGTTTTCACTGGAACATGGTCATACAGCCTGGCAAACTCACAATAACAAAGCAGGATTTTTCCCTTATAAAGTGTTGTTCAGTCAACTTTTGTGCTGGAGGACAATTCAAAGATATATATATTCTCTAAAGACATAATTTCCCCACTAGCTGTCTATACTCTTTTCCTTCCACTATTTCTAATAAATCATGCGACTTTACAACTCTACTTAGCTTAATTTATCAAGCTATTCAGTACATACAAGCATTATCATTGACAATAGCACAGCCTTTGAAATATGGGCTTTGACAATAAATCTGTATTCCTTAATGCAGATGCCATAAAACAATAGAGTAAAATTTTTCTATGGTCATTTTCTATGGTCACACCCATTACTGTGATAGGGCAGACATTTTTTTACCTATAATATTTGAGATAAAATACTGAACCAAAAACACACATGAATTAATTAATGTGTTTTGGTCTAGTATTAAATTACACTACAACACAAAGAGACATTTACATCTGAAATCTACGTAACACACTTCTATACAGAACAATCCTTAAAGATGTCTTGGAGAAAGAAAGTAAATCAGCCGCCACATCCTAAATCCTTGTGCATACTCAAGGCAGAAGACGTGGGAAAGCATATTTTCAGGACTTTTCAACTGGGTAGTACTTTCCCTGTAAGTTCTTCTAACACCCATTGAAATCAATGTGGGGAAGGATCAACCAGCCAATGTCTTCTTTGAAGTAAACTTTTCTCCAATCAATTGGGTTTAAAGTAATGAGTTCCAATTTTACACTGGTGGGACTTTATTGAAGACAACTTTTCTGTGTTTTACTATACTTGATTTCCTACTCTTTAGAGCACTGTTTCTTAAACTCTGTTCCAAATTGTCATTTAAATTAGGTGCTGCATTAAAAGCCTCACAAGAACCAAGCTTAAAAATGGTAATTTCACAGACATACATGCATGTGCGTATTCACATGCACATTGTTCCAATACCATTTTTTAAAATGAGAGGGAAGAAAACAGCCTTATGAATTTTGAAATTGGGAGTGGGGGGGGGGACTCCTGGACACAAGTGGTTGATAACTGTGGAATAGGATTGATAAGGTTAAGTAAATAAGATACTTTATATTAAGTGAAAACGTAAGTGGAATTTCATTACTCTAGTATTAGTAGAGTAATGAAATTAGTAGAGTAATTAGTATTACTCTACTTGTGTCTACAATTAATATATTTTTTAAAATATATATATTTTTTAAAATATATATATATATTTAAAAAAATGAACTTTGGAAAGCCTTATTTCTCATCTACCCCATAAAAATGCCATATTTTCCCTTCTCCATTTATTATAATTATATTTCCTTATTCTCACTCTTTCTGAAATGTACTTTGGACCATCTCTTGAATGACCCTGAATGTGATGGACTCTGGAGGAAGGGGACAAGTCTTAAAATCAAACAGAGAAAAAAAAATCACACGATGGGGTGATTTCTGCAAAAGATGCTCCATCTAATTTTGTGGATTCTCACCCTCTCCCTCATCTTTCACTACCATAAGTCACTATGTTGTGAGTCACTGGATTTTTAAGAAAAACTTTTATAATCAGATATGGGAGGTGAAACCAATGTTAGTTCTGATGAAAGTAAAAAATGGAAATAATACAGCCTAGTGTTAATGGAAAAAGCTGATAAAAGGTGAATTCATATGGAGCATAAGTAGTGTGGTCTCCTGCCTTAATTCCTTGGCCATCTGTCAAGATAATGTGGTTCAGGTCCAACCTATTTTGAGAACCATATTGTCTTCTGTGACCCTGTTTGAGCTCTAAGATCTTAAGTAGAGGCCCTTTTCTCTGCCCCACTCTCTTCACAACTTTGTTTGGTGGCAATAAGGGAGAGGGTCTTCTTGGTGAGTGCTCTTAAACTTAGGAACTCCTTTTCCAGGTATTTATTATTATTATTTACAGCATTTTTACCCCACCCTTATTATTATTTACAGCATTTTTACCCCGCAGTAATCTATTCGGGATGTGACCAGAGCATGGACCACCGTGGCCAGATCAGACTTCCAAAGGTAGGTGAGTGTCACTCCTCTTTGGGCTCCTTTCCATAAGCAGGCTTTTAGGAATTGATTGTGGTGTATTGTGTTGTTTTCTTGATTTCATATTGTTCTTAATTAGTTTTAAATTATGTTAACTCTATAGATCATTTAACCATTTTTAAAACTATCTATATCATCTATTTAATGGTCTAGTTTAAATAATGTATATACTGCGTGGGCTGGTCCATGAGGTCACAAAGAGTCGGAAACGACTGAACGAATGAACAACAAATTACTGCTTTGAGAATATAATTTAGAAAAAAGCAGGATATAAATGAATGAACAACACAATGTTGATAAGAACAGCATGCTGAAGAATCATAGAATCATAGAGTTGGAAGAGACCTCATGGGCCATCCAGTCCAACCCCCTGCCAAGAAGCAGGAAAATTGCACTCAAAGCAATCCAAAGAACCTCAAATGAGCAATGTCTTCAATTGGTTTAGTTTTTTTCAAAAATACTTATTCTTAACAATACTGTAGGGAAAACCTGGAGACGGAACATCCAAAAATAACTATGCAACCCATCCTTTGTATATCTTCCTCCTGCTCCTATTGTCTCTATTCCACCTGTTTCCCCATTCAAAGTGCCTTACAACACATTAGAAATTTAAAAATTGAAAAGTTAAAACAATAAAAAATTAAAACAAGACCTCAATGTATATCATTAAACATGCACACAGACTCACACAAGCACAACATTTAGCAGGATCAAGTGCCTTGTTTAGGTGAGACAGGCCTTAAGCAACAATCACATGTATGTGGAAAAAAAACAAGGATGTTGTGAATCTAACTTTTCTGGGAAAAGAGTTTCTGCGGACAGCCACTGAGAAGGCCCTTTCCATCTTCTCATCAGATGTACCTCAAAGGGTCTCCCAACAGATCTCAAAGCATGGGCCAGTTCATAAGGAAGAATACAATCTTCTAAATAACCTGGACCTGGTATAAGGCACATTGACAACATTACAATCTATTTGGGATTGGAAAATAAAATAGTTATTATGCCTGACTTTATTAATCTGAACAAGTTCCAATTTCCACTGAAATTTCAAATTCTGTTGACATTTGAATGAGTTCAGTTACTTGTTCATCTTTACAGCTTTGCTACTCACTCCAATTCATTTTGGGCAGCCTCCTCTTGTGTATCCAGGGTTCTCTTCCTGAGTTCTGCCATCATTTTGTCAACATCTCTTTGTATTTCTTGAAGGCTTTTGTCAATGGTTTTATCTGGGACTCCAAGTGTCTCATTGAGTTTTAAAGCAGTCTCATTTGCACCTGAAGAAAAGTGGCAATTACACATATCAACAAAGAGAACAGAGAACATTTAGCATATTCATTTCAATTTCCAAATGAAAGTTGCCATTTGTAGTATATATTCATGTACTACAAAAGACCACTAATCCAATGGCCAGCAATACATAAGAAAATATTCAACATTTGGAATAACACTCCACCATAGCAAAACCCAAAATTTACTTGTATGTGTGTGTGCATGTGCACTCAATGCACACATATGTGTGCTGCACCTTGTTGTAATGTAAAATTTCCTCTTCTGGAAGCTTACAAAAATGGCCTTGAGAAGTTATAGTTGCTTGTGCTTTATTTGTCCATGTTTAGAATCCTAACCTTTAAGAGCCTAAATGGAATTGCTAGACCCAATGAATAGACGATTGAAAGAGAGTTCATACTAAAGTTGAAGTACTTTGGCCACATCATGAGGAGACAGTAAAGCCTAGAGAAGACAATTATGCTGGGGAAAGTGGAAGGCAAAAGGAAGAGGGGCCGACCAAGGACAAGATGGATGGATGGCATTCTTGAAGTGACTGGACTGACCTTGAAGGAGCTGGGGGTGGTGACGGCCGACAGGGAGCTCTGGCGTGGGCTGGTCCATGAGGTCACGAAGAGTCGGAGACGACTGAACGAATGAACAACAACAACAAACCATTATTTGTCAGGGCAATGTAAACTGAGAACATAGAAAATAAAAAATAATAGTAAATAAATGACACAATAGAATGTAATAAAATATTATGAATTTCTTTTAAAAAAGTTGTGTATTAGACATTACTTTAATTTAGGGAAAGATTTAAAAAATATTGTGATTAATGATATCAGTGGAATGCAAAAAATTCAACAGCACAAAATAAGCATAAATCATTTTATAGTTAGTGCACCACAAGTGTTATAAACAATATCACAGTCTGAGCTTAAAATTTGCTGTACTAGCAAACAAATTTCCAGAGTGTTGCACACCAGCTGTCGCTGAAGAGGAAATTCACCAAAAAGGATGCTGCAGCAGTGTACATTAAGGGTGGAAATTCTTCTCACTATTCACTTTCTATTAATGCAACCGAAGACCTTCCTCATTACTACCTGTGTTAGCTATCTTTTAGACATATTGAAACATTGACCTCACTAATATTCTAATTAATTATAATTTCCAAATTTGAAAGTTGAGGAAGTGGAATTAGGTTGAGGAAAAGGGGACATAGTATTCCTGCTCAAAGCCCAATGACTTGGTTTTGTGCAAGAGACATCCAGAAAAATATTCCCCCCTCTCCCTCATATAATATACAAATAGGAAACTAAAAGTATGAGATTTAAGAATCATCTTACATTTAGCCATTCTTGTATAAAGAATGTTGTCTTACACTTTTTAGAGCCACACCATGGCTGGTGTAATCCAACTGACATTAAGACTCATTGAATTCAAAAGGAGGAAGGGGAGGAAAAAGAAGAAATGTAGGAACCCTTTTAAGACTAACCGGTTTTGACTTTAGCATACACTTTCATGGATAGATATCTGCCTTAACAGATACAGTAGAGCACTATATCTAGGACTTAGGATATAAAGTATATTTATGCAGTTGTGGGAGTGAGATACCACTCGGTACTTCATCTGAAAATTTGAGTTTATGCTCACAAAGGTGCATGCTAAAATAAAAACCAGTTAGTCTTAAAGTGGCTTATAACACAAAGTGACCACATTTCTCTTCCTCTCTTCCTCCTTTTTATGTTTCAAGGGGCAAAAAGTTATTTCTTTGAATTCAGAAGGCAATTGATATGTGCTAAAAGATTTATTATTTAAATGAAACAGATTGGAAAGTATGCAGATTTCTCTAGTTCTTGTTCTGGCCTCGATTTACAGTATGACATGCGCAAAAAGGAAAGCTTATATTTGTTGTATTATCGAAAGACTTCTCCCTGCTCAGTAACATCCTGCACTTTATCCCACACCCTCTCTCCATTACTGCAGCTAGCACTTATTTTATTCCTAATGTTTACAACGTGGCTATGGTCACAGTTAGACACAGTTAGAGGATCACAGCTTGATTGAGTCTGAATTGATGTTTTTATATGTGCATGTGTTTTATTTTATTAAATTTTATATTGTGTTCACTTTTATGTTTGTTTTTAAACACTTTGTGCCATCTGTAAGCCACTGCGAGTCCCTTCAGGGAGATGGTGGCGGGACATCAAATCTCCCCTGACACACACACAAAAAAACAAAAACAAACCCTGATCTAAGGGCCAAGTTGTTGTTGTTGTTGTTCTTCTTCTTCTTCCTCTTCCTCTTCCTCTTCTTTAAAATTGCAAAGTGATTACCGAAGCCCAGCTTTTATATCTATCTCTATAGACATATGTAACATATCTATATCTATGTAGACAGATCTCAACACAGTAGATATTTACAATTATATATAGGCCTGGGCTTTTGACATTACAACTGTGTTTCACAGACAATTGCTTACCTCAAATTAAAAGAGCTAATTTTAATTTTCAAAGTCCTATCTCACTTAGAAACCAGGTTACCTTATATATATTTACTTGAAGTGTACAATTTTCTTGTGAAGTTATGATTTGACTCTATCAAATAAGTGCAGTGCTTACTATGGAGAGGGCCTCTTTGGTGATAGCAGCAAAAGCTTTCCTGAAAATAATTCGTGACATTTTTCTTTCCAGTCTTTTTGAAGACCCTTTTATTTATCCAGGATTTTGTTTTCATGTAATGTAGTACTTTTAGTATTAAACAACATGCTGATGCTACATTACATACAAAGTATGTATTTGTTTTATTTGTTGCCAGCTTCTTTGAGTCCCAAACTGGAAAAACACGTGAAACATAGTCTGATACATATCAGGTCTGTCATCTGGTGGGAGAGCTTTATGCCTCTTCTCAGCCACTAAGTATTTAAAAACTGCTTTTCTTCCATAGGATTAAAAAAAAAAGAAAACCATGCAGGAAAGACAATTTTATAATTGAAACCAGGTAAGAAGATCTGAATGTGCTTTTGGATCCAAATGTGCTTTTGGATTTTGTTTTAAAACAACCCTAGTATTTCATGTAGCTTAGCCCTCTATTAAAATATTGCATTCCAAAGTTTGTTAGCTTGAATATATTTTATTGTTTCAATATTTCTTCTTAATTTAGTTACATTTTTGTGATGCACTCAGATTTTTTGTTGTGGGATGGTGGAAATAAGCAAACAAAACATTAAAAAATCAAACTAGAAAAGACCTTGAGAATGTAACAGTGGTGCCTTCCATATTCCATTGCTTAACCTGATCCCCTAGTGGTGCAATGGGTTAAACTCTTGTGCCAGCAGGACTGCTGACCAATAGGTCAGCAATTCAAATATGAGTAGAGTGGGTTGAGCTTTTTCTGTCAGTTCTGGCTACTCATGTGGGGACATGAGAGAGGCCTCACACAAGGATGGTTAAACATCCAAAATCCAGGTGTCCCCTGGGCAACGTCCTTGCAGACGGCCAGTTCTCTCACACCAGAGGTGACTTGCAGTTTCTCAAGTTGCTCCTGACATACATACAAAAAAACAAAAACAAAAACAAAACAAAAACCTGATCTAAGGGCAATTTCACACATGCGTCTTTACTCTCAACGCCTCTTTAAAAACAAACTCAAACAACAGATTTTTTTTTGTTTTTAGAAGGAAAGATAATTGGATTTACAGTGTTCCCTCACTTATCACGGGTGTTATGTTCCAGGACCATCTGCGATAAGTGAAAATTCGTGAAGCAGGGACACTATATTTATTTTAATATTTATACATTATTTTAGTAGTTATACACTACTAATGTCAGGGGAAAAATCTTTTCCTTTACCTTATAAACAAAATCCTTCAATTCTTCAAACGCTGCCTCTTGCTCCTCTGCATGCTCAGGGTTAGCCCCGCCACTGAATGGGAAGCCTGCCTGTGTGCGCACATGTTTTGCAGCACTTGGTGTGTGCATGCACTCCAGCCAGCACTGCCTGACTGTGGGCTCCTGGCAGCAGCTCCTCCTCTTTCCTCCTCTCTCTTTCTCCCAACAGACCCTCCTCCTACTCTTCTTCCTCTTCCTTTTGGCCCCAGGCTCTCCGTGCCCCTTCACCAGTTGGAGGGCACAACTTGAGTCCTTCCCAGGGCCACTTGTACAACGTTCCCTCACTTATCCCTGACTTATCCACCCAATCAACACCTCCAGAGTCACTTCTGGGGCTGCAGTGGCACAGTAGGCCACACTTCGTGACCAGTAGGCCTTCCACGCTCTGCTTCACACCCAGCCCACACACCAAACTCCCTTTCTGAGGCCCATTGGCTGCCAGGCCGAGCCACTCGCCACCCACCACCATGTAAATAATGTAATGTAAATATTTTACATTAATATTTATTTAAAAATTATGAAACAGCGAGTCCGGGTCCACAAAAAGAGAACCACGAAGTAGCAAGGAATTACTATAATCCATTTTGTTCCCTCTCAATCTCATCAAAGAGCTGGATGATGCAAATTATATTTATGACTGCTTATTCTGAAAGAGCTTTCCATATTTGTATATAGTATGTGTCTAATGTTCACACAAATAGGTAAATTAAAATCTGGAGAAGATGTAGAACAGAATTAAAATGAAAAAGAACCAAATTAAAAAGCACAGGCAATGAACTTCTTAGAAGGACAACATCTTCATCTTGCCCAGTTTTTATGACTCCTATGCAGACTCCTGTTAAAGTTAACACCTGCTGCTTCTCTCTTTCTCTCTCTTTCTCTCTCAGTGGCTTTCACTAGCATCTTGAAGTTCTGACAATTGAATCCCTTACAGAGATACAGCTAGCTGAGTCTCAGGACATGTGGCAATTTCTGTTTCAAAGATATCAACACTGAATTACAAGCTTATCTTAGATAGGTGCAGGGCGTTCATGAACATAAAAGATGCTTTCAGCCCCATAAAACTTGTCTTTGTTTTGTGAAGCACTTCCAGTAATTTGCTAGCATTTTAATAAATAAAAGGAACGGTGTAACTGTAATACACAAACACTGTGACATGCTGATTTGATCCAAGAGTATGAAAAAGCAAACTATCCTAAACAAAAGGAATATGTGACAAAATCCCTTAAGAAAAAGATCTTTCTCGCTTATTTCACCATTTAAGCATGAATGTACAATAACAATATGCGCTTCTGTACATGCATGGCTAGTAGTAATTTGCAAACAGGAAGAAACAGCTGTTCACTTATAGCAAGTAGTAACTTATTTTTAAAGCCATTCTGAGCAATTAAAGATGTACTCTTAATGCACCACACAGAATACTTAAACTACACAGAGTCTTTTCTTATTTTGCTCTTAAATGAAAATAAACATGAGCAAAGCTGAAACTGCCCATTAGTTATATAATCATAATAGCTCTTCTTCAGAAATAAATCCAAAATGTTCCTGAAGGAACCCATTCCATGTTTTTTTGTTATTCTGTGCTCATAATTGCCTGTTTATCCAAGTTGTAGCAAAATACAGCCTATAGATTGGAGGAAATATACAATTACTTGGCTGTAGCTCCTCCAATTTCACATCTTTGAAGCCCAGTGTTTTGAGTAACTGACTCCTTTCAGTTCATGTTCAATGCATTGTGTGTTATTCTTTCCAGAATGTGTTGCTTCATTTTGCTTGAGAGACTATTGGCATTTCCTCCCCTTTCCCCAATACCTTCTGCAGCCTGGAGGGTGCCCTTGATGAACTGTCCAAGCAGCTTCGCTCTCTCATTAGTTGTCTCAGCATCCTGTCTGGTTTGCTCTCCATCTGCTGTCACCTTGGTCGCCTGGCGATACAGATTAAAGAAAAGTGTAATTAATGAACATGACAAGGAGATACTCCATCTGTCTGAAGTTACTTGGAAACCTTACCTCAAGCAAAAGGCAATCAATAAATTATTGATCAGATAGACTGGAAGTGACACATACTCTTCCCCAAGTACACAATTACATTTTATTACTACTTCACCCATTAAAGAGCCATCAGAGGCTTCATTCTGAGTTCTTAGAAAGCACAGTGGACACGGCTCTACTCATGGCCAAGCCTAAACTAAACACTGCTGCTACAATGAAACTCCTTTGATATTGGACTTTTATTAAGAACTTCTATAGCATTGATTTTAATGCCACCAAAGTAGACTTATAAATCATGCCTTGATATTCCACAGTCTCTTTTACATAATAATCATTATAATACAATAAAATAAGAATATGAAAATAATACAAAGGAGGTCAAAACAGTAGCAGCAGCCTCACAACTCACATACTCTCTTTGCTCAACTGCAATCTCACTTTCACCAGCATGGGTAGAAGTGACTGGTTTAACTGGGAAATTCCGGGATGTTTGCTGTTTGCTGGTGCTATTTACCATAAAGTAATGAGTTCCTCTGATACTGGGAGATTAAACCTTACTTTCATATGGTCTAAACTGCAGGTCCACCTATATCCAAGCAATAGGGGATGTCATGGATCATTCACTTCTTTGGTGAATAGCAAAGGAGTGCACCATAACTGCCCTGAGTCAGTGATTAGAGGAAAAAAATATTCACTACTACATCTTAAAATGTTTTTGTGTTATCAAGCAATGTTTAGGACACATCTAATTACAACTCTCAACTAGAACAGAATCAATTGAACTTAAGAGTTGATTTATGTACGTTCCCATTGATTCAGTAGATTAACTTTAGATGGGACTAACAACTGGATTTATGCCTTTATCCCAAAGTTGTTTTGGTTAAACATCTTTTAGTTTTTCCATTGCAACTTCTCAGTCTATCATGTACCCAGAGTGGTCGAGGAAGGGGGGACAGGCAGGAAGGGGGGACAGGAGGGTGGGTGGGGAGTAAGAAAGTTCAAAATTTGCAATTAGTATGATTTAAAGATTGGGATGGGGGAGAGAAACAAATGGATTGTAGCATATATTAATGGAAGTGCCTCTTTAATTTACATCTCCCATGGTCTGAAGAGGATTTCTCCCCATACCATACATACTTAACCAACCAGGAACACGGAAATAAAATGGCATTGTGATAGCAATTCCTTGTAAACAATTTAGGCCTTTGGTTATAGATTACAACAAACAGTATCATACAATGGAATCTCTTAATTTTGTAATCTTGATATGCAATTAAATAGACTCTTAGATGAGGATAGACAGAATTATTTATAGAATCATAGAATCATAGAATCAAAGAGTTGGAAGAGACCTCATGGGCCATCCAGTCCAACCCCCTGCCAAGAAGCAGGAATATTGCATTCAAATCACCCCTGACAGATAGCCATCCAGCCTCTGTTTAAAAGCTTCCAAAGAAGGAGCCTCCACCACACTCCGGGGCAGAGCATTCCACTGCTGAATGGCTCTCACAGTCAGGAAGTTCTTCCTCATGTTCAGATGGAATCTCCTGTCTTGTAGTTTGAAGCCATTGTTTCGTGTCCTAGTCTCCAGGGAAGCAGAAAACAAGCTTGCTCCCTCCTCCCTGTGGCTTCCTCTCACATATTTATACATGGCTATCATATCTCCTCTCAGCCTTCTCTTCTTCAGGCTAAACATGCCCAGCTCCTTAAGCCGCTCCTCATAGGGCTTGTTCTCCAGACCCTTGATCATATTAGTCGCCCTCCTCTGGATACATTCCAGCTTGTCAATATCTCTCTTGAATTGTGGTGCCCAGAATTGGACACAATATTCCAGGTGTGGTCTAACCAAAGCAGAATAGAGGGGTAGCATTACTTCCCTAGATCTAGACACTATGCTCCTATTTATGCAGGCCAAAATCCCATTGGCTTTTTTTGCCGCCACATCACATTGTTGGCTCATGTTTAACTTGTTGTCCACGAGGACTCCAAGATCTTTTTCACACGTACTGCTCTCGAGCCATGCATTGTCCCCCATTCTGTATCTTTGCATTTCGTTTTTTCTGCCTAAGTGGAGTATCTTGCATTTGTCACTGTTGAACTTCATTTTGTTAGTTTTGGCCCATCTCTCTAATCTGTCAAGATCGTTTTGAATTCTGTTCCTGTCTTCTGTAGTATTGGCTATCCCTCCCAATTTGGTGTCGTCTGCAAACTTGATGATCCTGCCTTCTAGCCCTTCATCTAAGTCATTAATAAAGATGCTGAACAGGACCGGGCCCAGGACAGAACCCTGCGGCACACTTGTCACTTCTTTCCAGGATGAAGAGGAAGCATTGGTGAGCACCCTCTGGGTTTGTCCATTTAACTAATTACTGATCCACCTCACTGTAGTTTTGCCTAGCCCACATTGGACTAGTTTGTTTGCCAGAAGGTTATGGGGGACCTTGTCAAAAGCCTTACTGAAATCCAGGTACACTACATCCATGGCATTCCCTGCATCTATCCAGCTTGTAAGTGACTATGAACACATAGTATGACTATGAACACATAGTGTGTGATCACATAGTACAGGAATTGGGACTATTTGGCCTTCCATATTTTTGAAGGATCAAACGGTCTCACAAACCCTAGCAGATATAGCCAATGCAAACAGATGATAGAAGCTAGAATCCAGCAACATCTAGAGCAGAGCTTCTTAATCTGTGAGTCCCGACCTCAATTGGGGTCCTCATAGCTCAATGTCGGGGTTGCAAAAGGCTTCCTCTTCTCTGCCCCCCATAGACAAGGTGCCATGTTTTGATTGCAATAGGATGGGTCCGTAATATTCACTGTATTTTACTTCAGGGGTTTGATTTTTATGTACTTGGAAGGAAGGCATGTCCTAATTGTTATTGCTGTGGTGCAATTGTTCCTCAATATCCATGTATTTAACTATCTGATATTAAAAAAAAGTTTGATTTATATACAGATATTTTTTATATATCCTGGGGTCACATAAACGTTTCTTGGGAAAAAGGGATCACAAGTTGAAAAAGTGTAAGAAGCCGTGATTTAGAAGACTGCGCAATCCCTGTCCAAGTTCATAAATGGTCAGCTGCATTCCCTGCATAAAAATCACATGCTCTTCTAAGCACAAAAGGCAAAAAGGACAGCAAGAAACATATTTCCAGATTGTCCTCTCTTTTTTCACTGTTTTCCAAGAGGCATTTAAACCTCCTCTATTGAATCGTGCACTTAAGCACAGCTTTCTTTACCACTAGATGTCACACTTTATACTAGTATAGTCCTCTCTTAGATTACCTAACAAAATCCCAACTTCTGCACAGTTTGGAGTCTTTAGTAATAAAAAAGAATAACAAACAACAGAGGTGTTCTCTCAAGAGAATTTTACCTCCTACAAAATAAAGACATTTTTAATAACAAATTTCCTCCTTCCATTTGATAGGGCCTAAGTCATAAATGAAATTCAATTTTAACTCAGTATTTTCTACCTCTTGCTGTGCCTTGGTTAGATTAGAAACTGAAATGAACTAAAGTTTTTTTTAATTTCCTGAGTATGAACCAATATTGATACAAATAAAGAAGACAAATTATGGCAAAAGGAAGTCCCCTTCTACGCTTTCTTTTTGTACTTTATAGATTTATACATAAAAATTGAGAGTAAGAGAGAAATTACCATGGTTCGTTCTATTTGGCTGCCTGTTATGAGCTGCCAATCAGAGAGAAACAAAATCATTCCAAAACCTTTTGGTACCCAGAACTAAAGAAAGGGCTTGAAAGAAATACTTGTTATTGTACCTGACCAAATTCATTGTACCTGACCAAATACCCTTAGGTCTGTATTTCAGGATAAATGTTTTCCTCATGCTTCTATCATCTGTAGGTTCAGTTCCTTCCCTACTGATTTCTGTCTACTAAGAGTGAAAAGAAGAACTATCCCTATTCACACCTCTTAATTCTAGCTTTATGAATTACTGAAATCCATTAATGGATTATTTCTCTCTGTTCTACATGTTCAGTTCTTCAAGCTGGCAAAGCCTCACTGAATCAGTGACTTCTATGCTTCTGTCAACCCCTTCTCCAATGTATGTGTTGTTGTTGTTCATTCGTTCAGTCGTCTCCGACTCTTCGTGACCTCATGGACCAGCCCACGCCAGAGCTCCCTGTCGGCCGTCACCACCCCCAGCTCCTTCAAGGTCAGTCCAGTCACTTCAGGGATGCCATCCATCCATCTTGCCCTTGGTCGGCCCCTCTTCCTTTTACCTTCCACTTTCCCCAGCATCATTGTCTTCTCTAGGCTTTGCTGTCTCCTCATGATGTGGCCAAAGTACTTCAACTTTGTCTCTAGTATCCTTCCCTCCAATGAGCAGTCAGGCTTTATTTCCTGGAGGATGGACTGGTTGGATCTTCTCGCAGTCCAAGGCACTCTCAGAACTTTCCTCCAACTCCACAGTTCAAAAGCATCTATCTTCCTTCGCTCAGCCTTCCCTAAGGTCCAGCTCTCACATCCGTAGGTTACTACAGGGAATACCATGGCTTTGACTAGGCGGATCTTTGTTGCCAGTCTGATGTCTCTACTCTTTACTATTTTATCGAGATTGGACATTGCTCTCCTCCCAAGAAGTAAGTGTCTTCTGATTTCCTGGCCACAGTCTGCATCTGCAGTAATCTTTGCACCTAGAAATACAAAGTCTGTCACGGCCTCCACATTTTCTCCCTCTATTTTCCAGTTGTCAATCATTCTTGTTGCCATGATCTTGGTTTTTTTGATGTTTAGCTGCAACCCAGCTTTTGCGCTTTCTTCTTTCACCTTGATTAGAAGGCTCCTCAGCTCCTCCTCACTTTCGGCCATCAGAGTGGTGTCATCTGCATATCTGAGGTTGTTAATGTTTCTTCCAGCAATTTTCACCCCAGCTTTGCATTCATCAAGCCCCGCACATCGCATGATGTGTTCTGCATACAAGTTGAATAGGTTGGGTGAGAGTATACAACCCTGCCGTACGCCTTTCCCAATCTTGAACCAGTCTGTTGTTCCATGGTCAGTTCTTACTGTTGCTACTTGGTCCTTATACAGATTCCTCAGGAGAGAGACAAGGTGGCTTGGTATGCCCATCCCACCAAGAACTTGCCACAATTTATTATGATCCACACAGTCAAAGGCTTTAGAATAGTCAATGAAGCAGAAGTAGATGTTTTTCTGAAACTCCCTGCCTTTCTCCATTATCCAGCGGATATTGGCAATCTGGTCTCTCGTTCCTCTGCCTTTTCTAAACCCAGCTTGAACATCTGGCTACTCTCGCTCCATGTATTGCTGGAGTCTTCTTTCCAATTTATGTACAGGGATTTAAAAAGAGGTATTCAAATTTATCATATTTTTCACTCTCTACAAAATAATATGGCTGTCACTTATTCCTTAAATGTAGGTTTTTGAGCCTTGTGCAAGCTGTCTAGTGTAGACAATTACTCCTAGAAGCCCCAGGCAGTGTGGCTACTGGCATAGTCTTTTGAGAATTCAAGCCTGAGATGTCGGGGACTGCTATAGTTACAGTTATAGACAGACTATGTAGAACAGGAGTACACTGAAATATGCATATATTTTCATTCCTGTTTCTGAACAGAAGTTGGAAGGAATCACTATCATAATAGAGGATACAGGTTTCAAATTGTACTTAGATCTACATTAGGCAGAATGAGAAGATTGTTATGAATGTGTTATAGGACTCCAGTGCACTCATCATCACAAACTGCGAGAAAGGACAGTAAATGATGTTTATTTCTCCTAAATATTTAAGGAAGATGCTCATTTTTTCAACCCAGAAATACTTTATACAGCATATAAAATTCTCCAAAATAAAAAGCCGCTAAACTTCAATAATCAGTGCCTAAAAACATGGTGCAATAAAAGCCATGAAAACAAAGATGTGAACAGCAGATATACAAAAAATTACTAGAGTGGAATAAGGGAACAAATGAGGAAAAAGAATATATGAAAAGGTGGAAAGAAAATATTGGAAAAACTATATAAAAAAAAGAGAAATGGGAAGAAATTTGGATTAGGAAATTGAAAAACTTATATGCATTTGATTTAAAAGAAAACTGGATAAAAATATCACATAGATGGTATATGACCCCTCATAAATTAGGGAAGTGCTATAAAATGCCAATACAGAATGCTGGAAATGTAGAAAGATAGAGAGTACATATTTTCACATGTGGTGGACTTGCGAAAAAGCAAAGATATACTAGAAGAGAATACAAGAGAGATTATAAAAAAATGTTAGATATAGACATTCACCTAAAACCTGAACTATTCCTTCTGGGAATGACGGAACAAAAAATGGAGAATACAGACAATTACTGTGGCTATAATTTGCTACGCAAAACTATGGAAAAAACAAAAAGTACCAGAAATAGAAGACTGGCTAGAAAAAGTTCTCAATATCAGAAACATGGACAGACTTACCTATATGCTATCAAAATACAAAGATACACCGATAAAAGAGACAAATTGGTAGAAAGTTACAGAATACTTAAAAGATAAAAATTATAAGACAATAGTATAAACTCAAGGAATTAACCCCATCTGAAAGAAGGAGAGTAGGATTGACCAAAGGAAAATAAGAGAGAAAGATAGAGGAAGAGGGGAAAGGAGGACACCTCACAGAAGATACTCTGGAAGCCACAAAGAAGAAGCTAAACTTATTTTTTTAATTTCTTTCTTTCTTTCTTCTTCTTTATCCCTTTTTTATTTTTTATTTTTTTTCTTTCCGTTTTCTTTCAAGGACTTTTAGATTTTAATCATGTTATAGAAAATCTCAATAAAGATATTATATATAACAAGAAAATAGTTAAGCCACTGTAATTAGGGTATGGTGGTTAATGCAATGGGACTAGTATATAGGTTGTAGTTATACTGAATAAGTTTGATGAGATTTGTATGTTGAAGAACAGATGGTGGTTTGGAGAGTATGTTGGAGAATTGCTGCTGTGAGTGAGGAAGAAGAAACTGTAATGTTACATTTTGTATATACTTTGTATGCTGCTGCAACAAAGGAGAAAGAAAAGCCTACAACTTTATTTTTTTATAACTGGTTTCTAAACTGGAGCTAATAGAGTCACTTCCACAAGAACAGAAGTTTTTTGACTGCATACATAGAGCCCCTGGGAGTTATCAGATATCTTTCTTCAAAATATATGCTGAATCAGAACTAGGGAGATACCCTTTTCAGTGAATGCAACTATCTCCTGAAGAAGGCCCATCTCACCACTTGTGTAAAAGTCTTCCATAGGATGGCCAAAACCCTCCTTTTAAATTCTTTTTCCTCTATTTTTTGGAAGTTGTTTTAACTGCCACAGTTAACACAGCAATGGCTTCTAAAACATATATTTAAATATATTCCTGATATTTCACCATTTTATGTGAGTTTGTCACTGCACGAGCTATGAAAAGAGGAGGGTAAGAAACACATTATTATTATTATTTTACTGACACAACCACAGTATGTCACAGTAAATGAGGTCTATATGCTGGATTTTGTATTATTGTTATTATTATTATTGTTGTTATTATTATTATTATTATTATTAACAATCTTGGGGTAGCTAGCTTGAGAGCTGTGAGCACAGAAAAACTGGGCCAGCCAAGGACACTTTGCTGCCCGAAATGTACAACTCAATCGAGCCCCTACCCATCCTATATTCAGAAAACAGTTGGACAGCAACTGGATGGTCAATTATAGGGTAGTTACCTGCTTTGCACATGAGAAGCAGGCTGTTCAAGCGGACCCAGGAAAATCCTTGCAGTAAAGGCAGATGGGAATAGCTGCAAGCTTCACAAGGACCAGGTGTAAGGTTGGTGCCAAAAGAGTGTCTTCTATTAAATGAGGCTGCCTTACTCTGTTTAATCAGGGTATGGGCAATCCTAGGGGTCTCTCTCTCTCTCTCTCTCTCTGTGTGTGTGTGTGTCTGTGGGGAGGTTCTATTTGTCTGTACATAAAATCATTTCTGAAATATTTTATCATTCCTTTTGTGAAAATGGATAAAAAAGGATTTAAAAAGAGATTCAGAGACCATTCAACCACCAAGAAAGGGAACATAAAAGTAGTTGTGTATGTGGTTATGTGATTTAAACTAGATTGCGGCAATAGAGTCAAGAAATGGGGTGTTTAACCTTTCTGCCCCATGCCATTTTCTCCAATCAAAATAATGCTTCTGCTCCCACTTGTTATTAACCCAGTTGGAAGAAAAAGAGAATGGCTATTTGGTGCCTTTTCCTCAGCAAGATTAATAGCAGTGGGAGGGGGACATGGAGAGATGAATTTCAATTGGGGAGAATTTGAAGATGAATAGATAAAACACCTTCACAGTCTGTGGGACAGACCAATGATGTGAGATGCAAAAGTTTATCTATGGTTTATGTTTTCATTTGATACCCATTCCGATTGGTCATTTAAGCTTTTCATGAATGAATTAAGATGGCCAAACCCACCTACACTTAACTTTTAAAAACTTAAGTTGCAACATCAACCAATCGTTTTATTTATATGAATGATGCAAGACTACATACCCTTGGCCCTTCATATTCACATAGATTCAACCATCCATGGCTTGAAAATATTTTTTAAAAAATTCTGAAAGGCAAACTTTGACCTTCCCATTTTATATAAAATAAACCATTTTTATGTCATTGTGCAGTATAGGATAGTACTTGAGCATCTGCAGATTTTGGTATCCAAGAGGGACAGCAGTGTGTATGTGTGTCCTGAAACCAAACTTGAACAAATATCAAGGGCCAGCTGTATTTAATATGTAAACCAGTTGTTTGATTTTAAATTTGAGTATACTGATTGAATCTCCTACAAACAGCTAACAATAAATAATATTGTTGTGCAGTATGCTCTTGACTAGCAGTGCCACTAGAACCAGGCATGCTTAGATACACAGATTTCTAAACTGATAACATTACAATGTAATTTCAAAGTCAATTTTAATCAATAAGGGCCAGCCCTGATAATACTGGTATATTATGTCACATTACATCCTTGGACTGGATCATACAATCTGGAAAACATTTTTATTACCAGCACATTCTGCATCACTTTGTTTATACAGACATTACTAAAATAGCAAAGAACGGAACTGAAACCATGTTACTGTAATAATATAAAATATAGGTCCTGAAAACCGCTTTCCCTTGAATTCAGGAGGCATCATTTGGACTCACCCTTGTCAAAAGCTCATCCATTTCTGTCACAAGAGTATCCAAATTCTTCTGTGCTAACCGAAGCCGTCTCTCTGGTGCTTGCTGAGGTGACAGTAAATGCTAAGAGGAGAGCGGTGAACATTTTATACCATGGTTTGCAGAAATAATGGTGAAATATAACATTATAATTGTATTACTGTGCAACTCTCAATTACTATATATAAAACATTCTTATGTAACAGAACAAGTATACATCCACTTGTTTGGTTATACAAGATATGGGCAAGTTAAATTTGTGAAGTGGTTTATTTGCTTTAGAAAATATTAGGAGCATTATGTTACATTAGCATACATGCTTCATCACAATTTTAATAATTAATTACCTGCCATTGAAAGGTGTAAACATTAATTACTGCTGCATATTTTACATATTATTCCTCCCAAAAATGAATGGCAGTATCTGTTTAGTCAGTGTGGCAAGGCTAAAATAAACAAACCATTCCTTCATCCCACCCATTTGCACAACTAAGCAAATGACATGTGCTGATAAAAATACGTGTAATTGCCCATGTGCCACTTTTTGAGAACTGAAATGGTTTGGAATATACCTTTAATTCTTGGGTTGTATTTTCAAAAGAATAAAGCATTTTATATGGTGGATGAAGCGGGCCACTCAGATTGACACTCAGAACCATCTGGTTTAGTTTATCCAAGTCCCGAAGAAGGACTCCAGTGCACTCATCATCACAAACTGTGAGAAAGGACAGTAAATGTTTATTTCTCCTAAATATTTAAGGAAGATGCTCATTTTTTTAACCCAGAAATACTTTATACAGCGTATAAAATTCTCCAAAATAAAAAGCCACTAAACTTCAATAATCAGTGCCTAAAAACATGGTGCAATAAAAGCCATGAAAACAAAGATGTGAACAGCAGATGGAGATAAATAGACATTTAATTGTGAACAACTTGCTAAAGAGACAGCATGATATAAAATATTATTTGTAGAGGCACTCAGTATACGGCTTATACATTCACACGCATCCACACAAAAATCCACAGGCACAATTCAAAGAAGTTTAATGTCTTGAATAGATTTGGTTGAAGAGAGGTAACAGAGGGATCAGAGGTCAGAAACAATATCACCAAGGAAAAGTGTGTATGTCTCTCTATCTGAATTTAATTTCAATTGTCAATCATAACTGAGTGATTTGAAATAGGAATAGGCAGCTAGGACCCCTTCAGATATTTTTTGACTGCAACTCTCATTATCACCATGACTGCAACTCTCAAGCACCATGTATCCTACATCTGAATTAGTCAATGGTTTCATGGAATATGGGAAGCCTGAACACGGTGTGATGGAGGAGAAAATGGTGGCATTATCTAAGGATTTCATCCCACACAGTAAAACCAGTGTTTTTACACATTTAAAAATTGACAACTCATAGTGCCCTTCACATCACACAAGCTTCAGCCATGGGGTTGAGGTGTTTTGCTATTCCTAAAGTGCTGGATAAATCCTAAAGAAAATGGAAAAAGAAGGAGGTGTGATGGAGGTAGGAAAAAAATCCATTTAATTTCCAAAGGGGGCGTTGCAAAACTTAAAGGAAAACTAACAATCCCAAACACTTTACTTATTACATAGGATGAAGTCCTAAATATAATGGAGATAATTCTGGGCTTAAGAAAGAGAAAGATTAAAAAATAAAAATAGGATCTTGATAAATGATCTAACAGATTCAGAGTTCAAATCTTAGATTGTTTGAAGTAATTGTTGGCACAGGAAAATTAATAACTTTGTCACCTGTAATAAAAGGCTGATTTTTAAAATAACATTATTTTAAAGTGCCACAATATCATTGGAAGTATCTACGGTCATCATTTAATGAAAATATGAGACCCAGTTTAAATTGTGCTATCAAGACCAAACATACAAACATTTGTTGTAATATTCCACACGCTGGAGTCTGATGCACATTTTCTGTCTGCCAGGGATTTGTTTCTTTAGTCAAGGGGAAACAATGTCTTCATCCAGATGAGCATTGAAATCTGATTTACTTGTTTTTCTACAAACCACTATTCTTCACAAGCTAAGAGTTCTTCAGCTCATGCTGAAAGAGTAAATTTCAGCATGACGAAGGGGCATATGAGACTCAGAAGGATTTTCTTTCTAGGTGTCTTCTCTATTGATAATTCTAGCTTCTGATGCTTCTGGTGGTATAAGATGTAGCTAACTCCTTTAGGAAACCCATTAAATGGTGACTTGAGATGAGAGCAAAATATTCTGGAATCATATTTTGGAAGACCCTACTGAATATAATACATATCAGACAGTTTCAGGAAGGGTGATACTCTCTATTTCATATGTATGCCAGGCTGACAGAATATTCAGGTAATGCTGGCTTTCTTTTATAAGATAATCCAAGGTGTTTTTGCAGTCTAAACACCATATCCCTGTTCTTTCTGCTTTTTGCTAGATTAGAAGTTTTTATCCTTTCATATTTAAACATTATACAAATTTTGTGTTCCTATAAATGCATTCAACATTACTTTTACAATTTATTTACATCTTCTTTCTTTCTTTCTTTCTTTCTTTCTTTCTTTCTTTCTTTCTTTCTTTCTTTCCAACTTACTGTTCTGGTCCTGTGCATACCAAACTGATAGGATACTCAGCCAACAGTGTTCTTTTTCAATACAATAATTTTAATGTATTTTTGCATTCTGAATAGTGAGAATGCAGTGGTTTGTTGGACGTTTCCAGCTTTTCAATTTGGGAAAGAATTGAATGAAGAGGAATTAGCAATTCATTTGTTTAAAAAAATCTCTATGCACTGACACAATATCTTGCAGGTTTTCATGTTTAACATATAAGAATAATCACACTAATCTACGAGGGTGGTCTACTAATACTGAGCGAATGAATGTGAAGTATATAAATACTAGGTATTATTATAAAGTCTTATATGAATGGTATTTGCATATGTTCTCCAGTCAACTTCATCTATTTCAAGAATTTGACTTTTACAATATTGAAATGCAAGGACATTTCAAATATTACCAATATTGGGCAATGAAGAAAAATGTACTGTCAGGTTACAGTGACAGAATCACCTTGTTGAGCAATATCTTGAATTCCAACAGACCTCACTACCTCTGAGGATGCTTGCCATAGATGCAGGCGAAACGTCAGGAGAAATGCCTCTAGAACATGGCCTTATAGCCCGAAAAAACCCACAAGAACCTAGTGATTCCAGCCATGAAAGCCTTCGACAATACATTGAATATCTTGAATACTTCTAGTAAATTAGAACAAAAGTATTTAAAATCAGTTTGGGGGTACTGTGGTTTTTAACTTTGAATATGTTTTGAATATGTTTTAATGGTTTTAAACTGATTTTTTAAATACTGTTTATATTTAATTCTGTTTTAATGGTTGCATATTTGTATATTTTAAATTGTGTGAAAATGCTTTTATGTTCAGCTGCTTTGAGTGGGGATTAAATAAATATAATAGTAACAACAACATGACTTCTCAGCCAAATATCATGAGTAGCAGTATACAGCAGTATACAGCAGCAATTCACGGTTTTAAGGATAAAGATGGAACAGTTACATTTTTATTCTGTTCAACAGTTTACCTCAAATGGTCAGCAAAACCTTCTTGTACAGGTTTTTACCACTACCTAGAACAGCTGGATCAGATTTATATGGATGATGAAAGAAACAGATCATCCTAACTAACCAGATGGTGATAACTGGCTGGCAACTTTCCACCTCATCATACATCTGGCAGGGAGTGGGGAATCCATACTCCACCTTAAAACATGCCAAATGATAAAAAATTAAAATAAATGGAAATTGGCTGATTATAGTTGATCTTGAAGTGTACCCAAGTAGTCACGAGGTACAACTAGGTCAGCCAACATTCCAATTTATCTAGAAGGTCCTAGTCCTCCTCCTCTCCATATGCCAAAGTGCAAAGGTGTGTCTTCAAGAGAGGGTGCCATTGTTTTGCTTTGTTTTGTTTTTTGCCTTGATCAGTAAACTGCATTGGGTAGCAATGAAAGATGGGCACACATACAAGCTTTGCATTCCTTATCTTTAATTCTGAAATCCAAATCCAAAATGTTTCAGATGATGATTTCTAATTGTTCAATGTGCACAACTTTGTTTCATGCACAACACTAAAAATACAGTATAGGCCAGGTCCAATATCCACTGTTTCATTTATTCACATCCTACAAAATCTGTCTAGATCCTCCAACTTTGTTCTATGATACTCTTGGGCCACCAATCCTTCATTTCAACAGGATTTGTTATTAAGTCTGGGAATGGATACAGGGGTTGTATTGTCTTTGTCTGTAGACTATGCGTATATGAAACATAAATGAATTTCATGCTTAAACTTGGGTCCCTTTCCCAAGATATCTCATTATGTACATATATGAAAATACAGGTATTCCAAACCCTGAAAATTTCCAAAATCCCAAACACTTTTGAGTCTAAGCATTTTGGATGCTTTGGATAAGAAATATTCAACCTATATTTCCTGAAAACCAAGCTGTACTTGTATGCATCCACCGATAAGGAGGAGGTTGTGCTTCCAATCTTCTCCAGTACATCCATTCCAACTTGATATAGGTATGATAAATTAAATATATATGCACATGGTGCCTCCCTAGCACTGGATCAAGCAGGATGAGTGGGCAGTCAGTAGTCATTTGCTCAGAGTTCACCTATAAATAAATATGCAGAAGCCTGCTTTTGCATGCCTAAATTACCATGTTGAGTTGGGAGGCAGCATGCATATTTATTTTTATTTTTTAAAATCCTCTCCTGTGCTCACTTAAATTCACGACAAATCTTTCTCATTATAGAATGGGGTATGATGCTATTTCAGGCTATGTGGAGTTAAAACTATATTCTAGCTGCAGACAGGAAAGCAAATCATGGGATAGGAGGCAAATTGATTTAGTGCAGTGAGAAGGCAATTGTCAAGTTGCACAAGGAGGCACTGAGATGTTATTTTCAGTTACTTCCTTTGCCCAATAAATTTCTCTTGCCTTTTCCTCCATACAGTTCTCCCACTAATTTGTTGTTTGAACTGAAGTGCACTGTAATTGCTCTAGTAAGGGGGTAATATTTTCTGCTTTATGCATGCATGTCAGAAAAACCTATTAGTAGTCCAAGTCTTCTCATTTGTGTGCTTGTGTGTGGAACACAAAGAGAAAGCACATTTCCATAAATAACATATGGGCTCAATGTTGAGCTGTATGTTTTATATACCAACATCTATCCTAGTTGGTCAAGGAACCATACAGATCTGCCAGGCAAGCATTCAGAAACTGTAAATCAAATAAATAGTAAAATACCATTTTCTTTGAAAGACCTAGACTCCCCTCTTTTTACAAAAATGCCTTGTTGTGCTAAATCAACAGATAGCAGATTTCAGACAGATACTAACAGATACTAATAGATTTCTGCTTAAACATGCATTTTCTAGTTAACCTTGAAATAGTTGACAATAAATATCAGAAAATGGGATGCAAATGAAAACCAATTTAATTCAGCATGATAGAAAAAATGAAGCACTTATAAATACATGAAAATACTCTGAAAGAACAAACAACTATTGCCTCTAATATAAACTGTGAACATTCAACATAAATTAATTTTTTCTTGAAAATTAGGTTGAAAAGAAGAGACACACAAAGTGTCTTCCTTTACTAAAAGAGACAGACTGCTATCACTTTATTACACAGACTAAAATGTACTGGAGCAACAGGAAATGTTTCAAGATAATAATTATATGATTTATACATGACCAAATATCTCCATGTTTGATGTATAAAACTGTCAGCATGAATACAAGTGGGGTATCATTCCTTGAGTATTCCTGCTAGGCACTAGGCCTGTGCGATGAATGAAAAAAAATGTTTCAATACTCATTACTAAATTGGGGGGGGGGCACAAATAATAGTTTCTAAAGTGTTTCTAAAATATTATTAGGTCTTTATCATAATTATAACAATATAACGAGTTCTTTGTTACTTTTCCTTAAGGAATTTTGCAAGGGGGGAATCCAACCCCCTTCTGCCAGGCAGGAAAAGCACAGTCAAACCACCCCCAACAGATGCCCACACAGCCTTTAAAATAATAATAATCACAACAATAATAGGAAAGCTAGTAGGAAAACTTTGGAGTTAATGCCTGTCAACTTTGCTTACCTCACAAGGTTGATTCAACTCCCAACCCCCTTTTTATCTTGAAATCCCTTCAGAGAATGAACATGGAGAAGGAGAAGGTGACACAAGGTGGTATACAGAATTCTGGCAAATGAAGTTTGGGGAGGTGAAGATGCCTGTGGCAGATAATTCAAAAAGCCCCACCCAAACAACATTTCCCTGAATTCTGCTTGCTTCCCATGTTATAGCGCTTGGGTTTTCCCTCTCCAAGTTAGAGAAGTTATTTTTAAAACAGAGTTGCTGCATTGACTCTGTATCAGCAGTGCCAGAGAATTCAAAAGGCCCTGCCCTAAACTACATTTCCCAGAATTCTGTCCACTTCCCACATTAAAGCCTCAATGTCAGTGTAGTCTCTGCATCTCTCTCTGGGCCAGCCATGTGCGGAGGTGCTTCTTCCTCTTCCTTGCCCAGCCATCCAGCCAGTCATCCCTCCCTCTTCCCCTTCACCACTCCCTTTGGGGAAAGAGTGAGGCTTCTCCCTCCACTTCGGCCTCACAATTCTCCTCAGGGCATTTTGGAGGAACCAGACACGGCCCTTTTTGGGGAGAAGCAGCACCCATGACATAAACCTGGAGCCATTTAGAAGATTTGCGTAACCCATCTGAAAGTCATAGGCCAGTGTTTTGAATCTTAAGTTTTTTGTGTGGCTGCCCCTTGCGTTTCTTAGTATTGCTTCATATGTATGAATCTAACAAATTAGACCTGAAAAATGAATTAAAAACAAAGCTTTGCACACCCCTGGTGGGCACACAGGAAAGCCAAACCTCATGCAATCTTTCAGGAAGGAAGGAATAAGAAACATTGTGTGCAAAATCCAACCAAGCTTTGGAGAAAAATTGCCATGCCATTAACAGAAGCGGTGCTTGGTGTGAATTAATTTGATACCTTTTGGTGTTTTCACACACAATTGCACTACATGACAAATATGGTATGTACCAGACTTACCTTAAAAGTTGAATGCCTCAGAAGAAGGCATGTGTATAAAAACAAAGTGAGTAGAAAGTTATTTGTAAATTAAATACATTTGAAATGCATTTGTGCTTTCCAGATATCAGTCCAACTCATTGGCTTGTGATTTGAATCCAAACCTTAGATATAAGAGAAAACTAATAGGTACTGTATCTCAGCCAGTTTCTTCCATGCAATGAAATCTATTCAGACTGAGAGCAGCATCAGCCACCACCTGCTGCACATACAGGCATGGGGATGAGGGAAGAGAACAGTCAGCTGGCTGAAACATCCGTTTCCTCCTTTGATCCAGTTGCCAGAATTTATAGTTTTATTCATATTTTAGTAGAGTGTTCACCACATTGATACTAAGTGCTGGAAATTGACTTTATTGTTCAAAAGTAACAATTAAAATTTGTAATTGAGCCAAACCATATTTTGAACCAGATAAGCCAGTTCCACATATTAGGTTATCTGGTTTGTAACTTACCAGTGTATAAGCATGTTTTGTTGGTGGAAATTTATAAAACTTCAGTTTAATGCCTCAAATGTTTCTTTGTTCTTGTGATTCTAACTTCTGATGCTTTACTACACTGAGATAGGGAGACAATACTGTCTCCAGATATTATGGTTGATTTACTCACTTTATTAAATTTGTAGGAATCTCTCCTTGATCTCCTGCCACAACCAATCCCTTTGTGCAACCTTTCTCCAGCCTTCTAAGATTATAACAGTAGGAATGGGAGGGAGCAGCTATAAGCAGGTAAATCTGATTTTGATAACTGAACTAAACATTTTGCACAATAGGGTTCTGTGCCTCTCCTATTAAAAGACATCTGGAAAGCAAAAGAGAGCCACAAAAATTTGAAATACTGTTAATATACATACAAACGCATGCTATGCCTTCACGAGCATGCCGGGGTTCACATCCTGCACACTTCAGTCCAGTAGATCCAGGTTTGCATGTGCATTGTCCAGTGACAGGATCACAAGGAACAGGCAGCGAACCATATGGATGACACTCACATTCTTGGCATGATCCACCAGGAATTCTTGGGTTCCCAGTGTATCCAGAAGAACATCTACAAGTTGCACATTTTAAATAAAAAAATAAGTGAAGCTTATGAATTTCAGTGTAAATGATTTTCTGGGAAGGAATCACTAAAGAAGTCTGGAACATATTCACTTCTTTAATGCAGTAGGTTTTCTGTACAAATACAGGGGAAGAGCTGAACACTCACATTTGTCACATACATGATGCAATACATGATGCACCTAATATACACAAAGGGAGTGTATATGCTACACATATAACTTATAATGAGGAAAACATTATAATTGAGCAGAGAAAAATATTCATATTTCCCAATCAGGAGCTTAGACTAGCCTATTGTATGTACAACTATTCCATATCTTGTAAGATGAAAGACTTTTCTACATCCAATATTTAATTTATAATCATTTGTCTCATTTCATTGGGAAGTATCTAAGCAAATAAATCACTTAGTCATTTCAGACAATGTTATTACAACTCCTCCTTAGTTTAAAGCCATTGCTTATTCTCATACATTTTTATATATCTAAAGATTTTCAGAATAACTCTTTCTGCATACACTTTAAACTGTTACTCGCTCAGTTTACTGCCGTTATATATACCCTGTTATTTCATTTCAGTTTGCCACCAGATGTTGAAACCATGTGGGGACCACATTCATCCCAAAGGCCATGGGTTGCTCATTTAGCTTTCCTGGTAAAACTCTACTAAATACATCTTTCTAAATTCTACTGTTTCTTGTAGAATTTAAATTCTACAACTTGTATCACAATTGATTCCTTAACATTTATTTACTTGGCATTTTGATATCCAGAATGTAAAGCTGTAGCTGAGACAATCTATTTTCAAAGTTCTGCTGAGAAGATGTAGGAAAATCACTGAAAAAAGATCAAGACTTCTCTTCTCCATGTTTAAAGACACATGTGATTTTTTTGTTAGAAGAATTTGAATCTGAGGGCATTTTAAAATTAATCTAGAACAGATGCTCTCAAAATACAGTTCTTTGCTTTTCAAATACTAGGAAATTTTGAGAGTCATGCTACTTTCATTTGGTTTATTTGGGTGAAAACATAGTAGACCAGTTTCATTTGCCATAGTAATTTTACTTAATAATTAAAAAGGAAATAGATACAAAGAATACCCACAAACCTTCAGCGTGGGGTTATCTGAAAGGTGGCTATCTCCTCCAAGCTCTGATAGCCATCTCTTTTAAAATAGTGAAGAGAAACATCTAAGGGTCTAGAGAACCTCTCCTATTAATGTGTTCCCCAAAAGAGATCAACCATTCTGAGCTACTTAATCTTTAATTCCTTTAATCCACTTTTAATTTAGATTTAATCCTTTAATTTAATCAGAACCCACAGCAACACAATGTAGAATAGGTGGCAGAGACAGCTTCTTTTGCAGTTACTAAAACCTTGAAATGTTCTCTGAGACCATAGTAGACTTAGAAGAAAATATTTCTTTTAGACCTAAATTGATTTTTATTTCACACCATCATCTTTCAGAATAATAGTCATTTTGTTGCTTCATCTTGTTGAAAAATGGTAACTTCACCTTGCTGTGTAATGCTAACTAGATTCCCCTATGCCCCCCCCCATTCTCAAGCAATAGCATTTTGTAGTCATTTCCACCCATTTTATAGTTGTTTCTTGTTTTTCTTAGTAACAACTATTTATCTATGTCTTTAATCAATTTCACTGTAATAGTATCACCCAATCTTTCTACTTAATATCAGGCTAAACATTCAGGTTTTCTTTTGTTAAATTGTAAATACCGAACCAAATTCTGCTATACCAATAATATGTTCATGGTTAGATAATAAACTGTGCAGTCCAGAAAAAAAGGCTGTGCTAAATGTATCTCCACAAACACTGTGGAAGGAAGCTCTATGTGGTTGAGCTGACGTTTGCAACTAATATTATAGAAGATATGCACCTTCCATAATAATAATATACTTTATTTATAACCCACCCTATCTCCCCAAGAGGACTCAGGTGGTTCCATGTACCTCAAACTACCTGGTTCATCACACAAAGTGACAGGTATTAATTGTTTTGGGGAAAACTGGGAAAGACTAGTAGTGACACAATAACACACATTGAATTAGCACTGTGAATCCATTTATTCCACATTCATGGAATGCCTGTCTTCTGGCATTCTTAAACATACACATGTTTAATATGAGCTTATATGTTTTATATTGTAATTTATATGTTGAGTTGTTGCTTTTTAATAATCTATGAATTTTGAACTTTATCTTGAATTTCAGTATTTTTCCTTACCTTTCACAGTACTGTCCCTCATATCCAGGTGGGCAAGCGGTACACCGATAATCACCAACCCCTTCGATGACACAGGAGGGACTAAAACTTAAATGCAAAATTTAAGACATGAGAATCTTTCATTTAAAATATCTCTGCTGCAAAATGAAACTGAAAAATTATCTCCTGAAATGATCCTTGCTTCTTCATATCTTGTCATAATTTAAAATGCCAACTATATAGTTAGGAGACTTTTGTTAAGTCAGTAGAAATGAACATGAATGTGGGGTGTTTAAAAGAAGTGCAATTGCAAATGTTAATTTTCCTCAAGTAAAAATTAAGTAAAAATTAAGAACTACTAGTAGAAAAAACAAAGACAAAAGACATAAAATGCTTCTACATATAGATGCAGGAATACAGAGTTGTGTAAAGCAATGCCTTTCATAAGAGGCTTTGCTTTACAAATTTCAAATTTCTTTGAAAATGTGCAAGAGCTTCTTAAAAAGCTATAATATTATTGCTTTTTCACTCCTTGGAATCTCAGGCACTTTCTAGTTTTGGCTGAGAAAGGCGGTATACAAATCCAGTAAATAGTATAGAAGAAAACATGAACCTAGGAGGAAAGTTGAGAGTTATTATTGTCACTCTTATGTATTTGAAAATATGAATTATAGAACAGAGTTCTGTTTTGCTTATTTTTAATTGAACTGAAAAGAATTTAAATTCACTGCCAATAGTTTGAATGGATAAGGTAATCTTAAAGAAGTTGAGATCAAAACAGACTTTCAAACAGGCCATTTTGGGTTCTTTTGCATCACTACTGTTTTTATGCAAGATAGAAATGGAAGAACAATTGATTGCCATTTTTGAAAATTTCTATACTAGTATTGTTATCAAAAATGGAATGTTAGGGTGACATACATAAAATTTCAATCAAGATTTTGATTGAAATCACTCCTTTCCCAGTTGATCCCATGGAGGGAAGCTTTTACCACATGGTTTCCCTCCACTGCTTGTAATGGCAACCTGGGAATCTTCCCATGTTGCTGTGGTGGCAGCATGCAGTGACTCTGCCCTCCTTAGAAACCTGTTGAGAATCCTGCCATCTAGTAATGCATATTTGCACACACAAAATCTGTATTTATACATATTTTTTCACTGCTTTTAAAAACAGTATTTATGAAATGGAAAGGTAACTTTCAAAACCACTGCACACAGCGTAATCACAGCTATCTTGCATCTCATTGAACACTGTTTTTCCTTTCCCTTTATTTTGGTTTTGTCATTTCACCCCACGCAACAAGACAAAAAATCAGATTGAGCAGTTCTCTCTGCATTCCTTTTTCAAAACATTTCCTGTATACAATTTATATACTGTTTTGATGCTAACTGCCATAAAGTCAACCACAGCTGATTATATGGATGATTGACTGAATGACTGATTAATGACCGAGCAAAGCTATGGAATATTTTGGATATTTTATTTTAATATTCTATTTTAATAGAATAGCTGACATTCCAAATGATGTTGAATTGCAACTTCCATTATCTTGCACCATTTGGTATGTTGGATACGGCTAATGGCAATTGTAGCACAAAAACATCTAAAGGTATACTCTTAGTCTAAATGTGTATGCTATTTCAACCAAATTCCATGTAAATTTCACTTAGTATGCAGTATATCTCAGCTAACAAATAGATGTATTCTTGGGCTTTACTCATCTGCCAAAAAATGGCATCAGAAGTAGAAATAATATCAAGAGAATATGGATAGTTTCCTACAACAAAAAAGAAGAAATGCTGTTCAGTAGGCTTGGTTGATCAAGAAAAAAATGGTTCCAAACTCATTTCGTATATAGGGGGCGGTGGCGGTTTGATTTTGAAATTATTTCTGAAATTTTCTTGAAAAAAAAGATTGGAAATATCAGGAAATACGAATCGCTTCATTTGTTTCGTTAATGGAACGTGCCCCTCCCTCTCGCCAGAACCATTAAAATCTCAGTTTTCTTTCCTTCCCTTGTGGCGAGCTGCCATGCAGAGTGACCAGGCGGGTGTGTCCAAGCACGGCTCTCCTTGGAGGTCGCTTGGGGCGAGGCCTCCAAGGGGAGCTGTGCTTGGCCACACCCACCTGGTCCCGCTGCATGACAGCTTGCCAGGGAAGAGAAGCTGAGAGATTTCAAAAGTGTTAGCTTTAAAATCTCTCAGCTTCCCTTCCCTGGCAAGCTGCCATGCAGAGTGACCAGGTGGGCGTGTCCAAGCACAGCTCTCCTTGGAGGCGGCAATGTGGAAGTGCGAGGTGGGCATGGCTAAGCCCAGCTGTTCCTAAAGACCACGCCCCCAGTGGCCTTCAGGAACAGCAGTTCTTTCCCACACCCACTTCCTTCCTCTTTGCATCGGTGGCTTTGCACGGCTAGCGATGCAAATAGGGATGAGGTGGGACGTGGGTAAGAACAGCTGTTCCTGAAGCCCACTGGGGGCGTGGCCTTCAGGAAGAGCTGGGCGTGGCCACGTCCACCTCACCCATCCGCATCACTGCTTGTCGCCAGGGAGGCCAGGGAAACTGCGAGATTGTAAAGTTTGCACCAGATTTACAATCTCACAGTTTCCCTGGCCTCCCTGGAGACAAGCGGCGATGCGGAAGGGCGAGGTGGGCGTGGCTGCCTTGACGGTCACTGGGGGCATGGCCTTCAGGAAGAGCTGGGAGTAGTCACGCCCACCTCACCCTTCCGCATCGCTGCTTGTCGCCAGGGAGGCCAGGGAAACTGCAAGATTGTAAACCTTGACCAGACATCCGAAAATAATTCCAAAAAATGGGTAAATTGTTTCAATTCGTAATTACTCCTCACACTATTCCAGCATGGCTCGAAATTGTTTCAAAAGTAATTTAAATATGAATTCATTCTGATTTTAGAAGCTTCTGAACCAGATCAACCAAGCCTATTGTTCAGCATGTTGCAGAAAGCTTTTTTATTCAAAATTAACATTATGAATAGATGACCTGACAAAACCAGGTTATGTAAACCTTGTATAAGTAAGCAAAAACATTTTGAATCTTCTAAAGACCACTTGAAAGCTTCTTCCAAAATGCTACTTAGCTCCTCCCCCCTTTCAACAGCCTCCACAGGATTTTGATAGTGAAACTTATATGGCTATGCTTTTTCAACATGATAGCATAACTGCCAAGGCAGGCTAATATGCTTTTCCCCCTTTTTTTCATTTTTGCTCTTCACTCATCCCCAGTAAATGATTCTTGCACACACGGCTATTGTAGGATCTTGCACACACGGCTATTGTAGGATCCCTATAGCACACACGGCTATTGTAGGATCACCTAGGATAATCCCAGGTCAATTTTAATTGCATTGTTTACTGCAAGTATGGTACTGTAATCCCACACGGAAAGTCTGTATTTCACCAGTTCTCCTCACAATGCCAATACTGGAAAAAAATCTTCGAGCTAAAAGGCAAGAAAAGGGGATGAGGTGGGCTTCTATAAAAAACTTCGTTAGAAAAAAGAGGGGTTTTTTTTTGCCAGAGGCTTTGTTAACCGAGATATGCCTGTGTTTCCAGCAATCTGAGTATATTCAATGCGTTCAGAATTTGTGTCCAAAAGTTCGATAACTATCTTCGAAAACAGTTACTTTATTCCCAACTCAAAAATGGAAAATGGAATGTCAGTGGACAAAAAATTAAATTTAAAGATGAGCTTTAAAGTGACCTGAAAAAAATGCAGTATAAACACCAAGAATTGGGAAGCCTTGGTCGACAAGGATTCTAACTGGAGGTCAGCTGTTATCGACAATGCTATGGATTTGAAAAGGCACAAATAGAGGGCAAATGGGAGACACATGCTGAGAGGAAGATGCATCAAGCAAACCCTTGCCCTGACCACTTTCCTCAGGGCCCTTCTATGCATACAGCAAGACCCAGAAGTAACCGGGATAAAAGGGAGTGGCTAAATGACCTTTGGAGAAAGTGTGGGTAGAATTGGGCTAACAGCTGAAAAGCACATGTTAAAAGGTGCACTTAAAACTTGATACTGCCCAAACAATGCACATACAGTAGTCTTGTTTATCCAACCTTTGCTCATTCAACATTCTGTATTATCCAATGCAATCTGCCTCCCACCCAGATCCACAGCTGTTTCAGTACATTGCGATGCTTTGGTGCTAAATTTGTAAATACAGTAATTACTTCATAACGTTACCATCTATTGAACTGCTTTTGCTGTTGATTTGTTGTAAAACATGATAATTTGGTGCTTAATTTGTAAAAGCATAATGTAATTTGACGTTTAATAGGCTTTTCCTTAATCCCTCCTTATTATCCAACATTTTCACTGCTCCAACATTCTGCCAGCTAGTTTATGTTGAATAAGCGAGATTCTGCTGTGTTCACATGACTGTACATCTCTGCATTCATGGAAAACATGTGACTTCATTCCAAGCCCCTTGTGTGAACTGCTCCAGCACCTGTGTACATTTTAAAAGCCTGAAACAGCTGATTGGGCTGTCAAAAATGGAGCCATAGACACACAGATGACGCCATCTAAGTACAGTTGGAAAGCAATTAGAACTCTCTGCAACTATTTCTTTTTCCCTAATCTTTATAATGTTAAATAGAACTTGAATTTATAATTTGGTGAAGAGAGAGAATAGGAAATCTGCTTGTGTGTACTTTGGGATCTCTGCATGAACGCATATGAGGTCCAGTGCATCTCGGAGAGTTTTTTTTTAAAAAACTTCTTCCTGATGTTCTCCATTCCTGCTCCATCTTGTGGACTTGTAAAATCCACTTCAAAGGAAGGTGTGAGGATGGCAGGGGAGCATTTTCCAGGACTAGACAGTCTGTGTGTGGACTAGCTGTCAAGTCCTGGGATTTTTTGCCCCACTTTTAAAACCCACATTTTGACACTGTCAGTATGAAAGACCATGTGGATCCATAATAGATCTTCACCGTTATTTTTGGAACACCACCAAGACTCTACATTTGAAAGACAATCAAACTCAACCATATGATGTGCAAGTGTGCATGGCATGAGGAATACCACTGGCAAAAACTAAGTGCACTAGATTCCCGATTATTGCACATGAGGTACTGAAATAGATTAATGCTACTAAAGCAATTGTAACTTCCCACCAAAGCTTTCTCTTGTGCTGCCATGCTGTCAGCATTCTGTAACTTGCTTACAATGCATTAAATCAATATTGCTTGAATGGGTAATAAAATTACACCTATGCAAAGAATGTAAACAAATTGATCACAAACTCATTAGCCAACACATTTTGAACTTAGTAAAATAGATTCTCTAAGTAACTCACATTTTTGCTTTCCTCCACAACACATCTCTTTGGAAACTGAATGCTGGTGGAGAATAGCCCAAAAGCTGAGAAGTACCTCACTATGTAGTAATGAAAGCATCCTTTCTGCAAAAATGGCATCATCATTGTGCATTTGGCTATAGTCACATAGCCAGCTGCTTTTTAGACACCTTACCTTCCTCTACTAGTCACTACATGACTGTATCAAGGTACAAGTGAGTATTACAAAAGGAGAGGCATATTGTAGTTGTATCGTGGTGAAACTTCATGATGTGTTTCTTGATGCAAGAACTTATTGACCCCACGGTTTTGAATAACTACAGTCCAATCTCTAGCCTTCCCTTTTTGGGCAAGGTGCTGGAGCGGTTGGTCGCCTCTCAGCTCCTCGAGGACACTGATTTTCTAGATAAGTCACAGTCTGGGTTTAGGCCTGGTCATGGTACTGAGAAGGCTTTGGTCGCCTTGGTGGATGACCTCCGCAGGGAGCTGGACAAGGGGAGAGTGACCCTGCTGATTCTCTTGGATATTTCAGCAGCTTTTGATACCATCAACCATGGTATCCTTCTGGGCTGGCTCTCTGGGATGGGTCTTGGGGGCATAGGTCTGTCATGGCTCCGGTCCTTTCTGGAGGGTTGTTCCCAGATGGTGAAGCTGGGGGACACCTGCTCAGACCCCTGGCCTTTGACCTGTGGGGTCCTGCAAGGTTCTATTCTGTCCCCCATGCTTTTTAGCATCTACATGAAACCCCTGGGAGAGGTCATCTGGAGTTTTGGAGTTTGGTGCCATCTCTATGCAGATGATGCCCAACTCTACTACTTCTTTCCACCTAATGCCAAGGAAGCTCCTCGGGTACTGGACAAGTGCCTGACCGCTGTGATGGTCTGGATGAGGATGAATAAGCTGAGGATCAATCCTGACAAGACAGAGGTCTTCCAGGTCAATCGTAGGCTGGATCCAGGTATAGGGTGGCAACCTGTGCTTGACGAGGTTGCACTCCCCCTGAAGTCACAGGTCCACAGCCTGGGTGTCCTCCTAGACTCAGCGCTAACGCTTAAAGCTCAGGCGTCGGTGGTGGCTGGGAGGGCCTTCACACAATTAAAACTTGTGCGCCAGCTGTGACTGTACCTCATGAAGTTGGATTTGGCCATGGTGGTCCACACCTTAGTTACCTCTATATTGGACTACTGCAATACACTCTACGTGGGGCTGCCCTTGAAGACGGCCTGGAAATTCCAATTGATCCAACATGTGGCAGCCAGATTATTAACTGGTGTGAATTATAGAGAATGGTCAACCCTCCTGTTTAAGGAGCTCCACTGGCCACTGTTTATTTTCCGGGCCCAATTCAAGGTGCAGGTTTTGACCTACAAAGCCCTGAACGGTTTGGGACCCACCTACCTGCACAACCGCATTTCCGTCTACGAACCCACATGACCACTTCGATCTTCTGGAGAGGCTCTTCTCTCGCTCCCACCCTCATCGCAAGTGAGACTTGTGGGGACGAGAGAGAGGGCCTTCTCTGTGGTGCCCCCTGGCTCTGGAATTCACTCCCCAGAAATATTAGGCAAGCCCCCACGCTGGCAATCTTCAGGAGGAACCTGAAAACTTGGTTATTCCAATGTGCCTTCACTGATTGAATGTAAGATACTCCCTGACCTAATTTTGCATAAAATAACCAGAGAAGCACTTTATTTTATGGTTTGTGCAATTAAATCCTACCTCATCCCTGGATCCCTTCCCTGATATTTTACATTGCCCTATCTCCTAGTATTTTAAAATTTTATCTTTGAATTTGGTCCTGCCCAGTGTAATCATTTGTATTTTAATGTTTGCTTTTATATTGCTGTGTTGCTTATTATATTGGTTTTGCATCTTATGTATTTTATTTTCTGGTTTTTGTTATGCTTTTGTGTTATATTGTGTTTACTGTATTGATGGGCGTGGCCTCATGTAAGCCACCCCGAGTCCCCTTGGGGGAGATGGAGGCAGGATATAAATAAAGTTTTATTATTATTATTGTTAACTTGGTGATAAGTATCAGGAAGGTAAAGCTACCAGCTGCAACCATTATATATTTATCCAACACCTGGCTTTCAGATGGGACTGTTCTTGGGGCTAGGCATCAAGGGAAAGCTTATTTGTAGTTACATTGCACTAGTTAGTAAATTCAGTATCAGCCTTAAACTATCTTTTAGGATTGTGGCCTATTTTGGAAAGGAATATACAGCAAACTTTGCATTCTGCACTATTACAAAAAAAAATCTAGATATGTTTAACATCCCACAAGTTAAACTGTATACAGATTCACTGATTATGAGATAAAGTGACAATATTTGTATATGTCAGTAGTTTTAGCCTTTAAAAATTGCAATTCTGTTTTGTTGTATCTAGTTGGATTTCTCAAAACAATCCTTAGATTATCATTGTTGTTATGTGAGGCATGTTAACTTTGACATATGAATGGCAAATTGATAACAGATTCCTTGGTGTGAATTTTTCTAGGGGATTGCTATTGCCTTTCTCTAAGGCTAAAATATTGTATGACTTGCCCAAATAGGGGCTATGGTCACGAATGTCTTGATTGCATCCCACTTGGACTATTGTAACACACTTTGGCAATGGAATACATAGGTTTTTAAATGCTGTTTGTTATTGTTTATTAATTATTGTGTATTTTTGTTTTTGAGTTTTATTTTAACTGTTTTGTATTGATTATTTGTTATCGCCTTTGTTTATTGATGTGCTGTGGGCTTGGCCTCATGTAAGCCGCACCGAGTCCCTTGGGGAGATGGTAGCGGGGTACAAATAAAGTATTATTATTATTATTTATTAATACTTCAGCAGACACAAAATGCTGTGGGACTACCACAGCTAAACATGTATCCAAACTTTTGTCTCCCGTGCCTCTTCTACACTGCCAGATAAAATCCAAATTAGCTGCTTTGAACTGGATTATATGGCAGTGTAGACTCATATAATCCAGTTCAAAGCAGACAAAGTAGAAAGGGCCCCATGGTCCTAGCACAACACTCTTGACTACCATTATAACATGCTGGTACATTATCATAACTTTACTGCCTATCTTGTATGGATGAAATGAGGTTGAGAGAGACTGACTTGCTTGAGACTCTAAGGATACCAACAGAGATAAGATTCTAGTCAGGGACTTCACCATTTTGTAGTTCACGCTATCATCCAGCATGCCACACCAGCTCTGTAGACTGAGGTACTCAAGTATACCATGGATATGTTGAACCCATACCCACCAGCCTAATTCATGCTGACAAAGTTCAACAGGACTATGAATCAAGAAGCTGGTAGAATTTTTTCTCTTTTTTTAGGTTACCTGGTAAGTAATGGCATTCATTAATAACATCAGACTCCTAAATTAACAAATGAACTTTCTTCCTAGCCCCTAAGCCCCTGGAGCCTTCACAGCATCCAAACACTGGCCTTGTAGGGGTTTCCTGCACACTGCAAGCAGGTCTGGGGGCATAAATGAATCTGGAACAGAAATCCCTCTACAGTTTCTGCTGACAGAAGCAGTTCATTCACACCTTTGAATGCCAGCTAGATATCTTTGTATAGGCAAAATATGTCTTATATACTATCACTAAGTGCTTCTTGTCTGTAAGGATATGAAACTGGAATTTCCTCTTTCCCGGGAAATGTATGCATCAATATACAATTTGAAATCAGACTACTGGATTAAAAAACATGCAACATCTTCAAATGGAGCAGTGAGGAATTATATAATACTAAAGATTTGCAGTCTTTTAGTTTAGTAATTAGAGATAGTATTAAAATGACAGTAAGAGGAGAAAGTGGACTCCTCTCAGAAGAAAATTAATAGAATTATAAGTCACATTTACTGAAGAATGATAGTATGGGAAGGTCATTAGCATACTACACCAAGCAAATGAATTCAGCACAATTGTATCCCTTTTAAATTATTTGATCGTTCACAAGTTGTCCCAAACCAACATAACATTAAATAAGAACTCAATAAATTAAAAAGCACACAGCAAGGCATTGTAATGCTTTTATAGCAGTACAAAATATGAGCATAAGTCTCTCTATGGCTCCCTGGTGACTAAATTGAACTTGAAAAGCTCTTTTCTAGCTTCACTTGTGAGAATAATTTTTATAATACTCATTCATTATCCATTGACTATTACATTTCCCACCCCTTATGGATTTTTACATAGCTAATTGGCCTGGAAGCAATTTCTGAAGCAAGATAATTTAACGGAGATGGTTCCATATACTCTATTTGTAAAAATCATATATAACTGATTCAGGAGGATCCCAGTGAAGACTGCGACCAAAGGCCAAGGCAGAATCATAATATATACTTACTTGTTGCTTGACACAGTCAGAGGGCATGCACAAGGTTGGCAGTCATTTGGAGATCCTCTAACAATCCCATAGAACCCGAGGGCACACCTTTCACAATGGTCACCACTAGTGTTGTGACGACAGTTCTATGGGGCAAAAGCAGAGAAAAGAGACCACTTTTAATCAGCCACAAAGGATTAATTACTGAAAGCATATGACAACATGCTATTATCCTTTCATTGGTACTTTTTATGGCAAAAATAAAGGGGAAAACATATCTCCCCCACCACAAAACCCAGAAGAAAAACTCTGAATCCAATAATACTATTTTATTAACAATTTTACCAGAAAAGTAAAAGAGCCCCCAGTAGCAGGACTGAAAACTGACAGGTCGGAGGTTTGAATCCAGGGAGAGTTTCTCAAGTTGTTCCTTTTTTTTTTTGTCGTGTCAGGAGCGACTTGAGAAACTGCAAGTCGCTTCTGGTGTGAGAGAATTGGCCGTCTGCAAGGACGTTGCCCAGGGGATGCCGAGATGATTTTGATGTTTTTATCATCCTTGTGGGAGGCTTCTCTCATGTCCCCACACAAGGAGCTGGAGCTGATAGAGGGAGCTCATCCGCCTCTCCCCGGATTTGAACCTGCGACCTGTCAGTCTTCAATCCTGCCGGTGCAAGAGTTTAACCGGGGGCTCCTGACCCACACATACACAAAAAACTCTGAAAAGCTTACAAACAATTGAAGGTTTTTCACAGTACCTTGAATTCATGGCTTTATCACACAAGGCAGTGAATCAAAGCTGAGGCAGAATATTTGCATCTTCAGCTGGGGCTCATTACATGACATCACCCTTTATCTGTTGTACTTTTGTGGGAGGCTGTTTAAGAAAGCCTTTTTATTAACACAAAAACTGAATGACCTTTCTTAGTATTGTTCTGTTACCATTTGTGGTGTGACAATTCAATTCCACTTCAATACCATTTTTGGTGGCCAGTAGGCAGGCTTTAGATGTGATTCATGTGCCCTTTGTACATAAGTGCAAAGAGCACATAAGGGGAAAAGGTGGATAATTCCAATTGTTCTCCTTTCACTTTTTTTTACTTTTATACCTTTTCCCCTCTTTATAAAAATCAATTGGCAAAAAACTGCCCTCTCCACCAACTAGGACTTGTCAGGCCAAGAAAGTAGAAGTTTGTTCACTGCCCCCTCACCTCTTTTTGTAACAGTCTCCCAATTCTGGAGTCTCTCCCCCACACACCCCGAGAAATGTAACTGTGTCCGACAGTTAAAAAAACATTGATTTCATGAAATATTTTCTGCTGTACTTGTTGCTAAACTCTGAACTTGAATAATCACTGGCAGATGAATGACAGCATCTAAAGGAGATATTTATCTGCCAGTGATTTCATTTGGGCGGGGGGGGGGGGGGGGGGTTTTGGTCATCTATATGTGTGCATGTAAGTACACATATAGATAGGGGTTGTATCGGATAGTACCAAATGCAATGTATGATAACTTTTCAGTGCTAATGAAGATTGTAATACTGGAAATATCCCAAAAGCACATTTGGGAAGGGAGCAATACCAATTGCACAATGTTTTTGGGAAAAAAAACCTGTGGGAGAGAAGACTGGTAAGGTGAAGCAGAGATTTCATTTACACCTATTTCACTTTCTTACACAAGAATGAATTATTTTCAAAAGGCTTCTTCCTGGTGTACAAATGGTTTTACATATTTTAAAAATGTTTTGTCCATTTAGGCATTTTTTGTGTGCAATATATGTTTTTGTGAGAACAAAAGTGTACTTTGCACAAAAAAATTAAAAACCACACAGCAATTTCTGTACAATATCGGTACTAAACCACCCCATGTTCTGCAAAAAGGGAGGTTGAAAATTATTTTTGTTTTTGTAAAAAAAAGTCCTCTAATGCTAGAAATCTCAAGGTGGATGATTTTTTTCTTTATTTTTTGTCAGTTTGTTAAAACGTTATTGTGACTTTCTCTATAGGGGTAAAAACGACTCCCATTTTTACATTCTTTCAAAGGAAGTCACAATGCGTTATATGTAGAGATGCTAATGAAAGTCTCATAGCTTAGTAAGGAAATAAAAAAGTATTCTAAGGACTAGCTGCAAAAAAGAACAAACTTTTTTAAAAAAAATAAGAAATGAAATAATCTCTAATTGGGCCTAAATTCAGTCCATGGAAGAATAATCTGTTTACTCATACTTAGCCCATTTAGTGTAGTTCAGACATGCAATTTTGTTGCATTAAAAAGAAGTAGACTGATTAATTTATAGGTAGACATTCACTCCCACTTCTAACTTTTATTAATTTTTGTTCACATTTAAAATGGGCTAAAATGAATTAAGACTCTGAGAGATGAAGACCAGAAGTCACTTATTTTTTCAGGTCTCGGTTTGTCTTGAGAAAAAGTTCTCAATATCTTTTTTTGTTAATTCTAAGCATTATATTCTATGATAGACTTGTACACTTGCATATACCCATTCACTAGATGTCTAGCAACAAGCACAGAGTACTTTTAAATTACTAATCTACATTCCTTGACTTGGCCACTCCACATTGCTGTCCAAAGCAATTGCATAGGGATTTCTTAATTAGCCAACCCTTATCTCAGTTGTCTACTTTCACTGAGTCTCTCTCACAGTGATCTACATGGAGTTTCTTTTTCTTTGCTCATGCAAGTACAAAAAATAAAATAGCAATTGGTCCTAATTATCTTTTGAAATCAATTCCTAAAAAGTATTAACAGTTTAATCAGAAAGCACAATTGTATATTTGTTAAAATAGTAAATGTATTTAATTAATTACATCTCTCACTGGGAGAAAGATGGGATAATATTAACTAATGTATTAATTGATTAATTAACAGATCCTCTTTCTCCTCATAGGGGATGTAAACACATATGGAGACAGGCTTAAGTAACAAGCAAATATGTGCCAAAAATGTGGGTAGCTACATTTCTGCAGCACATTTGATGGTATCTCATGTTTCACATTTGTTTTCCATGGTAAATACTGGCATAAATAAGGCAAAACATATTAATTGAGCAAAGTGTGGGTCATATATAGGCATCTGACACATACTTTAGTTTTAGGTTTATGTCCAATGGCTTCCATTTCATTTCAGGGGAAATGAACTCCATGCAAGAAGGTGGGTTAAACAGAGATTTCAAACAATCTAGGAAAGATATAATCTTTATACCTGGCAAATGGAGGTTTCAGGATCACACATCTCACCATGCCCATGACATTGACATGGTACACAGGAACCTAAAGCTGGCCCTGCTTTTCTGCCAGCAGATGTGGAGGGAAGTCTATAAAATCCAGGAGCACATGTCTGCCAAAATCAAGAAAAACAAACAAACTTCAATATATGATGGCTAGGGAAGGAAGGATCACAAAAGCCACAAACATATCATTATTCCCAACAGTTTTATAGGCAGTCTATTTTCCTCCATTAAGAAGTAAACAAATTTCAAGCTACTTTATACACAATGCACAGCACACTTGATAAACAAGAGACAAATCCTAATTGAAAACACTTATATCAGATCCTTGGGGGAACACAATAATGCCAGGCATTTCATATTATAGCTTGAGAAACCTTTCATTTAGATGCTCTCACCGTGTGCATCATGTATTTTCTGATAGTGTCAAAAGACAGAGCTGGGAATAGGGATTCAACCTGTGATGAGATTACACTCCCCCTGAAAACACAGTTCACAATTTGGGGGTACTCCTGGATTCGGCTTTGAACTTGGAAGTCCAAGTCTCAGCAGTGACCACCAGGAGTAATTTTCACAGTTAAAGCTAGTACATCAACTGTGCCCATTCCTGGAGAAGTCAGATCTGGACACAGGGGTACATGCCTTGGTTACATCCCAGTTGGACTATTGTAGTACACTGTACATGGGACTGTCTTTGAAAAGTGCTCAGAAACTTCAGCTGATTTGAAGAGCAACAGCCAGATTGCTAACTGGAGCTGGCTACAGGAAGTGCTATTTCAACAGCTTCACTGGCTGCCAAATATGTATCTGGGCACAATTCAAAGTGCTAGTTTTGACATACAAGGCTGCACTCTAGGTTGTCCAAAGGAGTGTATTTCTTTCTATAATTGTTTTTAATTGTATTTGCTTTGTTTTAATTTGATCAAAGTGTGTGGTTGCTAGCCTTCTTGAGTCCCCTTGGGGAGAAAGGCAGGGTATAAATAAAGTAAATAAAATACATAAAAATAAATGTCATTAGTCAATTTGAAGGCCCATGCACACAACTATTTTACAGCTGTGGGACTGATGGAAATGTTAAGATTCTGATCCTTTGGACACATTCCTGAAAAGAAGAACCATGTTTGGATGAAGCAATGGTTCACAGCAGTGCGTCTTCTTAATTTCCTATTTGAAAGCCAATTTTTCTAATTAGAAATAGAGTTAATTTATTCACAATATAAAAACATTCAGAGCTCAAAAAAAAACAACAACAACCATAGGATTACATGGGGAGAGATAAGCTATTAACAATCACCTCCACTTTAATCCAGTGAGAAACTCTCATGAAACTCTCTCTCTTTTCTTGATATATTCAGTTTTCTCTTGAACTGCAAGAGTTCAATGGGCTGGCATACAACGAGGATAGAGCAGGAATTTGAGAATTTTAATTTGAGAATTTGTTTTTTATATCTGCTTTATATTATTTTTAACTTTTATCATTTGAATGGACCTAATAAGAAGCAGTAGACAAATATTGTCAACATGCAGACATAAAGTTTCAAGGTGTTTCTACAGAACTTTGTATGTGCCATCATCTTGAATATACTTGTTCTTGTGTGATTTTAGAAACTAAGAAGGGCAAAGCCTGGTTATTACTTAAAAATGAGACCAATATACTACGGATCTTGTCTGAAACCCAAATTGAATTTGACAGCACTGGGCTGGATAGAAGAGTGGTCCAATTTAGTATAAGGTTGCTTCCTATGTTCAGCAGCAGACAGGGCTTGAGTTTTGCAATAATATTACGAGAATTTATTAACCAATGGTATTTGCTCTTCCAAAGAGACTGAAACTTGCTTCCATTATTCTGAATAAGCAACAGATGGGGAAACAGACACAGACTTACATTTTAGTAAAGGGATTTCTATCAATGTTCTTTTTATTCAAAAAATGTAGACAGAGATAAAGTAGGAACTGTAATATTATTTTGTAAAGGCGATAACAGATAATTTCAGATTTCTCCCACACATCTTGGATTTGGAATGCCTGAAAAAGTGCTAAAGCTTGTGAACAATCACCTATTATTTATCTGGCATTATAAAGGCCTAGGAGTAATTCTCATTCATGTCAGATGCACAATCTATCATGAACATTATTATACATTTCTTGATTTCAGTATACATTTCAGTATACATTTCTTGATTCTGAAAAATATGCTCATTGAAAACAGAAAGCACAATAAAAATCTCTCAAAAGTACTGTCAACTCTTTAAAATGTACAGTGCTGGTATGCATAAATAATGAATATATAGATATTTGAATAATATCTCTTTTCTCCTACATCTTAGTCATACTCCCCCTTAACTATATTTTGGAGATAGCTTTGTGTGCACCCCACTTTGTAGAAAGGTAGACTAAAAAATAATGCCACTCCTGGCAGAGAAGACATTGATGATGTAGATTATTTGTTCAATTTAAAGCTCACATTTCTTATAACACATCAGGTTACCTAGCAATATCCCATAATAATGCAGGTAAACAGTTATATGAAATTACAGATTTAAATTAAAATTGCAAGTATATTAAGCCATAAATTATAATTTAAGTACTTGTTTATTTTTAAAGTGCTTTAACAAAAAATGTTTTAAGTGAAACCTAAAAGACAAAATATGAGGGTCAACCAGATCCCTAACAAAAGAGTATTCTGTAACTGGGGTGGCAGCATCAAGAAAGACCCATTATTTGTATGGGTTTTAAACACTAGCTTAATCATAGAAACCCATTGGGTGACTTCATCTTTTTTTCAGAAAATCTTGTCAAGAAATTCCCCTGATACACTTGCCTTACAATCATTATAAGTCAGAAAGGACTTGAAATCACTCAACAGAAACAACAATAGGCTATGCTATTTCGAAATCAGAAATAGACACAGAGGATCAAGTCCTGATCATCTTTTAGTTTCCTTAGAATACAGGAGAAACATGTGATAAAGTATAAACTCTTATTATGGGCAGATGGATTCAGAGATAATAAAGTAGCAATAACTGTAACAATCTGGAATTATGGCATTTTTTTCATGATATGTCAGGGACCAGCACCAAATTTATATATATACGCAGCATTTTCCCCTTTCTTTGAAACTTTCCAGGGAGTGGGACTAGCAGCCAATGGCTCAGGGACTAGTAAAGATCACCATTTTGCATTGCACAGGATTAGATGATCTCCAGGGTATAATTCATCTGTATGGTTCTGTGATTTCATTGAAATCTAGACCTCAAACATGAAAGAGGAAGAGTTACTGTACCTCACATGACAAACCTAAATAACCCAAAGGGCAGTCACATTTCTCAATCAATTGGGCACGAGGAGTCCTTCCTGATACACTTCCTTCCTGTGCAACTTCCATAGAAATCTCAGAAATTCTGGCAAAAGAAAGGAGAGAGAGAGAGAAAAATGAAAACCACTTTCCAGTAATATAAGGGTGGGGATTTATGTAGTTCTTTGGATGTTGTTCGACTGCAAATCCCAGCAGCCCTAGCCAGCAGAGGTAGCCAAACAAAAGTATCATATCCTACCTCTCAGCTAATATAACTGTTCAATACTGATTTAGATTTAGTTAATACACTAGAATGCAACTGCTTTTAGTTATTCCTTTGGCATCATACAAATATGGAAAACAACATTTATTTTGGTCTGTTTGAAAGAGAGATCAAAGCTCGCATTGACTTTAACTTAGTTTCAGTCATTATTAGTCTGTACCAAAATATATTTGCTTATTCACCTTCAATGTTATTTTGTTTTTAATTTAAAGCAAAAGTGCCTTAGGGGGAAAGGATTTAAATGAAAAGGACATGCATTAGACTTCAAAGGCATTGTAGCTTATGAACATATTTTAAGGTCTGTAGCCAATATCTAATATCCCTATTTCGTCAACTGTAAGACACACTTTCCCCCATATAAACATCTCTAAAAATGAGGTGCATTTTAGAATTGCAGGTGCCTTTCTTATGTATAAATAAAGCTTTTTTCTGTTGGAAGTACTGAAATTAGTGTGCATCTTACACTTGATGGTGTCTTAGAACTGAAGAAATACAGTATGTTGTCCAAATTTCATGAAAAAAACCTCAAAAGTGTTCAAATGCATACACATTCCAGGTAAGGACATTATTTGTGTCTATCTGGAAGAGGGGAGTGTAGTTGAATGTTCTTTATTGTAGATGCCTGCGATACTAGTCGAAGTTTCTCAAATTATCAATAGTAAATATTCCGAAAGGTGCTATCAGTAAGACCTACCTTAGCAAACTATTATTGTATATACTCATGCATATGTTGACCTCATGTATACATTGAGAAAAAGTTTTGAGGCCAAAATTATTGATTTTAATATGACTTGTAGATAAGTCTAGGGTCATTCCTAAAATAAGGGAAAACACAGGCATCACCTCAGGTTGCCAGTCACTTCTGGCCACAGCTGCTGCCATTTTCCTGCCCAGGCTTTTTAAAAGGCTGGAAGCCGTATAGCAACAGAGAGAGTAGATATATTTCTTTTTTGTTATTCCTGGACAGAGTAACTCTTGCCTTTTGCCACTCTATTTAGAAACACTTCATTTTTATATATAGATAAGTTCCTTCAAAAGAACATGAGTGCAGCCTGAGCTTGGACTCAAACACTAGTATGCACTGAAGTGAGGAATTTGTGGCCTGATTTGGAAGTAAAATGTAATGTACAAGCAATGTATATATCTAAAGGTTTAACAAACAAAACAGGTTACAGATGAAAAGAATTTGTTTTACATTTTATTATTCTCTCTCAAAGGAAACAAAAGGGCCAGATATCAGTTTTCCTAACCTGCTCAACCTCCTCTCTAGTTTTGCAATAATATGGAGAACAGATTACTCCTGCTGAGTTGCTACATTCAACTAACTGGGGTTTAGCAGCCACCTCTGTGTATATGGCTCTGTGGTGAGGGTGTGTATGTAGAGTGAAAAATCTCAGTACAAAGAGAAGTAAGAGAAGAATAACAAGTGGAAAGCAAAAGCAGGGTGTGTGTGCATTGGAAAGAAAATTTTCAAAGGCACAAGTCATGGAAACATTAGATAATAAGCACATTAATTGTTTCCTGATGCCTTGCCCAAAATTTCTCATACTTCTCATATAAAGAGTTCCAGTACTTTGGGGACAGGAGAAACAGCACAAAACAAAAAGTAGTAAAAATGGCAGCTAAATACACAAATTTCATATTTGGCTTTAATAAAAGAAGCCTAGGGATATGTGGCTGCTGCTTGGAGCATACTTAATGGATCTGAGTCTGAACAGTGATCCCCAGTCAATATTATGAAATCTGAAATAATCAGCATGAAAAAGGAACACATAGTCCCAGTTCAGAGAGATGGATTGTCCTAGTCCACTTTCATGAAAAGGGAAACAGCCACATAATGCGAGAAATGTTTCCATTTTGAGCAGTAAATGTGAAAAGGGGGCATAACAAAATTAACACAGCAGGAGAAAAATGTTTGGCTTTAGATTTTTAGTGGCAGCTTCTGAATCATTCAGTCTAGAAGCAGAAACATAATTAGCATTGCTGCTAAATTATACAGCCAATATAGAACTACCCCAGGAATTATTTTACACTTGGACTTACTGTCAGCATGAGGTTTCTTTACAATGTTTTTCTGCAGTATCAGTGATACGCAGTGCTGCATTTACAAACATTTCAGATAATCCAATTTTTATATGTGCCAAAATTAATTCAAAAATAGTCACAGAAAAAAAATGGTTTCATTCAGGCCAATTAGCAGCTCATCAACTTTCCCGGGTCTCTGCTTCCAGCTGTGGGTGCCACTCACAAAATACTTTACAAAAAAGCAGACGTAGACTAGACTACTTCTGGGTCACTAATGCCATTAAATTAATTGTTGAATGGTGACTCAACATTTGTAAATCCAAGTGATTCAGTTGATCGCTGGTATTCAAGACTAACAACAGTATATAGACCATGGATTGTTCCTACAGCCCTGAATTTAGGTGTTAATTGTTGCACAATACAGTACAACACCCATTTTCTCCTTCTTTTGTCATGGAAGATGTGAATAAGAGCTTTAACAGCATTCAAGGAAATGTGGCTATAGAACTCCATGAGATTAGAAGTTCTGCCTTATCAAGCCTTTCAATTGCCCTGCAAAGTCATGTATAGGTCTAGAAAATTTAGTAAACAAATTAGCCCAAAAAACCTGGGTTTACAAGTCAGTGGAAGAACTTTACCTTAACTTACATTAAAAGCGAAACCATCCCCTTTTCTAAACAGAGTGGCGAAAATGTGATGCTGCTTCTGACCTTTTTAAATGTCTGGGTACGGAAATGGCAGCAGAGGCCAGGGATGACTGCAACCCATTGAAGCAACATTGACGCTATCCCCTTTTCATGAAAGGATCCTCAACTTATTCATGGTTCATATCAAAATCCACAATTTTGGCCTCAAAGCTGTACCTCAACATATACATGAGGTTGACTTACACATGCGTATAGATGGTATATTTGTGTCCTTGCAGGTTAAAGGGTTATATCATGGCCAGAAGGCCCCTCTGGAGGAAGCTGAGAAAGGATGATCAATTAAGCATCAGCTGAGACTTCAAGATAAAAAGCCTGCAATGCAGTGACTCAGAGCAGCAGACAATGCTGTGATTCTTGTCTGGGAACCAGGCACTTCTGCCTTTCAGTTTGTTTTCAAGTTCTCCTGGCTGTTAATTTCTAGACTTTGACAAACAGCATTTTGACTCTAGACTGTGACCTTGGCTATGTTCTTACTTTTGTCTCTGCTGTTCCTAAGCGTGTTCTTCAAAGAATTCCTGACTTCATACTCCAGTAATCTGACTTTTGGCTCTGGCATTGTTGTTTGTGTGAATTTTGTACTTCTGACTCTGGACTGGATTCTGACTATTCTTCTGCTGCTAGATAAGCTCTAGGACAATCAGCATTTTTGACTGGACTGTTGACCTTGGCTATTTAGATACATTTGTTTGAACTTGGCTTTTGCGGCTCTGCATATGACAACTTGTTTGTCAGCTAGTCTGAGAAAATAACCTTATCTGTAAGCTGGAATGTTAAAGGGAACAAAATATCTTGGCTTTCCTTCAGTGGCACTTTTTTACGACAGGTTATTCCTTTTATCAATCAATCAAACTTTATTTATATCCCGCCTCATTTCCCCATGGGGACTCAGGGCAGTCTAGAACATGAAGGCATAAATAAATTGAACAATAAATAAACAATAATAGCATTAGTCGGGACTGGGGAACTTCCAGGGACACAATAGGGTGGGGCACAGCTTCTAGATCTTAGTGCAATTCAAAATTTGACATTTATTTATTTATTATTTTTATTTACTCTGTTTGTATCCTGCCTTTCTCTACCCTGAAGGGGACTCAAGGCAGCTTTACAAATGGCAACTATTCAAATTAAAATTAAATACACATTAAAACATATAAAACATTGCATTCACAATTAAAATCATGACATCCTCAATCATAAGTCAGGGCCATTCCAAAGATCAATTGAACATATTTTGAGGCTATTATTGCACTATAGATTTTGTATAATGGGTTAAGATAAAAACAAGATATTTCCAAGAGTTTCTCCCTAATTCCAATAGTTTTACTGGAGAATTTTCCAGAAAACCTGAGAATTAAACTTAAGTATAAAAATTAGTGGAGGTGGAAACTGCTCTTTCTTGGAAGGAATGGATACAAAATTCAAGCAAGTTTAATAAGTTAGAAGAACAAAGTATCCTGAATTGGTTTGAGAGGCAACAGCTATAAAATTGGAAAAAGGACTGGTTAAGTAAAAATCCTAGATGTAGAGCATTGAATAAATACAAAGAACAGCTAAGTAAACTTAAAAAGAAAGAAATATCGGGGAAAGGATTAATTGGGAAAATATACAACAGATTTATAGGTGAAGAAGAGCTGATGCTGACAGAAAAATATGGGAAGGAGACCTAGGGCCTCTGGCAGATCTTGACTGGAAAATGGTTCTAGAGTGGAGAGTGGTTAAGGATCTATCAATAAGATTAAAAGAAAATGTGGTTCTGTAGTTTTCTGGTTCTGAATTACACACACAGCTCATAACTTGAGCTGGATAGCTCCCCTCCTTGTCTGTAGTTGGGTAATTCCACAGTATCCCACTGAGATATGGACTTTGCATCTTCATGAAGGAAGAGTGATTTCAGAGCTGACTGAAATGCTGGCTGACTGTGTTCATCTTCCCCAAATAGGCAAGCCAAAGTAAAATCAAATCAGGGAAAATACTTCTTTGAGTCCCTGCTCCAAGTGGCCAAGCCAGAAAGACCAAATTTAGCCTACAGGCTGAACATTCTTCTTCCCCATTCCAGGTCTGTGTTTGCCTTGTCTCATGAGAATCCATGTTAACAGTAGAGGAGTGGAACTGCAAACACAGATGCTTGAAGTCCAAGTTCAATATATTCCTTGGTGTCTTATGGGAAGAGTATATAATGTTCCTGGCTTAGAGACCCACAGTTTATTTTTTAAAAAATCATTGATTTTTTATTATTACGTTTCTCATTTGATATTTTATTTATTTACAGATATATTCAGGTTACCCTCTCAAGTTGTCACATAATAAAAACAATGCAAAACAGAAACCATATAATACAACACGACATTCTAATAACAGTCATTACAAATAAGACTAGCTTAAGAAAAAGCTAGTAGAAACAGGTGCTTTAGTATTTTCCCGAGAATCCATATAGAATGAGCTGAACAAACCCCTGATGCTGGAGGTCCTCATTGCGTTCTGTAGTATACTTGTGAAAATGAACTCTGTGTTTGACCTAATTGTGTGGTTAGGTTCGTATGGGTGATAGCAGCCTTTCCTGGGTTCAAAAATATTAGGTGTACATGTTCACATGTGGTATGCATTATGACATGTGATAAACATTATTTGGAAACACAATGATTAAGTTCTCTATAAACCTAAATAGGTGATACAAAATGATTACCTTGTTTGCCTCATGAAGCTGCCATGAGTAGCCTTAATAAGTATGTAATGAATGCTGTAGAGGACATCCATGAAGTCTTCATGGGTCACCGTTCTACTGACCCTTGGACCATCCCCATGGTACTTCCACTCATGCTGGAGGGGGAGAAGCCATCAATGTCATATGCGCTCATGATTTAACAGTTTTCAAAGTGCCAGTGACATAACCTCTTGAACAGGCTAGATTGAAAAATTACCTCTGTCATTTCTATCTCATGCCTTGTCAATTGACCATTCAGAGGAGCAGCTACATGCCTGACAATAATTCGCGTTTGTGCAGGAGGCCCACCCCTGATGATGACCTGGGGGTTATAGGTCGCAAAGCCAGTTTCTTCTCTTGCTTCAAAGAAGATAGCATATTTCAGTTTTCCTCCATAAGCTGTCAGCTAACAAAGAAAAGCAAACTATATAAATATTGGCTGGAACTCAAAATATAACAGAATCAAAAACTTTTATAATAGAGGATGCATATTCATATAGTGAGAATGAGATGAAATGTTTCAAAACATTGTTATATGGAGCCAAATATCATATAACTGTGGATGAATGGGCACTGCCAAATTTTCAAAATACGACTGTTCAATTAGCTCTAACTTAATCAGACAAGTTCCATTTTGTATGCCTAAACTTGACCTACCACCGCATATAGTGAATTTAGATGAAATTGTGCAGCCCATTACCCCAGGCTCTTTTAAAGAAACACACTACCCAGCAAGTTTTGTATGGACATTTGAAAACGTGTTGGTTAGTTATCTAGCATACCTTTTTATTTTTCCTGCAACAAACTATCAAGTCAGCTGCTTTGGAATTTTAAAAATCATACTATTCAATATAAAACTAACCTGAAGCATATTTCAGTATGGTGGCTGCTGCAGGAATCTTTTATACCATGTTTCCCAAATGCATCTCTCGGTCTCTTACTATGGTTGACAAGGTTAGGAGACTGTTCTTTTATGAATAATCCCAAATTGATGCAGGTCAACCATAGCCACTGGCAGAAATAGAATGGAGTGTTGCATAGTCTTAATGCTTACCTCAGTACTAAAAAAGTTGTGATGCAGCCTTGTTCAACATAGCTCCCTCTGTCACAGTTATTAAACAGAATAATTTCAAGTATTCCAATTTAGTTTGCCTCAACCAAGAACAAAAAAAGAATAAATAAAGCTCCATCTCTTTTATTTTTGCCTTTAGAATGGAAACTTAATAGAGATTAGCATATAATAATGGTAATGCCAGATAGTTACTTGTTGAAAAAAAATCTAGTTACTTATTAAACAGAGTTTTCGCCACAAAGTTTTTTCAAATAGATTCTCCTTTCTTGTATTTATTTTTGGACAGTGATATTCAACAGAAAATTCATAATTAATGCTGTGGAAAAATAGCCATGACAGTTCATACCTTTAAGTTCTTCCTTTTTTTTCTAATAAAAGGAACACAGCTCAAATTATAATTCACATTATTTACCTTCCGTCCTTCAAACTGTTCAGGAAGTCTCCAATAAAATGGTTCTGAATGTAACTCTTGCTTCACCAAGTCAATATTTGCAATTGTCTCTGGGTACTGGTATATAATGCCATGGACAGTTTGGTGTTGGACATTTTCATCAACCAGAGGAAGGATGACCTGATCTGGTTTCAGAGTCAACTGAAGGTAATTGAAGGTTAAAACAAAAAAAAGTTATGTTTTCCTTTTCAAGAACAAACATGATTCATTTATGAATAATTCAAGACAAAGGTGGGTGGGCTTTAGGGATCATATTTTAGAATAGAAGCTTAGGATCCAAAACCTGGAATAAGATGCAAATTACTGGCTCATGGTAAACACATACAAAGTGTAGTTAAGCAGCAGGTCATACCAAAACATTGTTTTCAGTATTAATGCTGACCCTGCAGTCCTTCAACACTGAAATACACACCTCATTTCAATAGCCCAGTTTTGAGGTAAGGTGTTACTTTTCAAATTGATATTCTATAGATTTGATACAAAACGTTGCAGATTTACTATAAAATCACTTTGATATCCAGCAGCAGCTTTCAATCAACTATTTGCCTACTTCTCACCTAAAATTGAAATGATTTACTAAACAAAAAATAACATACAAAACATACAAATGATAAGGACTATCAACTACAATAATTGATTTTTCATTTTAGTTCTGTATAAAGAAATGCTATCTATAAAGAAATGTTCTAAAACTAGATAGAAACAAAGCTATTTAACGCACCGAAGGAATTTTCATTAGTCTTTTTCTTCAAAATGTGAATGAAAGGGAAGACACTTTGTCAAGTTTGCCCACTGCCTCTTAGGAGACGGATTCTATAAGTTCAACTATTATTGCTGTTTCCCTATTCTGTTGTTATTGTTGCTCATTTTTACCCCACATTTCTCTCCACAAGGAGATTCAGGCTAAAGAACTTTAGCCCAAAGGTCATATGTGATCCCTTCCTTGCTTCCCTGGGGGCTTATTTGGGGCTAACCTTGCTTACCTGGGGGCTTATTTGGTCCCTACCTTGCTGCTTACCTGGGAGCTTATTTGTGGCTCTACCTGCACCCAGTGCTGGAATGTGAGTGTCAACAAGTCTCAATCAACATGTACATCTGAGGTCTAGGCTATCTGAGAGACTTCATCTCCTTGTATGGGTCTTCTGGAGGCCCTTCACAGGTACAGATGGTGAGTAGCACATGGGGATTCTCAATGGAAACCCCAAGGCTCTGGAACCACAAGGAGGCTAAAATAGCTCTTTTCATGCTGGCCTTTCATCAATAGGCATGTACTTTTTGTTCTGACATTTCTTTAGAACTGAAGCATTTTATAGAAATGGCTTTTCTGCTGTATTGTTTTAAACTGAATGTTTAAACTACTCTTTATTATTGTAAGTGTATTTTTAAAATAGTTTTAAAATTTCCAATAGTTTGATTCTATTTTAATCTTATCTTTTTGTATGCTTTAAGATTTGCTGTAATTATTTTACTTTGTAAGTCCATTTGAGTCCCAGTTCTCAAGAAAAAGTTAGGGTATAAATATAGCTGACAGGTACAACAATAGCACAGGCAAGTAGTACTAACAAAACTAGACCAGATCTTGCATTGCTATTCAAGAATTTAAGCTGTAGATTGTACCTCTATGTAGGCTTTGACCAAACCACACAGTTGGCCCCACCTCCTGGAACTCCTACATGCATTGGAAGAGAAATACTTCCCACAGAGAAGCTGTTGCATAATTTACAAGGTTGCAGATGTTTATGATTCCAAAACGGGAGGGGAACCTATATGAGTATATCAAGGACTCCCCATTGCCAACAATATATGAAATCACATATGACAATTAAATTAAGTTAAAGAAAGCCATCCTTGAAAAACATCAGTCTCTGTCTGAAACTTCACAAACTGCCTGTCTGGTAGAGAAGCAGCCCTGAACTGACATTATTATTTTTCGACTGTATTTGCAGCAAATTCAGTATTACAATGACAGCATGTTCCTTTGAAGTGCTAATGCCAAATGGCTTTACTCTGGAGGTGTCCCTGGTTCCCTTACATTTGACATGCTAATCAGTGAGAAACTGGTTAATGTGCAAAGTATTTCAAACATTTGCCTTAGTGTCAGGGTACCCATGTATCAGAAGGCTTGCCGGTTGTACCCAGTCTGCTCTAAAATAGATCGGAATAGTTTGAAATTTGAGATGTTCATAGAAACATTTCGAACTTCAGATGTATGAAGCTGCAAACCTAATTTAAATATGAGATTCAAAAGAGGTATAATTGATCATTAGGGAAATTTAAGTCATATATACTTGCATGTATGGGGAGAGGGTGGCAGGAGATGTGAAACTCTAATTATCTTTGCATGCAATCCCCAGCAAGCTTATTCAGGGATAAGTTCCACTGAGCACACTGGGACTTACTTCCAAATTTGCTCATCATTAAACTATATTCCTCTTCAACACCATGACAAATGAATTAAATTTGGACTGAGGACAGCATCTGAGTATGAAGGGTTTCAGTTTCCCTGAATGTGGGGAGAGAGTTTTTTTTTCTTTCACACACCTCTTTATTTCTCATCACTTGATTACTTAACCCTGGAGGATTTGCAACTGAATGTGTAAAATTTATTCGGCTAAATAGCACAGCACTGGGTTCTATCTCTGGTGTTTGATCTGTAATGGCTTGTTCAGATGCAAATCATCACTTAATCTACAGTCTTCAAGTGATCAGCATTCATGTGTGAACTGGCTCAGCATCCTGAATACTTTATTCACATTTTTAAAGTCTTGACACTCCATTTCTACAGAAAAGAGTCCAACCTTGCTCTTTAGTACTTGAAGTACTTGAAAATTTTGATGTAGGTTCTATGAAAAGTTCTGATCAGTGAACAATCAAGATGGAACATGAATTTTGAAAGTTTAAATTTCCATATAGAGCAAAGGTAACTGTATAATGAGTGTCCCAAATCTCTTTCTATGGATTTTGTATGCAATATACAGTGGAGGAGACTCACAGCCTACTGAACACTTTTGTACTTATGATATAACATTGATGGGTTTCTCCCTCTTACCCCCAATCTCTTTTGAAAACAAAAATGCAGGTTTGGTAGGGGTACAGGGGAAAATGAATTCTTCACTAAAACTTGCAAAACTGCCTCTTAGTATTACGTGTCTAAGAAAACCTCATGAAATTCATGGGGATGCCATAAGTCAACAGGTGACTTGAAAACAGATACACACATTTCTTTTCTCCATAAAATAATAAGATTTTCCAGAATGCCCCTCAGTTTCTTTAACAAGATAATTTTTGAGTGAGAGGACCTTTCAGGTTTCTCAGTCTTAACGCTAGATCACTTAAAAATATATTCTAATGACTCAGTGAATATCCGTCCCTTTTATATGCACCAATAAATCTTACAAATAGATTTTTTATGGGACATACATTACATTTTTAATTTAATGATTATTTAAAATAAAAACAAAGTACCTGCACACTTCTGGTATCTAGGTCATAAGGAATCTTTTATATGCCTTATAAAAATCTATTTCTAATATTTGAAAATATGTAAACTAGTCAATTTAAAAGTATGTAGAATGTCACCTTTCTGTGATAAATATGTATAATAGCCAAATAGGTAAACTGGTCCATCTATTGCCATTCCCTGAACTTTTAAGGGCTCGTTATTAGTATGAAAGGAATGGTTTTTAGAGTATGATCTTCTTTTAAAAATTAATAGGAAAATATATTTAGATGTAATACCCTTGAAATATATGGTTAGTCCAGGTAATGCTGGGAGATTCTGATTTTCCTCACTATTTCACATTTGAGAAGAGATGAGTGTTATAGGGCAATTTCCCCACACTTGACTACATTGCCTTTTCCTAGATTTTAATAGCTTTCTGCTGAGCTTGACATCTATTACCTTATCCGAGACTTTTTGTAAATGTTTTGACCCTGACTGCCTAATGGAACATGGTCCTCTACCTGCTTCTTGAAATACACAAGGGGAAATGGCTGAAATGTTCCCCGCACAACATATTTCCTAGTACTATCTCTGCATTTGAGTAAAAGACACCAGCAGGAAATAACATTATCGCATTACATGGCTCAATAGTCCTTTACTCACCCACATGCGGACCAGGCCCTTTGCCTCACTGCACTGCGATGTCAGGCCAAAGCAGTAGCAGCTGCTGCAGCCAAGTGGGTTCCTGGCAGAGAGTCCAAACCTGCCAGGTTTGCATCTGTCACAGTAGACACCTTCCACATTCATCTATTGTAGAAATGGAAGATAAAGCTTTAGAGTGAACATCTTTTCACTCTGGAACACACAAGCACAGCAAGTCTGGCAATCATAATAGTTCTTAAAACATGTAACAATTACAACAACAGTAGGATGGACATGTGGTAAATATGCAGACCTTTGCAGAATAAAGCTCAATAACTGCAGAAACTGAAGCACTTATAAAAGATTCCTTTTATTGGAAGTGAAGCCCATCAGCATTTCCATCAAGTAGTTAGTGATAGAGGAAGTTCTAGAGAACAAGCTTACCTTTTTGTTACCTCCATTGTTTCTTTGTTTTTTAAATCTATGGACATGAGCCTTTTTGGTTCCTCCCTACATGCAGAGGGCACTTTAAAAAATTAGCTAGTCTTTTATGGCCCTTTGTCCAAGGAAGGGAGGATTCATAAGGCTCCTACCCTGGAATGGCTTACATCCACACATGTGATCCAGTTCTTCCACTAAAATATTCCCTATATTTATGTATAAGGCTAGAGATTTTAGTAAAAAAAAATCATTAAAAAAAACAAGGTCAAGGTATCTACTGATCAATGACAGTACTGTACCCTGATTGTTATATATAAAAAATGGAACTATCCCCTTATCTGAGTAGAGTGATGAAAGGCAACAACTTAAAAGACACACTGACCCCTCCCCCTAGTCTTCCTGCCATGAAGCTGCTTCTGGCCTTTTTGAGAGTGTGGGAGAGAAAATGGCAGTGATGGCTGGGAGTTGCTAGTCTTGAAGTGGCTCTGGTGCTTTCCCCTCTTCACAGAATGACCCTTGTCTTGTCCACAAGTCATATCAAAATCCATAATTTTGGCCCCAAAATCTGTCCTTGAATTATTCATGAGGTTGACTGCTACATGAGTATATACTGTAAACAGACAATCTTTTTAAATCTATATCTTTTCCTATCCCAGTTGGTTTTATTGAAACAATACTTTTTGAACTTTACAAGAGAATCCTGACCATTTGCCTCTTGTTTTCTACTGTAAGCTCATATTGCACTGGCTATGCTGTACTCTACTTGATATAGATATCATACATTCCCACACCTCTTTCCTGCTGCTCTATAGTAAAATGCATGCCAATGAGAAACTTAAGAAAAACATTCTGATTGAAAATGTTAAATCTGCTTCATGTTTGATCAGATCAGTAGGAAATAACACTCAAGAAAAAAATCTGCTTAAAAGTATGTAAATGTATCATTTCAAGAATTATAACTCCACAAAAAATGACAGTTATGCTTAGACTATTGATTTCAAAGGGTTACATGAATTCTCTACATCTGTGTTTTTGTTTTGTTTTTAAAATCTTCACCACGCCATATAGAAGTCAAGGCAATGAATTAAAGTGGTTTTATGGTTTTTCTACTTAGTTAAGATTCATAAGCTATTCTCTTCACAATGGTCTCCTGAGACAAAGCCCACTATCCACACAAACTTCTGAATACTAGTTTCTTATTGTCATATCTTATCACAGTATCCAGCTCTGTGGTATTTGTATGTACTGAGATTCCAGCGTCAATGCAAATGGCTATATGAAATGCAATAGTAAAAGAACACCTCTGGCTCATGGACTTTTATTATGCTGGTTTCTAAACACTTGCTGTATCACATTGCATCTTAGTGGACCCAATTCAGGCTTAGCTGCTTTTCAACTCATCTGAGATTCAGAGTATCAAAGTTAACTATTCCCATTGATTTCACAGCCTTAAGCATGATTAATTGAGACTGATGTGTCCTGAATTATATTTGTGTATGCTGTCAGCCTTCACGTGGTAGTAGTGGTGGCCGAAATGTTCTCTGTATGTCTGCAATAGTTGTGAAACAAGAGGCAGCTTTCATGGTAGAAGCTACCATATTTCTTCAAAATTAAGCTCAGAAAATAAATTGGGGACCTTGTTAGAGAATGAGGGTCCAAAATTACATCCTGATCCTGGTTTTGAAGAACTTAGCTTGCACCTATAGTTTTACTTCCAGTTTTAATAGCTGTGGCACAGACAGAGAGTTCCAGCTACCATTCTGTGATGCTTACAAAGTCGACCAAAGGCTGGCAGTGTGTAGGAAAAAAATTCAGGACAGACACCACTCCCAATTAATCATGCTTAAGGCTTTGAAATCAATGGGAAAAGTCACCTTTGATATTATTTGCTTTTCATGGTGCTGATGAGAACAAGCTAAACAAGCCCTTGAATTCTTCCTCAGTATTAACTGTAATAAAACTTCAGAAGAATTGCCAGTTTTCCTTCTAACAGGGTTGGAAGAACCTATGGCCCTCCAAATATTGTTGGAAAATAAAGCCAGTCCTAGACAGTATGACCAATGGCTAGAGTTCAGAAATTGCAGTCAAGTGTCAAGTGGCATCCATATGGCCACAGGTCCCCTGCACGGCAAATGGTGTTGTTAAATCACCACACTACATATGAAAAACAAAGGGAGAGAAATCCGCTCGCTTCTCCAATTCATTTTCTTACATATTTCCTGTTAAATCTGCAGACTTATTACCTGACAGGAATGGAAGCTGAGGGATGGATCAATTTTACAGTATTGACTTGTTCAATACCCCCCCCCCCCAAGTGATCCTCCTTTTTCATATCCAAATAGATGTCAAGTTATTTCCTATTAGTTTAGGGGAAGCTCCAGATTTAATTATTCAAGAACTTTCTTTTGTATTGAAAATGTCAGCTGTGAAGGACCCTAAGATATGTCTATATGTCTTTTTAAAGAAGATAATAACAGTCTTTTTATATAAAAGCCCTGTTATACTTTGCATTGTGGTAGCTCAGTTGATAATCGGTCAGGTATGAAAAGATGTTCACAATTATTTACTATTTGCATGGTATAAAAAGATATAGAAAGAAAAGTAAAACCAGATGCAGTTTATTTAAATTGATACCTATTCTTTCAGTATACAATGAAAACACTGATACTGCTGTTCAAGATAAATACAGGTAGAATTGCAAAAATAAGTGCAGTTTGAAAGAAAAGGACTAATTTAGATAATGTGTTCTGTTCTATCTTACTATGGACTCTAGTACTATAATTTTATATTTTATATGATAATAAGAATTCTAAACAATAATTAATTTTAAAATATTCTTTTTTTTCATTCATTGTTGTAGTAGAATTAATTGCTGAAAGAGAGAGGAATAATACAGTAAAGGACTACTGTTAAATTTGCGTTATGTTTTTATGCCTTCAAGTAATTTCCAACTTATGACTAGAGAAATTGATCTTGGGGATTTTTTTGAAAAAGATTTGTTGAGAGGGGGTTGCCTTTGCCTTACTCTGAGGCAGTGTTTGTTGTGTCCCAGAGTAGGAACAACTCTGAACTTAATTACAACACCAGTTCAGTAAAATCAGCAAGCAGTTTATTGAAGGATGTATGTAAGCAAAGCAGTAAAAATGGTAAAAACAATATAGTCCAAAGATAAGAGATAGTCATAAACATCAGGATACAAAGGTAAAAGCACAAGATCCAAGGATGCAAAATCCAGAGAAACAAGGCAGCATGGAAATCCGTTACACAGAACAGAAACCTGGAAAAATTTGAAACATGACACTAGAAATCCCCTTGGAAACAAAATGTTCATGAAACTCCTATGTTGCCCAGACTGATCTAAAACCCTCTCCCTGTCTCATATAAAGTTTTCCTGTCACATGAAGCGAAAGGAAAACATTCCATTTACCTTTACAAGGACCTCTTTTCTCTCTTTTCTAATAAACAGGCTTACCTTCAGTGAGCTTGGGAACTCTTTCTTAGTTTACAAAGGTATTGCCTTCTATCCTCTATCTCATTAACTTCTGCACCTGACAATTCATCCTCAGAACATAGTTCCCCAGAGAAAGGCTACCATGGGCCCCTTTCAGGAACTTGACCTTCAGAGTCTACAGGAAAAGCACTCCATTCATTTTTAGGACTTGAAACCTCAAGCCTTTCAACAAGACCAGGACTTGAAAGCTCAGGCTCAGGAAAACCACTATTCCCAGTGACATCAGATACAATCACAGGCTGAACTATAACAGTGGATAGGATCAGCCAGGGGGTTTCCATGGTTGAGTGGAAATCCTACCCCAAGTCTCCTGAGCCATGCTAATAAACTCACAATGTTTATTCCATTTACTATGTAGGTCCCTTCTGAATGCAACAGAGTTGAATAAGTATTGGTAGGGGTATAACTGTTGTCTACAACTTCTATGAGACAAAGTCAGCATGGCAATGATCATGATAGCCATTGTAATCCAAAACATAAAGGATCCAGGTCGGGAAAAGCTAAACTATCTTATCATGCTTGTTTCTGTGTGCCTTCAGTTTGGCTCTAATCTACTTTGACCATATAAGAGGACTTTCTTGGCAGAAATGGATTGTTACTATTTTCTTCTAAGGGTGACAGAATGTGATTTACCCAGTGTTTCCATGGTTGAGCAATTATTCGAAGTGTTATCTCTAAGAGTCCTAATTCAAAACTCAAATCATTACACCATGTTGGCTTCTTATTGACATCTAAGAAAGAGAATTTACATCTAGGGAAATATTCTTGAAGATCTAATTTTCAACTGATAATGTTTGAACTCAGTTACAATGGAGACAGATTAGCAACAGGAATAAATAACTGTCATGATAGTGCCATTCTCTATCGCTTACCTGTATATGGGTATTAAATTTTTGCTACCAATATGTTCTAAACCACCTTGAGTTACCCCCAGGGATGAGAAAAGTGGTATATAAATACAGTAAATAAATAAATAATAAATAAATTACCTTGCAAGTGCACTGTCCAGAATGATCTGAACATGAACATTTCTCCATCTCTGAATTACAAGTATGTGGCTCAGTCCCTGCTACTATGCATTCGCAGGCCATGCATTGTGGATAGTTTCGATATCCCAGCCTGCATTCAGTACATTTATCCCCTGAAAATTCTGGACGGCAGAAACAGCAACCAGTATCAGGGTTACACTGGAAACTGAGGGATCCAGCTGCACTGCATTCACAGGCCTAAAATAGGAAAGAAAGATGTAACAGTATCATCATCATCTAATTTTTGATAGGATAGATTGTCAAATTTTACATACACACACTTCCACAAAAATATGAAAAAAACTGATTATTAATGTTTTCATTTTAGTAATTTAAGCAACTATTCTGTGTAAGTAAAAATTCACAACTATTATATAACCATAATTTATAGTGTGATGTTTTTTAGTTTGAAGTTTTTAAGCAAATGATTTTTGAGCTTTGGTATTGTGGAGAATTATTTCTTCCAATCCTGAAACATTTTTGTTGGGAAAGAAATTTGATTAATTTTTTTTAGGGAGATACGTTTTCAGCAGTTTGTGAGAGTGTCAGCAGTATGGAAAGCATCCTGCAGCTTGGGATTTATTTGGCGACAAAATATGCATGAAAACATATTTCAAAAATATGCCTGGCTATCTATCTATCTATCTATCTATCTATCTATCTATCTGTCTGTCTATCTATCAATCTCGGTACATAAGCATTGTTTTTTTTTTTTTTACAAATTTCCAGGAAGGAAAAAAATATTGCAAACTGATGGGAACAATGATGTCAAATTAAGAACATTAGAAAGACAAAAATATATAAATTTTCACATAATGATAACAACAACTTTATTTTTATATCCCACCTCTATCTCCCCTAAGGGACTCGGGGCAGCTTACAAGTCCAGGGAGCACATTCTTAAGAGTGAGAAATGCATTGGGTCTGAATGCAAGCAGGATAGACAGCTGGCAGAATAGAGTCCCCTTCTTCCTGAAGCACTCCTTTAATTCCAGTTTTCTGGGTTCCTTTCTGAGTCACTTTCTGTGGATATCTCATCAGCACAAATGGCTTAGGAAGGCAAAAATGTACCCAAATAGATTTTCACATTTATAAGGCATCTAGGGCTTGACTAAACTGAAGTGGTCCAGACGTCACTACTTGATGTCTACATGGCCCAGGTTTCCTGCTATGGTCACGAGCTCTTTCAAAGCACTGGGGCTGTCCGGCAGAAACAGATTTGACAGAAAATGTAAGATGACAGTCTACCTGGGCCAAATAAGTTTCAGCCTAGCTGAGCTATGTAGTTTCTGCCTCGCTCCCATCCATAAGTTGGACACAGAGCATGTAAATACCTCCAAGGCTAGAGTATTTCTTCTCTGTTCTGGTCTCAAAATAACTACTCACTGTAGACAAGTCCTTGCATACAAAGTGTGCTTTTAAAAAGAATTGAACAGTTCATAAGACCTCCATACTCTTATGTGTACCCAGCACCCTTGCCTTATAGTGACCCATTTATTATCTGTGTACCCCACACACCAAGTGCATAAAAAAGAACACTAAAATGCACTTTCACTCAACAAATTAGTATATGTAACTGCAGAGATATCTTGAAAAAGAGTGGGTTGCCACCTTGGAGGCTACTAAAAGCAAACAAAAAGAATGAATAAGATTTCTATGGGCTAAGCTACCATCAGTTTGAGAAGTTCCTTCAATTGGCTACCTTGGATAGCTACCATCCATTAAAATTTCCCACATTTCCTAATTTATTTAAATTATAAGTAAGAAATTCAATTAACTTAATAGGATCTACAAGAGTGTAATCATGTCAAGCACTCACCAAATATTACAAAATGATGGCAAACATGTTAGCTGTCTCAAAGGATCACATTGAAAATATCAGCTGAAAACTGGTCCTAACATTTACTTCACTGTATTAAAATATAGTGATGTAAATGTTAGACATAAGGATTTAGAAATGGATGGCTATCAAGGTGATACGAAAAACATAATAAAACAGTAGACAAACTCATGGGTCAATAAGGCTTCCACACAATGTAAGCATATTATAATTCCACTAGTGTATTTCATATCTCCCACCAAATCAAAAAATGCTCATCTTGTAGTCCTAAAGATTTCATTCTGACTTTGAATCCTTATCCAGCTTAAAAAATGCTTTCTGAAAAGCCTCAACATTTTATTTCTGTGTTTGCTTACAGAATTTTCATTCAATAAAGGTACCTTTCTCATCAGTGAGGAGTGCCACTGAGATATGGCACTAGAAGACTGAAGGCAAAATAAACATCATCATAATTTTGAAAGGTGCTAATAGTTATTATGCTTTTATTTGTAGCTAGAAACTAAGCCTAATGTCTACATTAGGATCAACCAATGTGGACAGACAGGTGCATATTCACTGGTGCTATAGTGTACATTGTGTATGTGCATTACAGTTATATAAATTGAGACACAACTTATTTGATTTGGATAGCTGAATGACAAAAATTGTAAATCAAGAACTGTGTCATATTTGAAACAAGGCGAAATTATACAATGGCAGGGTTGTGCCATTTTACTAAAAACAAAGTAGCTGAACTAAAAAGATTTTGGAACAAAAAGCTGGAAACACGTATGATTTGCATCAAACCTCATCAGAAAGATTATATGACAAATCAATTTCAGTGTAAAAGATCAAGATACACAAAATCTGTTGGTTTAATTATGGTAGCTCAGGTCTGAGCTCTACATAGCTGGGACTACTAACAGTTAAGTATTGCATGGCAGGCTGCCATATAGTCAAAGAATTAAAATCTATTTGGAGCAGTATGCCTGCATAGTGAGTAATGCCAGAGGATAATGCCTACTGGGCAAATTGTTCGCCATATGCAGAGTAAATTACAATCAAATGTAACGTTTGTTTTGCAAGAAGGCAGCTTCATGCAATATTCCCTTGCCAGTGAATTATGCTGGGTTCTGAAACCGGCTCCACTAAAAGCTCAAGTGGTGTGGGGGCAATCGCACCTTGCCTTGGAGAAATTAGTTGCAATGCGTTAAAAGGGGGAGACTTGGCTGACATATCATTATTAATTTAGAGAGTGCCGTGGCAGCTGCCATACTAATGCACTCACATAATAGACAAGGAAAGGATAGATAGGAGAGATCCCAGCACTGAAACAAGGGTCTTCACCCCTATTAAGTTGGTTTGCAGAAGCCTGGTGATCTGTATGCTGAAACAAGCCAGAGGTTTTCTGAGAGGAACTTTACAACTCAAGAGAAAATAAATTATTCTGCATTAATTAACTTATTTGAACAGCCATCAGAAACAGCCTTTTAAAAGAGAGCTTTGTAGCATCTGATTGCTTGGATTCAGGTAACATACACTGAAGGAAATCACAACAAATGTTAAATTAAACGTCTTTATGTTACTTTTAATGATCATTTGTGCAGCATCTTTAATATGCAGTGATTACAGTCTTTATCTTGTTAATTTTCAGTACATTCTGAAGAGAAAGTCATTCTGCTTTTTGCTCTAATAAGAGGGATTGGAAATTGAGGGGGAAAAACTGTCCTAATATCATGCAGTGAATCTATGGTAGAAAAAGAAGTAGAAGTACATATGAATCCTGACTGTGTTCACTGGACCACAATGACACTTACTCAGATCATTTTTGAACTAGGTTATAAACGGGAAAATCAAAACACTATTTTTTACTACATGAGAAACTATTAACTTACAGAATTAATTATTATTATTATTATTATTATTAATAATAATAATAATAATAATAATAATAATAATAATAAAAAAAAAAAAACTTTATTTCTATCCTGCCCTATCTTCCCAAACAGGAACTCAGGTCAGTTCACACTATACAGTGGCAAACATTCAATGCCGTAAAGTGCAACCAAAGAAGTAAATAAACAAACCATAAATCAAATAATAACTTATTAGAGATCAACATCAGGCAATAGTGAAACATTACAGCAAGTTAGGCATCACACAATTAAAAATAAATAAATCACGTTTTGACAAATAAACATTAAAAAATACTTAAAATTGAGACTAATGCAAATTAAATATTAAAATTTAAAAGCCAAAGTAACAAGTCATTTTCATATTCCATTCTGTTTTGTTTGTGCCAGATGTTTTATATGTCTTCCTCTCTGAATGCTTGTGAGCATTGTACAGAAGTTGATTGTAAATGATATGATTATAACTGTATTGATTGTAAATGATATGATTATAACTGTATTTGTGTTTGCATTGGTTGCCCTAATGCTGGAGCGGCCTAGCTGTGAGGAGTGTGTTACCATGGAAACGATGCTGTAGAGAAGTGGGAGGAGCTTAGAGAGGAGAGTTTTGAAAAGCGACAGTTAAAGTCAGTTGGGGGTTTAGGCTCAGAGGAGTGCACAGTCATGAAGTGTTGAGAGAGAGAGTGGGAAGTAGAAAAGCGGTGTTTGTGAATAGTCAGAGGTTTCTTCAGTTTAGGAAGGCTGAAGGGGAAACCTTGTTAGTTTCATTAGTTAGAGAAGACTAATAGAAGCTTGTTTAGATCACTAGTTAAAAGTGAACTAGAGATCTGAGGTTTGATCATGGAAGGATCAAACAGGAAGACTATTCACCTCAGGAACCATTGTCTAATAAAGTGCTTCACCACAGCAAAAGTTATTATAAAGTGTAACATCAGAAGTCTGTACTGTATCGCAACCAAGTTATATGTAACGTTCTCCAAGCATTTTTCAAGTTTATCACCAAACTGCAACCATACGCTTTGTTTCAAAATAAACTTGTTCTCTTTGATTTTAAGACTGCCTCACCTCCATTAATTTTGCGTTCAGTGTGCCCAATCTCCCAAAATTACCTCACACCACAAATTGGTGGCACCATTAAGGATAATAAATAATAAATCGTAACTTCTCTCTCCTGAAACCCCTTTTCTTTGAATTGGGGCAAGCAGCCCTTTAAAAGGTTTTTAATTGTTTTTTGAATAAGAACAAGGAGGGGGCCATTTTGATCTCCTTAGGGAGGGAGTAATAATAATGTAATTATTAGCAGCCATTTAAACAGTGAAAATGTGTTGCTTTCTTGTTGCATACGGTCAGCTTATCTTTAGCCCTATGTCAAAACTATCAAAAGGTTTTCTTAGCAAGATTTGTTCAAAGACAGTTTGCCTTCCTCTGAGGATGAGAGGGTGTGACTTGCCCAAGGTCACCAAATGGATTTCCACAACTGAGTGAGTATTCAAACCCTAGTCTCCTGACTCGTAATGCAATGCTCCATTAAATGAAAGTTATATACATGATGAGAGGACTGGATATATCACAATACCACTGTATAAAGCAATCATTTGTTACTGTCATTTTGTTTACTGTATTATTGCTCCAAAAAGCTCATAATAATATACATTGAGATTATCTCATTTCATGTATAGTAATTTTATGAGACAGGCTTGGCAGGGCAACAAACTACACATTTTGGGGGAGATCCGTGATTAATTTCTCACCTTGTTAAAAAAGTGAAATGTGGCCATTTTTACTGCCACTAAGAGTTAACTTCCAGTTTTGACTGATTGCTTTCATTTCACTGAGGGGACATGGAGCTATCCAAGGTGCTGAGCCCTACCTCTCAAATAGAGTCAGCATCTTGGAGAGTTTCTTTAACATTCAGATTAAACCCACAGCATATTCTTGTGCCACTGACATGAAAGTCACCAGCTACCACTGTTAGGTCAGGTCATATCCTGAGCACACAAATATGGAAATTCAGATTTCTGTCTTTGGTGCCTTGAATTCCATCTTGGGAGCAATTCCCAAGAATAAATAAGTAAATAAATAATCCTAGCTCTCATTTTTAATTACAGAAAAGAAATATTCAAATACTGCTCACAGATATCAAACATCAAGGCCTAAATCCTATTGTTAGTTAACTAGAGGAGACCCATTGAGTTAAAGCTCATTATGGCAAAGATGTGTAGTTGTCCATAATCCTTTGAGATATAATAAATGATGCTCAGCTGCAGACTGTGCTCCTCTGGCTACATTATTTTTCTGAGATATGTTTGTATGAGTCTGAACCCTCTATTTGCCCAAAGAAGCACCTCCAGTTAAAACAGCATATTCCATTATTTGATTTAATGTCAGTGCTCACAAAAGAAAACTCAGTTCTAGAATACCACAGATCTTAAGTCCCTGACAGAAGTTTACAGAAAGACAAGAAATAAGGAAAATACAGATTCACTCACCTTGCACCCACTGATAATATCATGGCCCCAGTGATTTGGTGCACATTTTTCACACCGTTGTCCTACAGTGTTGGTAGGGCAGATACAACGGCCAGTAAATGGGTCACAATTATTACCAAGATGGGAACACTCACAGGCTGCAAGAAAAGGATACGAGAAGAAAAAAGAAGAAGAAGAAACACAAAATCAGTGTTGTTGTTTCAAAAAATATCTGGATATACAGTAGAGTCTTGTTTATCCAACAGGCTAGCAGAATGCTGGATAAGTGAAAATGTTGGATAATAAGGAGGGATTAAGGAAAAGCCTATTAAACATCAAATTATGTTATGATTTTACAAATTAAGCACCAAAACATGTTTTACAACAAATCAACCTTGTAATGTTATGTAGTAATTACTGTATTTATGAATTTAGCACCAAAAATCACAAAGTATTGAAACAGCTGTGGATCCCGGCAGAGGCAGACTGCATTGGATAATACAGAACATTGGATGAGCGAAGGTTGGATAAATGAGACTCTACTGTATAATTTTATGAAGATGTTCATAGATTGTTTCTTGCAGGGGGATCATTCAGCCATAAATTGTGAGGATGATAACTGAGCAGAGGTCCCACAGTAGAATAGTCATTTTGCATTTCTCACTCTTTTCAGACTTCAGTATCATTTCCTATTAAATTATCCTTTAAATTGTCCATTAAAAAGATTAACAAATGTGATGTTAAGCAGGCCTCTTTTTATACAAAACAGCTTCTTAGGAAATGACTCCCAGAACCAAATACAAGCGGAAAATGGGTTTTTAAAAGACATCTTAGATGTGTTTGTTCTTTAAATGTCAATATTCTGCCCTTTCCTCCTTTTTAAAAAACAAAATCTCTGTAGGATTTTATTGTATCAGGAGACATTTCTTTTAGCCAGATTTAATATCAGACAAAAATGGAACCAGTGCCAAATCTGTTTATCTAAGAAGGAAAACAAATGATATTTTATTGTTGTTGAAGTCATGTGCCTTCAAGTCAATTTTGATTTATAATGACCATAAGGCAAACCCATTACTGGGTTTTCCTGGCAAAATTTGTGCAGAGGGGGATTGTCTTTGCCTTCATCGAAGATTGAGAGAGTGTGGTTTACCCAAGCTCACCCAGTAGGTTTTCATGGCTGAGCAGGAATTCAAACCCAGTCCAACACTCAAACCACAACATGCCACCTTAAGACCACAGAGTCTTGGGGGGAATATTCCCAACACCCAGAAACATGAATTCTGATCACCATCAACACATACTAGAAGGAATGGCTGCTTATCCGTAACCGTGTATTTTTTAGTTGTCATCTGTGAAATTCACAGATATGGTAGTTTGTGTGCATATGCAGCAAGCCCGGAACTCTCTTCCTTTCCTGAAAGATGCATTGATATGTGCCATATCCCTCTGGGGATGCACCAATTCAATATGGCTAAGGTAAGGCTGAGAAACCAGTGGAATCGTGTCCCCCCATTTGTTTATATACCAGTTCACTGTGGTGTTGTCTGTAAGGAGCTGTATTACATGCCCCTGGAGGAAAGACTCGGAACCCTGAGGGCCTGAATGGCCAGCAGTTCTAGAAAATGGATATGACACCCAATCAACTCCATTGACCACAGGCCTTGGGCTGTGAGGGTGCCTGTATGTGCCCCCATCCATGGAGAGATGCATCTGTCATGAGTGCTGTAGTTGGCCTGGAGGGCATAAAGGTGCAAACGTTTGCCTGTAATATCTATCAGCAAAGTGAATGCCGCACTGTATGTGGTACCATGGGGGGTGGGCTGTGTTGGGTTGGGTCAAACACCCATAGAAACCAGGCCTGAAGGGGCTGGAGCCAAAAACACACAAATGGCATTACTGCCATCATTGAAACCTTGTGTCCTCACATTGATTGGACGTGCCTGGCCAGTATGGTTTGTGGAAGGGGATGTTCAGCGCTAAAACTGACACCTTGGCTTGCTCTGATATTGCCCCTTTTGCTGCTGCCATTATCTGCGTGTTCTGGACTGTACAGGCTGCCTGTTGAAGGTAGGCAACTTAGGCTGCAAGATGCCTTGTGCTCTGGTATAATTTCCATGAGTTTATGACCTCAATGGTGGCCATCTTGTCCTAGGTTGGTATGATGACTGGAGAAGGAAGCCAAACTTATGTGCCTCCTGGTGCATCTCCTGCGTGTTCTTTAATCGAGTGTCTGGGTTGAACAGACCTTGATCACGGGCAGGTAGGTCCCCTGCAAGAGCTTTACCTTCCTCTGACAACATTGAGGCCCGGAGCCATGCATGCCTGTGAATGGCCATGGCCATTGCAAATAGACTGCCAGTGGCATCTGTCACATGCTTGGCCATCTCCTTCTGAGCTCTTGCTAGTACTACTGCCTCATGGTGGAACACCCTGACAAGGCTCTTTTGGTCAGCATGGAGGAGGTTCAGATAGGGGGCAATCTTTCCCCAAAGGCAATCTTGATATGACACCATGTACACACCATAGTGGGCAAGGTGGGCAACCAAGCCTCCCTCGAGGTACACCTGCTTCCCTATCACCTCTATCTTTCTGACTTCATTATACGTTGGTGTAGATTGTGCCTTGTGAGAGCATTCCCTCTGCATGACATCAACAATGACAGAGTTGGGATTGGGAGGCTTTGCCACCCATTGCGCTCCTGGAAGGTCTGGCGTCAGCCCACTTCAAGACTCCCAGAGCAGCTTCCATAACATTGCCCTTTTGATTGGCAGATGGACTGGAGATAATGTTTGTGTACACATCAGCAGATATTTCTGTATACATAGATTTGTATACATAAATTTGTAGACCAGGGTTAATATGCTTTCTACCTTTAATTTTGCCTAAGATACACACAGTCAGCACATCCAACTGTTTTTATAAAGCACTTGTATATTAAATTATGAAAGAAAAAAAATCTTTGACAAAATTTCCTTTTTAGCCAAAAACTGCTGGACCATTCCCTACGTTTTCTCACCTCCCTGAGAAGATGTGCTTGTCTGTTTCTTTAGTTAAATATTTAGGCCAGTTTTGAAAGGGTTTGAAGCAGGGCAACTGCAGGGCGCTAGGGAGTCATAATGGGACTTCTTGGAGATTGAATGTTTGCCTTGTGTCTGTATATACTAAAATCCACCCTGATTCCCCTCGGGGAGATAGGGCGGAATACAAATAAAGTGTTATTGTTATATTATTTTTATCTTGGAGGGCTGCAGTTCATCAATACATCCAGAACAAAAACGTAAATGTGTGTCCCCATAACTCTTTATGAGGAATGGAAAGAAGGCAGATTTGACCATATTGTTTTGTATCCCCAGTGCCTTTTTGTGCCACAGAGAGACTTTTTTCAAAAGGAAGTGATCACTTCTGGTGAATGTATGAGTACTGTTCTATTATCCGGGCGGAGGCCAAAAGGGTGTGCTAGCAAGAGAAGGATACTCCATTTTATGGGTGGAGAGGGTTGAAAGAAGACAAGCATTTTCCCCGTTTTTGCTGGTTATTTCCCCTCTCCCCTTTCCTTATCATAAAGGAGGGTTGTTTCCACAACAGGGACATGGGTGGATGCAATAATAGGAAAACAGGGGGGAATGGCTTTACTCCTTCAACCAATTTTTCACCCCCATAACATGGACTATCCTTCTCTTTCTAGCACCCCCTAGTTGCCTCCACCCAGATAATGGAACAGAAATATACATATATGTAGTAATTTCCTGGGCCTAAATCTGCAGATAGTGCCAAAACATAGCAAAATTGTCCCATGTGACCCCTAGAGGGCACTGAAAATAGTTTAACAGGCCTCACTTTGCCCTTCTGTATAATGGGATGATCTCCAAATGCACCCAAAGAATAAAAGCAGAACGTTGTTCAGTGCTAAAGAAAACAGGCATCCCCACTTTTTTACGGTTCCATAAGCTCCTGACACTGTTATTTTAGATCGCAGGTGTTGTTTCTACTTTGTGTGTTTTTTCTATTGCATTTGTCAGAGATTTCTCATTCTTCTACTTTTGATACAGGAGTGTAATTTGAGATGAAACAATCAACCAATGTGCATTATTACATGTATATTTAAGATTGAGGGAGATGGCTTTGACCCAGTCATTCTGGAAACAAGTCTATTGGAAGGAGTTTTCGCAAGAGAAAACAAGCTTTTTGAACTTGCAAGTGCTGCAAAAATGACAGACCACTGAACTCATTCGCTGTGTGTTTGTTCCATCCCCATTTGCACTAAGAGCTTTAAAACTACAGTTACCGTTTGTTTTTAATCTTATGTTTTCTCTTCAGTGAATTCAAGAGTTGACCTCCTACTCTTACCAAGTGCTGACATGTTTAAACTTTTACACAACAATAGATATGCCTTTATAGATTCACTTTTCTTTCACAGGAACAAAATAGTATGGAGACACAATGTTAAATATAATCCAAAGAAACTGTAAGACATTTTATCCAGCCAAGAATGTCATGTCTTTGCCACTTTACTGCACAGCTGAAACGGACTGAGGTCATCTTTTACAAAGCAACCCTATATAGTTCCACTGGAAAGTAATTCCCATGGAAAATAACAGGGACTTACCTCTCCTGGTTAAGTAGGTATAAGGACTGCTGTCCTAATAGACCCAAGGCTGTTGCTTTGATACAAACACTACATATGAGTTCCCAATTTCAGCTTTCAGCAGTTCTAGTCATAAAGATCTGAGTAGGCAATTTTGGAAAGGTTTCTCTATCTGGGAATCTGAGATGTGTTGTTAGAATGAGTAATACAGACAAAACGGACTAATTATGTTGCATTTTTCTATACCTTTAAACAATGATTGGTCCATTACTTCTTGAGTAAACATAAATAGGATTGTTTGGTTGTGAATGCATCTACACTGTACTTGTAGAATTATTGCAGATTGACACCAATTTAGTTGTCATGATTCAATGCTATTGAACCATTGGACTTGTAGTTTTACAAGAACGTTAGTCTTTATTGTCAAAGAGCTCTGGTGCTTCACCACACTACAAATCCAAACATTTCATAGCACCGAGCCATGGCAATTAAAATGGTGTCAAATTTGCACACTTACATTTTGTATTAACTGCCTATTTTGGATTACATTGTATTTAGCAATTCTATTATATTTCATTCTTTTTCATTGCTTTTTCATTGCTTTTTTCATTGCTCTGGCCGTTGCAGGTTTTTCTATGAGTAACTAGCTAAAAAGAATCTTCTGCCCCTTACTGTACTAGTAAGTCCCATTGAATATAAAAGAGCTTACTACTACTACTACCATGTAGAAATTGACTATAAACATAATCCATTTCCAAACTGTGCTCATTTTGTATGTGGCTGAAAAATCTGCACAAGAATGTCTGTGTAAGTACACATCTGTTCTGCATTTTCTTGGAAAAATGCACATTTACCAACCCACTTTATCTAAATGTATGCAGCATGACACAGTCATTATGACATAGGTCAGACATCTCAGGGGTGAAGTGAATGTACTCAAGGCAGAAAAAAGAGTGAGAAGAATATAAGAACATAAAAATTGCTTATTCTACAAAATGCAGGGTTTGAAGTTTTGACTTGAGCAGTTTAATGAATATCAGCTCATATGAACTGCTGAGGAAAGGGAGAAAGATTCATACTTAAATTGAAAGAGTTTCTATCAATATATACTGTTTCGAATATAATCTGACCACTGTACTTGTACCATTTAAATGCTTCAAGATGAGGATGAAATGATGACACTCCAAATAGGCATTGTTAAAATTTTCATTGCCCAGGAGACGCCTTCTGATAACAATAGACTAGGGCCCCATCTACACTGCCATATAAAATCCTTGGGAAGTCTGACTTGGCCACGGTGGTACATGCTCTGGTTACATCCTGTATAGACTACTGCAACGCTCTCTATGTGGGGTTGCCTCTGAAGACTGCCCGGAAGCTACAACTAGTACAACGAGCAGCAGCCAGATTACTAACGGGAGCAGGGTACAGGGAGCATACTGCCAATCAGCTTCCGAGCACAATTCAAAGTGCTGGTGTTGACCTATAAATCCCTAAACGGCTCTGGCCCTATTTACCTGTCTGAACGGATTCTCCCCTATGAACCATCAAGGTTGTTAAGATCTTCTGGAGGGGCCCTGCTCTCGGTCCCACCTTCGCAATCGCGTTTGGTGGGGACAAGGGACAGGGCCTTTTCGGTGGTGGCCCCTAGACTTTTGATCTCCCTCCCGATGGAGATTAGATCTGCCTCTTCCCTCCTGACATTTAGAAAGCAGGTAAAAACATGGCTTTGGGATACTGCATTCGCAGAATGATGACTGAGTCAATAACTGCTGACCTTTCTGGCGGATGGAGATGAATTCGTGATTCTTTTGGATGAACTGATTTTTGCGGTAATTTGTATGAATTGTATGAATTGTATTTTAATGTATTTTATATTGATGACCTATAATGTTTTTCTCATTGTATTGAATTTTATGTTAGCCAGCCTGGGTCCCTCCCCGGAGGTGAGAAGACCGGGGTATACAAACTCTAAATAAATAAATAAATAAATAATTTGCTTTGAACTGGATTATATGGCAGTGTAGATTCATATTATCCAGTTCAAAGCAGATGTGGATTATCTGCTTTGATAATCTACATAATATAGTAGTGTGGAAGGGGCCTAAGTTCACCCCCGCTCCCAAATCACTAAGACCAAGGAGGTGGGCACTTGCTTGATATTTACTTTATTATAGGCCCTTTTTTTCCTGGACATGTCCACCTTTCTCAGATTCAAAATTTCTATCTTGGGGGCTTTGTTGAAATGTCCAGGTTTTAAAACCAGTTCCACCTCATCTATGAAACTTAAGGTGGATCTAGACAGCCCTTTATCCTGCAAACATCCAGGTTTAAAAAATGCAGATGTTTATGTGGGGCTGTGCACACCCACACCAAAAAGTGCATGCTTTCTGGTGTGGGACTAGCCTGAGAGAACGTCTGGAGACCCCCCCCCCAAGCCCTCAGATCGCTTAGAAAAGTTTTTAAAATCTTACTTATCCTTCATTAGAAGCCTCGGCAAGCTCTCCTGGTATGTAGAAATGATGCGCCAGGAGAGCGGGGGGGGGGGGGGGGGGGGGGGAGCGATTTTCCTCCCTCCCCCCATTCTCCTGTCATTTCTACATGTCGGGAGAGCCGTCCAAGGCTTCTAGCGGATGATAGGTAAGATTTTACTACTTTTCTAAGGGATCTAGGGGCTTGGGGGGAAGGGGTGGGTATTCCCACAATTTACTGGGCTTTTTAGCCTGGTAAACTGTGGGAATACTGTCTGGACTGCAGTATTCTGCAATCCACACCCAGAAGTAGTGCATTTATCTCATGCCTTTACAGTTTGTGCCAAATTAATGTGGGACTGGCCAGAATGTTATCTGGACAGCCCCCTTTTTATTGTGGAAGTCGCTGCAATAAGGGGGCTGTCTGGACAGGCCCTTAGAAGTCAGTAACCTTTATAAATCAGATTATCGAGACTGTGTGTCTAAATGGTGTTAGAGAATATGCTAATACGTGGAAATATCAAAATTTTAACTTGTAAAGTCAGTGCCATCCCTTTGCGCCAGTGGGTCTCATGGAGAGAGATACAAAGGAGAATGGCAGGAATAGCTGCTCTAGCAAGGAAGTGCTCCTGTGGGATACGGCATGGTTGTGGGCTTCTTCCTTCTATTTTTGCTGATATTGTTAAATATTGTTGAATAATCAGTTAAAACTGTAGTTATTTAAGTACAATGAAGGTTATGAATATTTCTAGTAGCAATTATCACTGCTTCTATAACTAGAAATATTTAAAGTAAGTCGTCATAGTGGCTGATTATATGAAGCAGTCATTTGGTGAATGTGCTATTTTTTGCTTTACAAAATATAGTAACCATATCCTATTATAAGTGAATCTTTGAAGCTCCATGCTTTTTTGCTCCTGCAATTCTCTGATATATCAGATGATTCTCATTAGTTGTGTTGGATGAAAAGAATGAAAACCCATGTTTTCTTTTCTTTTTCTCACATATCTAATCACTATCAGATGCTTTCAGTCTCCTTTGGTAGAGAAAAAACAGGGTATAAATACACACGATAATAATATAATTCTGTAGTGAATTCTAATACAAAATGTGGGCTCACCTAATTTTAGGATTATATAAATAGTAAATAAGAATGTATGTGTCTGTATGCAGTCTAGTGTAGAGTATATATCATAGAGAGATTTTCTTGTTTATTTCATAATTTTTGTGTTTACTCTTGTCACATGGGCTTCAGATGATCAATTTAGGATATATTTCTTTGTGATTAGTTTAGATCCAGGGTCAACATACCAAAAACTGCAAGAAAAATCCCACAAAATGCTACTATCTTGGTTTTTAGAAAAATGAGACATGCATTTGGGACCTATGCTTTGTACACCAGGCACTTCCATTGTCTTTAGTTCCTGCTTCAGTACTGAAAATTTAACCACACAGAGATTCCTTTGGATATTTTCTTTAAATAATGCAGTCCTGAGAATACACACAAAAGGCTGTGTACAAGTGGTTAATATAAAAAATAATGTAAAAAAAATTAAATTTTTGTGGAGTTTAATTCAACAAAAAAGTCAACACTCATTTTCCTCCATGATGTGGTCACTACCTGGAATAAATAAATAAATAAATCTCCATACTTTACATCCTAAAAGCGAGATTTTTTCAGCTATTTGATGAAACTGTATTATGTTACATACGAGTGCATCCTCCTTCTTCAAAGCCATAAAATCCATGAGCGCAGCGGTCACACTTCTTCCCTCCAACACCTGGTTGACAATGGCATTGTCCAGTTTCATCACAGTCAAAGGATTTTGATCCAAATGAATTACAGTTGCAGGGAACACAGCCTCTGGAAGACTGCACACCGAAGGTTCCAGGCTGTCACAGAGGACAGAAGAAAACATTTAGCAAAAGCAAGAACTAAAAACAAGTGTTAAAGCCAGCAATATATTCACTTTTTTTGTATCTAGAGGATGAAAATAAAAAGTACACCTGAGTTCTTATTTCTCTATAGGCAATGCCAGTTTTAAATTACACACACTTATTTAAAACATATATTTTAATATATTTTTATTCACATGAACTCCAAAATACAAGTTTAAACATTGAAGTCAAATACAGAGAAAACTAATTTTAACTCTGCAGGCTCCAATATCAATTTAGTATTTTATTTGTGACATTGCTTTCTTCCAATGAGTTAAGGGGGACATGCATATTTCTTATTCCTATTTTATCAATGTAACAGCTCTCTAAGGTAAGTCAGACTGAGACCGTATCATCATCACCTAGTGAGAGATTCATGCCTGGCTGATTCCAGCTTCTCTGATCTGAGTCCTGATCCACAGCAAACCTTAATGCTGAAATCTAATCCATATAGACAGACCTATTGTACTTCAGCATGACACCAGGCTGGCTTGTTTAGAAACCAATACAGAATCTAAAGTTAGTCCACCATGCAAAGGCAAGTAAAATCAAAACACATGCAAGTCATGGTACATATACACATTTCTGTATACTGTGGTGACACTGCAGGAACTCCTCTCTCATTTATAAGACAAAGCAATATCTCCACTCACAAATTTAAAACCCAAAGTTTAATTAAATGTGAAACCTCCTTGATATTTTCTCAAGATGCAAAACAATAAAAGAAAAGAAAAAATAAACACAGAAGAAATCCCTCAATAACTATTTAGAATAACACAGTAAATTTAAGTACAACCTGCATGTAACTCTCTTCTAAATAATTAGACTGGTACAAGCAGTAAATACGCTTTTAAGAATAAAAGAGAAATAATACATTTCCTTTTAGATATAATTTGTTTGCCAAATGCACAATTCTTTCAAGGATTTTGATCAATGGTAGTAGTTCATTTAGAAAAATGATTCTGGATTCATATGTCCATCAACTAAAACAATACTTTACTTATTATTTCCCTATCAAAATGCTGATTAATACAATAAATATGCTAAGTTTATGCCAAGAGCCCAGTAGTTTTGAATTACCATTCAGATAACTTGATGAACTCAGAAATTGTGGAGTCTTGGGGTTGAAAGGGATGGCAAAGTTCAACCTCTTGCCATAAACAACTAAAACATTTCTGAAAGAAGCTGATCTATTTTGTTTAATTGTTTTCAGAGATGGAGAGCTCACCTCCCAGTCTATTCCAATTCTGAAACAGTTCTTATAGTACAAAAGTTCTTACTAGTTTAATAAGTAAGCTTAGGTGGAATCTCTTTGCAGAACCATTCCATTATCTGGGTGGAAGCTACTAGAAAGTGCTAGAGAGAAAAGGATAGTGCATTTTGGGGAGGGAGGTTGAAGGAGGAAAACAATTTCCCCTGTTTTTAATGGTTATTCCCCCTGCCCTCTTCCCATATCATAAAGTTGGGTTGTTTCCACAATGGGGACATGGGTGGGGGGTCCTTATAAGGAGAGGTAAAGTAGTTGAGAGATAGACACAGTTCTGGCCAAACTGAGGCTCTTGAATCTTTATTTCTTCTTATTGTCTCTTTCTTGTACGGTGTTCAACTGTCTCTAACATGGTCCCAAAATTTAACTCTGACTGGACTTGAATGCAGCTCCAACTGGGCATGCTATTTTGTAGACCTTCTAGCCTTCTCCTGTCTTCATCTTCCAGTCATGAAAAAGCTGACTCTTCCAAGAGCCAGAAGTGCCTTGGCTGAGGCTCTGCCCCTGAGGGAATTCTTAAAGAGGCAGGTTGATGGAGGCTTCAAATGCAAAGAGGCTGTCTAGACTGACCCCTCAGAAACTGTAAATAAAAATTAATCCCGCTAACTAAAAAGAGCTTAACTAGGAGTAAACAGTAAGGGTCTTCATGGGACACAACAGAAGGAATAATAAGAAAAAGGGGGAAATGGTTTTTCTCCTTCGACCCACCCTCCACCACCATAAAATGGACTATCACACTCACTCTAGCACCCCCTAGTGACCTCCTCTTGAATAATGGAACAGTACCCTCTTTTCCTGCATTTTGAAACCCTTGGCTTGGTTGAATCCAAGGAGTTTAGAGTTTATCTTGAAAAGTAGCCACTATCATCATTATCCATGCCATATAGCAGTTTTCTTTGGGAAATGGAACTTTCAAAGGCAGTTTGTGAAATAATACACATCTCTTCATGTATGGGTATTTTTTTAAAAAAAATACAGTGCATCATGACAACAATGTTTTGTGTTGACTTCTAGCTACCCTATGTGCTTAAAATACTGTATGTAGAGAAGCACAGGAATGTTTTGTGTAGTCATGACCAGTTGCACACATGCTGCAGGTATTTAGAAGACAAGCAATCATTACCATCAGAAGCCATAAAATATTTCTTCATCTGCCTATAGTTCTCCAATTTTGGTTACTAATATTATCAAGATCTGGAATAACCTTTTTTTCTTTTTTCATTCATTTATAAGTCTATGATAAATATATGATCCATATTAGCCTAAAATTATTTATTGTGATAAAACCATCATAAAAGTTGGTTCTTTTCAGGAAAGAATGAACATGGAACAGCTTGACAATGTCTAACAGAAAGTCACTAGTTATATTTTTTAATGATTTTCACATAGTTTTTATAATGTGCATTAAATGTTTTTAATTCTGTTTTATGATTATTGTGGCATCAAATTGTGCTAGTGTAAGCCGCCTTGAGTCACCTCCAGTGGCATAGTTAAAAGTGGCATAGAAATATAGTAAATAATAATAATAATAATAATAATAATAATAATAATAATAATTCTTTTCAGACAAAGTAATGCTGGTATGTATGGCTAACTGTTCTTTCTTTTTCTGAAACTTCCTCAGATTGTCCTTTATTAATTACCTTACTTGTATGGCCAAATTCCCATCTGTCAAAATGTAAGAAGCATTTTTTCCCAAATACAATTCTCATTTGAAATAGATGATGTTGAGATAAATAATCATTTTCACTTTAAAACTAAAAATACCTACATGAGGGAAGGCCTTGCAAAACCTTCCCTCACAAGAAGGAGTTGGTGTGACATACCTGTGAAGGAAGACTGTCAATGCCTAGTTTGCTTTTTTCTGATAGGAGCATAACCCAGACTGTGAAATTGTGTTATAACACTGAAGTGTGAATGGGTCCCTGGTTTGCACATATAGCCTTAACACATCATAGCGTAATAGAAGAGATCGTGAACCCAAAGAGAAGCCTAGTATTTAATGAAAGATATTTCCAATTAAATATTGTACATATATGTTGTATGCAGGCATGTAGCTGGGGGGGGGGGCTTCCGGGGCTTCAGCCCCCTCCCCAAAATTCTCAGGGTAGTCCGATAGAAGGCCTTACTGGTACATTATTTAAACTGTTATGTTTATTTATATCGTGATCTGATCACCATGTTCAATATATCCGATATGCATGGGGGTATTGGGATAATGATACAAAAGGTTTGCTAGGGTAGATCCTCAGCCCCCCCCCCAATCAAACTCAGCCCCCCTGCACCAAACTCAGCCTGCCCCCGCCCCGAATCAAAATCCTGGCTATGGACCTGATTGTATGTTATGGCATGTAAGTTTTGAAATGTTTACTTTTTTCCAGAGACAAAATCCATATTACAGTAATATCTTTATGAGGCCTATCAGAACGGTATAACACTTTCCCTCATTCCTTTCTGCTGTATTGTTAATTGTACCACACAAGACAGGCACATGCCAGAATGCCATACATGCTACGTTGTGCATCATCTTCTGATTACCAAGGAAGCCGGTTTGAAAGCACCTCTTGGGCACCCACTGGTACTGGGGAAACCCCATCTCTGTGGAGAAGCTCTGATTTGTTGAGCCGCTGAGGGGTTCTCCTTCCGGATATACATCTGTTTGCTCAGATCACACCGTTTACCTGCAAATCCTGATTTGCAGGTACATCTCCCTGACATATCACAGTTCAGTGACATGGATCCTTGTGTACTACAGCCACATGGTATGCAGAACAGCTTGTCAGGTGCCCAAAAGTAATTGGGCTTTTGAAAAGAAAGAAGGAAGAAAGCAGTTTTAAAAAGCAAAGCTAGACCAGAAAAGGTAAAATAATACATTCAGATAAAAAGAAAGAAAAAAGAAGATAGTGAAGAGCTGTTGTACACCAAGGTCATTATCCTTTTGGCAAGTGTAAATCTGCTGGTGTAGAAGGCAGCACCATGGTAGGAGGCAACGTGGCAGGAGAGAACAAGTCCCTACAGGCAGTGTGAGACTGATGGTGGAGAGGAAAACCACCAAAAAGTTCCCCTGATAGGTCTAAAGCCACTTTAGTACTGGCAAGATAGCTTTCTTGTCCTCAAGGAGATAACATTTGCTGCTCTCCACAAGACTTATTCACTGCTTAGACAAAGCCATACATTTCTGGCATACTTCACAATTAAGATTCCGGCCCAAATCATAGTGTTTTGGGGAAACAAATATCAATATAGAATTTAAAAGTAAATAAGTAAATAATTACATTAATGCAATGGTTTTTCGTTTTACAGAAGGGCAATGGCACTGAGATTCTTTTTATTTATACATGCTTACTAACTGAAGTATTATTTGCTGTAAATTATAACAATATGATTCCATGGCTGTTAACTCATTTTGACTACAGAGGATTTAACTTCAAATACCATATCATTTAGACAAAAATATTTTTCTGTATAGAAAAAATGTACTGCAGCCTCCAGCCATAACAACTTAAACACACACCCCAGACAGTCTTTTTTTCCTCCACAATACTGAAAGGTGGCCTTTAAAATATATATTATTTAAGTTGTAAAAACTGGTCAAATTCCGTTCATCAAAGCAGCATGTCTCATTTAGTACCAAGAGTTCTCCAGAAAACTGTAGAAATAAAAACTGGAATTTTCACATAATAAAAACAAATTGAACCCCATTTGTTTTATGCTTAATACTACCAAGAAAACTCCATCTAAACAAAGAAGAGTCATTTTATAATGAATAGGAAATGTGACGAAGCCCAAATTCCCAAAGCAGTTTCCTGTCGCTTACCTTACATTTATCACATAAGCGTCCCACGACATTGGGTTTGCAGTCACACTGTCCAGTCTTAGAGTTACAGGTCAGTGAAAATGAGCCATTAACATTGCAACTGCAAGCTATAGGCAAACAAGAACAGATGTCATCCTAATGTTGACAGGACATGAGATGTAAATAAAACAAAATGAAAATATATGCCATATATACTAGTTAACGAAAATCTGAAACTGGTCACCTTTTTGCAATGGATGGCACTAAAATGTATATGTCACCTCCTATAGCATGTTATATTAGGTCATACTTATTAAAAGAAGAGTAGAAAAGATCAAATTCTGGCATATGTAACTCCAGATATAGTGGAAATCACTTTCTGGTGTGGTTCAACCCAGTTTGCCTGATTTACTAGCTGCATTCGCGATCTTAGGTCTTGACAAGTTGTATGAACATCAAAACTCTATGATGAGAAAGAATGAGGAAGAACCTTCTCTTCTCTCCTGTTTAACTATAGCAGAAAAATGATATGGATTCTTCTGTATTAATTGAGCATAATGTCAGATAAAAAAGTTCAGCTATCTATAAAAAATAAGTTCAGCTATCTATACAACAATATGATTTTAGTATGAAAGCAATGATTACTTTGTAATCTACCAAGGGCACCTTGACGCAGAGAATTAACCAACCAGATTGATTCCCTGCAAAAAAGTATTACCTAAGGTATTACCAATCATTCAATAACATTATTAGATTTGGAAAAACAGAAAAATGTCACCATTTGCTGCATTGCTATGTTTTCCTGACTATTATTCAGTTGCTATATGGATGGAGTCTGTATTAAGATGCTCATGATGTGACATTTCCAGAGAGTAAGCTGTACAGAGATATAGGGTGTTCACATTTCCTGATTGAATGGTTTCTAGTAAAGCTGAGAACTTTGCTTTTTATACAAGTTACAGCTGGAATCTAATTACTACATGACTATACAATAGCAGAGTTTTCAACAAGGGCCTAAAATATATTGACACGCTAATCACTTGACATTTTAAACCCAACACCTTAACTGCATGATGTTTGAACTTGTACAATGTTTTGTTATTTATTTATAGGCTGTTTTACTCATAACAAATACCTCTCAACATAATTACTAATCCATTGTCCATCCATTATTGTCTCCAGTTGTACTTAGGTCCCCCTGAAAACAATTAATGTAATCTGCCCCCATTCAGTATGAGTAATTAAAAATGTCAATTAGCCTTCCCAAACCTGATTCCTCTTAATATTTTTCACTACAACTCCCATTTGCTCCAGACAACACTACCAATGGGCAGGGAGGTCATAGTTCAAAAACTTTACCCAGACTCTGGGTGGAGAAGACAACTGATTTATAATATTGAAATAATTGGCTATTGAATAACCATTAAAATTCCAATCTAAAGGAAGTCTTTACTTTTTTAACCTGTTTTCACACAGTATCAGTTTCGAGGTGTGTGTGTGTGTGTGTGTGGCTTTTTCAGAAGTACCAATGCCAGTCAAATGTTGGATTGTTAATCCAAAAAAAATGCTCAAAGGATTCATGCATACAGTTATAGCAGCTAATGGCAAAGTCTAAAAGCTATGGGCTTGTATGTCCAAAGACTCTGAATGCAAATTGGCCTTCACCAAGAATTTCCCTAAGTCACCTTGTAGTGAATAGTGTCCTCTCTGCAAAATACAATCCTGAACTACTTAGAAATGGCCTCAATTATAGACAAGATCAAGCAATCATTAGGGCATTTCTTTTTTTTAAAGCCTGCCTTGAAGATCATTTCACCTTCAACTGTATCATACACAAAACTGTCATGTTTCTATAAATAAAAATCATTTCTGAAATAAAAGTCAAATAAATTTGGAATGATGGTTTGATGACTTCATTTTACTTTATTTTAAGAAATATCAACATTTAGGAATGTGCAGTGGTGACAAAAATCCAGCTATCATCTGAGCTGGCTAATGCAAATGAATCTGCCAGTGAGGGAAAGGAAGAAAAGAAAAGAAAAAAGAGAGAGAGATTTCTAAGTGTAATTTGAGAGTAAGACTTCTGCTTTGCAAGTGTCCAATCCTGAATTTGATTCTTTAACGAACAGCAAAAATGGAATGCAACAAAGAAAGGACACAGTCCCTCTTATTTTACAGCTTCAGGGCAAGCTACATGGAAGCCTGCCAAGAAATATGCAAAAAAAGAAAATCTAGTTGTAATAGGAAAAATAAATATGAGGTAAATGCAAACACAGGGACGTGAATATATTGAAAAGGTTCTGCCGTCAACTCAGCTAATGACAAAAAGCAAAGAATCTAAGTATGCATTAAATATCAATCTATCTTTAATGTCTTTTTAAATTATATGTTTTCACTCCAGATACAGGCTCCCCTATACAGCTGTCTGCTGGGGAAAATGTTCAAAGCTCCATCCATGTCAATGCCTCCAAGAGAGAAACAGAGAGATGGGAGCTGCGTTTACTCATGGTTTGATTTTTCAGATCCATGGCTTTTTAAATGACATCTTTAAAGAACAAGTCATGAGGCACCATAACCAGTGAATTATTAATCAGCCCTGATGCAGGTTCTGAATACAGAATCTGAAAGGTGCCTAAATCTACAAAATATGTCATGAAAACAATTTCATGAAAGATTTCTCGGGCACCTCTATGATACGAGTCACCAATGAGAAATAATTGTGTGGAAGGTGCATTGCATGAAACATCTATTTTTTTTTACCAGCATTAACATGCTTCTGCTTGGATTCAGGCAGCCTGAATATTATATATGGTTAGTCTGGCTGCTAAATCCGGAGCCACTCTGGAGCAGAAAAGCTGCGGACTGGGCCCAGAGGCACCTACATGTACCTGGCTGAACCTGTTGGTGTCCACACTGTCCAGCCGGGCCTTGCTAGACCATCACCTCACCCTCAGTGTTGCTACTGCCACTTTCAGCCAGTCATGAGCCTCTGGCTGCAGTAGATGCCACATTGTGAACTCAGCAGAGTTATCTGAGTGACCAGGAAAATGAAAGACATCAACACAGCTGGGATCAGCAGCAGCAACATGAGCACAATCTATTTGCTTTACCTGTGCTGGTGATCACAGAGAAAAGGGGATGGCACTAGTGCCCCATCTGGACAGTGGATTAGTCTGAATAAGACCTAATCTAGCTATTCAGGTTGCCTCCAAATTCAATGCTTAGGAGTTTCCATCAATGTGTCACAAAATCAGCTTAACATGGAACCACTTGCAATATCTGGTCCACTTTGAGTCCCATTCATGGAAGAAAAGCAGGATAAAAGTAAATAAATAAATAAATAAATAAATAAAATCCACCAGAAGCTGGTGGACATTGTGGGAATAGCCAGAACTGAATTCAAGATGAGTCCAGGTTTTCCTGCCCATGTAGATCTGCCCCTAATTAATAATATTTTTCTCCAACAATGTTCGTTTTTGTACTTAGTCCTAATGATCTGTTTCCATTCATTTTCCCCTTAAATTTGTATTCTTTGTCTTCCTCATTTGAGCAAGACTGTAAAGCAGGGGTAGGAAACAATGGTGCCACAAATCCATTAAAATAATATATATATATATATATAATCCTTCATAAATTTATTCTTACAGATGAGAGTGAAGAATTTCATATTTTGATCCTTATTCCATGACAGTCACCCAAAACTTTTTTGAAGTATGATTAACAGTTTGAGACTGATTCTATGGAAAGAAAATACTCCCTTCTTGCACTGAAAATAGTATTCTGCACAAAACTATCATTTTCTTCATGGATTAATACCCACATATACAAAATCTGTGTGCATTTTTCATATAAAATAAATTGTTTAAAAAGGTTGCCCGTCTAGGCTTCTCCCAGATGTTTCAAAAGTTGAGAAATTATTTTTCAAACATTTATCAAGTCTATGGGAATATTCTGCCCATCATTATTTTACAGGAAAGGCTAAAGCATTGTAGACCGGTGGATGAGCACATACTTTCTGAGGAAGATGAAGATTAATCTGTGGCATCTCCATGCAGAGCTGGGAAAATACCACTTGTATTTCATACATTTACACCAGTGGCAGAATAATATATACTCATGTCCATGGGGTTACTCACAGACAACCTACAATGAATCTAGGCAGTGTGTAAGGAAGCCTGAACTACCAGGCTTGGATAATGTGACATTTACTCTATGTAATACCATGCAAATCACTCCATGTCCCATTTGACAGACACTCATGAGATGTGCCTATAGGGAATGAATGCATTCTGACAGTAGAAGCAAGACTCGAGGACTTACGTTGACAGTTCTTCACATCAAGAGCATCTCCGAAATACCCATCAGCACACTTTTCACAGTACTGGCCTGTTGTACCTGGCTTACATATCAGACAAGCTCCAGACAAGCTGTCACAGCTGCCAGGAATGGAGAAGTCAAGGTTGTCATTACATCGGCAAGGCTGGCATGATCCCCCCGGTATTAAAGGTTGTCCGAAATAGCCTTCTGCACACCTAGGGCAACAAACAGAACCCCTTAGAATACATACGCTTCCCTGCTGCAATTATAGAAAAATGCATACAATTTTGTTTTCTTATGAATCACAAAATAAGTTTCATTTTCTGTCTCAAGAATTTCTCAGATCTCCCCCCACCTCCTTTCCATCTTTTCCTTTTAACTTCTTGAACAGTGATGTAGATTCATTATTCACTGAAATCCTGCCAGCTCCACTAGTTATTAGATTTGTGTGTGTTAGTATGGGGGTGCTGGAGGGGAAAGCAGGGAGGGACCTGGTCACTGGAATTGCAGATCAGATGAAAGCATTATAAAAAAGTGTCCATTCATATTGTAGAGAAAATCAGGTTCATGTTGAGAACTCTTTGTATAACTCTTCAAAAATGATGTTCTTCTCCTATGCTAACTAATCATGAAGGCTGACATTTTAGTGCTGTGCATAAAGAGCCTCTTTAGAATGGAAATCAAACATTCCTTTCTAAAATGACAAAGAAATATAACACACACATAATAAAGAAGAAAATACCTGTCTGCCACAAAAGGATGTGTTGAATTATGCATGCATACAATTTAATGCAAGAAATGCTTACTTCATTCTGAACAAAATCCTATACATATCTTATGAGATGTAAGTCCAAATGAATTCAACTATATTTACACCTATGTTAAGTATGTATAGATGGATGGACATCATGTTCTAGCTTAGGATTAAAGACCACTGCAAAGAACACATAAAATACAAAAATCCAAGCAGATAAAAATCAAATATATTTGTATTTGATTTTTTATCAAATACCAAGCACATCTCCAGCAAAGGATCACCGCCTTGTCGGG